TGATATTGGCGAGCAGGAAGGGAGGGTCCTCGCACCCCGGCGGTGGCAGCCATATACGGAGCATGTAGTTTGTTGGTTAGATATGAGAGGCTCGAGAGGAAGGGAGAGATGGTTAGATGCGCACGCCGAGCAGTTTCATCCGAGACGAATGATTTCGTTCGTTTCTTTTTTTGTCTCGCATGCCCGGGCGTGCGCACCGCCGCCGCCGCCGGCCGCAGGAGGAGGCACAGCCGCATGTAATTACATACGGAGTAACTGCATCACAGTCAGTCAGTCAGTCAGCTCTCATTCCCGGCGTCGGCAGCCCGCAGGCGTGATGTCATAGCGGCGGTCGGGGCAACGGCACGGCATCAGTCGTCGTGTGTCATGTTGTAGGAAGAAATAATAATAATAATAATCATAATGATACTGTGAGTATGCACTGTCCCTGGCTAGTGATCCTTCGGGCAACGGGCATGTAACTATGTACGGAGCACGGCGCATGTCAACTACATAGTTATGTAGTTATGTGACTACGAAGAGCGGCCAGGATGCGGCCAGGCGATCGGCACTAAAAAAGAAGCGGATGCTGCAGCTTCGTCAATAATGGAACGGAACCTTAAGCGGGCGCCATCTGTCAGACCCAAGACCGGGTGCGAATAATAATAATAATGTGCACCGACGACGGACGGACGGACAGCTTGCGCTGGGGACTTGACAGCGTGGTGACGGGCCGGGAACCATGGGCCAGTTAGTTAGTCGCCGGGCTAGCGAGCGAGCGGCCGGGTTGGCAATATCTGAGCGACGCTTGGGTGTTCGAGTGTTTGGATGTCTTGCTGCTCGTTTGTTTGCTTGCAGGTACGGAGTATCTACAGAGGATGTACGGAGTAGGGACAGTACATCCGGACAGACAGCATGCAGCGCACATTATCTCACATTGGGGCGCTCGAAACAAAGGCTGGCGGCCACGATCATTGGCGCGGTCGCAACATCGCCCTCGTCCTCATCATCGTGATGGCACACTCACTCGCGGCCTCTCAAACCGTGCAGCGCAATAATGGGCGCCGATCGCTGCGTTGGAACCCACCACTGATGGCGTACAGCCGGTCTGGCGCGATCGGCAGCTGTCAGGATGAGGATAACTATTAGTTAGTTAACTGCCTATGAGTAGAGACAGAGAGAGAGAGAGAGAGATGCGCCTGCGCGTCGCACGACAGCGCGTGGCAAGCAGAACTACCGAGTTGTGTGTATGTCCGCGCAGCCGATCCGCCGCTCCCTGACCCCGGACGCGCAGCTGGCGCTTATTAGTGAGTTAGTGAGTTCGTGAGTTAAGCCCGGCGATCGGACTGGACGCGCCGCACCACCCATCGTCGCTCGCCCGCCGCACTGCCCGGCCCAGCGGCCAACCGGCCAGCCGCGCGGGTGGCGAGTCTCGCGGCCGCGCGAACTATGAGGCTGGCAAGCGAGAGCGCGCGTGTGTCTCTGTTTGTCTGTCTGTCTGTCTGTCTGTCTGTGTGTGTGTGTGTGTGCGCTCAGGCGATCAGGCCCGCGACACAGCCCGACTCCCAACATCAACAACAACGACGACGACGACCTCCGTCCCTCCGCCTGCGCCGTACTGACTTTGATATCACTGGCCCGCCCACGCTGCGGCGCCGATGTGATGCGTCCAATTCGCTGGCCGGCCCTGCACGCCCGGCCGATCGTCTGCGCATTGTCTCTGCTGGGCCTGCGGGAATGTAACGAGACCTCGCATCGCGGGAGACCTCTGCCTGTGCTGTGACGGGGGCGTTCTGCCGCTGTCTCTCTCTCTCTCTCTTTCTGCCTCCTTTCTCTCCTCTCTCTCTTCTCCTTTCTCTCTATCTCTCTAGCTCTCTGTCTCAGAGCTTATTCTCATTTCGCACACACGCGCTGTGGTGTTTTCACCCATACCTGCGCGCCTTTTCTTTGGCCCGAAGTTCCAGCCCCCCCTTCTCTCGGGCATCCGGCCCTCGACTCTTTATGCCTGCGCGCCGCGCCGGCCTTTTCCCATCCCCTTTACCTCCTTTCTTCCCTTCCTCCTGCTCGTCCCGCTGCAGCTCCCTGTCGGCTGCTCGTGTCCTGCTCTACCCTCCTCGTCCGCCGCGTAGACCAGTGGTTTGGCCGTCCGATCCACCGTCCCGCTGCGGAGAGCATATCCAGCTTCGCGCTCCCCCCTTCTGTCTCTCTCTCGCCGCTCAATGCGACGGGCTCCGCCTGGACGACTAGCCAGTTAGTCTGAAACCACGCCGGCCCAGCAGCCAAAGAGGCAAAAAAGAAAAGAAAAAGCCAAACGAGAACTAAAAAAGAAGACCCGGTGGCCACCACCAGCCCTACCGCAACTTGTTTCAGCGCCTCCCTCGGGGCCGACCCAGCAGCCTATCCGGAGAAGCCCTGGCCCCCCTCCTCCTCTTCCCCCCCTTCGCCGGCGCGCGCGCGAGCTGCAAACGAAACTCGAGCCAGGGAGGAACCCGTTCCCAGCACGGCAAGGTTCGCCTCTTTTTCTCTTTTTTGTTGCATTATTATTTAGGTCGGGTCTTGGGGGGGGGGGGGGGGGGGGGCGGGGGGCGGGGGGGGGCGCGCTTTTGCGGCGCCTTTTTTGCTTGCATAGCGGTCCCCCCCCCCCCCCCCCCCCGGGGGGGGGGGGGGGGGGGGGGGGGGGGGGGGGGGGGGGGGGCGTGCCGGCGCACGTCGCGGGCGCGCTTATGCAGCGACATTATTGCATGCATAGCCGGTCCTCCCCCCCCTCCCCGCCCAGAGAGAGGGGCGTTATAGGGCATGGAGATCTGACGTTGCTGACCAGGAATCCCCCGAGCGCGCCGCCCACCGACGCCCGTCTTCCCGGCCTGCGCTGCGGTGCGCTGCGCTGCTGCGGCAGTGTTGTTGCTTGTTGCTTCTTCGCCCTTTGCCAACCCCCCCGGCCCATCATCCCCCATCATTCTCTGGCACCCTAAACCTTCTGGACCGCCGCCGTCGTATGCGTTTGAGTTTGCCAGACTCGTCAACCGTCGAACTCAAACCGCCTTCATTTCTTGGGTCGTGCACATCCTTTCAGGAAAATTTCCGCAAGACTTCGGGCCCAGCTAGCTGGCTGGCCGCCCGCCGGCGGCGGCGCGGGGGGTGGGCAGAGGGCTTCTCTGCCCGCTGAGTCTCGCGGCTGCTGCTGCTGCTGCTGCTGCTTGTTACTGTGTGCTTCGTTGCTGGCGGAACGCTCTTCGCATCGCCGCTGCCACTCCATCCTCGCATTCGCCATCCATCCCTTCGCACCGCCCAAACCAAACCAAACCATACCACCACCACCACTATCACTACTTCCCCTTCCCTTACAATTCTACCCTCTCCCCCCCCCGAGATCGCCCCCCCTCGCCCCTCCCCGCCGCCCGCCGCCCATTCCTTCGTCGTCCGTCCCTGGCCGTCCGTGGTTGTGAATCTGCCGGAAGGAAGCCTTCTGATCCCAGCAGCCGCAGCGCCGTCGTCGACTCCACCCCGGGGGCCTTAGTAGTCTCTGCGCCCAGGCCAAAAAATTCAAAAAAAAAAAGAAGTACAACACAAAAAAAAAGCGTGCACTACCGCCGCCCGTCAGGCAGAAGCATCCTGGAGAACCTTGCCTTGTCTCCCGGCGGTGGCCTCTGCGCTTGAGCTTGTCGAACTAAGCTGACGCTTCCAACCTCTTGGGAGCCTCTTTATCTCTCTTCCCCTTCTTTTTTTTTTGTCTTTTGCATCTTATTTTTTTTTGTCTTTCATCTTAAAAAGCCGTTTGCTGTGACGACATTCCGGAAAGCAAGATATACTTCCTCGATCTCGCCCCCGGACTCCCTCGTTTGCCATTCGCTTCTCGTCATCCCTCCACTCTTACTTTTTTTTCTCCTTCATTCTTCTTCTCTCCTTCTTCTTCTTTTCTATGGTTACTATGTGCGACAGCCCGCAACGACCGTGCCGTTCAGAATAGGAGCTATTTAATTTTTTTTATTTTTTTCATTTCCCCTCCTCCGTCCAAAAGTCCCCGACGCGGGGGGCCCATTTACCACACTTTGAAACCAGGCCGACCCTTTTTTTTTTCTTCTTTTCGCGCTTCCTGTTGGATTTCCTTGGGTGTGTGCCGCCGTATATCCAAGGGCGAGCAATCCGCTTGACCGGACCGGTCTTCTTATTCTTTTTTTGCTTTCAGCCCACACTTTCCGTCTCCATGAATGCTCCAGGATACTCGGATCACCACGCGGCGCAGTCGGCCTTGCAAGGGTGGGTACTATCCATCTCCATTCTCCCTCTTCCCTTGCTCTCTCTCTCTTTTGTCTTTTGCTCCTTTCCTTCTATCTATCTTTCGTGCCCTTTTCCATTTTTTGCGCGCAGTGCGAGCCTCGTGCGGGCGACCGTCTTGCTGACCTGTGATCGCGACCATGACAGTTCCGACTACGACCTTACCGTCCGCCAGCACCCGGAGCGCGCGCGCGTGGCGTCAGGGAAGGAGAAAGGTGCGTGATCCCGCGGCACTCCCCCCCCCCGCCTCGGCTCTGACTGTCAAAGCTCATCTGTTTGTTGGCCTATAATAGAACGCAAGCCGGTAGACCCGCCGCCGATAATCCAGCTTCGCCTCAAGGACCAGTGCGATCCCGCGCGGTAAGTCTTGCGTGTGCTGTCCCTCTCCTTCTCGGACTAGCCCGGACTTTGAGCCCCCCCAGTTTATGCTGACTTAAATGTGCCGTAGTAATTACCTGCAAAGTCCTTATTATTTTATGTGTTGTGCGCTACATCATCCCTCGGAGGATCGACCTGCCCCGCCAGCAGCGTCAAATGCGCTGTCAGGAACGTTAGTGTCGTCATTACATCGCTTAAAGGACGTGGATAATTCTGGTTTGTGGCCTGGACTCCCCTGCAGCGTCGAAGCTGCGCGTGGCCCACTTGCTCTAACACCTCCTTACACTCTAGATGGCGGCTTTTTCGTCTTCGGAGACGTTTCCGTCCGCACAGAGGGACGATTTAGACTAAAATTTAACCTCTTTGAAATGCGCAGGTACATACGAGCTGTCCATGCCTATTTGCTGAGCCTCCTTGGCGCTAACCGCTTAAACTCGCTGCAGGGATGAAGTGGTTCATATCAGATCCATCCTGTCAAATCCGTTTCAAGGTGAGATCGGCTGTCAAGTGACTAGTGCGCCAGGATGCAGACTGATACGTCCTTAGTGGTGCCGCCCAAGGCCTTCCCGGGCATGACTGAATCCACCTTCCTGTCGAGATCGTTCGCCGATCAAGGAGTCAAGCTGCGCATCCGAAAAGAACCCAGAACACTCTTGTTAGTGGAAGCCCAGGCCGCTCGTCATGAAGCCCATCTTGCTAACTCCCGCAGAAAACGCCAACTGCCGCGGCCCGAAGACTATCCGCCGACGCGCTACAGCGAGAGGCCGAGTTCCGCCTTCGCCGATAGACCTGCGCCCACGGTGGTGACTTCGATGCAACCCGCCACCCCCGTACAAGCCTATACGCCCCCCGACCGTGACTACGCGCCGTACTATGCGCCCACGGCCAAGAAACCGCGGACCTCGCTGGACTTGAGCCTCCGAGGGTATTACGACGGCGATGGCCGATATAACGGCCGGCCCGGCGACCACCAGCCCTCGCCCATCGCGTCGAATCTTCTACACGAGTCGCCGCCGAATGCCTATACGCAGGCGAGCTATCATGCGCCTGTCCACGCAGCGTCGCCTGCCGCCTATTTTGATGGACAGGCGGCCCCGACGAGTCACCCCGTCTTGCCCTCCCAGCCTGAACATCCCACAAATGGCAATGGGTATGGGCATAAGTATCCTGCGTGAAACTAAACGCATCTCTCTCTCTCTGCCTTACTTAGCGTTTTTGATACCTCTCGAACTTCCTCCCCTCCCCCTTCTCCCCTTTTACCCTTGTCTTTTTAATGCTTCCCGTTTCTCTTCTTGCCAACCCCCCCTTTTTTATCCCCTTTTTATTTTGACCTTTTTCCCTTCTCCTTGACCCTTTTTTAATTCGGTTACAACATGATTCTGGCTTTTTTTTCGTCCCCTCTTGTTATTCCTACCAACATATCCACCAGTTCCCAGCACACACACACACACACGCACTAGAGATATCTGCATTTGGGGGGAGTCGGAAGCGGAGTATTATCGGAACCCTATCGTTTTCGTGAGACGGTTTATTTTTTTGGCGTAATTTTTATTACTTTTATTATTACTGCTGACTGGATGTTGTTTTGGCGGGTGGGAGGAAATACAAAAAAGATTTCTTTCGGTTTTTTTTTTTTCACCACAGTACTTCATTGTACACTACCCCCTCCCCCTTATTTTTTGTTCTTCCATATATTTTTTTTGGTTTAGGTGTGGTGCAAAGCAAAGCTCTCATGCATTCGGGTTGCTCCTTTTCCTTTTCCTTTTGTTTCTATTTTTTTAGCTTCATCTTTTTATATTGATATCTGATGCCTTGTTTTTGTTTTTGGTTTTCTTGGCCTACATTGTTTCTGGATGGAATGCAAATTGATGTTGGTTTTTTTGTTCTCCTTCTTTTAGCAGGAATGAACTCCTGGCTTGGGGGCTTTGAAGGCTATTGGGAGCCTCAGAAATGACCTTTTTCTGTGTGTTAGCATATTAATGCTGTTGTTTCTTGGACATCACATCTAAGGGTGAATATGATCGTGAGCTGTTTGCTTCTACAATGATTCAGCCTAGGAGTGCCTCTTAAGTGGTTGCCCGGGACATCTCTCCCTCCCTCTCTCTGTGAGTCTGTATTTTGGTACCTGCCATCGCGCAAGTGTTGTGTGTGAGCGGCACTTACCACATTAGGTAATCCTGTCAATTGGTAGTCCACAACAATTGCCTACGCGCACTCTTTACTCACTTCTCATCATATTCCCCACCTCCTTGGTACTGTTTCTTTTTTTTTTCCCACCCCTCTCGAACCTTGGTTCTACTTCCGTGTTAGCATTTAGGGCCAGCCAGCCCACTGGGATTTTCTTATCAGCCCGGCCTAGTTAGATAAACCTGCTTTTTCCCTGGAACCAAACCAAACCAAACCAACCCGCCGGGGGCGCGTTCTAGACCCGTTCCAGAGTTCCGACGGCGGCCGCCCGGCCATGGACGAGGACGACCTGCCGACGACGGTCGAGTCGGTGCGTCTTAGCGGCGACTGGCGCGACGATGACGGCGACGGCAAGATTACGCTGCAACTGCGAGTGCGGGTGAGATAATCCCCCGGGTTCATTATCGTGGATTACTTTGTCTTCTTGTTCATTATTATTTTTGTCCACGCGGCGTGAATGCAACGATATGTAGAAAGCCTTGGCAAGGGGGGTGTTTCCTAACTTTTGCTTTCCTCTCGCCTTAGGTCCACGCCTGTCCCAACGGCCGCGCTCCCATTCTCCGTTTGGACAGCGGCGTCGAAGTGCATCTTGTCGACGAGACCGTGTGCGAGGCTGAGTACAAGGATCTAGAAGACCTCGGGTGCTCGCGAAACTGGGCGTTGTGGCAGTATCGCGCCGGTAGCAGTGTTGTTGCGCAGGGATATAGCGGCGGCGGCACCCACAAGGACGAGGGGGAGGATGATGATGATGGTGGTGGTGCCTGCGGCGGCAGGGATCGGCTGGAGCATGAGACTCCGCGGCGCTTGTACGAGGCGGGAGTGCGGCTGTCGCCATCGCCGGTGAAGGAGCGGCTGTTTCCACCGAGTCCGGAGGGGAGTAGCGGGTCTATTGAGAATTATGGGCATGGAGTGAACGGGAGCCGTGCGTACTGCGGGGATAGTAGTGGCACGGACTTGGAAGACGGGGAGCACCAAGAAATTTTTGGTCTGGATTCAGCGTGGACGCCGGAGCCGGTGGCGTATATTCCCTGGAATAACAACATTGTCACACTGCAGGACGAGCTGGCGCGGTTGGGCAGCAGTCACCAGCGGGAGGCGTCGAATACTACCGTGATCCATTTGTCGCCGGAAAATGGTTATGGACATGCTCATAGTCACCGCGCGGCCTATTCGGAACAGCATCTGTCATTATCGCCGTCACTGTCGCCACGGGCTTATGGTCTTAGTGTTCAAAAAAGGGGGGTGAGAAGTAGAATCCCGGTCAAGAGCGAAAACCTGTGGCAGCTGGGTACAGCTCATCAGTCGCCCGGGTTTTCCAAGTTTATGGCAGACGTGGACAGCCCTGGGTTGCAGACAAGGGAGAATAACTGCAAGAAGGGAAACTTTCAAGATCCTCAGTCCCCCTGGAGCGATCGGGCTTCAAAACTGATGATACCCGAGTATTCTTCTGGATTCACCCCAGAAAAACATAGGGCTCGACGTTCGGCGTTCGACAATCAAGGTTTAGGTCTGGAGCCGAATGAAGCCCAGGCTCTGCCAACCACTCCTGAAAATAAGGTCATCGGAGATTTTGGTAGCCCGGCATTCTCATCAGGTAGGTTATGCCTAGATTCCCTGGTACTCAGAGAGGAAGCCAACGCAAAATGGCAAATAGGTCGGGTGTTCTGTCGAAGCGAAGATCTTGAGAGGAATGCCACAGGAATCAATTCGGCAGAAAGCTCTAATTATGGCGATGGTAAAAGATCACATCTTATGAACCTATGGCTTGATGACGGACCGTGTGAGAGTAATATCAAATTAGAAGAGGAGCGCGAAATCCAGGGAGAATGTTCTTGGACGACGGATGATCAAGGTAGCGAGACAAGCCAGTCATTGCTCCGGAATACGGAAGATACAGACGATGCAAGAAGTCCCTTGATATCAGATCACATCTCTCTCCCAAGTCCCACGCCATCTTCCAAGTTAAGCATGCCTTGGAATTCGGTGGAAGATTTGGTTACAAAAAAGGCAGTATGCCCCTCTTTGCTGGATATAGACAACGTTGAGTATCATCCATCCAAGCCAGTGAAACCCAGAATTGAGACGGTCGATGGAATCCTAATAGTGTCGTTTCCCAACGATGCAGGACGCGGCATTGTCGTGTACGAAGCTAGTCTCGAGCTTCGATCAAGCGAGCCTTCCTTTGGAATTTCGGGAAACTTTGATGCTGATAGTGAGGACGAGGACGAGGAAGACAATGGGGATGACGACGATGATGATACCCTTCTTAATATCAGATGGCACATCGAATACAAACCATCCAGGGAGCGTCAAGGCCTGCCAATACTCTCCATGGCAAATTCAAATGGAGGAGACATAGCTATTTTGCGGAAGCCATTCATACTGGGAGATGTTGGGCTGGACACTGGTCTATTTGGGAGTCATGGAAGTTCATTTGCCATAACTGGAACTTTCAACGGAGTCAACCTGTATGCCGACATCCTTCACGAATTTGTGAGGTATATCAATTTTTATGCAGCTCTCGTTCGATGTTACGAAAAGACAAGCTGGAAAAGGAACCTTCTAAAGGTTGGGGGACAGCTATACCAGATTGCCCAACACTGCGGTCTCTTCCTCGCTGTAGTGTTTGTTGCGGCGTTTTTCTTGTTTCCGTTGGTTCGCAGAGGCAACTATGGTCTTGAGGTTTATCACGAAGCCCGGGACAATGACTGCCCAGCACATAGACTCGAGTGCCAGGTGTTTCTTCGTCGCCCCAGGTTAATCAAAGCAGAAAACACTGCCCGACGTTCTTATGGCCAGAACGGAATGCGCTACCCCATGTCACCTCGGACTTCAACGGCGCCTTCATCGGAGATGAAAAATGCTAATACGCCCCCAAGAACTCCGGATCCGATGGTGGGGCGCCTTGTTAGTCCTCTCCTCCCCACCTGTGCCCCAAGCTCGAAAGTCAAGTTCGTGGCGAAGATTGAGGTGCCCCAGAAACGAGAAGATAGCGTTGTTATGGCGGAGGTGGGAGAAGCATCGAACAAAACCTCTCTTCGGGATCGAATAGACCGGTTTCTTGGCTGGAGAGGGCCTGTTGTTACTGGGGGAGCGAATTAATAAAGGGTTAGGAGTTGGGAGGTGAAAAAAATGAAGATTCCAATACTGGCTACAGAGTTGTTATGGAGTTAGTTGGTTAACTAGTTAGAGTTACTCCGCTGACTAGTGACGTGAGCACGGAGTTTTTCCCTAGGCTAATAAGAAGCTGGTTATGTAACTATCCCTGTCACTGGAATGGAGGAATAGGATGGCGAGGTTGGAGTCGGCAATGGGATCAACTGTCTGTGCGAATAGCATGTAAGGTATAGAGTACCGGAGTCGGAGTAGCTAGTTAAATGGAACGACGGCAATTGAAGTAACTAGCCATTTTTACTAACTAGTTAGGCGATGGTTTAGAGGCCATTTTGGTCTGGAGTACGGAGTAAACAGCATTCCGTAGCTACTATGGACAGGAAGGGTTTCATGTCGGCAATGCAGATGCTGTACGGAGTAGAACAGACCCAAAGATTGGTAGCGGGTTTCATGTCAGAGCTCTGTGTTTCAAGGCAGATGCTGTGTCGCAATGCCGTACATTCAAAGGCTGATTTCCATCCCAGTGAAAACTAACTAATGGAATATCATTGAGAGCTGTTAAAACGTAAAAGCTGTTTCTGAAACGGCCTCTCCAGAGCTCCTTTGCATGGTCCTGCTCATTATTTGTTGGGCAACTAGCTGTACATTGGGTTCCGGGATTGACCCAGATATCTCTCCGCCATTCTCCAGACTTTGTGCAAACTAAAACTATAGTTATGTTAACAAACAACTAACTAGTTAGTTGACTAGTAGTTGGCTAACTAATTAACTTCGTGGAGGATCACAGCGCACAGAACACAAGTTCGCAGACTGCATAAGCAAGCTCTCGCTTCTGCAGGGCCGAACGACAGAATTGTACTGTTGGGAGCCAGAAGAGTAGGTCTATTGCAGACTTGGTGTTGCTTTGATTGATTGCCTTTCTTGGTGTCTGGCTCGGCTTTTCTGTGGATATTTACTCTTGGTGTTGTGGAAAATTTTCTTCAGACCACCAGACTTTCTTGCCAGACAAGAGTCTGCCACAAGGCCAGGCCGACAGAAAAATACTAGTTAATCAGTGCACTAGGGCCATCCATGTGTTTATTCTTTTGAGGCGATACTAACAATAGATACGTTGTACGGAGTACACCCTTTGTATCCTCGTCATCATGGTGAACAAGGAACCGCTTCTGGTAGCAAAACACCCCGATACCCTTCCGCTAAAGAAACCGAATCGACACCTTGACAGCTTTCAGAAGACATCGCAGAGTGCAGCGTTCACGGAGGCGGCGGTCTCGAAAGGCGCTGCAAGGAGGGCAGAAGATCACTCTGTGGGATCTTTTGCGACATCGCAATCGAGATCGTGGGCCAATGGGGTGCCGGAAGGTGGACATTACGCGGAGGCTATGAAAACACTTAGAAGAAATCGGGGGTTGATTACTGCCGAAATTGAAGGCCTGCTCGCGGAAGAAATGGCGGCAGTGAATCATGTCCCTCAAGTGAAGGAGAGTAGTGATGACGTTTCTATAATCTCGAATACCCATCGGGCTCGTGGGGAAAATAATGTGCGTATATCGCCTGAAAGCAGTGAATTATTTAAAAGTATTGCTGAGGACCAGCTTGGACCTTCTAAGCGCCGAACGCCGGGCCTGGTTTCAAAGTCCGTCACTTCACCGGCCGCCTCTTCTTCTCAACCAATCCACAGAGACGTCGTCCAGCCACCTACACAGCCACGAGCACAACGGTTTTCTAAACGTTCGGCAAGATTGTCTGCAGGTCCTAGCCATTATATCGCCCCGCACAAAGACTTGAATACCCTTATACAGAGAAATATGGAAAGGGAGAATAATCTACAGTACCAAATGCAGAACCCATCTGAGCATGAATTTGAGAATGAGTTTTTGCACCTGAGCGTTGGTGAAGTGAATGATATCCGCGAGTGGCTCCAACTTACCGGCTACTATGATGAGCAATACCGCTTTAAAACTCTGCAGCGTCGTAGGCGTTTGGCTGCTTTGGAGCAAGAAATGACCGACCTGAGGAAAGAGGACCAGGATGAGCGTGTCGCATTATTAGCAAAGCACGATGATGCAGTTCGTCCTTTAGCGTACTCGAAGCAAACTGCCATCGAGTCAATGGCCCGGAAATATAGTGGAAATGCGAGCCCTTACTTGATGTCAGGTAACAATGAATCTGGGCCCCGCTCCAATAAAGCCGTGGTGCACAACGATATGAACGACACCCCTTCAGATTTGAATTATAATCCGGGCCGTAAACCACTCATGCATCCAACTAGGGAGCAAAACTTGAAGCGTGGCTTGTCGCCTGTGCCGCTGGAGGATCCATGGAAAAAGTCTAGGTTGGAGAATTGGGGACAAAGCAGCCATACTGAAGGTGCGGTTTCATTCAAACCATATGTTGAGTTCCACTTGATCTAATGGAGTCTAGATCAATACAGTTCTAGGGTCTCTGAGCAACCTGCCTGTCGTAAGGATCGGCGTTTTAACTCGCACATGGGCTTGGACTCTGAGCTGTATCTGCAGTCCAACCCAACTGATGATTATGCTGGCTGGAACGACGTACAATACTCTCGAAAACCCAAGGGTGCCTTGCAAGATTGCGGTGAGAGCCGTATGCAAATCCGTGGTAAAGGCAGCTCTAAGTACCCTGGATACGATATACCATTTCGCTCCAGCTACGCTGTTGGTGACATGGTCTTGCATGCTACTGGTATGGTTTATCTTGAAACCATAGCTTTTCGTTTATTGACTTATATCTAGATACAAGATTCTTCATGATTAAATGTCTTACGGCTGCCGCCGTAACTACTTCACAACAAGATGTAGGGTTCTTCGTTGATTTGCTCCACTTCTCCACTAATCTATACTAGGGAACCTGGTCAACACAAATCAAGAATGTAGCTAAATTGACAGAAGCTTTTACTACAAGTCGAAATGTGATATTATTTTTTTCGGTCAACCAGAGCAAGGCATTTCAAGGTTATGTAAGTTTACTTAACCTGCTTGAAGATATTTGCCATTGCAGGTCTTCAGCTCACAATCTTATCTTGCTGTGCTCCTGTGGCTAACTTGTATACATTCAGGCACGGATGGAAACACTACCAGGAGATGAAGAGCTTCCTATAAACAGTGACTCATTCAAAGGCAAACTCAGCCCTCCTTTCAAAGTCATGTGGCTGAATATTGCCTTCACCAAATTCAGACATGCTGCCCATCTTCCCAATTCTTACAATGAAGACGCACCAGCATTGGTTGGGCGCGATGGCCAAGAGATTGACCCAGGCTGTGGATTGGAACTTTGTTACGTTCTCGACCAGACTCCAGCACATAAAAGGAAATCATACGCCTCCTTAGATCTGGTTAGCGAACCTTAGGCCCCACTAAGTTCTTATCAAAAATAATCAAGGTAACAAGATCCGGACGGACTCTCAAATGATGAAATTTTTTGGCCTACAACATACTTGTGGATATGGCATTCATTCTTCACTCTCATAGTTGACACAACGTTTGACCTCACCTTATGAACTACATATAAATTGTTGCATATGCCGTGGATTCGAGTTGAATTGCGGAATATATCACAAAAGCCAAGTCAGAAACATGTTGAGAAATATCTAGGACCTTGGTCTATTAATCCATTTACTACTGCTTTCTGCGCGATATTTACAGCATTTCTAAAATTTCACCAAGGAAAAATAAGTTTTCATTACTCTCGAGAACTTGAAATGAAAAAGAAATACCAAAAAGGCTACCAGTACAATATTAGCCTTAGTTTTATTTCTTTTGTTGTGAGAAGGAATAACAGGCTATACTCCGTGCTTAGATATGCTACCTACATATTATTTCCCTTCTCCCAATACCACGTTGCTTGAAATATATTCTGAGCGAGATGAATGGAAAAAAATTCAGAAATAATGGTATGCACCAAATGCTATATGCTTTTGCCTTGCAAAGTGAAATACACCAATGCCATTCCATTACTTAGACTGGGACTACACTCGACGTCTGGATATAGAGGTGGGCGAGATGATTACATATCAAAGTGTCAACTAACGCGGTGGTTTTTATAACATGACAAAGGAGAGCTATCGATGAATAATATGATTAATGGTCAAAAATATTTGCTATCTTTTTGGAACATAGCTTTGCCTCACAGGCGTGTGCTTTATCCATGTCTCTATTTATCCATAGGACTGACAACTTTGGGAACATATGCCTCTTCAAGATACGAAATCTCTTCCTCAGTTAATTGGACCTTGACACTGGCCACGGCTTCGTCGATTCTTTCCTTACTACCAAAACCCAAAATCGGATAAATCCCCCATTTACTTAAACTCCAAGCGGTGGCCACCTATGCCATACTAATACCCCTTTTCTTAGCCAACTCTTCCACACGACCAATGATAATTTTGTCGGCCTCCGTTTCTGTATCACGGATCATGGTTTTCATGATTCGATCCGATTGCTCGTGGACAGTTGAGCGCGAACCAAGAGGCCTTGTGAGAGCGCCACGGGCCAAAGGAGACCAGGGAATGAGACCGACTCCAGAATCGACACAGTAGGGGATCATTTCACGTTCGCCTTCACGGTTCAGGAGGTTGTGGTAGCTCTGCATAGAAATCAACTGATGCCCGCCATTACGGGCGGCGATATTTTGAAGAGCCTGGAATTCCCATGCGGCCATTGAACTGGCGCCAATGTATCGAACCTTGCCGCTCTCTACGACGTCGTTCAATGCGCGCATAATCTCTTCTCTAGGTACACCTCTGTCTCAGACGGTGGATTTGCAGCACATCGATGTATGTGCCCAATCGTTGCACGCTGGCGTTGACGGCGTCAAAGATATGCTTTCTAGAGAGTCCAAGGCGGTTGACAAATTCCCCGGTATTCTGAATTTGGAATAAAGGCAGTTCGCAGTTTGGATCTACAAGGAAGTAGCACCTGGTCATGATCACGACGTTGGAACGGGGAATTTTGTACTGCTCAAGAGCCTTGCCGATAATCTCTTCAGAGCGGCCCTTCGAATAAACATCTGCCTGAGGAATCGGCTTGTTAACAGCTGGAATCTTTCACCTGACAAGGAGGGAGAAATACTGTATCCATTTGTTGATCCCTTTTTTATACGCATGTTCTAGCAATGGGAGGGCTTGTTCCTCATCAAGTATCCAGTCAAACATCTTGGACGACCCATAGCTCATTGCTCCGAGCACGATTCTCGAGATATTAAGACCCGATTTTCCTAAACTGTGTGCCATGTAAGTAGGTGGTTTTCCAGTATCTTTGTTACATCCCACCTACCGGGCATATTCCATTTCAATGTCTGGTCGCTGGAGAACGTCATGTTTTTGCGCCATGGTGAAGGATTGAGGGAGCCGATACTGAGATCATTCTCCTAAATTTCAAGTTCTCTTCACCATTTTATACGTAAATCTGGTCAACCGGTCTACGGGGATAGGAGGGTGTTCACCCCGCGAAAACTCCGTATTATAAATCGCTTCTAAATCTAGGCCAACTCAATGGCTGATAGAGCCCACATCCCCTGGTCGGTTTTGCCGGAGGCTATTGTTCCAAGCTGCCCAGTAGGCCAAAGCTGGCTATGGGCAGGAAGGAGTTAAGTTGAACCCGGACATAACATAGGTTCCTTATCTCCGCTAGTCAAGTTATCGCCGACAGCTCGCCTCAACGACGAACAACGTCTGGGCAACGCAGTCGGCTACTGTTCATCCCTCACCGGCTAGGTGTCTCTTTCAAATTGCCGAGGGGCCGACTGTGAACGACATCGATTTCCTTGCGACGGGTTTGGGCGCCGCTTGACAGCATATGCGCGCGTAACCATTTAAATACAGTGCCCTTTGTTTCTGGGACATCCTGCTGCAAAGTACCTTTCACTTACTCACTTGGTTTTGAATGAAATCAGCCCATGTTGCCGCTGAAACTTCTTCTTCTTCTTCTTTGGAACACGTATCTTATACCAAGTGCTGGCTTTGAACGCAGACATTAAGTCCATTCTCCAGCATCCAGTTCTTAATCCCAGGAAACAGTTTCTCATGTAACACATTGTGCACCAGTCACTGCAGTGCATACTTTAACCGTTGGTGCAACAGTTACACTAGTTATACTAATACTCTATAGCTTTGTACAATGCAGCAAAGTGTTACAGCCAGGTTTGGCTCAAAGACCTGCATGCAGAGTAATGTGGCATAGGATGCATACTGCCTGGATATAACAAGAGAGTTAGATCTCAAAGAGGCGGACTGCATGTTTTACTTACAAGATACCAAGAATATTTCACTGAAATGGCGGCATACAGGTAGTTCAAACACTTTACTCCCGACTTGTATCCCCTCTAGTACACCCAATACTGTGTAATATTTGCATCAGTATTGCCAATCAAATTTCCTCAAGAAGTTTCTGTTACGTGCTATCCTCCTACTAGGTTCAAATACCAATATATACCCACCTGTGACTGTCAGAATAAATCTTAGGCTGGCTGCTACATGCTTATACAAGCCAACCGTTTGAAACCCAAGGGAAGCAGAAAAGCGGGAACGCTGCCCTAGCGATTTTCTAAAAGACTTATCTTTTGCGAACGCTCTCTTTTTTTAGACTTATAATCTACATTTCAAATTTGTTCGTTGCCGTCTATATTTTTTTGGGGTATCTTTACAATAACCCCTTCGAAGAAAATACTGCTCATACCACGGCACCAGAAAGAACAGCAGAAGATGGCAGCCAATACTAAGGAAATAAATACCAATGACTCCCCGGCTGGCGGAAAGTATGACGATTATGATATGGAAGATATGATAGCACGAGAAAAAGCTGTGATACGCAAAATTGACTGGAGATTGATTCCTTCACTCTCAGCTTTATACACTGTCGCCATTATTGATCGTGGAAATGTTTGTCTTGATTTCAATACTCGCTATTACGCCTCTTTCTGATATGAGAATCTAGATTTCAAATGCCCGAATCGCTGGGATGGAGGAGGATTTGCAGCTTAATATTGGAAATAGGTTTTCCGTCGCTTTACTTGTTTTCTTCATTCCATACTTACTTTTTGAGGTTGGTTTTTAAGCTTTATCGCCAATATAATGATTCTTTGGAAGAATTTAACCATCCTGCCTTGAAAATTAGCTACCCTCGAATATTATTTTACGACAAGTTGGGGGTGCTAACTGGCTGTGTTTTCTTGCATTTTGCTGGGGAGCATTTATGCTGGGCCAGGGATTCATCACGAACTATCCCTCCTTGGTTGTCTTTCGATTAATCCTCGGACTATTCGAAGCCGGTATGACTTCTCACAGCCCCAACTTACCTTTCGTCTTTATAACGCTTTAAAAGGCTTCTTTCCTGGGTGTGTGTACCTGATTTCATGCTGGTACCAGAGATATGAAGTCCAAAAGCGGTAGTTTGACCCCATTCAATTGCTCCTGGCCTGATGTCAACTTATCAATTCTAGATTGGCTGCTTTCTATCTGTCATCAGTACTTCTCGGCGCTTTTGGTGGCATCCTGGCCTTTGGATTGATGCAAATGGAAGGCATTCGGGGTCATCGGGGATGGAGATGGATTTTCGTGAGCTCTATATCCCTCTTAGCAGGTGGAAGTCCATGGGCATTTTTCTAATGCATTGATAGATCGTTGAGGGTGCATTGACTTTAGTCATTGCCATTATTTCCTGGTTTTATGTCCCAGCATTTCCTCATGATGCTCAAAAGGACGGTTTTCTTAATGAGCAAGAAGCAAAGCTGGTGCGAGATAGAATTGACAGAGACCGACAAGATGCTTCTCCAGATAGCCTTACCATGGAAAAAGTCATACGATGTTTGTGTGATGTGAAAATATGGATGTTGTATGTGGTCATTTTATCCAAAATTGTGGCAAAAAACATTAGTTGATGATGTCAAATAGCTCTTTAATGCTCACATCCACTGCAGTGCCTATGTAAGTGAAACATTACTACCAAGCTTCATCAAATTGCTAACAAATAGTCAGCTTCGGCCTATACTACTTCTCTCCTGTCATCATAAAAGGCATGGGATATTCTGCTAGTGTTGCAAACCTTCTTACAACAGGACCCTACTGTTTTGCTGTTGCGAGCGCCTATTTCTTCTCTTGGCTAGGTGATAAATGGCGTATTCGAGGCCCTTTTATTGTTATTCAAGCCATAATCACCATTGTCGGCCTCATGCTAGTTGCCTATCACCCTCACCATGGTGTCCGTTTCTTCGGTTTGTTTCTTGGAATAGCCGGGTGTCAGGGCAATGTACCAACATTGCTAGCTTACCAGTCTAACAATATCAGAATGCAATCAAAGCGAGCAGTAGCAAGTGCTGTCCAACTCGGATTTGGGGCGGGTGGAGGGATTATTGCATCGACAATATTTCGGCAGGCAGATGCGCCTGCATATGTACCCGGACTATGGACTACAGCTGGTCTTCAGTTCTTGCTCATTGGCGTATTCTGTGTGACAGAATATTATTTGTGGAAGAAAAATAAAGAGGTTGATGAAGGCAAGGCGACTATGCCAATCGAGGGGCTGGAAGGGTTTCGATACACTCTGTGATGGAATCCAGTCAACCAGCTGACTAGCTAGTTACCACCAATAACAATACTTTGATCAAACTACTATATATATCAATACACTTAGTTCATCATGATCCATTTCATTTCATTATTCGTTTATGTAAGAAAGGAACCGAACACATCTTCTATCCTCTCATATGCACAAGGTTATATGACCAGCTGTTCTGGTTTCATATACCATACGGGTAAAGACGGCATCCAATCAAAGGGTCATAGGCTGTTTACAAAGAAGAGATTTCCAATGTCAGGTTAAGAAGAGGGGGGAAAAAATAACGCACGAAAAATGTTAGCAGGATTCATAAGCGCTTTAAGGGTTGCAATAGGACCACAATACAAACCCCCCAAGTGTCTGTATTTGTCACTGCATGGTAGTGCAAAGAATGGAATCTAACAAAGGAAATAAAAACAAAGGAAATTCGTAAAGTAGTCAGAAGGATCAAACCCATCTGTCATCACTAACTCTCTCACCAAGTATCTCGTGGTCTCCAGTTCCACATATATCAACTTGGAGATCTAGCTTTGGAGGCGCATCGCCCACAATACCGAGTTTCTTTGGACTTCCACATCCTTTGGTCGGGCTACGAGGAGTCGAGGGTGGTGCGTCTCGAGGCGGCCCTTCACGAACAAAGAGATAGTCCCAACTGTCGTCCGCAGCGGCCGAAACCCAAACTTTTAGACCCTCATGAACCGCAGGGTATAGTTTCTCTTTACAGGTTCGAAGACTTCGACCCATAACCTTTTCTAAGCCAGATGCGCGCAGATAAGTGCGCAATTCATTTCTCTCTTCAATTGTTGGTAATGATGCAAGAAGGCCATTTATTAAGTCTAAGTGTGTGGCGAGATAATTGGTAGCTTCCCATTCCACTCCCCCAATGTATGGGGCAGCGGGAACGGGAGTATGTGGTGGAGGAAAGTAACGCTTGATAAAAGGGAGAGAGGCATCCTCTGCCTGTGTGACAGGTACCACGTTGAAATGGTGGAGGAATATCCAAAAGACTTCTTTTGTAACATTGCTTATTTCTTTGCACCATAGCTGATAGGGGCGTGGTTGATGCATTTCGGCAATGAATGGCAGAGGTCGAGATTCCTGGGGCGGTTTTGGATCTTGCATGTATGATAGAATGATCCGCGCACGAGCAGCCACTTCGTCAAATGTAGCTGCAGATAAATGGGAGAATAAGAGGCTGAGTATAATATTCCGGGTTGAGAATTCACTTGGTCCTTTTTTCTCTTCGCCAAAAAGTACCCCTAATAGGGTTGGAAACAGCTCGTCACCAATTCTGCAGAGTTGTTGGAGGGCAGGAGAGGTAGTACACAAGGCCTTGATACAAAGCAGAACTTCGTGAAGTAATGCATCTTCGTGCTCCTCTCTGGGAGGAATGTCAATTTTACCAAAATGACACGGAAGTCCGGGACTTTACATACCTCCATTCAACTTTTAATATCCTATACAGAAGATCAACAAGCTGGTCCATTCCACCATGGGAAATGAATGACTCGACCCATGAGACCGTTTCATTTCGTAAAAGAATACGAAGCTTGTGCAATTTGCTCACTTCTACAATCTCGGGTTTTTGTACTTCCTTTAGGTAATGAACAAAATCGGTTGGGTGAGCTATAAGATCTGGAGATGGTAGTCCGGTGCTCAGTCCCGTTAAGGGTACACCACGTGAAGATCCTGGAACATACATATCCACAGACTTTGGCCGTTTATGAGAACCGGAGGAATCGGGTTTCTGTCTTCTGAACGAGGACAAGTCGACTTTAGCCGCCACAAAGCTGCCGCTAAGTGGTCGCACTTTATTTGCCTTATTATCAGAACGACCATAGGAGCTGTCTTTACTTTTAGTTCGTTTATGGGAGGTGTGTCCAGGCAGGCGTTGGTTTGAAATAGAGGCAGCTGAAGATTCGCCCTCGATCTGATTCTTATTGATAAAATCCGCCTTGATATTCGTATTCAGTGTCCTCATCCTGTCACGCATATTATGTGGTATGTTTCGGGCGTCCTTTGCCAAAGGTTAGTGATAAAATGACATGCAAATGGTAAAACGACGCACCAAAAGACGTTCAAATTCGCTCTCAATTTCCTTCGGATCAACGGGCTTGGGCTTATCGAAGTTCTTATCCTTTGCATTAAATGCGGCTATTGCAGCCATCACGCGAGAGCCTCGATTTCCATTTGACGACTTTCGTTTCTCTGACGGGGGCTTTTCAGCCAGAGGGTGTGTTCGTGATGAATTCGACTGAATACTTCCAGCGGATGGACTACGTTTATGCATCGAGTGCAGAAGATCCTTAACAGATGATGTGCTAGAGGAGCCATATTCTGACTTTGGCCTCCATTTTGGTTCAGGACGTTTGGTGAGAGATGGTTGCTGGAAATCATGGAAGTTCCTCTGGTTCGCTGGAGAATAGCCTTTAGGGGTGTACAATGACATTTCTTCCTCGAGGGTCCTTCCGTAAAGACTGGACACTTGACTTTGAATGGAATGGGCCCTTGATCTAGGAATCGGCGGAGGAGGCATATCGTTTCTGATAATACCGGCATTTTCCTTATTGTCTTTGGCGGGCGACGCGTCTTTCTTACCCCGCTGAGATTTCTTGAAGATTCCAGAAAGGCTAGTAGATGATTTGGTCTTCTTCGGCTTGTTACGCTTAGATTCAAGTTCATTGCTAGAAAGCTTCGATCCACAGGCTTTCTTGTCGTTGTCCTTCAGAAGTGACTTTAAAGACACCGAACTTTTTGTTTTCTTATGAAGGCTCTTTTTGTCAGGTGAGTCCACGCACTTTACTTTGAAGAATTCATTTGCTAGTCCTTGATTAAGTGCCTTCTCAGACAACTCCTTTAGTGGCTGAGAAGGCAGAGGCTGAGAGTTGTTTGGTGGCAGTATCCAAGCCTGAAGCGGGTTCCGATTTTCAGTGTCATACGCGGCAGAAGAAAGGTTCGCGGATTGAGACTTTCTACGCGAATGAGGGAGTATCGACTTTAGAACAGACCTCTTCGACTTATGAGGGCTCTCGTCACGGAACTGGGCTGCAAAGCTGGATGCCATTGTTGACTACCTTATTGGGACAACAGTGTCAGTTTCTAGAAGATTTAACAGTAGGTTCATACTATACATACCTATCAGTAACGCTCATTGTTCGGTGACTGAGGGCATGACAAGATGTAAATAGACAAGAATTGGCTGGCAACGGCTTCCTCGTGCTGTCGCGTTTCGTTTTAGTTTGACTAGGGCCGGCGGCGCCTTGAGTGCGTGGTGGCGGTTGCCTAGGCAACGACACCCCACGGAAACGGGCGGGGAATTGATCACCCGCCAATCCGGAATTTTGTAGGACCGCACCTGATTATATAATGCTAAATAGCGTCACCAGCGTTGTTGGCTCGGCGCAATGCCAAGAGGAGCCAAGTGTGGTTAAGGTTATCAATCTTCGGGGTAATCGGCCCGGCTGACAAGGCCGGCGCTGCAATTGGCTGCTTTGTGTCTCACCGCAAAACTGACTAAGCCTCCAAGCCACACCCGATAACATGAATGCCACAAGGGGCTGCCTCAGGTTTCGTCGACGATACGACGTGGCCTTCGTGTGAGACCTGTTGCGACAGATCAAGGAACCGGTTTTAATTCAAATTTACCAAAGGGAACCTACAGCCGCTTCTTCTCGTCGTTCGAAGCGCACGAATTTTACTCAGACTCGATAACCTTGCCATCATGAACTGCCCTTCTCGCACTGACAATTCGCTTGATAATCCAGGCTGGAACCAAAATCCCCCGCTCCTAACTGCAGACCTTACGACTCGTCAAGACCTTAATGGAATAGCCAATTCAAGGGAGCGTAGGGGCAAGCAATTTGGTCCGAACGGGTCAGAGTTGAACCCTGTGGAGGATGAATTATCTGGAAATTTGGTACAGAACGCTGGGGGATTGAAGTATGTGAGTGGAGGGGTAGCCAGGCCTACAGTCGGAGAACGACATGTAGGCTTGGGGGAGGAGGATTTGAACAACGGAAGTGTTTTGAGCCCTTTGCTACAAAACCAGCAGCGCAACTCCTGTGACCTTGGTGCCAGGCATCCGTGGAATCGCAAGCCGCGCGACTTTGTCTCTCGCGTGGTTTTCGTTCTGCGGAAATTTGGCCATTTTATCGGCCCTGGATTTCTAATTGCCGTCTCATATATTGATCCGGGCAACTACGCAACCGACGTTGCCGCTGGAGCGGACACAAAATATGCCCTTTTGTTCACTATCCTCATGTCCAATGTCTTTGCGGTTTTTCTTCAGTCTTTATGCATTAAGCTTGGAAGTGTCACCGGGCTTAATTTGGCTGAAATGTGCAAGGCCCATTTTCCCAAGTGGCTTACCATTACGTTGTATATTTTTTCGGAGTCCGCTATCATTGCCACTGATATTGCCGAGGTCAGTTCCGATAATGTTTAGTGTCACAAATTTCTCGCCTTTTCTGACATCGCACATAGGTCGTTGGCTCGGCAATTTCGCTGAACTTACTTTTCAACATACCTCTGGTTGCAGGTTGTGCCGTCACTCTTGTCGATGTGATGATAATTTTGGTTTTCTATAAACCTCACGGAACTATGAAAGCGCTGCGAGCATTTGAATTTTTTGTCATGGCATTGGTTCTCGGTGTCGTAGTCTGCTTCTGCATCGAGTTGTCTATGATCAAAGAGACAAGTGTGGGAGAAATCTTGAAGGGCTATTTACCTTCGCCTGCTGTTGTTAAAGATAACGGGTATGTCGAAGACTATTACCCTGATCACATGGCATTACTGATACATTGCCTTCTAGATTGTACCTCAGCTGCGGTATTTTAGGTGCGACTGTTATGCCCCACTCCATTTTCTTGGGAAGTGGTGTTGTACAGTCACGCCTCAAGCACTTTGATATCAACAGTGGTTACATAGACCCTTCAGTTAAGTACGGCACTACTGAAGGCGAGATCAAATACCGGCCATCTGTCAGCGCTATTCGTGGCTGCCTCAAATATTCTATTATCGAATTGGCACTTGCGCTTTTCACTTTTGCTTTGTTTGTGAACAGCGCTATTCTTATTGTTGCAGGAGCTTCTTTATCTGGGTCAAACGCCAGTGAAGCGGATTTATTCGGGATTTATAATCTGCTGTCCACCACCATCTCTCCGGCGGCTGGAACTGTCTTTGCAATCGCCCTGCTTCTGTCTGGAATATCTGCCGGCATTGTCTGCACTATCGCTGGCCAGATGGTCAGCGAAGGGATGCTTAATTGGACTGTGGCTCCCTGGCTTCGGAGACTCATCACTCGATCCATTAGCATTATTCCCAGTGTCATCATAGCCGCTGTGGTCGGCAAAGAAGGGTTAAATGCTACATTGACTGCATCTCAGGTCGTACTCAGCGTCATACTTCCCTTTGTCACTGCACCGCTCATTTATTTCACGTCCCGCGCACAGTTTATGACTGTGTATACTGGAACTGATTCAGATGGAGAGAACACCGACAACCAAGGAATCTCCATGGAGAACCATTGGTTGGTCACAGTTTCTGGGGTTTTGATATGGATTATTATCACCATTTTGAACATTGCCTTACTTGTCCTTGTGGCCATGGGCAAAGCCTAATAGAGTTGCTTTCTACAAGGAGGAGGTGGCGACTGCAAGAGCTGCATCTACGCTATGGCACTCAAACATTATCGCAAGCGGGAGGCTGCATGTATCAGAGCCATTTTCTTGTATCTATCAGTACCCATTGCGCTGGGGACTGCGCTTATAGAAATGCTGGCTGGGTATATTCTGATATTTCGAAGTATACTACTATCAATTTAAACGCTGGAGGGAATGTACGTATTTCAAGGTTGCATGTACCATCGTAGTACGTTAGAGATCGCAGACGCCGGCAGAAGCATTAAACTGGATAAGACTATGCTATGAATGCTATGAGTTATTAGCCAACTCCGCCCGCCGCCTCTTTCACCTTGTTTTGTTCGGGTGGCTCGTCAATGAATTGGGGAGGAGCGACCTCGTCTTGCATGAATGATGGCATTGCATTCTCTCCCAATGCGGATTCGAACATTGCTTCCTCGCCTAGGGCTTCTAGTTCAGCATCTAGCTCTGCTTCATCCACATCTTCTGGCACGTCGTATGCCCGGCTAATGCTCTCTTGGATCTCGTTACCGATATCCATTAAGTCTTGCATCTCATCCTGCATCCGCTCAATCTGATCGATATCTACCTTTCCGTATTGCTGCTTTAATGTCTTTGTTGTTGTCTTCATCGCATCCACTGTTGTCATCACGTTTCGTAAATTGTCTTGCATCATTCCAGCCTGCTCCATATTCCACGATTGTTGGGATAACTGGTCCCGTTGAGCTTCGTATTGCTTTCGACGTTGTAGAACCTTTAGCGCTTTTTGGCGTAGTGCAGATTTGCCAGGACCGTCACGCATTTTTGAAAGTTTAGTCTGGTATGTTGATAGTTCAGAGCTGAGCGCCGCAAGTTTGACGTCTATATTAGAAATACGGGAGTCCACCTGCGCTCGTCATCAGCTTTGTTTGGTTATGGTGGGGTTGTCTTTGGAGGGGCAGCAGTCAAGACTCGCATTTTGAATAGCACCATCAAGAGTTGGCTTCGGAGCACTGCTCTTCGTCCCAAATAGACGATTCATGATGCGGCAGGAGGGCTATTATCTTTGGAAGCGCATAAAAAGCCCGGGCCTTGTCTTGGAGGTTGTATCTAGTTACTTGATAAAAAGAGGCCTTGGTAAGGCAGCAATACCCGGAAAACGTGATGCGTGAAACTGTCACAAAGCGGCAGGATTCAACTCCCAACTGCTTCAATCTAAAGAAATATCCCAGAGAGTCCCATAAGGCCGCGCTGGTCTTCCGGCTCGTGATGGTTGTGTGGCCGGCTTTCCGCGAACGATTATGTCATGGCATGCCGTCACATGACTCACCAGCCAATTGGAGGATCCAGGCGGCGTCGAGGCTTCGGTGATCATGAACTCGTGGATGATTTATGATTTACTTATATTTGAATCAAAACGTGTTAGACCTTTATACTCTCCTTGAGCATCTGTTTCAATCGGCCTTGTGCTTTATGCTTGAGGTGAAGTCCATGTTTCTGGTGGGTTAGGATTTCACTGCGGGCATCAACGGCAAACAACCACAACCCGGATTATCGGTGCAAAATACTCTCCTCATTTTGTAACTGATGATACACCCTCCCGCACAGCCGTCTCTAGTATATTATTGATATTTACTTTTTTGCTCCTTTCTTTGTAATCTCTTGTCAAAAGTGGGTTTGTTATTTATCCTCTCTTTAGCTCCTCGCAGTGCTATTCGCTCATTTTCCTCAGGAGTTGGTGAAACGATTACCTTTCTTCCCTTGGATGTATGCTAATACGCGCATATTTATGCAGACAGTACCGGTCCGCTCTATTTTCTCGGTTCTCGTTTATGACAAGCAGCACGTTAATGACCATCTCCATTATTTTCCCACTCTCGTGTGTCTCAGTCTAGCGGCGAAACGCACATCAACTATAAAAATTCGCACTCGCCGCAGACATCACTCAACCGATTTGTGGATCTCGCTATCGTTCTGTTTCAATCGAAGTGTTGAATTGAACGATATGCCCATGGTTCCTTACCATCTCTCGTAACCCACGACACACCTAACTCGGCATCATGTTCTGGCGTTATGGGGCGTATGCAAACATCTCTCCGATTAACACGCTACTTGATAGACCGGATGTCACTGTTGAGGATGTTCTGGATGAGTCGGAACTCTTGCATGAGCTAAAACAGCACAATTCGAAGCTGATCGAGTTTATACGCGAGGATCATGTCTTAAAACGCATGTTGGAATACATCGTATCGCCCAGCCTTCTAAGCGACGACGACGACGACGACGATGATGGTGATCATGAAGAGAACGAGGATGACAGCGCTAACAGAAGAAAATCCCTCAGTTGCAGCTCTGGTCTAATTACCTCGGGAGACGGCCATCAGATACAGAAAGAGACGATAGCTCGCGACCGATCGGATAGCTTGGGTGCTGATATTGACCTAGAGGAACTTCAAAATGCCGAGAAGGCGCGGCTGAAATATGCATATATATCTTCTGAAGTTTTGTCTGCCCCATCATGGTCCATCGTCGAGGCTATGATGTTAAATGAGGAGTCTCTTCTAGACTTCTGGCACTTTTTATGGGGAAAAACACCGCTTGACTCTCTACAATCGAGCTACTTCTATAAAGTTAATGAAGTGCTACTGGATCAGAAGACTCCAGATATGCTTGCCTTTATCATGTCTTTAGATGACGTTGTTGAGACAATGCTAAAACATGTGGATAACCCGTCGGTTATGGATCTTCTGCTGAAAATTATAACTTTAGACAGCCCTGGAAATGGACTAGGAATTACAGAGGTGAGTTTGTCGTTTTCAATCATCAAATAAGTGCTTTTTCGATTTACTAAATTCGAACTAAATGTAATAGTGGCTGTGTTCGCAAAATTTCATTCCGGTTATATTATCCTACATTACAACAGAGCATTCTGCATCGACACAGACTGCCGCTGGTGACTTTATCAAGGCTCTCATCACAATATCAGCGAACGCCGCTCAGAATGAACAGCCATGCATTGGGCCAAATAGTCTTACTCGCCAATTGGTATCCGAACCTTGCCTTCTAAAACTAATTTCAATTATGTTACAGGGAGGAAATCCACTCACTGTTGCGGTTGGAATTGTCATTGATATCATCCGTAAAAACAATCCCGACTACGACTCAGAACCACTGGAAGGCAGGGATGCTACCCCATCAATTCGCGACCCTATCTATTTGGGTACTCTTCTTCGCGTATTCGCCAATCACGTTCCCGATTTCGTTGAGTTAATACTCAGTTCGAATAGAACTGTCAACGAAGGCGGTGTTTTCAAAATCACTGAAAGACGTCATCTAAGTACGGCATGGGGGTCGCAAGTTGAGCCTCTTGGGTTTGACAGATTCAAAACATGCGAGCTGATGGCAGAATTATTGCACTGTAGCAATATGGGACTACACAATGAACCCGGGAGCGATGAATACATGCAGCTACGAGATGCTGAGCGTCAACGTTCAAGAACGCAGGGCGTACTAGGTCGACAAGTTGAAGACTCTGGATTCGTTTATGCTGATAATTCCCATGAATTTGGAAACGGCGTGTCCCCATCAGCCTTGGGATCTGGCTCTCCGGATGAAATAAAAAGAATCGACAGCTCTACCACTGGGGAGGATGACGGTTTTGAGGACGTCGGTTCCCCAAGCGTGCTTTTAGAAGCCAAACTTAGCTCGGGAAGCACACAAACCCAAGAAACTAAACCTGACATTGAAAATTCTAGCCATTTACCAAAGTTAGGAATGCGAGACGACTTGGTAGAGGAGCCTCTTACTCCTCCACTCCCACAGACGCTGCCGAATGAAAAATTGACTGGAAATTCAGATAGCCGATTATATATTACACAAGATGACCCCATATCCCCCACTTCCTCTGGGCTTACTGATAAAGTGAGGCGGTTTTACATTGACTCTAATGTTCAGTTTTCCCCCACAGTAAACGAGACATATGTGGCGGCGCCGAAAGATATTACTGCGGTCGCTACCGATGGCGTGCCCCAGCCGTCTAAATCTAATAATTCAATCGCCTTATCCTCCACTAGTAGTCCACACCTCCCAGAACTCCAAACACAGGATGAAAGCAGGGAAACCCAAACCACCAAGGCCTCCATCAATGAGCAAGTGCTTACTCCTGATGAGATGGGGAAGTTTTCCCATTATATTCAGAAGGATCCTGATGGTCGCCCGGTCGTTGGAGATTACTTAAAAATGATGTTTTATACACACAAAGTTCTGCCCACTATTCTGGTAAGCCGATATCTCCTTGCTTTTCCCCCTTTACTAATTTCTGATTCTAAAACAACTAGTCATTCTTTTTCCGGTTTCCCTGGAATAATTTCCTTCACAATGTTGTATATGATGTTATTCAACAAGCCCTTAATGGTTCAATGGACCAGGGCTTTAATCGCATTTTGGTGGTGAATTTATTTGAATCTGCAACTATCCCAGCGCAAATTGTAAAAGGCCAGCGCGAAAGTGACGAGGCGCAAAGCAAAAATGGAACCCGGTTAGGATATATGGGACACTTGACTCTTATTTCAGAAGAAGTGGTCAAGTTTACTGAACGCCTTGGGACGGATGCTTTACCACCCGAAGTAATGCAAACGGTATTACATCCCGATTGGGTCAACTTCGTTGAGAATACATTGGCCGAGACCAGAGAGCGTGATAATGCTATACTTGGTGGTGTCAAACCTGATATGTCTATGGGACACCGACAGGCTGTTCTCAATGCTATCAGTGGTGGAAATCAAGGATTCGGGACGTCTGCAGCACTCTCGAATGCTGGCCTTAATGGTGAAATTCCCAGCTCTGGTTTTGAGGGCCTTGGGTTTTCAAATCAAGGAACAGTTTCTGGTGGCGTTTTGGGATACGGAACTGGCACGGCATCATTATTTAGCGGGTTCGGGAGCTCGAGTGACGATGAAGATGAGGAGATGGAAGACTCCGAAGATATACAAAAATCATCTCCTGCTGATGAAGATGGCTTCAACTCTGAAAATGTGGGTCAAATTTCTCTTGAAGATGTTGATATGACGGACTCGTGATGGGAATGTACCCGGAGCTCCGACTATGTTTCATAAGCGTCTTACAACAAGCTAGGAAAGGCGCAGCGGTACCTTCTGGCCTTTCTTTTTTTATGAACCATTGTCCCAATTCGTCCTCTTTGTCTGACGTGCATATAATGATGAGTATGCAAAGGGTATCGAAATACCTAGCTTGACTGGTCCATTTTTTGATCGTTAATACCTAGGCAAATGCCGCCCTATCATGTACTTTGCGGATCATGAAAATCCTTGCTCTGATTTCTGCAAATAACATTGTGAAGCCTTTTTGTTTTGTCTCTCAAATCAGTGAGAAAAACGCCAAGCTCTTTCAGGGAACCAGATGTGTACCTCTCTTGTCTCGGGTTCCTTCTCTTGGTTTCTTTCTTTGTCCACGCTTTTGTTGGTTCGCTAGCTAACATCTTTTATACTGAACAGGCTACTAAAAATTCAAAAAGTCAACCTATCGCAATTCTTCCTCCGCCTCCCACGTCACTAAGCAGTGGCCCTTCACGTGCTCGCCGTCAGCTTGCTGCCCGCCTTGCCGCTCAAAAACTAGCTGCGGAGAAAGCTGCCGTAGCCTCTGCCACTCTAAATAATGATACAATGACGCAAGAGGCTTCCTCTTTGTTTGCTGAAAGAGATGCCTCGGCGAGGTCACCTGTCAACCCTTTTCTCAGTATAGATGAGGAGACAGACCTGGACCCTAATACTGAACTTGAATTTGTATCCCCATTCGCGGTCCCTGGAGACGGGGCGCCATCCTCCAAACCTTCTTTTCTGTCTGGATTCAAGCAGTCGACAGGCACTTTCTCCTCAAGCTCGTCCGAGGGAGATGAAACTATTGAAGCTGTACAACGAAACTACCGTTTACCACTGGAGGTATACGATGATGATGATCTGAGCCATATACCTCCACCAGCGGCCGGCTTTTGCTCTTACTCAGACGACGAGGATGAAGAGACGTTAATTAGGGAAACCATAGGTTACTCGGAATTCTTCGGCCCGGAATGCTATGCGAATAATAATGCCATGTCGTCCACCAACAGCGGGCCTACCGGCAATAGCGATGATGAGGATGAAGGCCTTGTAGAAATCCTTGTCCCTGGAAGAAGGGCGACGTCTACCTAAATATGACTTTGCGTTATCCCTTGCTTCTGCAACAATTTAATATGTTCCGGAAACATTTATTTACGCTTTAGTGTCTCTTTTATTTTCTTTTATTTTCCGCTGTTTTGATTTTTCTCTTGTGCTGCTGTCTGCCTGGCATTACGCTTACCCTTCTCCTTTACTTCCGTCTATATGCCGGGGTTGGGGACGGAAGGATAGATTCACTTTTTGATACCATCGGAGTGGCTTAGACACAGATGAAGAACGCAACCTACGACAGCTTTTAATGATTTCCCCTGTGAGGTGTTTTGTTTTATCGGTTGCTCTTATTTTCCCCTTATGATCCATGACCTTTCTTGGTCCTTGCTTCTTTGCGGCATTGGGAGTTCCAACTCTTTTACCTGTCTGAGAGCCTGACCCTTTCTTGTATGTATGTACATTATGCACTTTAAACGCGCCTACATAGGACTTTTCACTGCTGTCTTCTTTTTGAGCCTTAATCAGCTACATCTACATGCCAGGCTTAAACAAATTGAGAGATTAGTGAGTCAATTATGGTCCCCATGGTATAAGTCTGAACGTGTGTACGTACATACATGCGAGTCTACAGAATTATTTTGGTGACGTGCTCATGCTGCGATTGAGTATGTTCAATGATTATTCATATGTGGCGACAGTTGAGGGCATTCGCAAAAGCCCATGCTTGCAATTTCTATATATGGTGCGTGAGGCTTACGAAGCCGTTGTAAGGTTCCGTAAGATGCAACGCTAGAACTGCCAGCAAACCCACTAGTTAACTAGGCGAAGTCGGAAATTTGCGGGAATAATTTAAGCCGTCTCGTTGGCCAAGGCCCCCAGCATCTAACTAACTACTTCGTTCAAAGTAACCAACTATCTAGCTACATATAGAGTGGAGCTTCTCTGCGATCAGGCTGGGCTTGGGTCACAGTTCTCAGGAGATCTCCAATTCAGAGCGGGAAATAAAAACGTGACATGGAATTACAAAGGATGTGTACTACTGTAACTAGTTAAAGATAGGTTTAAACCTGGAAAAAGAATAAAGCGCAGCTCTCACCACAACCAGGCAAAAGTCCACCCATAAGCAGTGCCAAAAACTTAACTACTTGGTAAACAGGCCCGTAACTAGCAAATACTCGAGGATGCTCATCCTTTTGGTCAACTTACACGAGTGATAGACTGTACGTGTGCCGGTGTATGTACATACGCCTATCTACTGTGTGAAATAGATAAAAACAGTAGACTATGTGCTGATATTATAAACTCTTGAATCATACTCTGTATATACAATCATTGATTAGAGATTTGCTGACCTTGGATAATCAGATGAGTATAAAATAGTGAAGAATAGACTAGATTTTCCTGTTTAAATAACAGATAATGATTGAAGAGTAGGTAGGTTTTTCGCTATCTTCAAGATGTTTTGATACCCTCTTCTAGAGAAGCATGTTCTTTAATCCAATCAACATAGGCACTAACACTGGCAAACACTGTAGGCCACCCTGTCTCACTGCACCTTTGTGCTTGTGAAACAATTCCAATGACTTGTCCTGTAATGCTATCAAAAAGAGGGCCTCCACTATCCCCATTGCACCCAGCTGCTTTTTTTGTGCCAGCACACATCTGGCTAAATATGATTTTTCTGTCTATTTCACTCCAATAATCATTGCATTTTTTGCGAGAAACGACAGGAATGTCTGCCTTTAGCAAATGGGGAGATCCCGATCCTTCAAACTTTGTATCGCCCCTTTGAATTGTTAGTTTTAAATCCGAAGGTAGTTATATGTATCAGTACAATACGAGAGAGCACATACCATCCTGCTACCACTGCTGTTGAGCCAGGGATAGGATCAGCACCTTTTGCTGGTAGTTTAGCATAGCGAATGGTTGATGTCTCTTTAATAGATGAGTTCAGGTAGAGGAGAGCTACATCATGGTGCGTAGTTCGGTGCACATAGTCAGCATGTACATATATCTTCGATACCCCAACTGTGATGCCACCCGAGCTTGTAACCTATCGGGGGATTGTTAATCCCAGATCCAGCGTTAGAAAATGCCACTTACAAGAGATCCGGCCTGAACAGTGGTGCCGTTAGCCCACCAAGGAAGATGGTCTGGCTCAGGTGTTCCGTCCGACGCTGATACACAATGGGCAGCAGTGATAACAACTTTCTCATTGAGCAACACACCGCCACATGAGGGTTCTCCATTCCATTTCATACTAACAATTTCAGGGAACTCGCCTAGTTCTGCGGGAGATCCGCCGGTAACTCTAGGAGACAATGACAGCGCCATTGAAGGTGCTGACAGCACAACGAGGATGAGAAGATTCAGCATCATGTTAGTAAATGAAGAGGAAAGCCAAATGAGTAATGTACTTTCTAGGAATACTAGAATAGTTTTAGATAGCCAGCTGCCTTTATATTTCGACATTTATGTTGCATTTTTATTATCACATGATATCGGAGTGCGTGTTTTTGGGGCTGTCTTCACGGTCGCTTTCCACTACTATATGGAAACTTAGCATATTCTTGATGGCTCTTTGAAAGGATGAAGAGCACAGGGTGCTTTGGAAAGTAAAACTTAATTTAATAGTAGTAAGACGACGCAGTTCCAATACTAGTGGAGAAGCCCGAGAAATTTTGCAGCTGGCTCAAACGTTTTCAGTAAACCTCGGCTAAAGGGAGTATATAGAACCCAGTGAAGGCCGATGGGCGTGTTATATCGACTGTCCCCATAGAAGAGGACGCTGGTATCTAGATTGAAATACCGTATCATAATGGAAATAAACTGAGAGATATGCGTCTATCTCAAAGTGCTGGTTCGGCGCCATTATCATTACCCTTAATTGGATACAAGGGTAACTAGTTAGGGACCTTGGGCTTCCATTGGAAGTAACTCAAGCTTTTCATCGTCTGCGTGAGCCATCAGGGCAAGGGTATACAGTGCCTCGTCAAAAGTGTTGGCACCCACCACCAAAAAGTATGTTCGCCAAGGTAGTTAGATGATTTTCGAATTTTTTTATCTCAACGACCAGATGTCAGATTACATTAAAAGTAATAGAAAATGTAGAGAATTACAAGTAGATATACATATTAAAAGGATATAAAGAAATAACAAGATCTAGTACTTGGTTAATTCACACAGTAGTTATGACTGTGTTCTTCTAGAAAACAGAACAGTGAGATTCAGACAGAAGTTTTGGATGATCAGAGCACTCTTCATGCTTAACATACTTAAAAGTATATAAAAGTTAACTTCATAATTAAATTCTCATTCACACACTTGTCACTTGATCTTCTTCAGAATAGAAACAGAAATATGAGTGATTTTGAAAATCTCAGTAAGAGTATAGTCAACAGAGAGAAGAGTAAGAGCTTCAATCTTTACTCAAAAAGAATGAAATTCATTGACAGACATGATTAATTTTAAGTAGTAACTAAATAAAGTTTCTACTAGCTATATAAAAGCTCATTCAAAACTCCTACTTCACATATGAATAATATGAAGTACAGAGTAGAGATCAAGCACTTCATACAAAATCATTTTTAAAGCTTGAATGAAATCCAAAAGAGGGATTACACTAGTGTACAGTAATCATGTTGTATACAATTGGAAACATTACAGCCACTAAACCCCTGAGGACCAAAACTTTTGGCAGCGACCTCCATACTGGCTGACAGTTGCTTCAATACTCCCTGCTTCCTACAGAGAAGTAGTCATAGCAACAACTTGCTGCAATAACTTTCCTTTGGAGTCAAGAACAGGGAATGAGAAGCTGCATGGCGATTTTTGTCGGTTGTTGCATTTCGCTGCATGCGTCTGGTAGTCAGGGCATGTTTTCTCCCATTGTTTTGGGTTTTCACACATCATGACATTTCCAGACCTGCAGTTAACAGTTGGCAGATCCTCACAAATGCCATTCACAGTGGTTGTGAAGGTTCTGGTTACGAGCCGGCACTCTGTACGTGGTGGGCACGTGATACTATGTTCTTGGGCTCTAGTTTCGGTAACGAGTTCGGTGGTGGAAGAACTATACCCCCCCGATATCTCCATTGTTCCATCTCCTGCCGACACGGAGATTTTCCCACCAACATTCCATCCGCTTGTTGAAGACTTGGCCTTGGCAGTCGTGGAAGTGATTTTCAATCCAATGGAGGCTGCGCCCTCGGCGCGCACGGAATCTTCAATATTGTTGTTGATGGAAACGCCCACGCTTTCAATTGATACCAAGGATTGCCGAAGCCAAAGAAGGTGGCCATGGCAGTAAAAAATTTCCCGAGGGCAGGTGGTTTCTCGACCGCCTCTTGCCTTATCATCCTTAAAGGGAGCAGGTTTCCCAATAGAGGCCGTTTTTGTCCTATCCGTGATTACCTGGACGAGAGTTCGGTCGTCCACTTCTATCCCGTCCTTAAAAACCTCGCGTTTGCCCACTTTTGCCAACAAGGCAGCAAGCTCTGGGGACTGAGAGATGATGGTGACCTTTTCATTCGGGGCACGAGCTGCGATTTCGGATTCGCCAATTATGGGGGCGACCGTAGGGAGTGCAGAGCTATAGGCTTGCCCAAGGATGGTAGCAAGAGCCAACAAAGGAGTAGTGATCATTGTTGCGGTTTAAGAAGACGGTTGTTTATTCTGATTGCAAAGAACTTCTGAGGAATAGCCAGAGGAATGATGCTGTGAGAATGTGATCTGGGTGATGATGAAAGGGAAAGGTAGAGGTCGAAGGGACACCCCTTATATATGTTTTTCAAATGCATCTAACGGTGAAAGCCTGCGAGAAAAACGTGATGGCTTCTTGAGGAAGCACGGTAAGCATGGCCATACAAGGACTGAAACCATGATCATGGCAATACAGAGCCTCCAGCTAATCAAATCGCTCAAATACCCAGTGGAGGCACTCTTGTAATCGCTGATATAGCTATTACTAAAGAGTGTGAACGGTTTTTTTGCATATTTGAAAGATTCAGCATGTACTCCACAGCTCATAGCATCAACAGATGACCTGGGGGCTCACACCATGGAGACTTAATTGTTATGTAAAACAATCTGCCAAGAGTTTCACCGACCTATGGATATTGAGATCCACTAAGGAAGTGCCTGTCACCTAATTGTTGCCACGGATTGGTGATTGGTGAAGGTTTCTATCAGTCCCCAGGACCTTCTATTGCTCTTAGTGTATCGCTAGGCTGGGCTGTTGCCTCATGGCTAGGAACTGTCATCTAATAATGACTAAAAACTTCAGTTATGTTGAAAAACCCACATGATTCTAAATCTCTTTGGAAATCCAGACTGCGCAAATGTAGAAATTCTGCAGTATTACGTATATATCACTGACCGGGACCCGCTTAGCGAGCTTGAAGGGTTCCCCTAGGTGTGTGGAACAAGTATGGAGTATGCCTGACAAGTTTAATCGACAGATCCGGCCATAGCAAGCTGCAGGACATGCATTTCCGTTGTTGACCAGGCACAGACTTGATGAGCCACAGGTTCATAGACATCAAGAGATATCTTCAAACAGATCATTACAGCACAGAAAACCATATAATTCATGAGCTCTGTCATGAATGACTTTGATTCAGCATGAAATGACGATGACTTGCAGTATATTAAGTACATCTTAGCCAGAAAAGTCATTCAATCAACACTCAGCAGTAAATGATTGAATGCATATGCTTTAGAGTAGCAGAGTGATGTGAAGGCGGAAAGTAGTTTGAGGAATGACAGAAGTTCAGTGCACAGAACAAAAAGTGCAGTCATACCGGAATCCTGGATTTGCTCATCGGAATGCCAATTTTCCGAGCTGTTACGTAAGTTGACACCGACCATCACATTGTCGATTCAATGTTGGCTACATTAACTACTGCATATTTTGACTACTATGTAGTAAGAGCTTACTATGTTGAATCTATATGGTAATAACAAAATTTAATAAGGAAATGATCAGTCATTCAGTCATTGGGTGAGAGATTACGTTACTTACATATACTTAGATCAGGTGGCCAAAGCGTTGTCTAACCGGTAGTTAGCTACTTGTTAGTTACACATCTCTCGGAGCGTTGCGCTTCCGGTGCCAGCCCCATAAGGCGCGGAGCGCTGCAACTGATCTGGACTGCAGAACAGCTAAGAAGCATTATTAGTATTTAGCCGAGTAGCTGCACGGAACGGTCCACAATGGCAAGGTCACTGCCACCCCATCTCCTGTTGATGCTACTTGTCAGTGGTGTGACTTGGAGGTTGGTTATTGAGACAAGCATTGATAGTCAACAGAACTCATAGAGCTAGTCAGTTGTTATTTGGATATAGGGTACGTACTCCGTACATTGCCTCTGTAACCAGTAACTAGTGTGGGGAGTGCCGCTTTAGCGGGTGAAGGAAAACCAAAGCGTGAAAGTTTACTTGTCTCTCACCCTGTAGATCTGGTATATAAACTCCTCTCTGATGTGAAGGGCGTTCTAAGAGCAGCAAGAGGCTCAATGTTGAAAAGCGCAACAGATACAGACTATGATGCTGGATCTGAAGGGTCAGTAAGTTCTTTTTGCCTTTGGTTTTGTGGTTTCTTTCCATTCTCTCTTGCGTTTCAAGTACTTTTTACACACACCCACACACAACACTTTTGTTTCTTTACGTTTTGGACCGTGTGTTGATTGATGGCAGGTCCTGTACTCCGACCCAACCTACCCTCGCTTATCCAAGGTCCAAGCCAGATCCACTAGTCAACTGGATAAAAGGTCTTGGGGGCCATCTTGATGACGCCGTGGAGATCTACACCGACCCAGTGGGGGGCCAATGCCTCCGGGTTCGCAATACTTTTGCTGGAAGTTTTCCAAGTGGAGCAAGCGTTGCTTCCTGCCCGATAAAAGCAATGATGTCTCTTGCGAACCTAGAAGATGGGATTGAAGGCCTCCCGCTGCATGACTTTTTACACCCCCCAGAATTTCTTCCTGCGGTCGGGAATGGGCCGGCTCTGGCCTTTTTCCTAATGGATCAGTATTTTTTAGGAGATAAATCCTTTTGGGCGCCATACATTCAATCCCTTCCAAAAGACAGACTGCTTACCAGACTTGAGTACTATAGTAAGGAAGACCTCGAATGGCTTGAAGGAACTAATCTTCTTGCTATTCGAGAAAATAGTTTAAAGGACTTGAAAGTAAAATACGAGACTGGAATTCAAGTATTGAAGCAATCCCCAAACATTAACCTCAAAAATTATACCTGGTAGGATTCTAAGGGTCTCCAAAACTTTGCATTTCTTAACCTATTGGCCTATAGGGAGCGCTTTGTTTGGGCATTCTCTATCATTATGTCCCGCTCGTTTACCTCTGAAATTCTGAAGGATTTTTTCGAGAAACATCCACACATTGGGAATGTGAGAGACAACTTTTTTGTCCTTGTTCCACTGGTTGACGTTACCAACCACTACCCTTTAGCAAAGGTAGAATGGAGGATTACTAGTACAGAGATCAATCTCGTAGTAGAAAAGTCCTTCAAACCAGGAGAGGAAATTTTCAATAACTATGGACCTCGCAGCAATGAGCGCTGTATGTTCTAATTCCAAAGTGCATGTTAGGCTCCCTTTCTGTACAAGTAATACTGATGAGTTTAGTGATGACCGGTTATGGATTTTGCATTCCTGGAAATGTTTGCGACTATCGGGATTTTGTATTGAGTCCTCCGGAAGGCAGTCCTCTCTATCAAGCCAAGGAAAAACAAACTGTCCTGTTCCCTGACAAAAAGACTGACAATGATAAATGTTATATCTACAACATTTTTTTCCCTTTTTCTGAGCAGAGAATGGCTCTAGAGACATTAGTTATTTCTTCTGAACTATTTGAAGCGGCAGCCGTCCTGTCAGTTAATGACAGGGAGTCCGCCGATTTGCGAATCGAGAAAGACAGAATATACGTAATGCTATCGAAGTACGGCAATTCTCGCTGCTATTACGATGGTCTCGGTCAAATAATCGCTAAATTAGTCCACACTATTTTAATATTAAAAGGTAGCCCCTACTTAAAGAAAGGGCCTAAAAACAGAAAACAGCAAAACGCACAATTCTATAGGGAAGCTCAAATATATATGTGCGAATGCGCGACTGTCATTCTGCAGTGGTCTCTATTACGAGCAACACTCCCTGACAATTCACCAGTGCTAGGGGAGATAAACCAGGAAAAGCTGCTGCAAAACCTACCCAAGGAGTTGTTTGGGAGACAGGTTAGAGAAAGAGCGAGGTTTCTCCTTCAAAATTATCCTTCCGCTTTTGGGCCTAGTGGAGAGCTCTTCTATGGAGACAACGTTTCGCGGACACTGACAAAACAGGTGGAAGAGCCATTTAAAACCTTTTCTAGAAATTTGCGAGGCATTTGGGATAAAATTACACATGTGGCCAAATTGAAGCTGGTTTATACTGTATTCATTTGCTTTTGTGCTGCTGCCTATAACAATATTGACGATTACGAAGTATCGAAAAATGGCCAAGACAGTATTCTTACAAAGCGTCTTCGGAGGTGGGTGCCATTTCTCTCGGAGCAATGGCCAGAACCGCAGCAAGATGAGCGATGGTCTACAGAAGAGGGGGGGCTTATAGAAGAGTTATTGGATTCGGTAGAGACGAAATTCAATGAGACATGGCGTGATGGGATGGGTTTGTTCTCTCCATTGAAGCCTTTCACCCGGAGGTGGAGAGCGGCCACCCAGAAGAACTGGCTATCGGGGAGTCGGCTCCGGTGGGCATGGACTATTGTCAGCGAGGAGAGAGTAGGGGTAGTAAAAGACCCATTTTCGATTCTGAATGATGCCAGAGAACAAACGATGCAAACAGCAAAAGAGGTCGTGTTTGAGCCTTATCTTTACATCCCATTCGACTCAGAAGAGACTGTGACGTCAAATTAGAGGTTGCGAAAAGGGGTAGTAGCGGGTTAAAAAGTCAGCATTTATGTGTGTATAAAGCATAATATAGCACAGCATAGAAACATCAAGATGGGTTGCATTGTTCGATTGCTTTCCTTTCGTATGGTGTACTTCTTCTGGCTGCCAGTCGCGATGTTGACCTGTAATGGATCAGCCTGGCGTCGGAAACGCATCACGTGGCACGCAGACAACCCGCCAATCAGGAGGAGCGTAAATCCACCAACAATCTTCTCCTTCTTGCTTTGCCGTAACCTCAACCTCGCTCGCTGCTGAATTGGCGCTGCACTGCAGAGACAGAGACCATCATGATTTCCCGGGCAGCGGTGGCTCCCACGGCCCATTCTATATCCCATCTCTCCTCCCGCGCCCTCTCTTCGACAGCCGCCGCCGCCACTACCACTTCTCGCTTCTCATCAAAAACATCAGCACAGCAGCAACCCTCAAAACAACAGCAGCAGCAATCGCAGCAACCCCAAGTGCTGCAGCAGCGGCAATATGCCACTGTGCAAGATCCAGCTGCAGTACCCCCGCCCAGAGTGCATGGAGGACTGAAGGATCAAGATCGCATTTTCCAGAATTTGTATGGGAGGCATGGGCCAGATCTGAAGAGTGCGATGAAGACTGGAGACTGGTATAAAACAAAGGAGATTCTACTTAAGGGTCACGACTGGGTGAGTCTATTGAGATGTAACACTGTGGGTTGTTGTCTCAGGTCACTAATTTGGACGATGTTTCCAGATTATTTCGGAGATCAAAGCTTCTGGACTACGTGGTAGAGGAGGTGCTGGATTCCCCTCGGGATTAAAATGGGTACGTACTCATATTTTTCCGGAAGCAACGTGTTTATGTCGACGCCATGCTAATCACAGTAATGCTTCCAATTAGTCTTTTATGAATTTCAAGGACTGGGACAAGGACTCTCGACCTCGATATCTCGTCGTAAATGCGGATGAGGGTGAACCGGGCACCTGCAAAGATCGAGAAATTATGCGCAAAGACCCCCACAAACTAGTCGAGGGATGTCTGGTTGCCGGTCGCGCCATGAATGCCACAGCCGCTTATATCTACATCCGTGGAGAGTTCTACAGCGAAGCTACCATTTTACAACGCGCCATTAATGAAGCTTATGAAGCCGGCTTAATTGGGAAGAATGCCTGTGGTTCAGGCTACGATTTTGATATTTACATTCATCGTGGAATGGGTGCTTACATTTGTGGGGAAGAGACGTCGCTGATCGAATCAATCGAAGGAAAAGCCGGCAAACCTCGATTAAAGCCTCCATTCCCTGCAGCAGTTGGCCTTTTTGGTTGCCCTAGTACCGTTACAAATGTCGAGACTGTTGCCGTTGCACCGACAATCTGCCGTCGTGGGGGAAAGTGGTTCGCCTCGTTCGGTCGTGAGCGCAACCAGGGTACCAAACTCTTCTGTATTTCCGGCCATGTCAACAACCCTTGTACTGTTGAAGAAGAGATGTCGATCCCGCTTCGTGAGCTTATTGACCGCCACTGTGGAGGCGTACGTGGGGGATGGGACAATCTTCTAGCCGTCATTCCTGGTGGATCATCGACGCCAATTCTCCCCAAACACGTCTGCGACGACCAGGTCATGGACTTTGATGCCCTTAAGGATTCCCAATCTGGCCTTGGAACGGCTGCTGTTATCGTCATGGATAAATCGACAGACGTTGTTCGCGCCATTTCTCGTTTATCCTACTTCTATAAACATGAAAGTTGTGGCCAATGCACACCATGTCGCGAAGGTAGCACGTGGACAATGCAAATAATGCAACGTTTTGAACGTGGACAAGGCCGCGAGCGTGAGATTGATATGCTTCAAGAACTCACTAAGCAAGTCGAAGGTCACACAATCTGCGCTCTTGGCGAGGCTTTTGCTTGGCCAATCCAAGGCTTGATCCGCCACTTCAGACCTGAACTCGAGGCAAGAATACAGAAATATGCTCAAGCAAATGGCGGAAAGCCTACATTTGCAGGTGGCTGGGACCATTCGGCTCGGGATGCCGGCAAACTCATATCGCCAGGACAATAGAGGAATTGTCATGTTAAAAACTCGTCTAGAATAAAGCTCTATACCTCTCTGGGTAGGCACGTAACTTCTTCTCTTCCCTTGTCTGCTATATTATTTGCATGTATGTGTCACGTATTCTGGACTTGCTGTGGGTTATCTTGTAATTTGCGTACTGTGTGATATTGTTGGAAAATATGTTCTTTACTGAAGTCAGAATCTATGGTAGATCTATATCACCAAAGAATGGATATGATGAACTTGTCCATTCAACGTAGCTATGACCATTCCAGCCAAGCAAGTTGTGAGGAATTACCATTGTTCTTCCTTGATACTACCTAGTTCTACCTACAAAATTTTACCTGAGAGGTGCATCCTCATTGAAAAGATAAAATGCCGCTTGAACAGAAATATTTAGAACATTTGAAATCCGCACAAAAAATAGATTTCAGGTGCGGAAAAAGAAAACGCCCATTTGGGTGTTAAAAAAAGATGAACCAGTTAGAATAGGCTCCTGACCCCCCCCCTCCCCAATCATTCCTTATCAAATCATTCATGATATTTTTTGGCATTTTGAGCTTTTACTTATTTTTCAAGCACCACCGGCCATAATGGCGCGGTAGTAACGCCTACTAACCTCCACAGCATGGATACGCCTAGCATTTTGCGTCATGGGAAGGCGTAGTATATCACCTGGCTGTACCGTCTGTAAGTAAAAGTCAGCGGTCGAACTTGGAGCTGACATTATGGGATATCCAAATCAGCTTACATTGCCTGTATCATTTGTGCACCATCCAGCAACCAACCGGCCAATTTCTCGAAAAGCAATCTTTTCCTCAAATGTCGTCGATGCAATTTTGTCGGTCTTCTCTCCAATGTGAATCAGTGTCCCAACCAGCCGTTTTAAGATGGTCTGATCTTTTCGAATCCCAGGGACTTCCACCAAAAGCAAAAAGTCCTGATACATGCCACCTTCATGGGACCATCTCCGGATATTAGTCTCCGGATCTTTGCCAAACGCATCAATTATTGTTTTCAAAGTAGCGTAGTCGCGCTGGATGATAGCCCTCGGGGCTACAATTCTACAGAACGTATCGTGCGCCTCATCCCAATGTTCAGCATTGACGAGATACTCAACCTCCGCTGATGGATTGCCTTTTGCGCGCGCAAACAGCGCCTTGGCAGCCCATATCCAAGAAGCAGGAACCCTGAGCTCCTCGGTAAGGTATTTCCACATAATACTTTGCGAGCCATTTTCGAGAATTGGAGTAGGAAGCCAGGAAGCAAAACGACATAGCATCTCTTTAATGCCCTTTTCACGATCTGCAGCACAGCTGAGATGTAGAAGTACGAAAATTGCCGGTCCATACTCGTTAGCACTTGCGATTTCCAACGCATAATTGAGCGTGAGCTGGTCAACACAATGATCATCCACGCTGAGGACTCTAGATCCACCCATTGCCTTGCGTATGTGGTGAAGTAATTGAAACGAAAGGCGGTGGTGTAATGCATGACCACAGACAGCTTCAGGCATAAGATCTTCTGGAAGGCGAATTGGTCCGATGTCGGGATTTTCTCCGCCGGACATTGAAGACGCAAAGACTTTTAAGATCACCCAGAGGGGAGACTCCAGTGTCAATAGGTCGGCATATGACTTGGATTTCTGAGAATCGTGACTACGCAATGCAGACGGGAAAGCCGGCTCACCACCCTTATTAATGTCATGGTTGAAAAGAGCAACAGCAGCTTCAATAGGGTCGTTTTCACCGATTCCGTACCATAATCGAAGGCCGAAGGCTTGGATCCAGTCAAGGTTAAACCGTTCAGAGATATTAAAGGTCGACGTTCGATCCTCAATAGGTACATTTGGCTTCCCTTCGCTGCGTAGACAGTTACCGGCAATCAGCTCATAAAGAGCTCGAATGGGTTCCGTCATTTCTGAAAGTACATTGTGGCTTCGCCACGAGTCAATTTGGTCTTTCATGTCTTTCTGAAAAATAGCATCCCGCCCAATTTGAGATACTAGGGTAGCTAAGTGTGGATTCCCACTCTCAATCAATGTCCTACAGGCATCATCAACCCTGTGAGAGCAAAGAAATGCTATTGCACGTTCCTCTGGACTCGGAATGTTCTCAATATCAGGATGACATTGGCGGATCATTGTTTCCAACAACAAACCCAGTCGATCCTTTTTTATGCGATGAAGGTATTGTTTCTGTAAATGATCCGGAACTCCCGCAGATATATCGTCCTGAATATCATCAACAAAGAGGATGTACGCCAGCTGCCAAACTCGCCTTTCTAGCTCACTTTCAGGGGAATCACCCTGAATACTGCCTATAAATAGGAGAAAATCGGCATCGGTTAGATTTGCAAATGGGATGCCATCCACAAGTTTAATGGATGAGAGACTTTTTTGTAGGATCAGCGGTTGTAGGTCCTAAAACGGGGAAGTTAGCAGTGCGATCATACGGGAGAAAGACGAGACCCAAACCTCTTTCCATTGTTCAACTTTATGCAGCAGAATGTCAGGCACATCGGCATGGTCATTACGCAGAGCTAGAATATCTTGAGTAGCCCATCTTGGCTTGAAGGAATTATGAAAGCTCAAGTCAGCTTCAGACATATCACCTGGTTTTCCGGCAAATGTTTTCGGCTTCTGAATATATGGCCACTAGAATGATAGTTTTCAGTAAAAGTGCTTTACATTGCTTCATTACTTCAAAACGTGCAATAATATCGATCCGAAGCGCTTAAGTACACTATAGCATGAGAAAACGGGGGAGAAAGAAGCGAAGTGCAAGGAAAAGGGATCAAACCTCGAAGCCATTCTGACTCTTCAGCACCTGGGCCTTTCTCAGACTCTCTCGTGGCCGAAAAAGCGAGTTCATTAGATCGATACTAGTGATAAATCCCTTGTCCGTCTCTGTAGGCATTGCCTTGGGTGTATTCTCTGCATCTAATCGGTTTGCAAATGCATTATTTTGCATTTCCCGTAACGCCTCTCTGTCTTGCTTTCGCGGGCTAATGGTGCGCTGTAATTGTTCTGCCCAATTACCATTCAAATTCAAGGGTATTTCACCCGTGCTCTCAATCTGCGAGCGTCCAAGGTTCGACTTCTGTGGACTGACTGGAAGAATAGATCGCTCCGTGGTGTAGTCAAGGAAGGGAAATGCACCAGCCATGTGCATTGTCTCATCCTTTTCTAATTCAGGTTCAGACGTGACAGTACTATGACCATCACTTTCTTCAACGTATCCCTGTTCAGAACCCGAACCCACGGAGCGCTCCTCTAAAAAAGACCCTCGCTCTTCGTCAGATTCAGACATATCCAGTCTACCACCTGTAACCTGATTCATAAACCCCCCGGGAAATAATCCTCTTTTTTTAAATTCAAATGTGTCATCTTCAATCCCCATGGTGGAATCGTCGAACGACTCGTCAATGCCGATTGTTGAGGTAGTAAATTCGGAGTCGGGACGATGGGGAGTCTGAGCCTTTGGAGTGACCATGTCAGGGTGAGCACCAACTGTGCTTTGATCGTGACTCTCACCTTCATCGTCATCATCATCATCATCATAATCAAGTCCGTAAGTAGTAAAGTGGGGAACTTTAAAAGTCCATACTCCGCCCACCCATTTATAATCGACAAATTCGGTGTTTGTAATTCGCCTCAAACGTTCAACATGTTTATCAAAGTAGATGGCATTAGCCGGTATTGGAGCTAGATTCTCTCGACCGCGAGGCCAGGAGTTTTCAATGCGCAGAGTGGATGGAACGTTTAGGCCTTTACCCTGGGGAGGCTTAATACCTTCATCAGGGTACACAGTAATGGAACGTAAGTTAATGTTGACAATTTTTCCCATAAGGTCATTGAGGTCGATAGTTGTGAGATCAACCGGCGCATTGAACGAAACGGAGCCATATTCATCGCGGCCGACAGTAAGATTTGCCACTCGCTTCTGTTGCTCCCGCGTCATTCTCTTGACCTCTTCAAGCGAAGGCTTCATCCAATATATCTCAGGTTTATCGACCTTAGCCTTGGTGACACCTGAGGATTCTGGGGTTGCGGGCTTTTGTTGTTCGCGATCTCCAGGAACAATGGCGAGCTCTTTGCCTTTAATTTCCTCCATCTCTGGCGCACTGCTGGATGACGAGGGGCCGCTATCAGGGAGTCCGTTGACAACATCACTTCCTTTGATACCATTCGGCTGGCAGGCTGGGGCCTTATCCTTAGAAGATCGCAAAAAGCCTAGTTGCGCTGGAGTTGGCTCGGATGTTTCAGTTTCGATGCGAACGAGAGCTCCATCAGTCTTTGAGATAGCCTTGTCATTGTCAATGGGAGAATCAAAGCTCACTCTTTTCTTCAACTTGCTAGGTTGATGAGGAGTACTGTCGCCATTGGTGATTGTAGCCGGTGAGAGCGAGGAGCGGGTAAACAGATCGGTCCTGAGACTCCGGTCGATCGTTAAACGTTTTAAATTAGAGCTTGAGTATCTGGAGCTGCCGGCCGCGAAAGCTCCAGGTGAAAGGATACTATCTGTTTCAGGCTCAAAAGATCTACGAAGACTGTTGGCAGAAAGACTTTTGCTGAAACTGCGTCCCAGACTCCCTCCATTAAAACTCCTGCTCAGCAAACTATTACCCAACCCGGCTGGCGAACCAATAGAACTGGAAGGAGTCCCATAAGTTGAATAAGAGAATCCGTATCCCTGACGCGTTGGGGGTGTGATTAAGCGATTTGCAGCACTTGGAGAAATCCTGTACATGGGAAGCGGTGCTCTTTGTTTTTGTTTTAAACTGGCAGAGAGTGGAGTAGCCAACGGCCCGGGCGACGGCGAGTTTGGTGCAGGAAGGCCGGAAAATATAGACTGGCTGCCATATGGGTTACCCTCGAGGAGAGATGCTTGGAAGCCTGCACCTTGGGATTGCTGTTGTACTTGCTGTTGAGACCCTCCAAACAAGCTATTACTACCAATTCCAAGCCCCCCGGGTTGCTGCTGCTGGATATTCTGGTTGGCTCCACCAAGGCCAAACAAAGATCCACCCGTCGAAGCGGAAACGGCATTAGGCTGTGGGTTAAACAAACTACTAGTTTGACCGGTTGAAGTGCCAAAAAGACTAGGCTTCTGCTGTTGCTGTTGATTTGTGCCGCCGAAAAGACTCGATGTTTGTTGTGGCTGGTTCTGCGTGCCAAACCCGCCGAAGGCGTTGGTGCCAGTCGCTGTAGTTCCAGACCCAAGACTACCAAAAAGATTTGGTTTCTGTTCTTGTTGTTGCTGGTTCCCGAAAAGGTTACCTGTGGTTGTGTTTTGTCCGGTCGTATTTCCAAATATCGATGAGCCTCCTTGTTGGCCAAGGGAGGTTCCAAAAGAGGGGGTAGCAGTATTATTTGATCCACCAAAAAGGCCCGTTCCCGCTGGTTGCTGTTGCTGTTGTTGCGTGGTGGCCCCAAATCCCCCAAACGCAGGCTTATTTTGCTGATTTTGTTGCTGACCAAAACCACCGAAAGCGCTGGTCCCTCCTTGCTGCGGCTGACCAAATGGTGAGGCAGTGGATGTAGTAGCTCCGAATGGAGAAGCGCTGGTTGTAGCAGTTTGGCCAAATCCGCCAAACCCTGTGCCAGTACCTCCAGTACCAAATCCGGTCTTATTCTGCTGGTTATTGAAAAATCCACCACCAGTACCAGTTGAGCCACTAGCACCAAATGCTGTGCCAGTTGTTGAACCAAACCCTCCGGACCCGGACGTCGTCGTACCAAAGGCGCTGGGCTGAGATGTAGCAGCCTGACCAAACAAGGAAGTGGCAGGTTTTGTGGCTCCAAATAAAGGATTGTTTGAGGTAGTACTGCCAAATCCAGCGGATGCAGTTTGGCCAAATGCTGAAGGGGCACTGCTAGCAGCACCAAAGGGGGTAGAAGTTTGGGAGCCAAAGCCACTCGCAGGTTGCTGGAATCCCCCAAAGGCAGCTGAACCAAATGCACCAGCCTGGCCGCTAGCATTGCCGTATCGACGGCCTTGGTCATAATCCGCGGCCCGTAGTTCCTATGAATGTGGTCAGCGGAATCAGGACCAAAAATACAAAGAATTTGCTAACCTCAAATGAATATTTCTGATAAGGCTGCATGCAGCTTATACTCTGGTAATGGCAAGTAACCGAGGAGCTGGGTTCCTTTTCTTCAAAGGCATTGAAGGGAGGATTCGCAGTGCCGCTGGCGGGAGGAACGGCACCACCCAAAGCTGTGCCACTACCGAATCCAGCACTGCCGCCAAATCCTGTCGTAGTAGAAGTGCCTCCTCCAAAAATGCTTCCACCAGTACCAGCTCCAAAGCCAGTAGATTGAGTATTCGCCGGGGTAGAACCGAACATAGTAGCTCCAGTTCCTGTATTCGAACCTGTACCCCCAAACGAGCCCCCAGTTCCGAATCCAGTGTTTCCGAAAGCGTTTGTTCCCGACCCAAACATAGTGCTCCCGGTAGCCGAAGTGTTTCCAAATCCCTTGTTCTGCCCCCCGAAAATGGGATTCGTTTGTGTATTAGAAGCGCCAAAGCCTAGTTTAAAACAACAATTAGTCTATGGAAAGAACATCTATGGAGTAAGTTAAAAAAATATAGGAATCGCGGCGTATTGTTGTCGTGTTCCAGGTTCAGTTTGTAATGAAGTTGATAAAAGAGCAATGAAGCTGGCGAGCATATTATACGGTAGAAAAGGGAGATTCCAGGTCCGGGCTCAGCTATTTGGGAAGTATAGCGCGGGTTGTGCCTCCTGTAGGGCTCGAGATTCAACTACGTACCTCCTCCAGAGCCGAAGCCACCAGAAGTACCGAAAGTATTCCCTGTGGTGCCAAATGGTGAGGAGGAGGTTCCGGTTCCGAAGCCTAAACGAATGATACATTCGTGTCAGACGGCTGCTTTGCTGTTTTTGTTTTTTTTTTCCTTCTGCCCTTAGACGTCCGTCCAAGATTCTCGTTGTTGTCGCTGTTGCTGCTACCGCGAGCAATTTTGTTCTTCTCTAGTGGAAGATGACACGAGACCCAGTTGAACCGTCGAAGGAGGAATGAAAAGCAAGAGAGGAAAAAGATCAAGGCAGAGGTCCACGCGACTCGCACGGAGGGGCTTAAAAAAGGGAATAACAGAAATACCAGAGAATAAGGAAACCTACCTGTACCTCCAGTTGACCCGAAACCAGAACCAGTTCCGAATCCAGCGTTTTGCTGCTGTTGTGGCTGCTGCTGGTTGCTGGAGCCAAAGCCCCCAAAGGCACTACCAGTGCCGAAGCCCGACATGGCGACAGGACTCGAAATCGATTCAATCCCAGAAGTGACTTCCTGAATCCGACGATTTTAAGCCATGAAATATTGGGGATTTTCGCGCGGTACAGCCTGACAAGAGGATGCGATATGGATGACTTGGTCTGAAAAAAACCTCACGCAATCACCACTGCAAATGCAGAGTCAGCAGAGTAAAGAAAGAAAAATGCCACAAAGTAGGCAAGAAGCACGTCTTGAAACCTTTGATAAAGAAGCTAAGAGATGAAGACCAGATGTTTTATACAGTGAAAAAGATGAATACCGCAAGGGCAACGCGAAGTTGAGTATCGACTAGCCGGAAGTGGCATGGCATGGGGCTCGGTCACTGGAAGTATGGTCATGTGATGCTCTCAAAATCCGATTAGGTAAGCACAGCTGCCTAGTATATTCGGAATATTATCTTACCGATATCCGATCCCATTTCTCATCGCCCTAAAAATTGTTCCGTACTTTCACTACATTCGACGATGATTGACTCGATTAAATCATTCTCGACTAGGATTTTATTCCGTCAAAGTATGACTTGCCAATTATCAGAGCCACTTTTTCTTTTGTTAAACTACACATTGGCACTTAGAATGAGTACTTCACAAGAAACATGTGTTACGGGCCGTGCAGAACATCATAAAAGGGGGTGAGAAGGCTACAGACGCCGTTTAAATAAAAGTGGTGTAAAAAAAAAGAAAAAATATATGGCTTCCTCAACACAGCTGATACAATATTTATACCAGCCCTGGCTGAGGCATGACAAGTCTTACCCTCATTGATAGGCCGCAACTCCCCATAATCAGAAGAGGCTGGCGGTCTTGCAAGATAATACCGGTATCAATAATGGCCCTGAAGACCCATTACCTGGTCTATCTGGCTCTCAAGGCATCCTTTTGCCAATAGATACTATATTCGTTGTTTTGCACAGGGTTTGAAGTTGTGGTCGAGAATGGTACAGACATAAGCGAACAGCAGGTGCCAATAATAAATCTGGTTGACCAGAGGCGATGTATTTTCACATCTACTTTGGTCTCTTGGTCGCGGCATGGAAGGTATCAATGATTTTAGCCACCACCGTAGGGTCAGAGAGCTATTTATAGTTAGTTGTCGGCCGTTGTGAGCGCACGATTGATATTGTTTGGAGCTCTCACTGTTGAAATATCACCCAGACTATCTTCCTCACCACACACGATCTTTCTCAGAATACGTCTCATGATCTTTCCGCTACGAGTTTTTGGAAGATCTTCGACAACAAAGACAGCCTTAGGGGCAGCGAACGGGCCAATAGATTTGCGAACTTGTAGAATCATCTCGCTTCGGATCATATCAGTATTTTCGTTGCTATTTTTTAAGGATACGAAAGCATTGATAGCTTGTCCAGTCAGCTCATCAGCAATGCCAACAACAGCAGCTTCGGCAACGGAGTCTATAAAAAAGCGAGGATATCAGTACAGTATAAGTAACTCATGTTTACCCTAGAATTCCTTACGGTGTTCAATGAGAGCTGCCTCAATCTCTGCCGTTGACAGGCGATGTCCAGATACGTTTACAACGTCATCCACACGCCCCCTTATCCAGTAATAGCCTTCGTGGTCACGTCCAGCACCGTCGCCAGTAAACTAATTTAAAGTCAGCTAAACCATGCAGTGTTCTTGCTGTAGATGACTCACATAGTAGCCCTTATAAACGTTAAAATAGGTGTCCATGTATCTCTTATGGTCACCCCACACAGTGCGAGCCATACTTGGCCAAGGCTTTCTGAAAGCAAGGATCCCTTCTACATCATTGCCAACTCTCTCTTCACCTGACATCGGATCAATAATAACAGGGTCAATACCAAAAAATGGGAATGAAGCACTGCCTGGCTTAGTTGGCGTGATGCCACCAAGAGGAGTAATGACATGTGAACCAGTTTCAGTTTGCCAGTATGTCTGAAAACAATAAGTGTCTTGTTACGGCGTGGATGGGTAAAACTTACATCCACAATATGGGCTTCTCCTTTGCCAACAGCCTCATTATACCATTTCCAAACTTCTGCGGCAATTGGTTCTCCAACAGAGCCCAGGATCCGGAGATCTTTCATTTCATGACGGATATGATGATCACCAGCACGCTTCAATAGGCGCAATGCAGTGGGCGCCACATAAAACTGGGTGACTTTGTGCTGCTCAATAACATCCCAATAGCGCGAGAAGTTGGGGTATGCTGGTGTGCTCTCAAAAACAACTGTGGTGCATCCTGTGACCAATGGAGCATAAACAACATAAGTATGCCCGGTAATCCAGCCAACATCACCACCGCAAAAGAATCGGTCGTTAGGATGGATGTCAAAGACATACTTGCCGGTAGCAGCCGCACCAACAAGATACCCAGCTGTTGTGTGCATAACACCTTTTGGCTTGCCTGTAGATCCAGAGGTATACAGAAGAAAAAGCGGGTCTTCAGAGTCCATTGATTCGGGGGCAATGTAATTTGGGTATTTTTCAACCTCTTCATGCCACCACAAATCACGTCCTTCAGTCCATGAAATATTTGCATCTGTCCTCTTAAAAACAATGCAATTGACAACATCAGGACACTGTTTCAGAGCCTCGTCTACAATTTTCTTGGTTCCAATAACTTTTCCTCCCCGTTTTCCCTCGTCCGCTGTGATGACGAATTTTGACTGGGCATCTAAGATTCGGTCTCGAAGGGAATCGGAAGAAAACCCAGCAAAAATGACGGAATGGATAGCGCCAATACGAGCGCAAGCAAGAAGCGCCACAATAGCTTCCGGAATCATGGGAAGATAAATGGCAACTGTATCGCCCTTTCGAACCCCTTGTTTTTTCAAGACCCAGGCAAGCTGGCAGACATCTCTCAGTAAAGCGCTATAACTGATTTCACGCCCATGACCAGGCTCATCGGCTTCATAAATAATTGCAACCTTATCTGGAGTTTTCATAGCGTGGCGATCGACGCAGTTATACGAAACGTTGAGGCGGCCACCCACAAACCAGGCGTTATCTCCCCCTTCGAAGGAACCCATATGTGTTTTCTCAAAGTTCTTTTCAAAGCTGATAAGATCGTGGGCCATACGCGCCCAGAACGTGTCTGGGTCATTGATTGATTCTTGATAGAGTTGCATATACTCGTCCAAGTCTTGTATGTGAGGCCTGGCAGGATGGTTGTTATAAAACGCTTGAGGGACATGGACGCTGTCAACTTGGTGAGCCTCCACGACCTATATTCACAAAGATGATCTTCAGCTTTGAGAGTGCAAAAGAAATTCTATACAGCAGGCCACTAGGTTACATACCACTGGACCCGCGGGCGGGTCAGCAGGTGCCCCAGACATAGTGCGTGAGGTCAAGTATAGAGTATGATAGCTGTCCGCCAAAAGGGACAATGTTCAGTGCAATGTAAGGGATATGCGTACAGTCCGGCCAATGGCCGCCTGAAAAAGATTGATTTTCGGGAGATTCAAAAGAAGGACAGTGATATAAAAGAACCAGGCGGATGATGGCTAGGAGGGCGCGAGGAGAAGCGCGGAGGAAGGGCACCCGAGGCGCACGGGCTAGATTAAGTAGTTACCGTAACTACATCGACGATCGGGGGCCACGCGCGCCAGGACTACTTAATACTATAACTACTCCTACGGAATAGAGCGGAGCGCGCGAAGAAGCTCGGCGCCGACCCGACAATAGCGAAACCGCTTTAAAATGGTACCTTTCTCGAAGCGCTTGGGGGGGTATCTTGTCGCCCGTTCGCCGCCAATTTTGCTTGCACGAAGGTTTCCGCACCCCGCTATGCGCCAACTCAAACCGCTCCTAGTGCGGGGCAGCGGTTGAGCCCAGCAACGCCAGCGCTCCTTTGCCCCGATCGCGAGCTCCCATCGTGCTCCGAGACGGCACTCCAGCACTACGCGTCACCGAGCCAGCCTGCTCAGTCGTTCTTCATACCGAGCAGACTCCCTTAGTCTGGTCCGCCCAGACACACGCACGGCACCATAGTTGCACTGAGCGCCTGATCCTCAGAAAAGTCAGGCGCGCCGGTCGCTGGGCAATTCACTCCACGACTGAATTGTTTTCAGTGGTAGAAAAACGAATTCGGGGTATGGCCATGCTAAGACTTTGATCCCGCCTTTGAACCAAAGAACTAAAAAACTGTTCCGGGATACCTGGCTGTGTTGGGCTCTGCAGGAATACATTTCATCCAGCGTCAAGTCGGGCGTTGAAAAGACCCCTCACCAAGTAGTTACATAGTTTACACGAATATGTTCAATGAATGATTTGCGCGCATCCCCAACATGTCCTGGCCTTGCAGACAATCGTGGAAAGACGTGACCCCGCAAGGCAAGACCCTGACGTCCCGAAAAATTCGCCACCTTTCATCTGATCGATACCCTAGGTATGCTGCTTTTTTTTATCATTGTTCATCAAAGCTTGACCCCCGAGTCCCCCACCGTGCCGCATCTCTGTCTTTGGCTGACATGTGGGCTGTAAGTCTAACTGCTGAGATTGAATGTATGGCTTGCATAGTACATTGAAGACACGTACCTCTGCAGTTATGGCATGAATTGGTATGAAAGGGGGTTTTTGTTGGTTAAAGCCTGTCATGGACGAAGAGCACGGAGTAGTGCACGCCGTTCCAGTGCTTAATGTTCTAGAGGGTGGAGTAGAAGGACATAATGACCAACCATTGAGGCCACCTGCAACTCACTGCAGTAGACGGGTAGTGATGCTATCCATGCAAGTCAAGCTCAGGCAGCAATGTAAATCAATCAGGAAGCCCTACCGTGTTATGAAGATGTGTTCGTAAGTCCGAAAATGGACTTCACATCTCCCCACCCCTCCCCAATCTATGCATTATTAAGGGCGAACGGAGGCGGATGTAGGGACCAAAGGTCAAAACTATGTAACTTCCCGTAAGCTCTGGAGTGACTCTTGATCATGATATATTTTTTAGTAATATTCATAGTCATAGTCAGTTCACAAGCATCACTTGTATCCCGAAACCCTGATATTAACAATGGTCTCATATTCTGCAACTCAATATTGTGTCTATTGTTTTTTTTCTTTTATTTTGATTTTTATTTTTGTTTTTTTTTTTTTCTTTTGGGTACGATTCAAGGTCAACAATTACCATTGCACCGTTATTCTTCTGTGATAAGGCAGCGCAAGGTACTTGGTAAGTGACAGCTGGCCTCAATGCTTATTGTTCGAAAAATACTCCATGAAAATGCATAATGACAGTGGCGACATGACTTAGGGATTCGAAACATTATCAACACAGCTTTTTCAAGCCTCCCCACGCAATAATGAGGACATCCCCAGAACAAATAAAATGATCCTGCCATCCCGCATGATGCTGGAAAATGTCTGCATCCATGGCCGTACGCTTTTCAGCTGGCTATTTCCAGTGTTTGAAACTAGTCTCGCTCCATTCAAAACAAGTTCCGCCGTCAAAAAAATTACAAATGGGCTTTGAGCCGTTGCTGGAGGCGGCGGATGAGCCCCGTAGGTTAAAATAGATGTTCGGTACATGGTCACTAGCCATACCCCAACGGCACAGGCAAAAAGCGCATGCAAGACTTGCCAAGCTCGGTTTTTCTTCTGGGTCTCTGGGGTCTCTGGTTGCAGTTGCTGTGTAAAGAAAGTTGCGATGGAGGGGGGAACACCAAAAGCTACGGTGAGGTTCTGGGATAAAACATCGAGAGGAGGAACGCCAGCAGCATCTACCACACCCCTATTATCCGGTGCTGCAGAGTCGAGGCCTATTAAGGAATTGAGAAGCGCAGCGGTCGGATCCTGGTCTTGCGGCTGGTCAATGGGTTGTTTAGATCGCAGCAGGGCGCGTAGATAAGCCTCCTGAGCTTCGACACTCTCCGATGATTGATCTGCGACGGCGGGAGGTTTGGGCAAGGGAGAAATAGACGGAGACGGCTCCGGGAGCTGTGGTTCGGGAGTCGAATTGAAAGGACTAATAGAGGGAGAAGATTCATCTTTCACTGCAGCTAGTTAGATCCGAGTCTGTATAAATGCTGGTGGTACTGCGACTTTGGGTTGACATACTGCTCGTGGCTGGTCGTCCACTCAAACTTGTGATCTTCTCCAATCTAGCTGATCCGCCAGCTTTAATTTTTGCTTCTCGTCGCTCTCGTCGAAGACGAGCAGCCCGTTGAGCTGGCGATTCATCTGTGTCAGACATCTTGAGAATAAAATTGGACTTGTTCAAATGCTTGATCACTCCACACTCGTGATTCTATGTCCTCCAGCAATCCTCATGAGAGAAACTATAGGTGAACCTGAACGGGCTAGTTAGTTAACTAACTAATCGAGATAACTACCTATTTAACTTCGTGGCATTAAAATCCTTGGCATCCACAGACACGATTTGTACTCCGTATCTCGATCTCACTTCAAACACGCGAAGCACAGCACGACGCGAATTAAGACAGCTTACAAGCATACGAAGGATCAATGATTTTGATATGCTTCTCTGGTCTAACGGTAGAGTCTTTCGTTGGACATCGTGACTTAATCATTGAATGTTTGCCTGGCTCAAGGCCAACCTTACCTATCGGGGCTCTTGGCCGCATATCTATACTCTACCAAACTCCGGATCTTATGAATTTAAATCTTGTACTCCGTGCAGAGCTGGCTCCGCCTGTCTCATCTTGGATGCTGAAAGCCTGTACATGTTAAACGCCAATCGCCTAGTTAGTTAACTCTGACGTCACCGCCACAACCAACATATTTGGAATGGATTGGATGCCAATGGTTTACTGGGGAACTTTGACTTGCTTGGCTTCGATAAATACTATGCTCGTTTGTGCTCATCAGCAGGTGAAACTGGGAGTGACGTATCTGTTTGAGTTAAAACTGTGAGATCTACAGAACTGGGAAACAGGTCCGTGACCGGGGAATGGCGACCTATCAAATGATATATACATAGGAAACCTTTGTCAAAAAACTTCCTGCGCTCTCAGTTTTTGCTTTCTATTGAACAATTTCTACGCTGATTATTTTTTGGCCCCTTGCAAACTTCGTTTCAATCCGTGTGCTTGCTTGAGTGCGAGGGATAACACATGGACCATTAATCCCAGTGGCTTAGAAAATTAGCTCATACAGGCATCATGACAACGCAAAAGAAGCCTGGCGGTCACTGGAGCGCTGAGAATCCTATACCTACTATTCAGAAATTCGTGGAAAGCCTAGATAGGGATAAAAGAGAGCGGGATAGACAAATCGATGAAGCCGCTAAGGTGCATGCCAGAGAAGAACGACATAATAAGCATCATGCAGCAGAAGCTACGCCGCATAAGCCTAGCCCTACATCCAACAATAGAAGACGAAGAGTCACAGACCCTACCACTGGGAAAGAGGTTGAGATAGATGACGTTGGTAAAGAATTCATGAAAACCCTAGACGAGCCCAAAGTGCGTAACGAAACTACCTATCATTTGGTACACAAAATGGCTTACCTACGATTTAGCTCACCGTTCCGAATGCAAATCTTTTGTTGCCAACTGTGAGTCTATCGACTCCTAAGTGTTAATAAGAAGCCTCATTTAATGACAAGGAACCAGAAAGTACAAACACAACATGATCAGCCGTTTTCAGAATATAAATACAATCAAGATATCACTTCACCTCCGGACCCCATTGCTGAGGGAACAACTTCGGATGTTCCAATCCACGGCGAAAAGACCAACATTCTATTCCACCCCACACCGTCTGTGAGCTATGAGCCAATGTTTAAATCTTTGGAAAAGCGGGGCGGCGTGCTATGTATGGCTATATTCGCAGGTATTCTGATCATTGGAAAAATCTCTGGAGCGTCCTTAAAATGGATGATCCTGTTGTCTTGCAGTGTTGTTTCAGCAGTTTGGCTTTGGATCCAAGATGTCATCCAAAAGGGGAGGAGTCAAGAATGGAGCAGTGAAAAACTTCGAGGGCAAACGGTATGAAACATATCTACTATGTGAGGCAATTCCTAGCATTAACGCCCATATTAGGCTACAGCAAACTTGCTGCCAGAGTCTGTGGAGTGGCTCAATCGTTTTCTTGAAGTAGCATGGGGTCTTTTGAATCCTGATATGTTTGCAAGCGTTGCTGATACTATCGAAGACGTCATGCAAGCATCCGTACCAGGGATCATTGAAAATGTTCGAGTTGCTGAGATTGATCAGGGGTCAAATCCATTCCGAGTCCTCAGTCTAAGAGCACTCCCGGAAAGCCAGGCGACAAATTTGGCAAATGGAATGCGTGAGGAGAATCTAAAAATGAAAACCCAGGACGAAGCTACTGCTGAGGAAGAGGGTGGTGAAGTTTATAATATTGAATGTTCGTTCGCATACCACGCCAAACCTACAGGTAATACGTCATCCGCCAAAGCAGCCAATATGCATATGATGTTGGTATTTTATCTTGGAATCAAGGGCCTCTTCGGCGTGCCTCTGCCAATTTTTACAGAGTTGATAGAAGTCGTTGGTACTATTCGACTTCGACTGCAACTTACACCTCAACCACCTTTTGCGAAAACACTGACCTTTAGCTTGATGGGGCTTCCCCATGTCAGAGCCGGCTGCGTTCCAATGGTGAAGCATGGGGTTAACATTTTGAATTTACCACTCATATCTAACTTCGTTAATTATGCCATTGGAGCTGCTGCAAGTTTATACGTCGCCCCAAAATCCATGACAATGGATATTGCACAGTTACTACAAGGAGATGATATCCAAAAAGACACCTTTGCGCTAGGGATTCTCTGGGTGAGGGTGCATCGCGCTGTTGGTTTGAGCAAACAAGACAAACGAGGAAGCAAAGGAGGTGGAAGTGATCCGTATATCAACCTATCATTTTCAAAATATGGGAAACCCATGTATTGCACCAGAGTTATTTGTGACGATCTTAACCCTGTGTGGGAGGAGTCCGCGGCTCTTTTAGTATCTCCAGAGATCATTAAAGCCGACGAACAACTAAGTATTGAATTATGGGATTCTGATCGAAACACGGCTGACGACATTGTCGGCAAAGTCGAACTTTCGGTTCAGAAGATGATTCAACACCCTGGGAAAATGTACCGTATGGTGTCCAAACTGTGCGGGATGGATGTTGGCTCTGAGATGCCGGGAGAACTTCACTGGGAAGTTGGTTACTTTGGAAAACCGCGCATGCGACAGCAATTGCGAACTGATGGAAAGAGTAAAGACTTACCAGGCAAAATGAAAGATGATCCAAAGTTACAAGACGAGATGGGCAATATTATGAATGAAGATCAGGATGCTGTGATGCATACTCCACCGGATCCTCTCTGGCCAAGTGGAATATGTAGTATAGTTGTTCATCAGATTGTCAACCTACAATTTGCAAGAATCAAGGGAACTCTGGGGAACCGAAAAGGCCGCGATTATGATCCAGCTCGAGAATATGGCGAGAATACGGATGAGGAAGGGAAAGATCTGCCAACGAGTTATTGCACAATAATGTTGAATGACAATTTGGTGAGCTCCTTGGATAACTTACCAATTCGGGCATAGGCTAATAACTATCCAGGTGTATCGAACACGGGCCAAGGCTGTTTCAAGCAAACCCATTTTCAATGCCGGCACCGAAAGGTTTATTAGAGACTGGCGGTCTGCTCTCATCACTATCGTAGTGCGTGATCAGAGATACCGCCAGCACGACCCTATTTTAGGAGTTGTTCCCCTCAAACTCTCTAATATATTACAGTCTCGATCGCAAGTAACAAGATGGTACCCTCTGGATGGTGGTGTTGGTTACGGCCGCATTCGTGTGTCGTTATTGTTTCAAAGTATAGAAACTCGCCTTCCGCGCCAGCTCCTTGGCTGGGATGTCGGTACTTTTGAGCTGCTCTCTGACCGTCTTATTGCCAAGGGGTTTAATCAAACTTTCAAAATAAAACTGCGTACAAGTGGGAGCGCTTGTTCAATTCCTCGATCCGCCTGTCACCCTCTCAAAGATCAAAGTGGATTCTATGTTGATTTGACTTCAGAAGCCTTGAAGCATGATACCCGCCTACCAGTACAGCATCGCTACAGATCTGCAGTAGTCTTAGAGCTACATGGCAGCGGCAGCTCTGATACAGGTTTCGTTATCATCTGGCTGCAAGATATTACAGACAATGAAACTGCCGTTCTCAACTTGCCGATATGGACAACCAGAAATCCGCAACGACTAACCCAAAATTTCATCAAGGAGGATAACTGTGAGCAAAAGCGCAGTCCTGGCCTGGAAGATTTGACGATAGTGGGCCGGTTAGAAGTGTCGTGCCGTTTCTCACCTGGGTTGAGTGATGCGCATGAGTCTCTAGTCACTGACAATACTATGAGAGAGACATACGAAGCTTGGGAAGCTTGTATTGCTGAAGGTGTCCGCGGACGAAAGATCGTGGCGGAAGTTCCAGATCATATCAAACAGCTGCATGAAAAGGCATTACTGAACGACATAGGTGGGCTAGGAACTCAGAAAATTGAAAAGGAAGAAGGCCATAATGATCAATGGTACCGTGAGCATGGTTTTGACTGGTCACTAGCATTTGGTGAAGATCCAAGTGCTATTGCCGACTTTAGTCGAAGTCGTGATGACGACTCCGATGACATATCCGAAAGCCTCCAGGCTGAGAGCTTAGATACTCAAAATCAAGAGAATGTCGAGAAAAATGATACCAGCGAACCTACAACTCAAGCAAATGACTCTCAACGCACCGACGAGGACAGGAATGAGATTGAGTCTATGACCACCAACACAGATTCTCACGCCGGAGATTTTGAAACGAAGGAAGAGCGGCGTCAGCGTTTAGGCAATAAGCAAAATAAACGGACAGAGAAGCGCAAGCTTCGGGGTTCCATGCAATGGGCACCGGTGCGAAACGCAGCATTCGTGAAAGACGAGGCCACCTTTGCTTTGAAAAAGGTGAAACACAAAATGACTGGTGGGCTGGTAGGAAGGGAACCTGATATTGAAACCGAAATCGGATGAGGTTAGGCTAATAGAGCACCAGTTCCTTGTTGAACGTTTGAACCTTGAAACACGTATTCTTATACTCACTTCCCTAGGCAGAGCTACTTTATCGCCTGTATATACATACAATTATGGAGCATTTTTAACTTGTTGCTTTCTTTTATGCACAAAGATAAACAAATTTGATTGCATTGCTTTTACTATGTCGTCAGTAGACTCAGATCATTCGGGTATCTGACAGTTAACCCTTATGTCAACTTCGAGCAGGTATGAAGACTCTGGTGTGAACTGGGTTGCCACTACCAAAAGATGGCATTTATGCACATGTTAACTGGTTAGCCATGATGATACTCCGTAGCAGTCGTATTTCGCATGATTCTACTAGGGATTGGAACTATCCTATTGGTCTGGCATCCTATGTATGCTTCCCGAAACTTCGACTTTTTTGGGTCTGCATCAATCGACATTGCTGAAATTCCCCCTGACTCCGATTTCGGCAAGAGAATCCCGAATATGTTCATAGGTAAGTTTTTCTTTTCTTTTCTTTTTTGACTAATGCCAGCTGTTAGAGCCTGGCTTCATCAACTAGTCAAACCAGGGCCTAGATGGAAGGGTAGCGGATATTCTGAACGACGTTGGAATGGGGCGAGCTCGGCCACCAGTGGTTGAATATCTATCCTAGTGCCAGCACAACTTCAGCATATGAAGGCTAATATAAAATGTTGGTCAGATCATAAAGCAGGGAGGTAAGCTGATTAAAGGGATAGTTCAAGGAAATGATAGTTCTCCGGACTCCGAACTCCGATACTAGACACAATATTCTTTGAAGAGTACTGCCCTGCTAAAACACCATCCGCAGGGTATATTTTAGAATGGATGAATCCGAGTCAGCCCACGTAGTTGCTTAATCACTGCAAGAAATGATAAACCCTGAGTGGGAGAAGAAACGAGAGCGTTTGAAATACGGTAGAGATTTTCAGCAAGGCAGACTACGAGCAAGAAGTCAGTTTAACTCAGTGGTAACCTCATTTTGTTGAGAGGTTACTAAATATATGTGTGTGCATACGTATGCATACAAGTCGATTTCGAGGTTGCTGTTTTCTATGAGCATCAAGACTGGGGTTTGGGAAGGGATGACAGAATCAATCGGAAATATCCTTCGCATCAAGGAATACGAACTCCAGCCCAACACGTCAAGGTTCGTTTACCAAACATATGCGGATACGATGTGACGTGAGCGAGGAATACGTCAAAGAACACTCATGCAAGGGGTGAATTTTCTGGAAGGAATTCTGGGCTTTGTTGGAATATCATGCATGTGTTTCAAGAGCGAGTCCACGTGGACGGACAGCCTCAGCGGTCCCGAAATCGTCTTGGATAACTACACGCGATTTGCACCAAAGCTAAAGCAGCTTTCTGGTTCTAATGCTGACGTTGGGTGGTCGCATGGCTCAATTGGCGGCAACAGTTTTAACGGCCACGAGCGCGTGGAGCTTTTTTGCATAGTTCCGTCAAAAGACGCTTAAATGTAGAAAGGTGTCTTGAGAACCCGTACGACAGCGATGATTAATGGCTGGCAGAAGATGTTTTTTATGGTCATAGAAAGCCGAAGTGTCTCGGGCCGTGTGGCAAGGACGGAAAGAAAGCGCCCTAAAGATGGTAGCCAATATACCTTTATAGACCAAGACAGACGGGGATGCTGAGAATGAAAAATGCCTTCTGCTAAACTCAAGCTCGATAGAGCTAAGATGTGTATCTAAATTTCAGCACAAATTCCGCTCCCTGAGACCTTTTTTTCGCACTTCTGCAAATAGACCATATGCAAGGCATCTCAAGTATGAAACCAAGCTAAGTAGATATCCGCCAAAAAGAAATAAAAGTCCACCTACGCCATGACGACCGATACATGCCAGTTTTGTAGTCAGCCAGTAACCAAAATGTGAAAATACTCTAGGGGGAGAAATAATAATAAAGAAAAAGTATAGAAAAGAAAAGTAAGAGATGGAAGAATATCATGTCAAAAATATAAAGTCCAAAAAAAAGTTCCCATGCATCTGAAGTAATTTACGGATTTCTAGAGAACAGGGTTCACGTCGAGCTTCAGTGGAATTGAAGGGTGCGTAGAGCTGAGGAGGGTGGCAGGTGTTGGCCTCCCCTCCTCCTGCAGCAATCGAGGCTCTATCGGTTCTGGTGCCGCATCAATCCCGCTCCCATGGCACGTCATCTGCACGTGACCATCTTTAATCGGACCTAGAGTCCATCGCCATTGCCGTTGACGTTTACTGCGACGGGCAATCGGTGTCTGCGGCGTGATTGGTTCTTCATTCGGGCGAGGCGCAATGTCACGAAGTCCTGCAGCGCGAACTTGACGTGTGTACCGGCTATGCTTCTTTCGTTTCCCCGGGGTTTCTGTTTCCTTACAAAAAATAGGCTCTTCGTCTGAAGCACTTGACGAATCAGAGATATCCGAACCTGACTCACCCTCTGAGGAAGATGAAGGCGTTGCCGATGAATCCGAGGTGAGATCGGAATGTCTATCAGTAAATCGTACTGTTTTAATCTCTTCGTCGATCGGGAACCGATAAGCTACTCGTTTCTTCGCGGGAAATAGAATCCTGCGTCCATTCCCGGGGCCGTTCGACGCGGAAGCCGATAGGGAAGCGCGTCTGAGTGAGCATACAGGAATAGGAGAATTTCGTAATATACCCCGAATGCCTAGTGGAACCTGGTACGGGAGCCCATCGTAACTATGGCGACTTTGGCTCATGGGCGCACAGTCCAGTTTCGATGCATTATAATCTCTCATCGGGGCATCATTTCTAGTCCTGGACGCCGGAGAGGATGTGCGCTGATAGGCATCGAAAGCGTTTTTAAAGGTGTTTCTGACAGTGGGTGAAGGTGAGCAACCGGCGGAGCGGTTAAGCGATAGACCTGTTGTTGAGTTCCCAAACGAAACGGGGAGACATGACGTCTGAAGTGATAGTTTCGGGCGTTTATTCGTAGAATTCGGGTTGCTGTGAATTATAGGAGGGGAAGGGGTTGTTGGGGCAGTAACGACGAGCATGGTGTTAGGGATAGAAGAGCTTTGAGATTGTTTAATGGCTTGTGCGACGGGCGGGTTCGAGGAGGATAAGGAGGAGCTTTCTGGAGTACTTGAATCGGTGTTATGTATACGTGGGTGCTGGCTTTTCACCGATATCGTAAGCATTCTGAATAGGGAAGTGAGCCAGCAGCTGAGAGAGTTTAAGACTCCGCATCCAGGTTCAGTATCAGCGACTGAGAACGGTTGAGGCGTATGCATGGAAACGAAACAACGGAGGTGATAAATATAGAGCTGGTGGGTGTATCCATAGTGGCGGGCGTCTGAAGCGGCCAATCTACTGCAAAGAAATCATTGTTGTATAAGTATTCTGAAATGGGGCGATTGTTTTTTATAGAACGTTTGTTTCAAAGGAAGGGGTAGCAGGAAAATATTATGTTGTTTTGAAAGGCGCCTAGCTCGACTGTGCATGATAAGTATGTTCATGGGCAGGAGGGCAAGGGGGGGGACCTTTTTTCTCAGAAAAAAGGTGTTTCATCCATGTGTCTTTTGATTGGGAAAACATCATCTCCTTCGCGGGAGCTGGCCGGCGAGGTGTAGATATAAAAATAAAAATAGTTGAGCAGAGGGGAAAAAAAAAACAATTTAAAATCGGGGAGTTTATTTTAGTGCTGTGGAGGAGCACACTGTTTATCACCAGCCTGGCCATTATTTGAGGGGCGCGATCTCCCAATTATCGGCGGCGTGATGGGTCTCGCTGTCACCTTTTTTGCCGCAAAGGGCTCGTTACAATGCCACTGTAGATGTGGAACTTTTCCAAGCTTCTGGTTGGTGCAGAACGCTGCGCGCCGCGAAAGTTCTTTTGATGCCGTCCAGTCTTTGCTGCAGGTCTGTTGGTTCCACTCACCGCTAGTCAAATGTATATTTTTAGTTCTCTTGGGCGCTGGCGTTGGGCCAATCGCATCATTTCTGCCGGTGATTTTCCCTCGGTCTCTGTGCGGACAGAAGATGGATCCAGGCTCTCCCTTGGGGAAGAGGATGGCCTTTTTCGTAGGGCAATCATGGGGGTGTTCGCGGCATGAAAGTATCAGAGCATATACCTTGCCCATTAATTATTATTATTGAGGAGCCCGAAAGAACAAGTGAGCATCCTGACTCGGGCCTGGACCTCGAGCTAATTCCTTGCTCGTACTCTGTCCTTCGTATTATTATCGCCATCAACCCCGAGGCCGCCAATAATTTGTGACACTACATTCGCTGGTCGAGGCCAAACAATAGGAAGCGGGATACACAAAAGAAACCAGTGGAAGGCTGCTGGATCTTCAATTTTTGCTTGGTCAAGTTTGTACGCTGAAGAGGTGAGAAAGCGCCTCCCTAGGCGGTCATGATTTCCGTGATTCCGGGTAACATGCTCAAGCTCGTAGTGGTGGATGAAATTTGATCAACACATGCCGAAATGTAATTGTGGGCATCATTGAGGGGCAGCTAACAGGGCCATCCTGGTCCTTATTCCATGATCTCCTTCAGGGAGCGAGCGGTTAGCGTGACAATGGGAAACGGCGTGGTCGAAGGAAAACTTCTTCTGGAAGCAAAGTCCCGAGACATTTTATGACTGCCTGGTTCCAAGGCTTGCGATAACGTAGAGAGAGAGTGCAGGTAGCCAGAATATGTATTTCGCTTCGGTGTTCGCGGGCGAGACGAGACGTGTGTTGCTAAAAATAAGTGCCCTGGCAGGTGTGGATAGCGCTAAACCTTTTCTGGTCTAGGCGGCGGACGTGTCATTAAACGCTCGTTCACGCACTCTGCCTGTTCACCTCCACTCCTCGATCCTCCAGCGATCTTCGCTGGTCCTTCCAAAATTATTGAATCACACTCCGCAAGGTGAGCTCCCACTTATGAGATACCAAGCCCGACCCCGGAGACGAGGATAAGGCTAGCAGAGAAGTGAAGGTCATTTTTGGGTGTCGTACGCTCCTCTTTTAGCTGGAGACGCACGTAAAACAAATTCGCTGGAGTCTCAGAGGAAGGCCAAGCAGCGGGAGAGCAAGGGCCTCTGCAACCAGTGGCATTGGGCCTACGTAGGGCAAATGTCACCTTTTACGGTAGTTAGTGGGAGGCTCTGGTATAATAATACGCAGCAATGAGAGCACCCCATATGGGTCGAGCATTGACAACAGTACTTGACACATGGCCGCCACCAGAAAAACATGCTACCATAGCCATGTAACTGCTCCGTGCCTATTATTATTATGTGTAAAAGCCTGTATCTTCATGTTCCTGGATCAACAGTTCTCCACTCCAAACCGCCAACTCCACCCTCCACCGGACTGATGAGCATTCGGAGGTAAGATTTCTCTCCAATACCTGTTCCGGTATGGCGCACGGAGGAGCGTAATGAATATCTCATCATATTCATGGATACTTCACCCCAGTTGCATGATTAAGGCTCCGTCCCCATATTTCACCGATGAACCATGGCTATAACGAGTTCCACCTTCCTGACTCGAGGCAACTTTGATCCCCCGTCACCAATGATCCATATCAAAACCTACATACTGGCTATCATGTGAATTCGAAACCTGGTCCTACTGTCTTTTACTCAGCTGTAAGAGCTATGAACACTATCACGATTATATCGTTCCAGAGGTCACGGTATATATGATAGATATATCTGTGACGCATCGGCTACAATTCTAGCTTCTAGTACCAGCTGTATAATCCGGGCCGAGTCGCCGACCCCCCCTCAAAAAAAAAGTTAGCTAACCTCGCAAACGTTCCAACTGCAAGGACTTTGTTCTGTCAATGAACGAGACTTGCCTTACCGGCCGCTCGCGTGGCTTTCAAGCTCCGATCTTGATCTCGAAACTAGGGCTGGTAATGACAATCCACTGCGCCGAGTATGTATGTATAGAGCTTGATTACATAGTGAGCAACTTGGCACGAATGTAATGACGCGGGTGGCCGGCTCAAAATTCAAAGCGAGGTTCTTGGTGTTCTGCTCAATGATCTACTCTGCCATGTTTCTTGGGGAAAGGAATAAAATGGCCTCAACAACGCTACTCATGCATATTCAAACAACGCCGTGGGATTGATAGGGAATCAAGCTTTACGATTCACAACCCAAACAGGGTTTCAAACGGCACCGGGAGAGCAACGGCGGCTACTCGCCCCTGTGTGCCTAATAAATGCAGCTAGGTCCGTATGTGAGCAAAGCCGTACGCCAAATCGGTAGTCGAGTTCGGTAGTTGCATGCGAAGACACCAGCGGCAGACAGACGTGTGGCTGCGTGCCAATCGGAGGCTGCTTTACAGATGTCCGAAGGTTGGCTACCTTGCATATTCTATATTACCAATCGACAGAGCCGTGCGTTTTATAGGACAGAGAGGACAGCAGAAAGGTGTGTTTGATCAACGCCGGCCTCGTTTTTGCTCCACCGAAGCAGAGTAACTTGACTTCCCGCCGTGCGACGGCGTCACGTCCCGCGGATGGTCAGCTAGCTCAACCAATTAACTACCAGTAAGACTCTTAACCGTACATCGAGTCAAGCAGAGGCAGGGACATACAAGAGTGCATATCGTACCGGCGGCTGGTAGCGTAGCTTGATGTCCAATCCATATGCAGTCTGGAGTACGGAGCTCAGGCGGGAGTACGGTGCCTTGAAGCCCGGTCAGAGAGCCGAAAAGAGGAGAAAACGCACATGCTGCTGAATTGCTCCGATGGCCCTTGGCCCAGGCCAGCAAACTCTGGCCGCGAGAGCCGTGATCCTGCACCCTCGAGGCGTAAGCACCTCAGGCGAGCGCGGAGTTGATGGGGTGCGGTCCGTGCGGCCAAGACCTTTGGTGTGTGACAGCTGGGCCGCCGTCGCACTTCCAGCTCATGACCACGACAACCCCGACGAGAGAGACGACAGCGCTACGCACACCACCGTCCTCCCCCTGGCTGCTTTGTCTCGTGTGCCCCTAACCGTCGCTCGAAATGTGATTCATCTTCGGCGAGTCTGCTGCCGATTGTCACCCCCCTGCCGGGTCCCCACGCTGTGTCTCCGGGATTTGTCTGGAAATAATAAGATTGCCGTCATACGATGTCCCTTCTTCGAAGGCAGGGAAGCCTCTGCAGGGATGATAGGAGGGTCATCATTCATTTTGTTAGCTCACCTTCTCCTACAACCCTGCTTTTTCATTATGCGCCTTGATGATCTTGTGGTTTATTCCGTTGCGCGTTTTGATATCATCTTGCGTCTAACCCTAGCCAGCTGGACGTTTCATGCCTTGGAAAGGAGAAGAATAGTCCGGCAGCGGTAGCTAATTGGTGTTCTCTTCACAATCTATGACGTCTGCCATCTATGCACCTCTTTGATCTCCCGGTGTGAACTTGCCTTGTTCTTCCGCAGCACATTCGTTAAGACAGCATTGATGGGACATCTGGCTGATGGACTTCTTGCATCCCAATCCATGTTAGCTGGATTGGGCTCTTTGCAGTTTCTTTCCTTGTGATTAGGACTATGATTGTTTCTACGCATCAGTTTTCGAGGTCGAAAACCCGGCTTTGAAATCTCTCCCGCTTGCTGTTCAGCAGAAGCAAATTGTTGTCACTTGTAACTACGAAGCTCGGCGACGCGGGCTCCGGAAGCTCCAGCTCATTAAAGAGGCGAAGAAGGTCTGCCCCGATGTAGTAATTGTGCTTGGCGAGGACCTGACCAGGTTCCGTGATGCGTCGAAAGAATTGCACTCTTTCCTAAGAAAATGCGTGTGGAATGACTTTGCAGAGAAATTGGGGTTCGATGAGGTGAGGACAGGCCCTCTATGAACAGACCGGGGAGACATTCACAACAAACCACTGTTTACTTACATGGAACCATCCAAAATCTACAGGTTTTTCTTGATGTCACCGCAATGGTAGACTACAATATTCAATTTTTGAATTTCAATAACCTCCAATCTTCTTTTTTTCAGCTCGACAAGAATGACCCAACCGTGGGATTCGCGTTTGATGCTTCCATGTTTTGTGGGCCTACCTATCCTACTGAGAAGTCATCTATTTTGAGTCGTCAAAAACTGGCAGGGCAACTGGTGCTCTCAGATTCATTAGACATACGGCTGATATTAGGCTCACATCTTGCAAATTATCTACGACATCAGCTGGAAGAGCACACCCGTTACAGTGCCACAGTTGGTGTTTCCACATCAAAGTTGTTGGCTAAATTAGTTGGAAATGTAAACAAACCCCGAAGCCAGACCACACTGATACCCCCATATTTGACAGAGGATTGTGAGCAAAATAACATCCTGAAGTTTCTTGATCCACATGAAATTGGAAAAATTCCTGGAATTGGATTCAAAATGGCAAGTCGTATTAGAGCTCATATACTAGGCCGGCAATCTAAATCTGGAATATACCAAGAACTGAGTGCCAGTGATAAAGTCACTGTTGGAGATGTACGTTTATTCCCAGGTATGGGACCGCCAAAGCTAGATCATATTTTAGAAGGCGGTGGGTGGCCAAAGGATATTGGCACCAGAGTTTGGTATTTGCTTAATGGGGTTGAGGATACAGCAGTGGCGCAGGGTAGAAATATTCCTTCTCAGATCAGCATCGAGGATTCTTATGCGCAACTTGATTCCATACAAGCTGTCCAAAAGGCGGTAACTCTACTCGCCCACAGCCTCCTTCGCCGCATGCATGCAGATCTGACAGAGGAAGATGGCTCAGAAGATGATCGTATGCGCTTAGAAACTACAGAAACGGCAACCAAAAAGAAAAAAAAGTGGCTAGCACAGCCACGCACGCTGCGTCTTTCTACTCGCGCACGTCCTGTGGCATCTTTAAATGGAAGTCAATCCTTCCAAGGCAACAGAATATCTAAGTCATGTCCAATGCCCCAGTTTATTTTTTCCTTCACGGAAAATGCACAGACACTGTCTCAGCGTCTCGTGGAGGATACGATTATACCTCTTTTTCGAAGGCTCCACCCGGATAAATCTGGGTATAAGCTCAGCCTCATCAACATTGCGGTAACGAATATGCTTGAATGTGCTGGCACTGACAAGGGCAGCATAGGCCAAGACATTGGGAAGCTGTTTCGAAGCCGAGAGAATGAGGCAACGCCGCGTTCATGGCCTGGAAGCGCGAATGAGGACCGAGCGCCGAAGCCGGATGGTCTGGGCATCGACAACCTTGGTAGGCCGGGTTTGCCACTGGATGACCACAATCACCGTCGACCACATCACGTATCCACGCCGATTATGGATGCTGCGAATCCCAACCAGCACGGCGAATCTGAGTGGGCGAGCGACGAGGACATCGGTAGCAACGACTCAGCCACTCCATGTGACGAGTGCCCGAAATGCGGTGCGCTTGTACCTTGCTTTGCGGCCCATGCCCATGCCATATACCACTCAGTACAGCAAAAAGAATAATACGGCGTATTGAGTTCCGATTTTTCTTTCGGATCTTCACAATTACGCAGGCCCAGAGTTGAAGTTTTCCACTGCCAAGAGTACCTTCCAACTTCAACCGTTTAACGATACTTTTAGGTAGATTTTAAGTAGGTGTTAAGACCAGAAACAAAAATTTAATACTGCTAGACTCAGGCGCTAGATATCATCGGTTTTCTAGATATGAGAATGAAGCCTGCAGTATTTTGGTTGTTAACTAATGTTAGCTAAAGCTATTGTTGGTAGTTAGCATAAAAAAATCATGCCTTTCTGGATGGCAACAAACATACTGGATTGGTGGCAGCCGATATGTTCTTGAAATTAAATGGCTACTATCTCCAGAAAGTGCCATCCGCAAACGAACCGCATAACAAAGATCTTGCAAATGCTCAAATCGCAGCTGTCACAAACCAATGGATCCCCGAGCGTCTGGGACAGTATTATAAGTCTGTGTCGACACCTTTGGGCTAGTTAGTGAATAGAAGAGAACAACAACTCATCCGCCAGATCCTAGGTACTTGCCTCATAGCGTCGCCAATGCATTGAGAGTACTGGCACGAGCATATGAAGATAATCTTGCCAAACCCCCAACCATGCGTGTTTTATAAGTATGCATTGGTGCCGTCGGATCTTTGAAAGACTCTCTGGGCAAATTCTAGCAAATAGTTTCTTTTCTGTCCCGCAATTTATCTGAAAGCCCTCTAATTCCAGGGAAGCGGGTTCAACATATAAACCTTTGGCTTTAATCCCAAATTTTTAGCTATACAGTCTTTTACCGATAACATCACATACCCTTCAACTGTTCTAGCACATATTTTAGGCTCTACCCAGTGGCACTTGCTTTCTCAGCAAATTCGGGTACCTCAATTTTAGGATACTGCGGAAGTATAAATTCTACGCGTTTATCTGGACTTACCTTCTGGAGTTCCGTCGAATACAATTTTATGCATCTTTCCGCTCAGAATGCCGATTCTTCAGAATGTGTCATACAAAAATATTAGTTTATATTTAGTTGTACTAGTAGCAAAAGTTGAATTTTGGAGACCACTGCCTCGGAGAGGCCAATAATGATTTGGCGGTAACCAGGTTCCCTTTCATGTCCAGGTGGATGAAGTCTGTAGTAGCATGATGAAAAGGCCGAGTGACCGAGCCCGGCTGGAGATGTTTGCGGTGAACAATCTACGGGTGCGGCGAAACATTTTGATGTACTTGTGAATTGGTTGAATGCCTGATGAAGGTTCACATTTGCAGGGGTTGGTGTGCATAGAATTGCAACCAACAACGCTTCCCAATACGTCCAATAGCTTAACTAGCTACATTCACACTTAAAGTGATCCTACATACCGAGTACTATTGGGGGTTTCTACCCTGTGCTTTGTGGAAAAAGCACAATATTAGTTTCCGCTCTACAACATATAGTCTCCGTATTCGGTCCACGATGCCGTATCGGCTAGGCTAAGCCAAGTCCTTTCGGCGCGTGGGCCACAGACAGTGAGGCTTGGAGATGCCAGGTTAGAATTAGCTCGTGTCTATGCGAGCACAAGATGTCCACCCAAGCCGGGTATCTCTCTAGGCGAGACCCAGCCGGGATGGATTGATTTGCGGGCTCGCGGGGTGCTCGGTAGACTTGCAGGTGCCAGGACGTTGAGTGCAGCCAAGCCACAAACCGACCTGGTAACTAGTCGACATCTCCCTAGGCGTTACTCGCCATCGTCCGCCTTTTTTGCCCTCTTTTTATAGGCAGATTGACCAACAGGAGCCGGGAATTATGCAAGGAAGAAGTGCCATATGCTTTTCGCCCAGCAAGTGATCAACCCAGCCTCCCAGTTCTTTTCGTTATTGACCTGTCCAAACCACCTCTGTCTCTTCTGATTGCGTGATTATACCAGTCTTTAATACTGTTATCTGGACATGAATCAAAGGCATCGACGCCGACATCTAGATACCCGCAGAGATAAGAGACAGCCCATGTTTCCAAAATGATATCCCACGTTGTAGCCGTAGCAGCAGCCGCCTTGTTGTTGAGCAGAGCCGCGATGAAACTTTTCAAGAGTACCAGCTTTCCGGGATAGTAGAAGTTACGCACCCTGGTGAACTGGCCGCCCGCAATGTCGCCCAGGTGCTTGGGAGGAGCAAGGTCTACGTAGTGGGCGCGGATCAGCAACAGTTTCAAGGCACGGAGCTCCGGTGAAGAAAACTCGAAACGGAGAGAGTTCAAGTCGAGCATGTAGTATTGCTGGGCAACGCTCGCGTGGATTCTCTGGATGGCAGGGTTGTTGCACGCTTCGATCAGTCTGGGATCGAGGGTGCCGTACGACCAAGGCGCGGTGCGACAGCCAGCGTCCACGAGCATGCGGGCCGCAAGGTCGAACTGCCCAGCGGTGGGGATGATCATGATACTCTGTAGGGGGAACGAGTTGGTTAGCGGTTATGGGAAGCAGAAATGCGTAGACAGCATACGTTCACGGTGGTTGGCGCGCCGAGTTGCGCGAGGGCGACCTCCCCCCAGACGACCAGCTCGAGCGAGCTCAATGTTTCATGGAGGAAAGCTAGAGCAGGCCTGACGACTGACATCTGGCCGGGCAGCGGTCGAACGAGCACCGGGCTGACTGGCGCTGGTTTGATGCCGGGAGAGCTGGGGACGGGTGGCTGAAGCAGTGAGCTGGCGTGAAGCGTCTAAGTTGAACTGGAAACTGACGGGAGGTCCAAAGCTACCACTAGATGCGCTGCGGGCTGTCCATGGATTTCTGACGGGCAGAACCAGAGTCGGCTCCGCTCGTAGACTCAAATGCAAACGACGCCAGGGGGATTGTAAACGGCCACGCCGACGACATGTGGAATGCGAGCTGCTGCGAGCACACCAGAGGGCAGGAGAGAGCGTGAGATGGTTAGAACAAGCTGACACGCGCGGTGTATCACGATGCCGGCGCCCAGGAGACGCCGTTTCCCGGCAGCTGTTGTAATAACACCAGAGCTACGATGCTGGCGTCTTGTTCCTCGTGCCCGCGACTCCTGGTGTTTGGTGGCGGCGGATCAGGAGCGTCGCGTTATGCGCTGGACGTTCCAGAGCGGGTTGACGGCGTCGGGCGTCAGCATCGCCGGCTCTCTCGCTCTCTGACTTCGTCTCTCTACAATCTCTCTATGACTTGTTCTTTCTTTCGTTCTTCCTTTCTGGCTTCGCTCATTTATTATTGCTATTATCCATCTCCTTGTCGCTGTCTCAAGGGCCTGCGCCACACTCCACGTCACTGGCTGTTCGCCTGCCCTACGCCGCCCGTCCAGCCCCCATTCCTCCCCGACAACCCAACCTCGACCCCCTCAAGGCGCCGCCAAGCGTATCACTTACGACAGCGCCCCCGGCCAAACTCTGTGTACCCGCCCGCTTGATCGAAGATCTCTTCTTGCCGTTCTTCTTATTTCGCCTGCCCATCGCAGATACCAGCCGGCCGATTATTATTGACTCTGCTGCCAATATCAGTGCCTCACTGCCCCATCCAAGCGCCGCGATCCATCCCATAATACGGAGTACATATCCTACTGGTGGCCCACGGCTGCTTTGGAATCACTATTAAGTCGTGTTGCAAGCTACTAGTTACTCCACCTGCCGAGGGCTGAGCTGAGCATCCCTTATTAACGAGTATTTTTCATCCTCCGGCGCAGCAAGGCTGGGGCCTTTTGTCGACAAACTCGCTCCCCCTTCTTGCTTCTTCTAGTTATCTATCCGCTTCGTTTATCTTCTAGTCAACTAAGCGCTGTTCGTGTCGCTTTGATGCCGTCGAGATTCCAAGGATCTTGTTAGTATAACGACTCGCCGGATAAGAACCCGGCCCGCTCCTTCGTCAAGATCCCGCCCTTGCCCGGGAGCCCTCATCCACCCAACTCTCGTTATGAAGCTTTCCACCTATCTGGTTCCAGCTGTGGCCAGTGTCGTATCGTTTTTTTCCCTAAATGTATCTGGTGTGTCCTGACTCTGCACCCTCTTCTTGATTCTGTTCTTGCTGACGCGTGCACACCTCCAGCACATGCCTATGGCAGGGACAGAATTAACTATGTTTCTCTGGTTGAGGAACCTGTCATCAATACCCCCTCTCACCGGGTGAATGCCCTGTCAAATTTTGATATCACATTTTCGTTACATCGCAAAAACCAAAGGATAAAACTGAGCCTGGAGCCCAACCATGACATCCTTGGCTTCGAACCCGAGTTCCAGTTCGTTGACAACAACGGAGATCTTCAGCGAACCGAGCCCATCGACAGATTTGAACACAAAGTCTACAAGGGGTGGGCATGGATCCAGTCAGGTGGCGGTTGGGAGCGATCCGGATGGGCGAGAATCGTCGTTCGCGAGGATGGGACATACCCCCTATTCGAAGGCACCTTCACCATCATGCACGACCATCATCACATCATGCTACGGTCTAACTATGTCCAGACAAGGCAGGATCTGGACCCTGTCGTGGAAGATGCCCCAGAAGAATACATGATTGTTTTCCGTGACTCAGATGTTGGTCGAGAGATACATGAACATCTTAAGCGATCGTCGCCCATAGAACGGGGGTGTGGTGCTGACTCTCTTGACTTCAATACAAACCCAGACCATCCTATTTTTCGCCCAGTGGTGAAGCGTGACCAGAGCAACTGGGCTTCAGTACCTCTTGAACTAATGTTTGGTCTTAGCAAGCGGCAAAGTGATACCTTTGGTGGGAATTCTGGTGGCCCTGTTAACGTTCGCCAAACAATTGGCAACACAGCTGGTTGCCCAAAAACAAGAAGGGTTGCACTGATTGGTGTTGCAGCCGACTGTGAATACACAAAATCATTCAATTCATCAGTCCAGCAAGCCCAACGCAATATCGTTACTGTGGTGAACACTGCCTCCCAGATCTATGAACAAACATTTAACATTACTCTTGGCCTGAAAAAAGTACAAGTACTCCCTGGTGATTGTCCATCCACTCCACCAACCTCAGCCCCATGGAATGCTGTATGTGGGAGCCCTGCGAGCCCTGGAATTGATATTACCCAAAGGCTGAATCTCTTCTCTGCCTGGAGAGGTGAACAAAGAGATGACCATGCATTTTGGATGCTGATGACAACTTGCAACTCAGGCCCTGAGGTCGGTTTGGCGTGGTTAGGCCAGCTGTGTATTAATACTGCTGTCCAACAATCTGGCGCCAACAACGCATCACAATCAGTTAGTGGCACTGGCGTTGTCGTACGAACTCCACAAGAATGGCAGGTCTTCGCCCACGAAGCAGGTCATATTTTTGGCGCAGTGCATGACTGTGATTCCACCCTTTGCCAATCGCAGAGAAATGTAGCAACATCTCGTTGTTGCCCATTGACTGCAGATACGTGCGATGCCAGCGGCAGATTTATCATGAACCCAACTTCTGGACGAGGCATTACTGAGTTTTCCCCTTGTACCGTCGGCCAGGTTTGTACATCGATGTCCCGAAATAGTATTCGAACAAGCTGTCTCACAAACAATCGCAATGTCGTTACTTATGCTGGCAGCGAATGTGGCAATGGTATTGTCGAGGAAGGTGAAGACTGTGACTGCGGTGGAGATGCACTCTGTGGCAATAATCAATGCTGTGACCCCAAAACCTGCAAATTCCGCAATGGCGCTGTCTGTGATGATTCTAATGAAGAATGCTGCCGTGGCTGCCGTTTCTCATCATCCGACACTGTCTGCCGAGCCAGCACTGGCCCTTGTGACCCGGAAGAGAAGTGTCCGGGTAACTCTGCTATATGCCCTAAAGATACTCACAAGGCTGACGGTGACGGCTGCGGAAACGGACTAGCTTGCGCGAGCGGTCAGTGTACGAGCAGAGATATGCAGTGCAAGGTCCTTATGGGCGGTCGATTGGGGAGCAATGACACTCGAGCCTGTGATTCTTCGAGTTGTTCGTTGACCTGTGTTTCTCCTGCCCTGCCTCCAGGTGTTTGCTCGAGCGGGATGCAATATTTCCTGGATGGAACGCCTTGTCTGGCTGGTGGAAGATGTCGAAATGTAAGTTTATAAAACCCCCTCCCAGCCTTTTTCTTAATCCCGTTAAATGGAGCCATACTTATAATTGTGTTTTTGGTTAGGGTATCTGTGATGGAAGCTCTTTTGGAAAGGAGATCAAGTCCTGGATCGACCGAAATAAGACTATCGTCATCGGTGTTTCCGCCGGTGTTGGTGGTCTTCTACTTCTTAGCATTTTAATCTGCATCGTACGCCGATGTCGAAAACCAAAGCCCAAAAATAGAAAAATGGCACCCATGAGTGTTGCAGGCCCGCCAGAAATGTGGCCTAACTCCATGCCTCCTCCTGGTCAATATAACCAATACAATCGTGGCCCCCCTCCCGCTCCGCCACAAGATGTTCCTCCGGTGTATGCGCCACCAACCTACTCGCAAAATTATCAGCGCGGCGGCATGCCTTCGCCTCGTTATGCATAATCGTTTTTGTTGCTCTTCATAAAACGGTGATTTATGACTATATGACCTGCACTGTCGTTTGCTCATCTATTCCTTTTTTTATTCTTTGAAATACCGCACAGTATTCCTCATTTTTGAGCGTTCCATACACAACACCACACTTCAATGCCATGCCTTGTTCTCCTGCCTTAAGCCTTGGGTAAACAGCAACTCACCGCCACATTGGCCCTGAACAGTGCAAGTACTTTCTAGTTTATCTGCACATACCCTTTCGCCCTACCATCCATCCCATTTTCTATTATCACATCCTTGTTCATCTTGATTTCTGCCTTGTATAAAGGTAGAGATGACACTTTTTCATGTTGAACCTCTTTGACTTTGGAATAATACTTATCCGGGGTAAGGCATGTGGTAACAAGGCGTGTCTTTTTCTTGTCCATAGTCGCATTTGCATGGGAACTCGGATTTTCAAAGATTTTTGCTACATTTGGTTTTGTGTTTCCTTTTCAGCTTTGATGGATAGCGTACTGATGGGATCACTGTTCCCAATGCTTGTTTAGACACACATTTTGATAGTACCTAACCTAGCTTGATATAATGCTCGCAAGGAGTATACGAAATAGAAAGAAATTTTTCTTCTTGTTACATTGGTTGTTTATATATCAGTGGGTTCTGGCTATAACGCAAAGGAGAGTAGGTACAGTTTACACACTTGAAAAGGAATAGGAAACTAGCCACGCCACGCGCGCTTATATGGTCCCATTATGGTGGCCATCGACGAATTTGTCAGAGCCCACCAGAGTCTAAACGCTGCAAGGAGCCAAAAAGGGAGAGAAAAAGACGTGCCCAACGATTGACAAAACCGTAGCACCAGTACCAAGGCCCAATATCAGATCAAAGACAATCGCTAAAATAGATTAAAAAAAGGACAAAAGGAGGGCGAAAGTAAAATTTGATACAATCCAACTGGTTCTTTCAATTACCAAAAAGAGACTCGAAAAAACAAAAGACGCCTGTTTCATCATTGCAGACAAATACCCACAAATCCTTCTCTCGTTACTCCACCTACGCCCTCAAGATCAAACTCCTCAATCATCGCCCGTAATTCCTCCTCTTCCAACCCCGTCTCGCCTAGCTCCCTGGCCACTCTCCGTAAATCCTCGAGATCAATATACCCCTTACCACCCTCGTCAAACAGCTCAAACGCGCGCAGTATTTCCTCGCGCGGGTCCCGCTCGAGTATCTTGCGGGCTGTGATGGTCTGGAAGGAAGAGAGTGGCATGAGGAGGGAGGAAGGGTGCGGTGGGGGCTGTTGCTGCTGAGGTTGGGGTTGACGAGACTGTTGCGGCTGGTTGGGCTGATTTGCGTTGGCTGCGGCGGGACGGGGCACGCCGTATGTGGTGAGGAGGGAGATTAGGTCTGGTTTGGAGAGAGTGAAACCGAGAGCGCGTAGGGCGACGCGGAGTTCGTGGTAGTCTAGGTGTCGATCACGATCGAGGTCAAATAGTGTAAACTGACAAATTTGTAATTAGCCAGCGTAGGAAAAAAGACAATTGTATTGTAGAAAAGCGACTGTTCTCACAGCTTCATTAATCTCCTCTCTCTGCTCTTCTGAGAGATCACTTAATGGGTTATTGTTCCCTCCTCCTGTACCACCGCCACTGCTACCAATCCCACCTAACCCCCCTCCCATATTTCCCGAATGGGATTGCGCGCTATGCTGCTGCGGGCCATGACCCTGTCCCATCACCGAGTGCGCTTGCGATTTTCCCATTCCCATTCCTCCAGCTCCACTGGATGCCTCCCCACCATATTCCCCAACTCTGTCACGCCGCGAAAGAACAGAAGCAGAGCCAAAGGGTAGCGGATTAGGGTTAATACTCGAACGGTCTGGGGGTTTTCCGGCAGCATAGGAGGATCGTGATGGAAAGGACGGGTGGGCGGAAGATGCCATGGCCGATGGCGTCCAGAAGCAGCAGCTCTCTAGCGTTCAGATGTTTAATATTTATTAAAGGTGTCAATGATGTTAAATGTATACAGAAAACCTAGAGGTAATCAAAGAAGTATACCAACGTAGCTCGGGTGTGGTCTGGTGGGGAAGTGTTATTTCTGCTTTCATCATCTTGATCAGTCAACAACTTCGACATCGCGACGCGACGCCAAGCCATAAAGCGCGATCCCCCCAGCTCAGCGCAACCCGCAGCTCAACAAAAATAGTAAATGTTGTACAGAGTACTCCGTACTCCGTACAGACATGCTAAAATGCTCTCTATGAAGAAAGGACACGCCAGTAAGCTAAAATCCAGCACCAGATTCTCACAAATGGTATATAGCTATGCCGGGAAATATAATAACAAGACAACACAAGCGCGCTCTACCATATAGGACATTAAAATCATAAAGGGCAACTAATCCTTCCTATGCTGCTTTTGGCAGGTATAGGCTGGGTTGTATTCCGAACGTTGGCAGCGTACTCAAATAAATAGGAAGCCGGTGAGCCATTCTGCTTTGCAGTTCCAGCCATCACAGTCTTGCCCTCTTGATAGTATTTCTCAAAATCAAAGAAAAATCCTCTGGTTTGACAGATATCTTTGGCTCCGTTATAGCGGGCCCCACTATCGTCCATGAAGTTGAAAGGATGGTGGGCAAGCACGTATATTCAATAGAATCTAGAGAAATTGTGGCTTCATGGTCCAACTTAGATGATTGGGTCTTGTTTTAATGCCCTTTTCGCCTTCTGGAAGCTGTTGTAAACCATACAGGATAAGTCCAAGTGCCGAGAGCTGTGTCAGAGGGAAAACGACTGTCCCCTCGCGGTCGACTGGGGAAGGAAACGACATCATCTTCGGAGAAAAGGCGGGACAAGCCGCCATGGGATGATGCTAAGAACCGTTTTCAGAAAGCTTTCTTAGCTGCGAGCTATATTATTTTTTTAAAAAAAACAAATAAAACACCAAGCCACACCGTTATATTTTGTCAGACTCAGATGAAGCTTCAAACGAGGGTGTGATTCATGGCGGAGGGAAGTGAAGAGAAAAGCAGCAACCTTTAATAATTTGGGGTGCATGTACCGCGTATCCGTAAATAGTGAAGATAGGCTCAGTCGCGCAAACGCTTGCCTGGTAGGCCACACCACCGCGCCGTGCGGGTCGACTATTAGTACTTGAGGTTTCCCGCCCTGAATTGGGAATAGCATCATGCGTCTCCGTGCTCACCAGCATACGAGGGGGGACAGTGTAGGAAGAAGCCGGGTCTAGACGACCTGTGGAAGTGCCCGATCGTAGCGTAGGCGATCGGATGTGACTTTGGGGATCAAGTTTCCACGTCCGAATATACGGGCTCCAAAATATTCGCGTTGTGGACAGTTGCAAAACTATGTCTGCCAATCTACACGAGCTATAACCCCTGTGAGGGCTAAACCCTAGAATGGGAGCCCCCGGCCCAGTGGCTTTGGGCAGAAGTAAGTCCTTATATCAAGATCTGACAACGAAGCGGCGTTTTCTCGGGAATGGCCTAGTTGGCATCATTGGAGACGACTCTCACGCCTCCTTATAGGCAGGGTCAACACGAGTTCCCAAGTCACGATCTTCAAGAAATCGGCGCCCTTGCAATTTTTCTGGCAAATACGTTTGGACGACCTTGCCATCTACAAAGTCGGGATTGTACTTGTACTCCTGGCCGTATCCCATCTCTTTCATGAGCCTCGTGGGCGCGTTGCGTAGGTGGGTTGGAATTGGTAATCCAGCAATGCCAGGTTCTTCCAACGCTGCGAAAGCATTGCCTAATCCGCGATAGGTCCTCGTGCTCTTTCTTGACAACGCTAATGCAACTGTAGCATGTGCAAGGTTTATCCGAGCCTCTGGTAGGCCAATCTTCTCCACTGCTGTATAGGCAGCCGTAGCTAGAGGCAGCATGGAATTGTCTGCAAGTCCGATATCCTCAGAAGCGACAACAATAAGACGGCGTGCTATGTATAGGGGATCTTCTCCAGACTGGATCATTCGTGCTAGGTAGTATAACGCAGCATCGGGATCACTTCCGCGGATTGACTTATGAAACGCGGATATGGTATCGTAATGCTGGTCTCCAGCACGGTCATATACCAGCGTGCGGGTTAAACTGTTTTTCAGCTGCGCTTCCGTCATACCTGGTCGCCTTGATAAATCCATAGCCAATTCCAATAAATTGAGCGCCGTACGGGCATCGCCATCAGAAAAGGTAGCCAAATACGAAATCAAATCTCGATCAACGAGACCAGACGGCAAATAATTCGGACCTTCAACCTCTAAAGCGCGACTAAGAATAGCAATGATATCCTCGTCGGAAAGTTTTGAAAGCGTAAATGTGCGGCAACGAGACAATAAGGCATTTTGGACTTTAAAAGATGGATTCTCCGTGGTAGCTCCAATCAGAGTCACTTGACCACTCTCGACGGGCCCGAGAAACACATCCTGTTGCGATTTGGAGAATCTATGAATCTCATCACAGAAAATTATAGTCTTCCGTCCTGTTAGGCCAAGCTCGTTTCTGGCCTCCGCAAAAATCTTTTTACACTCTGCAACACCGGACGTAGTGCTGTTTATCTCCACAAAGCGACTTCCCACCATAGTAGCAATGACTCTGGCAATAGTTGTTTTACCCGTCCCAGCGCCACCCCATAGTATCATACTTGGTACGCGGTCGGATTCTATTAGTCCTCGGAGTACTCCATTCGAGCCCACCAAATCTTGTCCACAGACTTCATCAAGGCATCGGGGTCTCATGCGTTCCGCAAGCGGAGCCGCTTTTCCAAAAGCATTAGATACTTTGGACCTTTTGGCGAGCCGATTAGAATTATCTTCCAAGGAGGCGGCATCATCGAAAATATCCCCCACAGTAATTTTGGCCGCTTGGGCCTCTTCTGTGAGCAAACCTCTTTTCCCAACCGAGGGAGTTTGGGTCAGAGTTTTGGTGCCATTTGGTTGGGGACTGGTTTTTAAATGCGTTTTTTTCGCCTGTGGCTGGAAGAAATTGGAGAAGGGAGGCGTATTTTGGGACGAGGGTTCACTGGCGTCAAGTTCAATAAAATCCTTGCAGTTCGAGTCAAGATGGATGTTGATTTTGAGTTGATTCACGGACTTTCCGCATATTGGGCATTCGATTGGCATAGCTGGTATTTAGCAGTGCTCCATTGTACGCACCTTAAACACTCAGGGAAGCTTTCAAAATACACGAAGTACGGAGTACATACAAAGCAGTTGAACGGGTTTCGTGGTCATGCAATTAAAGGTAACTAACTACTTAAGCTTGTCGTTTCGTTTAAGTTCAACTAACTTAATATTGTACAAACAGCAGACGCGTCTCGACGCGTCGTTCGACGTTCCAGAGACAAAAAAGTGTAGTTAACTGACCAAATGTCCTACAAAATAAGCTATATACTCCGTACATGCAAATTTACCACTCATATTTTCTACAGAAACAATTCAGTTGTCTATGGAGCTTAGCCATATATATATCACTGGACATTTTCACCCTCTCCGAGCCAAAATCTATGGTTTAACGGTGTGGAAGTCAGAACAACTAACCAACCACCAATCATGTAGACCATTATACATACTACAGAGTATGCCTAGATAAAGTGTGGTCTTGGACTGTATATGATTATATTTACAACATAAAACTTCTGGTATAGACACTTTCGTCACAGCTTTCAGTTTCATAATCTATCAGACCAACTAGCTAAAAAAGCGACCACCTTGTTAGGTGTCAGTCGGCGTAAGTTTAGTAATCTGTTCCGCAGTTCGACATAACTAATCCTATAGGCCACTTAATTTGATAGGTATTGGTAAATAAAAACCATAAATCTATGTCGCAACTTCTGAGGCTATTATTATAAATGTGGTCGCCTCTTGCCAGCCCCATGAGTGGTAAATGGAAGGCAATTAATTATCTCTGCCGCTCCAAAACATAGAGGGCGGTCGAAGCCTGGAGCGCCTCACGACGAAAGCCATTCTCCTGCTCGGAATACTTGGAGGTTACGTGATTTTTCGCGGTAAGGCACTAGGTCATATACCCCAAAAGGTGAGAACAAGTCGACATAGTCCGTTCAATGACCACTCGCCGAATTGAATCGAAACCCTGATGGCAATACATAACAGTATATTAGCCTAATACTCCGTACTCCAAGAGAAACCATGAAGGCCCGAAATACTCCGTACTGTGTACGACGTAACGGCCGAGAACCCAACCTTGTTTTGCTTTGATGTCGTTGGTTCGCGGAAATCTCGGTCGACTCAAAATATGGGGTTGCATGGGGGTTATGCGGGGTGCCGAATGGGTACCCGAGTCTGTAGTAATGGCTGTTCTTGGCAAATCACGCACTCGCAAAATGTCCTCGGGCAGGAGAGGGGAGAAGATGCAAAAACAAGTAGCGATGACGAATCGCTACTTAGGTGACTCCTTCAGCCTTCTCCATGACCATTTTTATACACTCTTTCAAGCGTGTTTTCTCCAGGTCACCATTTGCAAGAGAAGTTCAACTCATACCGATCGCGCTGCCTATCAAATTCAAGAGAGCCAGAAATATGTCATCAACGGCAGCGACTTCGGACCCTTTTCGGCCTGCAAAGAGAGTAGCTGGTCATCGGCAAGATGTTTGGTATTGTTCCTGTTGCTGATACCTCTTGAAATTTTGGCGTACCATAACTATAGGAGCCAAAAGACTGATAAAGTCTTATCGATAACAGGTCTCTTGCCCGTGAAGCTGCAACCGCGTCCCCCATCCAGCCTATCGTAAATATGGGCCAAGGATTCTTGTAAGCTTTGCGTTACTGTCAACAATAATCCTAATAAAATGCTTCTCTTGCTTAATATTGATATGTTTTTCTAGCGGATATAATCCTCCCAAACTCATACTAGATGCAGCAAAAAGCGAGCTGGACAACGTTGTGTCCAATCAATATGCTCCAACACGAGTATGGCCCAAGATGTGATATACTCCACACACTACACTTTACTGGTCCTAATCACATATAGGGAAATCCACGTTTGAAAAAAGCGATTGCTGAAGCATATTCTCCTTTTTTTGAAAAGCGGATTGACCCTGAAACCGAGGTTGTGATAACAAGCGGAGCAAATGAAGGTATGACGAGAGTATTATGAGTATTGATTTAGGCTGATCCCTAAAATAGGTATGCTCAGCGCATTTATGGGGTTTGTAGAACCTGGAGATGAGGTTATTATTTTCGAACCCTTTTTCGACCAGTAGTAACCCCAATCCCCGGCTAGAAGTTTCTTCTCTGATTTTTTTTTACAGATACATTAGCAATATTGAAATGCCAGGAGGTACTATTAAATATGTGCCTTTGCACCCACCTAAAGAGGGGGCAGTCAGGAAGACGCGGGCCTCCGAATGGTCTATTGATTTTCAGGAACTAGAAAAGGCATTTAACGAAAAGACTCGGATGATAGTAGGTTTTCTATATCATTCACCTCTTCTTCAAGAGCTTGAGTTATTAATGACTTTGATCTCAGGTTATCAATACCCCGTAAGGTTAGTTCTTTGAAAACAAACAGCGCCGTGCTAACAGTATGAGACAAGGCATAATCCTGTTGGCAAAATCTTATCTCTTGAAGAATTAGAAAAAATTGCGCTTCTTTGCGTCAAATATAACACAATAATTGTTTCAGATGAAGTCTACGACCGTCTCTACTATGCACCATTCCCTCGCATTGCGACTCTTTCGCCGCAGATTGCTGAAAGGACTCTTACCGTGGGATCTGTAGGCAAGAATTTCTACGCTACAGGGTGGCGTGTAGGGTACCTCATTGGTCCTGAACACTTGATCAAATATGTCGCCGCTGCCCATACTAGAATTTGTTATAGCAGCGTTGCTCCTCTTCAAGCTGCCGCTGCGATTGGATTTGAGAAAGCTGACCAGGTTGGTTTCTGGGACCAAAGCCGGCAAGAAATGCGTGGAAAAATCGATCGGTTCTGTGAGGTACTGGATGAACTTGGCATTCCTGTATGTGATATCGTCTTGGGTTGCTACCTTTCAATGTAGCCCTCGTCCCCTTTTGTTTCCACTAACAACATTCAGTACACCGATCCGGATGGTGGATACTTTGTCCTTGCAAATATGGCCGCCGTGAAGCTTCCGGAAAGCTACCCATTCCCGCCACACATTGCAGGCAGGCCTCGTGATTTTAAGCTATTTTGGTTCTTAGCAATGGAGTTTGGTGTAGGCACAATCCCGCCCACTGAATTTTACACCGATGCCAATGCCTACATCGGAGAGGACTGGATCCGCTTTGCGATCTGCAAACCAGACGAGGATTTAGAAGAAGCCAAAACACGCCTACGTGGATTGCAGAAATACATGGTTAAATAAAGCATTATCCTATACATAATGGACAGGGCTTAGTTGCATTCACACCGTAACTAGGTTAGGTATCTAGTTCCTTCTATTTAGCTAGTTTTGAGAACCAGTATGATGCTTCTGTGAATGGGAATTGAAGAATTGTCCATAGCAACCAATGGAAAAAAAAATTCCCAGATCTTCTATGCACATCGCCAACTGTTCTGGTTAGCCCCAAGCTATGGAGCAAAGCCCAAGGCGATGGTTAAGATTCAGCCACTAGGCCTATTCGGGCTGGCTTCTCCGCCATCAAAATTTCTAGAGTCAAAGCTCATGACATACCAAAGCTCCACGGCTGTTCAGACAAATACTCACCACCTCATCACATCCATGTCAATCATCAAGTTTAGCTGGTAATGGAACTGGTTTAAATACTTCATCGATATTTAATTTGCTTCCATCATCAAACTGCTGTCACTCACCTGCATCCAGTGTCGCAAAAAGTTTGTAACTTCATCACCACCTTCATGCCCAAAAAAATCCATCATGGCTGATCAACAAAACAACATATCACAAATCCTGGCAGCGTTGGGTGAGTTTTTTTGTTTGTTTTCTACGATCATAATGGTGTATATATCCAACCCCCCATCCTGGTGCTGATTTCATTCGTTCGCCCTAGCTGCTGCGCAGCCTGGTGGCCTGTCGACAGGCTCAGTACCACCAACATCAACTCCATTCATCAATCAAGCTGGATATCATCTTCCACCCCCTGATAACTCCGGAAGCGTTGATATCAGTGGTGCTAAATCGCTTAATGTTTCGTCGATCGGCATTGCTGAAGCGATTGCAAAAGCCCGCGGCATTGCAGCTGGGAAAGGGATTCCATACGGCTCTAGTCTGGGTAAATGCTCTAATATCCTTACCTGATTCTGAACATATCACTGAGCATTTTTCAGATCTACGAAATCCTGACTCACGGCGAGATTCCCGATCATATCACCGTTCGCGCTCCCCGACTAGGTCACCACCGCGAGTGTCACGCGAGGCGCTTCGAGATAATTACAATCCATACAGGGAAGAGCGTCGTGGAGATAGGCGCGGAAATGATCGGTCTTATGTGAGAGAGAGATCGTTCTCCCCTCGACCAGCTGGCCGAGGAACAGATTCATACTCTCAGCCCCCCAAACCATATCGAGGCCCGGGCGGTCGATCGCCTCCTGGGAGAAGAGCAGGTCCAACGGATGATAGCTCTGAGACTCTTAATATAGACTCAAAGCTTGTAGGCCTTATCATAGGGCGTCAAGGCGATAATTTAAGAAGGATTGAGTCGGACACTGCAACACGCATACAATTCTTGGACAGTCCGGAATCAAACATTAATATAAGACCGTGTCGAATTACAGGAAGTAGGGGTGCGCGAAACGATGCGAAAGCAGAAATATTCCGCATGATTAGTGAAAATAATGCTGCTCGTGGCTCACAGGCTACAGCGGATCGCTTTTCATCTCGCATACAGAACGAGTCGCAGGGCAAAAGTTCTGCCTCTGGAGACGACGAAAATGCCACAACACAAATAATGGTACCAGATCGAACCGTGGGCTTGATCATTGGTCGCGGCGGTGAAACCATTAAAGATCTTCAAGATCGGAGCGGGTGCCATGTGATTATTGCTCCTGAGGACAAGAGTCTCAATAGCTTAAGACCTGTTAATCTTAGCGGAAACCAGAGATCGATTCAGCGGGCTAGGGATCTAATTTTGGAAATCGTTGAGACTGATTCACGACAAGGGGGTGCTCCTCCTGCACAGCGGGATCCACGACCCGAAAGAGAAGCTACTGGCACAATAAATGAACGAGGAGATGAAAGTATCTTTGTACCGAAAGAAGCAGTCGGTATGATTATTGGAAAAGGTATAATTTGCCCCATTGTACGCCCACCTTCTCGTACTAACATTCTATACAGGTGGGGATACCATCAAGGAAATGCAGAATCTGACCGGGTGCAAAGTCAATATTTTACCGGCAGTAGGTCGTGATACAGACCGGGAAGTCATAATGATCGGCTCCAGACAAGCCATTGACAGTATGAAGAGAAGCATCATGGAAAAAATAGATTCATATGTAAGTTAAAGCTGTAACTTTGAAAAAATATCTAGCGATTCCCTAACAATATTCCATAAGAAAACCCGGACTCATTCAAGACGCGACGATGGCTACGGCGACCGATCTTCACAATCTCAACCTCGAGGCTATCCCCAGGAGCAAAGCCGGTCATCCCAGCCAGGGCAATCTTCTACATCGACCTCGACACCTACCGTAGGAAGCGAGACCGCCGACCCTTACGCTATATACGGTGGCTATGAGAATTATGTTGCGATGTGGTACGCTGCACTGGCGCAGCAGCAACAGCAACAGCAATCTCCTGCTTCTGAGGCCAAGCCGCCAGGAGTGCCGTGAGGGAGTCTGAGAAGAATACCCACTAGATACAATCCGTATATTCGCCCTTTCAAGCTGCTTGCTTCCCCTTGTCCTTCTCGAATACCCAGAAATATCGATAAAAAGTTCTCAAGCTCAAAATATTACACCCAGGCCCCTTTACTGTGTCTCTCTACGGCGCTGTTACCTGTAACTTCTGGTGGAAACAGGTTGGTACGGAGTACGTGTTTTCTATATTTATGTATTCTATCTGATTTTTTGATGTGAATTCTTAGTATTCTGTTAGAATACCTTCATATGGACGAGTAGTTTGGAGCTTTGTGGGACATCTGCGTTTATTTACAGTTCCCTTGATGCATGGCAGGGTGGTTTTTAAATGTGATGAGTTAGTATGCACGGTTATGAATAGTGTGGTATCTAGGCTATAGGATCTCATCTTTCAAAGTTCTGCTGTTCCTAAGGGACGGAATAAAAGCCGAGGAGTTTTGATTAGCTAGTTAGCTTACGTAATCTAATCGGTCATCCAAATATAGATCTGCTTAGATAATGCGTCGTGGAACACCAGCTGATTGGGCCAGGGCTGTGTTTCATGTTTTGCAAGTCGACGACGTCGCATCCTGGACGGTGACAACCCCCCCGCGAAACGTACCAGCTGTCAGCACGGCGGCTACTTGCAGATTCTTCGCAGGCGCCAGGCTGCCATTGGCCAGTCTATTCTGGCTGCAAGGAAAGATGCTGTTTTTATTTGCCTTTTCTCCAAAGCCCCACTGCTTTCCCCGTTACTCCCACCTTGTCTGGGCTGCAAGGCCAATGGTAGGCCGCGGGCTGGTCCTAGGATACTATTTTGATACTAGCTAGCCGCCTGCTCAAACCTTGAGGCCTAGGGCGGCCAGTAATTGATATGCAAGCCCTGAGAATCTAAAGAACTTCCGACATCTCTGTGAAGTTTATATTCACTTAAAATACTGTACCCTTGGCTATTTTTTACTCGGCGTACTATCATGGCGCCGGTATCATATTGCAATTCGCTGTCAGCGCCCCAGAAGTGGGTACATGCCGTTCTTTCAAAGCATATATGGCCTACAAGCAATCGATGCCAAGGATGAGCTGCTGGTAATTGGGCGCTACGGGGTGGACATTCAACCCCGTTGCTCTCCGATTAAAAGCGCCGGGAGTTACCTTCAACATTGATTTCATTGCTGAAAAAATGTATTCTTTTCTATTGTACCTATTGTCCTCTCTTTCTTGTTCAGTGAAGACCCGCATCGACCGTCATTGAATGTTACATTTCTGAATAGGAGCTTTCCAGCAACACTCTTTTCATTCTGGCCATTCACTCTTCTACGCCGAGCGTACTTTCTCATCATTGCTTCATGGCTTTTCCTTGATACTCTTTTCCTTTTCTCCTTGTATACCCTCCGACTCTCGTGCATATTTCTCTGCCCCTTCTTTCTCTATTGCTTATCACTAGCCGTCCTTTCCAGGATCATATGCGCGGGCCGCGAACATACTAGAAACAGACAATGCACTTTTCACGTTTTATTCCCCGTTCTTCGCACGGCCTCCCACCATATGGCGCCCACGATACACATGCGATGCACACCCCTGCACCAACCACTGCGCCTCCAGGAGCTATCACGCCATACCTTGGGTTCAAAGCTCGCCTCTCGCAAATATGGATCAACAAGTGGACCATCCTACTACTTCTGGTTCTTGTTCGACTCCTTATTGCTATTGCCGGTTTAAACAAGGACATGGCATCTGCTAAGCGAGAAGCACTCTCCGCTTGCACAAGCGTCGAATCGATGGGCAGTGCTATGGCATCAATGCCTCATTATATGTCAAAAGGTGTCAACGAACTTACCGCATCTGGCGTGGAAAAGGCCGTCAATGGCCTTATGTCGATGCTACTTCTGACAGTCACAGGCGTTGAAGAGATCGTTGTATTCGTGATCAATGTTTTGACTCAGACATATGTGTGTCTAATTACGCTTGCTGTTGCAGGTAGCTTACAGGCCGCTTTGAAAGTTATTGAAGAGGCCGCAGACTTTTTGAACAAAACCCTGGTAGATGTCACCCAGGGTATTGAGAAAGGAGTCAATGGCTTTGAAAATAAAATAAATGATTTTCTGAAAGGGATCAACACTATTACGAATGCGTTTGGTGGGAAAAAGAATCCTCCAAGAATTGATATTGGCGGTGATCTCGACAAACTGAAGCAGCTCCGCTTACCGTCCTCCCTGGATGAGAATCTCAAGAAAATCAACAACTCGATTCCTACATTCAAAGAGGTTAACAACTTTACGAACAATGCTATTCGGTTCCCATTCAGGGAGGTTAAAAAACTCATTAATGAATCACTAGTCGAATTCAAGTTTGATCGGTCTGTCTTTCCTGTTCCTCAGAAGGAAAAATTGAATTTTTGCAACGAGAGCAAGGGTATCAACTCTTTCTTTGGTAAACTCAAGTCCATCATCTCAGCCGCGCAGAAGATTTTTGTTGGCGTGTTGATTGCCGGGGCCATTGCTGCATGTGTCCCTATGGCTCTCTTGGAGATTCGACGATGGCGACACATGAAAGAGAGGGCTCTTCTGGTTCAGAAAAACGACCACGATCCTATGGATGTTGTTTACATTGTTTCTCGGCCATATACATCCACTGCTGGGCTTAAAATTGCCAGTTGGTTCAAGCCAGGGAGGCGACAAGTGCTCGTCCGATGGATTGTAGCCTATGTCACGTCAACTCCAGCTCTATTTCTGCTAGCACTAGGCATGGCGGGACTGTTTTCCTGTGCCTGTCAAGCTATCCTTCTTCACGCTGTCAAAAAAGAAGTACCCGTCCTGACCAACGAAGTTGGTCAATTCGCTGACAAAGTTTTCTTCAGCTTGAACAATGCCTCTCAGCAATGGGCCATTAGCACAAACCGTGTCATTGATACTACTAACGATGATATTAACCAAAAGGTATTTGGTTGGGTAAATACCACTACTTCATCCCTTAACAACACCCTCAATATCTTCGTCGATAAAACCAGCAGTGTTCTCAATGAAACTTTCGGCGGGACTGTCCTCCATGACCCCATCAGAGATGTCTTATATTGTCTCATTGGACTCAAAATTCAAGGTATTCAAAAGGCACTTACATGGGTGCATAACCACGCGCGCGTTGACTTCCCTAACTTGCCAAACGACACGTTTTCTCTTGGCGCAATTGAATCCGTTGCGAAAGACAACAAGACCAACCCTGAGAGCTTCCTCGCCAATCCAGGAGATAGAACAGCAGATGCTATTACCCATGTGGTTCTCCGTGTAATTAGAGCTATTGAAAGCGGGATTCGAACTGAAGCTATCATATCTTCCTTCCTAATCCTGCTCTGGGTCATACTTCTGCTCCTTGCTCTTCTGCGTGCTCTCACTCTGGCCTTTCGACGCGATAAGACCCGTGCAGAGGGCGGAATTGACGCAACATATCACCCGCCTGCGCCACATGCAACTACATCGATGGAAATGTCGGATTTCTACAACGTTCCCCTCACAGGGGTTCCGAACAATGCTGATAATGGGCTAGCGCCGAAATATAGTACTACCCCAAATATCAGGTCTGGATCTCGGGGTCTGGACGCAGACGAGGACGAGTATCAGGCACAAAAGCTAGGGTATGCTGGACAGAGAGATTACGATGCTGCGCTTCAAAAAGACGTGAAAGCAACACGAAGGAGTAGTTATGGACAAGTGGTGTATAGTGGCGAGAAGAAAGATATGACTGGAAGCTGACACGTGGGTCAAAAGACCAGGAAGGGCTAATCAATATATTTTTGTGGGCATCGTGTTCTTTTAGCGGCTTCTGTTGTATCTCTTTTAAATTTCAGAATTATTACTACATAGAATATTTGCCAACGCTTGAGGGATGTGGTGATTCATTCCAACAAGTAGATGCATTATTTTTTGGAAATTCAAAAAATATTCGCGTGGAATAGAACAAGGGGGACAAAAACCTGCCATATTTACAGGTTAGTACTGGAAGCAGCGGTCAATGTTACGTTTTTAAGAAGGGCCGATAGAATTTCTCAACGCAACAGTATCGAAGATTGCCGGGATCAAACTTGTTAGTATTAATCAGCAGCAGGGGATGAGATTGTCGGACGAGATGGTCCTTGCTCACTCGTGACAGTTGGCGGCGCACTCATGGACGAGAAGCTTCTCGATAACGAGACGCTACGTCTATAACTACCTGTCCGGGAGTCGGGTCTAGATTGGATATCTGACGTCGAAGTTCGCAACTTACTCGCAGTCATATCGTACTCGAACCGCCTCAGCTCAGCTTCGATTTGGGAAGGACGCCGATGGAGCCTCTCCCTAGTCTTACCTCGCGGTTCCGCTTCCGGTTGTGGGCGTAGGACTGACGGTGGATGTTCTGAAATAGCGCCCATTTCTAGAAATCGTCCTTCGTCTGGCAGAGCTTCGCCGGCCGAATCGTGTGACTTAGAGGTCATAGTCCAAAACTTTGGGAAAATCCTGAACATAAGGGCTTTCAAAGCAGGAGTGCAGGCCGCCCATATTCCGATATTCAATTCAATAACCCCAAAACCGTATGTGGTCGAATAGAAAGTGTTGGTAGTGGTGGCCAGCCAAAACCCCGAGAGTATTACTAGTCGAGCAATACCGATAATAGTCGATCTGCAAATGAGAGGAAACATTGCCCTTGTTAGACATCACCATTCCGAAAGCGGGGAATATTGGCTAACATTAAACCCATTCCTAAAATCGCTACCACCATAAGCTTCTGTTTTTTCGGCATGTTCATCCCTTTTACGATTGCAATAGGCACACTCAATAGCCAAAGGTCTAGAAGTAAACTCGTGATTGAGACAGTAATGAAGAACGCAGCGCGATTGATGCATCTGACGCTTCTCTCAGTAATCTCTGCCTTATCAAGATCAACGCCGATTGGATATCCGTAAGTATACGCAATCATCCCACCACATTGAAAGAGATCGGCAAAAAAAGCAGATAGAAAGAGGCAGAGGTTAATCCCGAAAAGTAGCCAGAGCTGTATTCGGACGAATTTTGGAAGCTGATCTAGACGGAGTATAAAAACAGCTATCGAAGCTCTTGTGAAACAGAGGCAGGAGTAGTATGATATTTGACTTGTGATAGTAAGCGCTTGGGCGTAATCCAGATGTTGAGTGGTCATGAACGGGATATCGTAGGGATGAAAGCCGAGATATAAAGCTTGAACAACTAATTTGTAAAAATAAAAAAGGGTTAGAGTTGTATTTGTGCAAGACTAGTCCAGCATACAGTAGGGATGGGCTGTGGTTGTAGGGATAGCGCACATTTATAATAAGTAATGCTGTCTGCAAGTGCCAGCGCCTATTAACGTCTATTAGTACATTCAAGAGCTGTGATGCTTTTAATTCTCAGCATACATATGACACCAGAATGAGTGCATCGTCTATATAGCGGATGATTGTCAGTAGATATTATTCCTAGCAACAAACATACCGATTGCAGATCGATTCGCATACCTAAGCCAAATGTTTTTGCAATGGCTCGTGACATCAACCTTAATGTCAAGAATAAGGCAGTGATGCTTGGAAATATAACAAAAACCCTCAAGGCAACAGGTTGGCGGGTTGAAACCATAGTTGCCAAATAGCAGCTCTGACAATTGTTGTGGGGAATACAGCACCTGGACAGGAGCACATCGCGTGGCTGAACAAATACCACGAGAAAATTGCTAATATAATAAGTGGAACAGGATGTAATAGGCAGACCTGAGCTGCCGCAGAAAAAGAGGTTTGAGAAGACGTATAAAGCAACGATATGTACTGCTTATGTGGCTCATGAACTGAGAGAACGTCAGGTTGTTCCGACATATTGATCCAAGGGCTATGACAACTAGTTTTGCCACTGCTAGCTATCAGGTAGATGATTTGTGAGTTTACCATGGCTTTGGTACGGTTTGCAGTAAAGCTTCATTGGTGAAAGCAAAGGTAAGCTAAAAGTTACACCATAAACCAGGGAAACTCCGATATTATGAATGGGCAGTCGTTTCACAGGAAGATAAAACAGCCAGCCCATATCGTCGACCCTTTTTGGAGTACAGTTATATACTCTGTATATTGGATCACAAGAAATGGTGGCGAAGGTGGTTGGAGGGAAATGTTATTGCTTAGTCATCCAGACATAAGCTTATGTGTCCTTAGTCGCGCTCTGATTGGCTGCTGGTAGATCACCGCCCGGCTGTCAGATACTTCTTGCTGGCACAACACTCAAGCGGAACTTGTAGAAAAACTCATTCCCAATAAAACCAAAAATCAATTGTGTACTCTGGAGAGAGCGGCTCAATATTCTGCAGTGATGGTCCAAGTATCGGATGTCAATGTCTCATACTTATAACTCTACTATTGTTCAAGGTAATAAGAATGTTTGAGAGAATTCAATAATTTCCAGAAGCGATGCAATAAAGGAAGAACAGAGATGCCGCACAGGTGCGGCTCACTCTACAGTCTTGGACTCTGTACTCCGTGGCTGCCTGCTATCTAAATCTATATAGCAACAAAAAATCCATCCCCTCTGTCCTCCACGCGCCCTCGCTCCACCAGCGGATCACAACAGCTAATCCGGATTCTCTCTGGCGTGGCAGGACTCTGCAAACTGAGAATATCATTCATGCCCCACTGTTGCCGCGCAGCTTTGAGAGCATCTCTTATGGCAAAGAACACAGCACTTCCCATGAACAATGGCGGTTCACCAACGCCCCGAGAGCGCTGTATGGTACGTAGATTTTCCCACTCCACGTCTTTTAACAAACTGACGTTGAATATCTGGGGAATATCCCGAAACCCAGGTATTTTATATGTTCCTGGACCTCGAGTGAACAGTTGGCCGGAACCACGATGCCAAAGACTCTCTTCGGTGGTAAAAAGGCCCTGGCCTTGGATGAAAGCTCCCTCGATTTGACCATAGTCTATGGCTGGATTAATGCTCCGTCCAACATCCATTTTGATATCCGCACGAAGCGGTGTCCAGTCGCCCGTCAAGGTATCAATTTGAACTTCTGCAGCGGTCACGCCTTGAGTAAAATAATAGAACATTTGCCCCGTATTTGCACCCCATTTATAACCAATATCTGGTGTTTTATAAAATCCATTTGCAGTCAAATTCACGCGATCAAAGTATGCTGCGCTGACGAGCTCTTTCATAGATGCACTTGGCATCTTATCTCGATACGGTTGAAGGCGCCCATTTAGTTCCTGACATGCGTTAAAAACCGCATATCCATTGAGGTCCGAACTCGCCGAAGCGGCAGTGGCCGATGTATTAGATACTGTATTTGTTGCAGTTTCCGATATGTAAACGTCGGCTTGGGGAACTTTCAGTGCCTCTGCCGCTATCATTATCATTTTGGTGTGAAGACCTTGTCCCATCTCTGTTCCGCCATGTGCCACAAGAACACTGCCGTCTCTATATAAATGAACCAGGGCACCAGCCTGGTTAAGGAATATCGCGGTGAAGGAAATACCAAACTTGGTTGGCACAATGGCCAACCCTCTCTTCGACCACTTATGTGTTTTGTTATATTCCATAACGGATTGACGCCGGGCCGCATAGTCCGATTCATTCAACACTTGCTGGTACATTAAAGGAACATGCCAGTCCTTGAGCTCCTGATTGAAGTGCGTTGTTTCATTTGGAGTATACATATTAATCTGCCGAATCTTCTCAACGGGAATATTCAAATGGTCAGCAATTTCCGAGATATAGCATTCAGCGAAGAATAGGCCCTGAGGCCCGCCGAATCCTCGAAATGCGGTGTTCGATACTGTATTGGTACGGCATAAGTGACCACGAACATGAACGTTTGGGGTCTTGTAAACGCCATCAATATGGGATAATGATCGGTCAAGCACAGCTGCTGATAAGTCTTGGGTGTGGCCGGCGTTCGCATACACGTCAGCTTCCAAAGCTAATAGCTTTCCTTCATTCGTCACCCCAACCTTCCAGCGGCAAAAGAACGGATGGCGTTGGCCACTCGATATCATATCTTCGTCTCGATTGAGCATGCAACGCACGGGTCTCTTTAACTTCTTTGCTGCTACGGCACATATACACGCAAGCTGCACCGACCGCGTCTCTTTACCCCCAAACCCGCCACCAAGGCGTTTGACTCTGGAAACAACCTTATTTGCCGCAACACCAGTTACCTTCGCAACATACGTTTGGCTTTGAAAATACTATCAGTGAAAGTCGATACTAACATGGGATCAGCACTTACGTTTCTGTCGGATTTTGACTACTACTCCAGACCTCTATTTCCCCGTCTTCTGGTTTTGGGATTACAACGCAAGCCTGCGTTTCTAGGTAAAAGTGCTCTTGCCCGCCCATCCTAGACGATCCATGAAATATATGATCTGCCTTTTGAAACGCAGTTTCGGGATCTCCTTGTTTTATGTATGGCTTGTGATGGTCGAAGTATGAATTGTTCTCTACTGCTTGCTCAATGCTCAAAATCGAAGGTAATTCCTCGTACTCGACTTTAACAGCTCTGGATCCAGCTTCAGCAAGTCTTGAAGAAATGGCAAGAATCATACCAATCGGTTGGCCAGCTGTGAAAACTTCATCAACGGCAAAGAATACTTCGTCGGCACGCGGTTCTCCCCACCAGTTTGCCTCTGGATTCGGTAAATCTTTGTGACTCACAAAATCGACTACTCCAGGAATATTTAAAGCTGACTCCAGGTCAACGTTTAAAATTTTTGCATGAGCTTTTGTCGAAAATACAAGGCAGCCAAACAACTCGTTTTGCTGCTTAGGAATATCGTCCGTATACTGTGCAATTCCAGTCGTATGTTTCAGGGCAGATACATGTGGAGTCTCCTTCCCTAGAATGGTCTGTTGATAGCCAACGGCTGCACTGTGATCCTTTTGGCCTCCAGAGATAAATCTTTCTATTTCTGGCACAGCGTCAATATCGCAAAAGGCCTTGTTTCCCTGAATATTTGATAGAACATCGTGGTAAAACCGGTAGAAAAATCCAAGGGCAAGAGTTTTTCGATATGTTGGCATCCCTCCCGGAACAGATGAAGAAAGATTGAAGTCTTTTTCCAGAGCATCCATTACACCTTCGAGTGTCGCAGAGTGTCCCCAGGTTTTCCCGATTAGAAAGGCTTCAGCGTTTCGCGCTGATATAGTAAGAGCTGCCATTCCTCCATAAACAAGATTAACACTTGTTACCACCTCCGAGTCATCTAAGGTTACTCTCAGTGCAGCGTTAACTATAGCGATATCATCATCTTTTCTCTTAGCTTGCTTGTAGGCCCGGAGATATTCGCCCCTCTCCTGACATGCAGGAATCCGAAGGCCTGTTACAACAGCATTTGGTTCTAATGCTGTAGATCTATAGCCTTTGAAAAACTCTCCCATGGGGATTTCACGTTTAGTGATTAAGGATTGCATGATTAGTGTGGTTCTCGTGGCAACAAAAACCGGGTTTAAATCCGAAATTGGAGAAGCGGTAGCAATGTTACCGGCAGGCGACGCAACATTCCTTATCTGTCGTCCAGCAAAGTAACGGATTTGCTTCTTAATGGCAATAAATGGTTGTCCCTTGATAGGTCCAAAACGTTCCACAGCTTCATCGCAAATTTCCTCAAGGTCTGTCAGAGAAACGTTTCCTCCTAGCTCAAGGTTCTCGCTGTTGAAAGTGTACTGCTTCAGCTCCGGTATGTCGCCCACGTACACAGAATCGACATATTGCATGGCCTTGAATTTAATCTCAATCTGCGTCTCAGAGCTCCCTCCAATGATTTTAGCTTGTGGGGAAACGTCTTTAATTTCAAGAAGCTGTTTCAGTGTTGTAGGCCTATACCAGCGTTTCTTTTTATTTCCAAAAGCGAGTGGGCGCAGATGGTGTTTACGGAGACCAGGCGGGAAGATTAACTGTGTGTCTGGAGAGTAAGGTATGAATTCAGGGGCTTGAAAGAACTTCTTCACTTCAGATTCGGGGTTGCCCTTGGCAGTATTCTCTTTACATCCCCCAGGTCCATTATCTAAACAGCAGCGACCGCTCCCGCGCAGTTTACAGCCGCCAGTGGCGGAAAAAGACTGGGCAGCATCCAGAATCGACCGATACCCTGTGCATCGGCAAAGATTTCCATCGAAGGCTTCTTCCACGTCATGTTCTGACGGTTCGGGATTGTTGCGAAGGAGGGCATATAGGCTCTGCTAGCGTATTTAGCGATATATCTCGAGTATTTTGTAGCCCGATGCGAACGTACCATGACAATCCCAGGCGTGCAAAAACCACATTGGCTACCATTCCCGACCGCGATTCTTTGCTGAACCGGATGGGGATTGTTCACGTCACCTATTCCCTCAACAGTAATAACATGCTTACCATCCACACTAACCAACGGTGCCAAACACGCATTCACGGAGGCATGATATATTTTCTTCGTCGTTGGGTTCAGATACGAAACAACCTTGGGAAAAAAAGTAGTCTTGTTAGCTTCAAGACTTCATTCACATGGTCATCGACAGCAGCGGGAGGCATCTTACCACTGTGCAAGCTCCGCATCCACCTTCGGCACAACCCAGCTTGGTTCCAGTCAAGCCTATTCCGCGGAGGTATTCCAGCAGTGTCGCCTCCGGATCCACGGAGTCCAATATGATTTTTGTGCCGTTCAAGTAGAATTGAAGGGTGTCATCATACCCCTCCGTCAGCGTCCGAAGAGCAGCCCTGGACTCGCGAGCTACATCTTGCTCCGGAATCTGCATTGCGGCCGGGGCCATGGTTGGTTCGCCTCAAGGATCTGAGAATGAGAGCGGGAGGCGACGCTCGACAGCACTCTTTAGGTGGAACATGGAGGACAGCAAAAAGAGTATGGCGAATAATACAGCCTAGGCAAGCAATCTCATGGATCAAGATCCAACAGCTCGGCGCAGACAACTGGGCGATAGTTAACTAATCCAGCGGCGTGTGATTCGATCGATCGCAGCCGCGCATCCCAGGCCCCGCCACCTTAATGAAGCTTAACCCGGCGAGGCCTAACAGACGAGCTTGCGGGGTTCGCGGGGTTCGGCACCCTCCGACGGCGGACGCCACCCTCTGTCAACGCCTTGTGACCGTCGTATCTTGGGGTAGTTGACTACTCCGTAGTGGAGCATTGATTTAATAATAATAGCAGAAAAGCGCTTTCGGTGTCCTTCGCTGCGCTGGAGTGCGCGGCCCTCTAAAGGGTCAGAACGCCGCCCCACGTCATGTGCAAACATGATGTCCATTATTATTAGCAGTTTCCAGGGTAGTTCGGGGATAACTACTCCGGAATCGCATTCTATAAAACCCAACGCTTGTTGTGTATCTACGCTAAATTCCAGCATAATGATCTATGAGCCAGCAAACCCCTTTTCCTCTTCCTCCCATGCCTGTCGTTCTACAACGCTCCGGGCTCTGTAGCTAGTGGGTCAGAAATGCGCGCGCGCGACGAATACAAGGCTAGATTCAACTTACCTATACGCCCGCACAAACCTCCAAACTTCGGTATCAGCAAGATTCCATGCTTCAGTGACCGCCTTAATATGGATGTCTTTAGGGTCATTTTTTAATAACTCCCGCGCCGTTTCAATCAGCTCGTTCTCCTTGCCTAGTTTGCTCTTTTTCTCCGCGACAGGTGCTTCGGCAGGCAGGTTGCGTTGGGACTTTTGCTTCGACGCGGTCGCCTCTTTTGCTCTTTCTGATCGTGTTTTCCGGGGGACTTTAAACCCGAAATGCCAGTCCAGGTCATCCAGCACGCTTAAGGGTAAGCTTTCCTCCTCGCTCTTTGCTGGAAGTGTCTCAACTGTGAACCAAATTCCACGAGACAAGCCGTGGTCCCCCGCAACAACGTCCTTAAAAGCACTCACCCTTGATGTGCTGTCGCGTTCTGTGCCGAGATAATGCTTCGTAGCGGCGATAAGCCAAGGATCACGTTTCGTCTCGCGCCGAATATACGTGATTGTAATATTGTTGTCGCCCTTTTTTAATGTGACAAGAGTATATGGGTGAGGAAGGATTCCAATAGTGAAAAGGGCCGAGTCGTTTTTGTATCCATCGGGCTGGGATATTTTCATTCGACTGGCTTCGTTGCACAATTGACATTTAGGATTGTTAGGTGGGCAGGATGGTGGCATTTGTATCGGCAAACACTCCGACAATAATGTAGCAAGTCGGACGCCAGGGCTAACCAAAGCCGACGTATAGTCCGGAAATGGTTTGAGCACTGATAATCCAGAACTAAATTCGCTCTGGAAGCTGATCTGTAAGTGGGTGTTGATGAGATCAACAAGTGCAGAGCGACCTTGTGATGGCGATTTATCTAGCCTTTCTGCGACTGACGGATATTTTGAGGTGATAGTAGTCGAATTGTAATGCGCAAGGGCCGCTGTCTTCTCGACCTTGAACGTATCTTCACCGAGAAGCTCGATTATACTCTTCGCCTCTTTTATCTTTAGATTATCAGCCACCTGTTTGGTAGCTTCAATAATGTGAGTCTTCTCTCCAGAGAAGAGAGCCGATCCCAGACCTTCTACCCGTATTATTTTCTCAGGCATAGAACCTCGCCGTAGGTATGAAAGAAAAGTATCGTCGTAATGGGCCATCGGGAAACATTTCCAGTCTGCAAGGATTCCATTTCCCATGCGACTCCACGCCAACCATGCCATGAATTCTACTACAAGGTGTTCGTCCAAGCCTTTTGTATTGAAGACTTTATATAATTGGTTCTTCATCGCATCTTGCGGTCCAAGTATCACAGGACGGAATCCCTGTGCAAACCATGCCCTCCTCCAGGCAAGAAGCAAGCCCTTATCGGCCTCTATGACATCTTTATCTTTCTTCGACGTCGAATCGTAGTACGTATATATGGGCGGGCGCAGGCGTAACGGAGGGAGTACAGATCGGTTTTCATCTAATGTGATCGAGGAGGAGAAGGGATTGCGCCACTGCCAATTGCTATACCACTTGGAGCCACCACCAGTGCTGTTTTTCTCTTCGGGAGGCTTATGGGCGGTGGGGGGCAGGAGGTGGAATTTAAAATCATCAAATTTTGGGAGCTTCGGGTTAGGGACATACTCTGCAAGTTGGCCAGCAGAGTTCTCAATACTTGCTGTCAGTTTTGCAGGATCTGGGGTACTAGAGAGTATCAAGAGTAGTATTGCAAAGAATACTATGACGGTAAATAGACCTGAGCTTCGGTAGGAAATCATCTTGAGGACTTTTCCAGGCGTGGATTACAAAACCCAGTGGAATATCGCAAATGAGGGACGAAGCGGGCTCGAAGCCGTTTACAAACGGACTTAGCCAGTGATCATTATTACGAATGACTGGACGAAGCTTTGCATCGCCTCGACAGATTCGCAGACGCCCTTGAATCCACAAACTGACTGTTTCATTTCATTTGCTTCTGAAGGCCCACGAGTTCTGGCCCGGATGCCCCTGAGCTAAATCCATAATAGGCTAGTCTGACCGGTATGCCACTCTTACCCCCGAGATACCCCGTTTAAGTGAGCAAACTATCACTGGGGCAAATCTAATAAGAATACGGAGTAGTTAGTCTAGGAGCTTATTAATATCACATGCAGCTTACGCAACAGCACAGTTCGTTTCAAATGCTGACCACCTTCTCAGCATCAAATCCCTCTATCTGCCTGAAGGGATACCCCCTTTGGTCGGTCGCAATCCTCAGACCAGAGGCTGCATAATCGCAGTTATAATGAGTGTGCCCAAATGCAAACAATACCACATTTCTATTTGTCCAAAAGCTTTCTCGGCTAAGGTCGGTCGCAAACCGAGATAAAATGAGACTTCCCTCATGTTCTGGGTCCATCGCGCGCGCATCGTTGGTTACTGGACTATGATGTGAGAAAATCACTACTTTCCTTCCTGGTTCAGATTTAGAGATTGCGGCGACTTGGTCGTTCAGCCATCTAACATCCTTTTCATGGGCAGAATTGCGCAGCTCAATGGTCAAGTTGTCAATTTGACAAAAATCAGGAAGGCCGAAGATAAACATGTCCTGATTCTCTTGGAGAATGGACGAATATAACGTGCATCCAAGCACTGTCTCTTCGTCTGTCAAATCGTAGCGCGTTCGATTGAGAAAAACAAATTTCCATGCTAGAACGGAGGTGGCATATCTTTATTCCAACTCTTTTCCCCATCTATTCTCTTTTAAGAGCCATCATGGTACAGGTGCAGATTCTCTCTGATTTACATTTAGAGATCCCTTCAGCTTATGAAGACTATGAAATTCCTATCAAAGCACCATACCTTGCGCTGCTTGGAGACATCGGCAATGTTTGCGACAATGGATTGTTCGCTTTCATCAGAGAGCAGCTCTACAACTTCAAGATTATCTTTTTCCATTTAGGCAATCATGAATCATATGGCTTAACTTGGGCTCAGGGAACGGGGGATGTTTCTAGGTTACTGTTGGGTAGTTTGGTTCTGTGCGGAGTACAGCTGTGGTTCCTGCCTAGTTTAATGAAGTCAACTCCTCAGTACATATTGCATATACTTGGTATTTACAAGGCAACGCGACTTGCGCCCCGTGGTTACCCCGGCACATATGTAGTTATCCAACATCCGAGGAGCTAGCTTTTAAAGTACCAGCGCTCTTTAACCACAGCAATAATACCCTATGGGGGAACGTCCTTTTGAGAGTGTATAGTATGCCATGAATTGCTGATCTGAATTTAACAAAGCAAAAGCATACCCTGCATTCGGCTTGGACTAGAAGATGGGATTCGCCGATCCCGATAATAAGGCATCGACTACACAAGCAGTACTTGAGACGGCTGGCCTGGTTGTTTGCAAAGACCCCCGATGTATGTACATACATGTATACATCCCATTACTCAAAACATAGCACACACTATCCCTACTATTCACTCGCACTTTCAAAAGTGCAAGTTGTTTATTTCAGTCTATCCACAAGCACAAGCACACTCCCATATTCACAATCTCGAGGATCCTAAGGCAGATATTATTTCCAGATACAGTACTGCAGCGGCAGTTTTCCAGTAAAATATCAATTTGTTCGGATTCTTTTCCACACCTACTCCTCCCAGCGATAGATAGTGAACTGTGCTAGGATCGCTCGGAAAAGCAATCTTTGATGCAGACGCGATGCATGTTATAAGGGCAGGGCGTGTTATATGGAGTATATCCACCCCGTGGGTATATCGATGTGAGCTGCCTATCAGCAGTGGTTGGAGGCTTCTTGAGGAGAAAAAAGCACCCCTGGCACAAGTCGTTAAATCTTTTTGTTTGTGAGAGCAAAGCTTCTTGCGTTAGGCATTTGACTAGATTAAGCTCAGATTTTATTTTTTAGTTTTATTTTTCTTTAGGAGGATAACCCTGTAGTATGCATGCTGATTCCAAGAACTGAAATAAGGCCGATCGTAAGGTGAGCAGTAAGGGTTGACCAGGCAAGATCCTAATCAAGTAAAGGAAAGAGGGCTGTTGATATAAACAGTTAGAAAGCAGAGGGTATCCAGATACAGCATATGACTGCAATTTTTTGCGAGGTAATAATGTGTGAGAGTGCTAGCTACTGGAACAAAAGGATACACACGTGTAGAACCTTATAGCTTAGGCACCACTCATACGCTATCGAAGAAGTTTAGGAAATGTATGTAAATACTCCGTACATAACATACATACTTAAAAAAGACCAGGTCGAAAGAAATAGCATAGGCACTGGTATTCATGGAGGTTCAAAAGTACGACAGAAGCACTCCAAGTCCATACTGATATTTTCAGGGTATAACTAAAGTCGTTAAGTTTATCACGGCACTTAGTAAATCCGGAATGGTCTAACGGTCATGATTTCCGCTTGTCATTCTTCATAGTAACAAGCGCGGGAGACCAGGGTTCGACTCCCTGTTCCGGAGTATTTTTTTTTTTTGAATCAAAGTTGAGCACTTGACGATAATAATATGTAGCCAGTATTAGACTTTGTGCGCGACAAAAGTGGCTAGCGTAGAAAATGCGGTCACAGAGCTTATTCAAGCATCTTGGGGCCGTTTTTTGGCTTGGCGTTTCATGGGCCGAGCCGCGCGCATCGATCTTGAGATTGGAGTCATTTGGGAGAGGCACCAGAGGGTGTCATTCTGCAGACCAGGCAGCTTGCTTCGAGTATTACCCATGAGGGTGCTTCTTTTGAATTAGGTCTGGTCTGCACCTTACACCTAGTACCGATAATCATTATTTGGAAGCAAAGGAAGAAAAATTAGAGACAAGGGACCTGATATCCGCCAAATATGTTTTTTGGTAGGCTTTCGATCGGCTTATTTATAATAAAATCGAGTCTTGAAGTCTCAGCTCAGATTTGCTACACGCCTAATGGAAGCGTTAGCAACGACCGGCCATGCAGTAACGACGGCTCAGAAAGTGTGTGCTGTACGCAGGGTTTTCTTTGCACTTCGAATGGGCTCTGTCAGCCGAGACATTGGCATGACGGCGTGGAGCCGTTGAAATTCATTCGTGGAACGTGCACGGATAAGACATGGAAATCTCCAAAGTGCCAAGGCCACTGCGTGCAAGGTGAGTAGTTAACGACTACCGTTAGCCGAGCAGAGCCTAACTAATTTCACCATCACAATTAGAGAACCCGAGCGGTGGGGAGTGGGTGATGCGTTGTGGACAAAATGCCACCAAATACTGTTGTTCTGCCGAGGATTGCTGCATGCGCAATGATTACATAAAGATCGAACTTGACCGTCCAACGGTCACAGCGACTGCAGGAATATTCTTATCCGCATCCACATCGTTGACAATAGCTCCTTCTTCCTCCGAAATATCGCCATCCTCATCATTTCAAACACCAACGAGCTCACCAAGTGTATTTCCCACGCCGATATCAGACCCTAGCAAAGATCGGCGTTCTCTCGGCTTGAGAGTCGGTGTTGGTGTCGGCGTGGCCATCGGAGTCCTCTTGGTATTAGGTGCCCTTGCTCTCTGGAAATTCTTCCAAAACCGAAGGAAGAGGAAAGATGAGCCTGAAGAGGTTATTGAACATGGTCCGTCTGGCGAAACCTCTGATCAGTATAGAAATGCAGGGGGGATTATACAGGAACTTCCCAGTAAGCAGCAGAGGTCTGAGCTTGAATAAACTCATGATTATTCGTTCTGTTCAACTCTCGAGTGGATCTCTATTCAATTCAATTCGACTGGCATCTAGTATGCTAGGTATCATGGCTGGGGGGAGGTATGCACTTTATAATGAATAAATTCAAGAGTTACTTATAACAAAGATAGTGTTGTTAATAGAGCATTTGTGGTCAAATGTGTAAAGTTCTGGTGATAGCACGGCGTGAACGCATTGGATGACAAAGCGGAGATTTCGTGGGCTTCAACAGTTATGTAAATTGACCAGTTATAGTTTAGCGTTAGTTAGCTCGCTAGGTAACTAGTTAACTAGTTAATAGTAGCTAGTTAACTAGTTAACTAGTTATTATGTCATAAATTTTCCGACTTAAGTAATCCGAAAGGTCTGGCGGGGAAATTTATTATCGTACTCCGTAGACTCGGTTTCTTGCGCGGTGAGTCAGAGGGTGGGCAACCGCAGTCAATTGACACTTCTTGCTCGTTACTCGATTTGCTATCGCCATGGGTGCTGACGGGGCTTTCTTGCAAGACCGTCTCGTTAGGTGGACGCAGAGACTGAATAATTTGACTGTATCACCTCTCACTCGTGACTATCCAGAACCCACTCCCTCTGGTCCTGAGGCTTCTAATAAGCGACCTATTGAAGCCTTCGAGTCTTTGGAGCTCTCTAAGGCTACCAAATTGTCTATCTCTATACTTTCGGGATCCAATGATTCTGGATTCCTCGTTTTTCTCACGGCGTTTGTGGTTCTCGTCAGCCGCTTAACTGGAGATGAGGACATTGCGTTAGGAACAAGCTCTGAGAACGATGGACGCCCATTCGTATTGCGCGTGCCAATTACACACAGCGAGTCGTTTGCAGAACTCTATTCAAAGGTGGTCAAGGCATTTACAGAAGGCGCTGCTGATGTCGTGCCCTTAAGAGCTTTAAGAACACACATTCAAAAAACGAACAAATCGGAACGAACCCCTATCTTATTCCGTTTTGCAGCCTACGAAGCCCCCGCTTCGTCACAAGAATACCCCGCGAACACATTCGAAACTACTGACCTTGTCCTTAATGTTGCCCCAGGAACAACATCGGATTCTGGCAAGTTGGAGGTGGGGGGCTACTACAACCAACGTCTTTTTTCGAGCGCTAGAATATCCACAATATTGTCACAGCTTGCTCAGATAATACAGAATGTATCGTCAAATCCATCAGAAGCAATAGGGAGGATTGAGTTTCTCACGAAAGAGCAAAGGGATGTACTTCCAGATCCTGCAAAGGACCTACACTGGTCTGAGTTTCGCGGGGCAATTCAGGATATATTTGCCCGAAATGCTGAGAAACACCCGGCGAAACTATGTGTTGTAGAAACAAAATCCAATCATTCTCCCCACCGAGAATTCACATATGGGCAAATCCATGAGGCGTCGAATATTCTTGGTCACCACCTGGTTCAATCAGGGGTACAAAGAGGGGAAGTTGTTATGGTCTATGCGCACCGTGGCGTTGATCTTGTGGTAGCTATTATGGGCATTTTAAAGGCTGGAGCAACGTTCTCAGTAATTGACCCAGCATATCCTCCTGATCGGCAAGTCATTTATCTGGATGTTGCGAGACCCAGGGCCTTGATCAATATAGAAAAGGCAACGCAAGACGCTGGAGAACTGTCAGAGAAGGTTCGCTCTTTTATTACTGAAAACCTTGAGCTAAGAACAGAAGTACCAGCTTTAGCGTTACAGGATGACGGGTTCTTGAGAGGCGGACTGCTGAACGGAAACGATGTTCTAGCTCCCCAGTTACCTTTAAAAGCCCAGTCAGTTGGCGTAGTTGTTGGACCGGATTCCACTCCTACGCTTTCGTTTACTTCTGGTTCAGAAGGCCGTCCAAAGGGCGTACGTGGAAGACATTTCTCACTTGCTTACTACTTCCCTTGGATGTCTAAGACCTTTAGTCTTTCAGAGAATGATAAATTTACACTATTAAGCGGGATTGCCCATGATCCCGTCCAACGAGACATTTTTACCCCTCTCTTTTTAGGTGCCATGCTTCTCGTGCCTTCCAGAGAGGATATCCAGAATGAAAAATTGGCAGAATGGATGAGTGAATATAAGGCGACTGTTACTCACCTTACGCCTGCCATGGGCCAAATTCTTGTTGGGGGCGCCACTGCTCAATTTCCATCCCTGCATCATGCCTTTTTTGTTGGAGATATTCTAATCAAGAGAGATTGCATGTCGCTGCAGGCCCTTGCACCAAACGTGAATATTGTAAATATGTACGGCACTACTGAAACCCAGCGTGCCGTAAGTTACTTCGAGATTCCATCATTCACAAGCCAAGGATCATATCTTGATATGATGAAAGACGTCATTCCTGCAGGGAAAGGAATGGTTGATGTTCAACTACTAGTGGTAAATCGCTTCGATAGAACAAAGCTGTGTGCAGTAGGTGAAGTTGGTGAAATTTATGTGAGAGCAGGTGGCCTTGCCGAAGGATACCTTGGGGCTCCTGAGTTAAATGAGAAAAAATTCTTACCCAATTGGTTTGTCGACCCACAAGTCTGGCAAGATCGTGAACAACAGCATCAAAATGATACCGCCAAGGAGCCTTGGAGAGACCACTATGTTGGACCTAGGGATCGCCTTTATCGGAGTGGTGACCTTGGGAGGTACACTGCCACGGGTGTGGTCGAATGCTCTGGCAGGGCTGACGATCAGGTCAAAATACGGGGCTTCAGAATCGAGCTTGGAGAAATTGATACTCATCTCTCCCGACATCCCCTTGTTCGGGAGAACATAACATTAGTGAGAAGGGACAAATTTGAAGAGCCAACGTTGGTGAGCTATATCGTGCCACAAATGGCAAAATGGAGCTCGTGGCTAGAGCAAAAAGGCCTTAAAGACGACGACTCTGCCGACGGAATGGTTGGAATGCTGAGAAGGTTCAGGCCATTACGGGAAGATGCACGGGATTATCTACGTGGCAAGTTAGCCAGCTATGCTGTACCCACGGTCATCATTCCATTGAAACGCATGCCTCTCAACCCTAACGGAAAAGTAGACAAGCCTGCCTTGCCATTCCCGGATACCTCAGAGCTGAGTGCTGCAGCTCCTCGGCGCCGGTCGTCTGTCTTACAACAACTATCAGAAACGGAACTCGCACTGGCGCAGATTTGGGCAAAGCTTATACCCAATGTCTCTGCCAGAATGATTGGACCTAATGATTCATTTTTTGACCTTGGGGGCCACAGTATCCTAGCACAACAGATGTTCTTCGAGCTTAGACGCAAATGGAGAAATCTTGAGCTTAGTATGAGTGCCATCTTTCGCAGCCCGACCCTCAAGACCTTTGCCAACGAAATTTCACATTTACAAAACATTGAATCTTTCACCAGTGATGAGCAGGCCGCTATTGAGGCGCCTGCTGATTCTTCGAATCAATACTCTGAAGATGCAAAGAAATTAGTAAATTCACTACCAAAGCAGTTTCCGGCTCCAACGAATTCTGTGTTGCAGGACTGCTGTACTGTTTTTCTTACAGGTGCAACTGGCTTCCTTGGTGCATTTATTCTAAGAGAGCTACTTTCAAGAAAGGCACCAGCAATTAAAGTGGTGGCTCTTGTCCGCGCAAAGTCTGCGGATGCCGCCCTTGAGCGTGTTCGGTCGACTTGTAAGGCATATGGCTTTTGGTCTGAAGAGTGGGTGGGTAGGTTACAATGCATACAAGGAAATCTAGGCGATGAGAAGTTTGGCTTCCCGGATGACTTATGGAATGACCTCGTTAATAGGATTGATGTTGTGATTCATAATGGAGCATTAGTTCATTGGGTATATCCGTATTCTAATCTCAGAGCTCCGAATGTCCTGGGCACAATTGATTCTTTAAATCTATGTGCGATGGGAAAGCCTAAACAATATGGGTTTGTTAGCTCAACAAGTGTCCTTGATACCCTTCATTTTGTTGAGGAATCCGAGCGAATTGTCGATGCGGGCGGAGCCGGAATAAGTGAATCTGACGATCTGTCCGGCAGTAGTACAGAATTAGGCACTGGATATGGTCAAAGCAAATGGGTAGGAGAATACCTGGTTCGTGAAGCTGGCCGACGAGGGTTAAAGGGTGCTATTATTCGACCCGGCTATGTAACCGGTGATTCTCAAACCGGGAGTGAGTGGAAACCCTCTAGCTACCATGCAAAAGATTACTGATGGGTTTACCTAGCGACAAATACCGACGATTTTCTTATTCGTATGGTCAAGGGCTGCATCCAACTTTCCGCCCGGCCCAATATCAACAATACCGTTAACATGGTTCCTGTTGACCATGTAGCAAAAGTTGTCATCGCTTCAGCATTTTTCCCTCCCCATTCCGAACTATCTGTTTCGCATGTAACCAGCCATCCCCGCCTAAGATTCAATCAATTCTTAGGTGCTCTACAGACATTTGGGTATGATGTTCCACAGGTTGATTACGTCCCGTGGGCAAACTCTCTTGAGCAATATGTCAATGATGGTGACCGGAACACCACTGCCCAACACGCATTGTGAGTCTATCGTTCTCAATACCTTTGCTTTCTGATGATTCCTAACGTAGTCAGGATGCCTCTCTATCATTTTGTAACTGCAGATCTTCCAGCAAATACTCGGGCTCCTGAACTTGACGATATAAATGCTGCAGCTGCTCTTATTGCCGATTCCAAGTGGTCTGGTGAGAATTCGTCAGAAGGGAGTGGAGTGACAGAGGAGCTTGTTGGACTTTATCTCTCCTACCTTTTGGAAATAGGGTTCCTGCCGCCTCCTACCGTGGCTGGATCCAAGGTCCTTCCGAAAGGCAAGATTTCAGATGCTCAAAGAGTTGCTCTTGGTGCCGTTGGCGGCCGTGGTGGCAATGCTTGATCGTTCGATTCTTCTGTTACGAAACCTATGCATTTTTTTTCTTTTGGTCCCTGTTATGCACAGGTGGGCGATAAAAGTTTAAAGTTTGGACATACATCTAACTCGATATTTTTTCCTTGCCTCAACCTATGCAAGACCCCTCCCTCACGAAAGTTGGAAGGGTGAAATTGGGTTGAATGAAAATACTATAATTTTAAATGAGCGTCTTGAGTCTTTGTTTGGTTGTAAGTAGGGTGGTTTCTCATGGATGACGACGGATATCAAGTTTGGACCATTGACGCAGAGATAGGGAATGGCTAATCCACAACTAAATTCCTTCCGAGCAATATAGTTGCCACGATTGTATGCAGCGCTCTAAAAGTCGGCCTATCTTGCTTTGCCGGGTTTGGTGTGGCAGCTGGACCTACCGAACTCTGGTTCGAAGGGCTTGTTTCAAAACGATCTGTGCGAGATCAGGGTGTATTCGGAGTTGCTGGTCCCTCGAAAATAAAAGAATATATACAACCTCTTGAGGCATTTTCGGTTCATTCATTATTAGCTTATCTTACTGCGTAAAAAGCCTTTCGGCTACTTTGAGAACCTCATCTACTGCCCAATGTAGAAGTTCCTCCATAGAAGCTTCTCCCTGACCTGGCGCAACCAAAACTCCGACATCTTCTCTAGCATTCCGTCCTTCACCAATAAGCTGCTTGAGTTGCTCTACGTCAATATCGGGTTTTGTGTCTTGTGGGAGTAGCAGCCAGGCGTGATCTGTGATGTAACGTGGCCAAACAATATCATCAACATAACCAGGAGGATCTGTCCAGAAGTTGACGTCTGGGGGAGTATACTCATTGGCATCCTTCTCTTCTTGGTACCGGGCAGATTGCACATCATTAGCGGTCATCTCGATCTGTGGAGAAGGTGTTGGAGCGGGTCCTATTGTAACGTAGCCTGTCCGCTTTTCTCGTCGTTCTTTAAGCAGCGTGTAGGTAGCAGGAAGAAATAGTGGTATATGAATAATATCGTGAACCAGACGAAGCGGATGTGAAGGCTGGTCTGGTGGTGCGTAAAGAAGGAAACCCTCAACCAGGGCTAGAGCCAGGTGCCTTGTTTGCGGCATGTCTACTGTAGTGGCTGCATCTTCGAAGACCTTTCGTAGACGTTGGGTGGCTTCAGATCTCAATGATTGGACAATCCGCTTGTGAACACCCGAATCAGCGGCATCATTAAGGTCTTCTTTGCTTTTCAATCCAGCGGGTAGCTTGCCGTGGTCGCGAACGTACACCAATGCCGCCTCGAGCAGCCCAATGTCGAGGGCGCCGATGGTGTCCCAGTCTTGAACTGCCTTTCCAGAAGACGTGGTGACGACGGGAATCCTAGGCTCATCAGCACCCAAGAAAGGCCCTGGTTACGCTGAAGTATCTCGCACATACAGGTCATCGGATTTATAGAAATCATCTTCATGGAGGATAAACGGCCGTGTTGCAGTTATCGCACTGCCATCAGAGACTGCCAGCGTGAACACGGATCGCAAAAGGCGGGCAAGGGTTGTCTTCCCGCTGGATGAAGGCCCGGATAGCCCGACAAGAAGAGTCTTGACGCACGTCGAAGCCATAATACGCGTGGCCAACCAGATCTCTATGGGCTCAGCTGGATAGAAGTGGGATGTTAATTTCTTTGCAACTAGCTACTGGCATTTGGTTAGTTTAGTGAGAATAACTAACTACTCCATAGTGAGAACAGGAGCAATCATGCCTAACAACAGTGAACCTGCAGGATGAATAGTCTGTGACTCCATACAGAATGCCTATATACTAAGGTTGTCTGGAACTGAATCTGCACCTTTATCACCATCATAGGTGCATAATCCTTTAAACAGCTCTAGATGCTTTCTCTCCCTTCTAAATGATTGTTTTGTTTGAGCACTATCTCAACATCCTTGTTAGTCACCAAAATGGTCTGGAAACCCCGACTTCACAAAGATCACAATCGCCAGTCCAAAAAGACTGGCGTCTTTCATACAGAAATGTTGTAATCTTCTACTATTCGTACGGAGGAGGCTGTCATCAATAATGATGATTCAAGGCAGATTATTTTTGCCCTGGTATTTGTCTTTGTGGTATATAAAAAAAATTAAGTCCCCAAAGTGGTGTTCGTCGTTTCTCTCTCGGAGTTGGCTGAAAGAGGTGCTGTTGAGCCTTACGATTTCCAATAACCCGCCTATCGGCATCCAATTCAGCTCTGCATGGATGCCGCGAATACTGTATTTGAACCACCAAAACCAAATATAGTTTTATCCTTTTTTTACCACTCAGCCGAGACCACAGCAGTTGTAAGATGCAAATATGGAGAGGTAAAGATATTCAAGTAACCCTAAATCTAGCTAGTCATTGAATATATCTACATAGGGTTCAAAAAACTGCACCTACTTGTTTCTATGCATCGATTTAATAAGCAGCCAGATTAGTTCATGAATTAAGCTCCCTCACATCGAGATTGTGGGTACCATACGTTGCGCATAGTAAACAGGTGTTAAAGCCGATGAGAAAAGATCCAACAGAATCTAGATTGTTAATTTCTGAGACTGCAGCATAAATATGTTCAGTATCACACCCATGGGATGAAACAGAGAACCGTACTTAAAAATGTAATAGGTTCTGTTTATCAAAACAATGATCTTTGGTATCATTTCAAGATATGATCAGTAGCAACTGTTAGTGCTCACTCAAGTCAGATACAAAAATCGTATTTAAATTGACCGTTTAATCATCTGGGATACTAAGACAGAATGGAGCACCGGCCGTGCAGTCATCTCCGGGTATATAGAATGGATCTACCGGTACGTTTTTTCTATCTTTAAGCCCTGGTGTTCGTGGAACAGATCCCCCAGAGCTGTCATTATTGCCATCGGCAATATCTTGAAGTCGGGGTACAGCTCTCCGCTTGCGAGGCGTGGACCTTTTATCTATTGTCATAATCAGACCGTCTGGGGTTATCACTTCATCGAGGAACGGCTGCCGTCGTTTCGTGGTGATTTCTAAGCCTGGAGATATGTCTGAGTTTAAGAAAGGTATGTCAGAATGAGCTGCTTTGCCTTCCTTCTTAAATGGTGTTTGTTGGCTTGAAGATAATCGGGCAGCGGACAACTTCGTAGGCAGCAAAGTTGGAGATGGAGCTGGAGCTTTGATATCATGGGCATCAGGGACGGGCAATTTGTGGCGGTCAAAGAAACCCGGCATACTCTTTAAGTATGCACATCCAGTGTCCCTTGTATCGTTTAAAATAGGAATAAAGCCTTCTGTCTGTATAATATGACTCATAACATGATCTTCCAATAAATCCTTCTCAGCATGTTGCATCTCTGCGCTTGACATTTGTTTTCTGCGTCTCAGCATCTTATCCTCAAGAGTACCTTGCAAAACCAAAGTTTCCACATAAACAGGTTTGGTTTGCGAAATGCGATGGGCTCTTTTAATTGCCTGGCTCTCGACATTTGGGTCCCAAATCGGAACAATAATGAAAATACGAGACGCACTAGCAACATGTAGTCCATGTGAAGCTTGACGTAAGTCCATCAATAGAACACGTACCGCGTCAGAGTTATTGAAAACCGAAAGATATTCACTCTTCACAGTGGCTTTGAGAGTGGATGCATAAATGCGGAAATCCACACCAAGAACTTCGAGTCCTTCCGCAACCCAAAAGGCAGTGTTGGTATTTTCATAAAAGATAATGATTTTCTCCGTCCCCTGTAGCTCCAGAACGCGATCCAACAAATATGTAAGCTTAGCGGATGCCGTTGCAACTAGTTTGACTTTTGCAAGAGGGGACTTAGCTAATAGGCTTTTGCAATTGGAGAACTTCCTTTTTTTCAAGGGTGTTTCGGGTTTTGGCGAGTGAACAAGATAGTCGTTTGTTTTTGACTGGCTGGGAATGGGAGAGTTGGGTGTTGATTTAATTTCAACATTTCCCTTTCGCCCCCTTTCCATATCCCCTTTTACTTTGATTCCCGCGCCAGCAATTCCCTCGGCGGGGTCTGCAGCACACAAGCGCGCAGTGACAAATTTCTGTGCTTCTCTCGCCTGGGAGAGACCCAACAGCAAGGGGCCTTGTTTCTCGCACTGGCCATCAATTGACCACACCTCACGTGCGTGCTCAGGAAATCCATGTATGAGTACTCCGACTTCATGATACCGGCTAAACGCATTCCAGGCAGAGCACGAAATAGTATTTTCTGCAATGAGAATTCCTTCCCACAGAAGGCTTAAGTCGGCATCCGTCATGTTCTGTCTGTTTTTTTCCATATAATTTCGAGCAATATTGAGTGTTGCTTCAACATCCGCTTTCTCAGATCCACACCACCAGAAACCTGCCTGTCGAAGATGGTTAATTGTTACACTCAAATACTTCCTATTTCTCGGGTGAAACATATAGTCTTGATCGGTGCGCTCCGATGTAATGGCATTGACTGTCAACTGAAAGATAAACATATTGAGGGATAATTTATCATAGTAAGTAGGTTCCAGGTAAACAACTTTATTATGAAGTTTTGGCAGAGATAAATCCTTATTAATGTCTTCAGTACGATGCCGCACAACAATAGACTGGAGAGTAGGCCGAAGCGACCGTGCCATTTTCCGCTTGCCATCAGCACCAGCTGACTTCATGTATTTGGCCCAATTAGCTAAATCGTTACCTTGACAATTGGCCCAAGGCTTTAAGCAAAGAAAGTCGACCACAATTCGTCTCAACTTATCTAGATTTTTCAGCTCTTCAGCAATGCTTTTGCGGGGGTCTTTTCTAGCTTTTAAGATGGCCACAGTTCTGTCGCTGGTTTCTGCAGCCGCATCAGCGTTAGTTTCCTGTGAAGCGAGACAAATTTCGACGCCATATAACCCATCGGATGGTGTCCCAGATACCACCCATCTGCGCTCAACGTGTAATCTTTCTAGTAAATGGACGGCATTGGATTTCCCTCCCGCACTCGCAAAATTATGACCTTCGTCGACAATGATCCGAAGCCAGTGTATTTCTTTCAGGGGTGAGTCGTACAGTTCCGAAGAGCAGGCACTGAAACCGCCATGTTCGCATTCAAACCGCGACTTTGAAAAGAGAATGATATCGTAATCAAGTAATTCATGTGCTGGTGGGGTGCTGTTACTTTTTTCCCTGAGTACTAGCGCTCTTAGCGTTTGAGTATGCTTCGCAATCTCCCGAAGCCAGTGGTCAACTAAATTTGACGGGACAATAAGCAGCGTTCCGGAGGATAGTTGCAAATGACAGGATTTAATTTTGGAGGAGGTGGTATTTCGACAGTAGTACTTTGGGGCTTGTGTGATCGCGTATGAACCTCGGTTTCTTTCGCAAGCACTCAAGCACCTTTGATAATGAATTCCGGTGGTGCTTAGACGGTCGAAATGGGACTTCCATGGCAAAGATAAACGACCAGCGGCTGCTGCTGCCATTTCTAGCAGTGACGCAGTCTTTTCTCGGACAGGACACGAATCTTGGAAGTAGGCAGAGGGAATCTGTGGGAAATGCCCTTTTGTAGCAAGGATAAGCGCTAAACAAATCAGAGTTTTGCCATAACCCATAGTCTCCGCAAGGACACCTGTGAATATAATGAGCAATTAACGACCGAGGTATACCTGGAAATGGGGAAGAAACTCGCCTCCACGTACACCCGAATAGAGACGTGGATGTCGGGTGACTATTCCTTCTTCCTTGTCATAGTAATATATCTGTCCTGTTGGACCCCTAAATTCTCGGAGCCTTGGGTCAAGAAACTCTCCTGGTGCATATTATTTCTGGATCATAAGTGCTGCGGAGCGGCGCTGATAGGGATATAGAAGGGTCTTGAGCCCAACCAAACTAAAATTCTCATCCGAATTGGTGCTCCCAGCCAGGACGTCTTCCATGACGGTCCTTGCCCAAGGGTCGCATACAGAATTGGGATTGGGAGCTGGAGATTCCAGAGTATTAAATATGTAGAATAACGACTCGTCCTCCTCGCTTGGTTGTAGCAAGGGCTTAGAAAACGGAGTGACATGTCCATCCCAGGCCCCAGATGAAACATTCAGTTTTGACATGACTACCTTTAAAGCACGATGAAGGGGTACACTTGAGCGCGGAACAACTGCCCTTCCTATGTCTTCAGGTAGTACATACACACGGACTGCGCTCCTCTCAGGATCACCGTTGTTTTCGAGAGGAATTGTTCGAATCCAGGCTGCTTGCTCTAGTAGATCAACCTCAGTTAAAGGATAGTCAGGGCTTTTCATACTTTTAGAAAAGTCCTGAGAGCCAGTAAATGGTTCTAAAACACCAACAGCAATGAAATTTTCAAGATTGGAGAGCAAGAGCTCTTTGGTCGCCCGTTCTGCGGCATCGGAGGTGCATAGTACTTTTGAAGGTAACATAGATTCTAGGGATTCCGAATCGTTCAAAAGCGAAGGGTCATTCCGTGTAGAGATCGAATGATCGGTCCCATCCACGAGGTTCCCATTAGTACGAGTAACCATCTCGATATTTCACAAGCAAAGCAGTACAGTATTCTTTAGCTTGTAATTAGTAAAAGACGATACAGAAAATAGGGGCAGCAGAAATTGTCTAATTTACCAATACATATACAAATATCTGGCGTCCTGCAGTCTGACCTCATTTCAACGCCCACTGTCAGGTTTAGAATAAATCAATCGGACGGCACTTCATTGGGGCTGATATACGTAACCAGATCACTAGTGATCACGGAAGATGAAAGTCATGTCAGATCAGCAACCACCAGAAATGTGTTACTCCATTCTGTGCTTCCTCTTTTTGTTTAGAGGAGTGAGGTAATATGGCAATATCCGACTCACCGCCCGGCAGAACTCAGTAAAAACCTTAACTTGGCAAAGTCACGGGCACGCCCAGTAGCCTCGCCATTATTGGCTACTAGCAAACTTGGTTCGGCTTACTAAGCTATGTTTGCTCTTATATTTACATTTTCAACTCTCGACAAAATGTGTCTCTTTGAGCGGTTGGGTAGTTAACTACTATCCGCTGAATTCCATCTAAGCATAGTACATATATGCTATTTACATACTCTGTATATTTGGACCCAATCAGGCGTGTTTTAGGGCAATGTATAGACTGCAAAATTGCTCGGGGGGGGACCTTCCCTCTCCAGACAGACAACTTACGCCCTTTACTAATAAATACAACAAATGACAACAAGCATGCAGGACATACAAGTGGCTACTTACCTGTTGAAACTTAAAGTACAAGCATTCATACGTAAACATATAGGGATTCTGTGCATTGATTTTTCCGAGGAGGTTTTAGCCATTAGGTCGTGACTGATATATTTTACAACCACTACGGAGTAACTAGTGGAAACGGTATGTATCTTAGCCCTTTGTTGGTTCTCAAGTTCCTTGCGCTTTTCTTGTCTGACGTCCGTTTAAAGCAGTAGTAAGAATGGTGTCGCTTGTTGATCTCTTTGACCCAGCAGGCTTCTATCCACTATGCGTATCCCTCATCAGCAGTCTAGACGGTGTATCTATCCTTCGCCTGAGCATGACATGCCGGGCGTTGAGAAGACTTTACGACTCTGCCAAGAAGATACGGTGGAATATTGATAAGTCGCTTGTTCGCTTTGTGAAAGACCCTTCTTTTTTTCGCCTGTGCATGCAGCAGACGGGGACCATTATTTCCGGCAGCTTTGCCCTGCAATTCTTTGATGGTGTATACTGGCCCGAGTCTGACCTCAATATGTATGTGCCAGGCTCCTCCAGATTTGAGGTACTCACACGCTGCCTTATCGACAATGAAGGGTATCATGAAGAAAAGTATCCCTCTGTTAATCGGCCCGAGATGGGGTCTTCATATAATCTAAGGAGTTTTACACGAGGTGACAAACGCATTCAACTAATTATAGTTGTAGAAGATCACGATGATCCTGTGCGTTTCATCTTGGGGAACTTTTACGGCAGTGCAATTTTGAACTTTATTACATTCTCCAAAGCCTACTCAGTCTTTCCAGAAAACACCTTTGTCCAGCGCGATATGTGTATTCTGAAAGACCGCACGTTGTCTCGTGAACGAGAGATAGCTAAATATCGACAAAGAGGATTTGAACCAACCGAGCTTCGGTATTCCACTGTTGACGCTACCAAAATTGCAGTTTCTGAGCGCTTAATTGGAGACAGCCAAACCTGGTGTTTAGACTTGGGCAACCCCTGGAGGCTTCCAGAAAACAAAAAATTTAAGTCCCTTAGGATAAGCATAAGAACCGGCATCGGTCGCTACCTCTTGTGGGTTTTTTAAATCTATGGGGCTCACCAGCTCCTCTCTTAAAGTTCGTATATGCTCAGACCATTATATGTATATGATGTTCTAACTAGCTTCTAGTAGAGATAAGGTAGGCGGCAGATATTACGAACCTCTCATATCTTTACTGTTCGCACGATTCTTGAAGTCGTGGCTGTGCCGAATGCATTTATGGTTACTTTTCCTCACATTCTGCAAATACTACCCTACCTGTTTGGTTTGTGCTCTGTCACCCGGGTATTTCAATATTGCACCACATCTTTACTCTTCTCTCCCTAAGGAATATCACGGGGATATATCTGCCCCTTTCCTCTCAGACTATTATAAGTCAATTCAGACTGCGGTCTCTTCCGTGAACTCTAGAGTAGAAAGATACACGTCCCCATTCATAATTTCATAAAAGTATGTTTTTATTGGGTCTCATGAGTATTTGCTACCTGTCACTGCCGTTCCTTTTGCTGATCGCTGATTCTCTTCAGCTTCTATCCCTTGGTCCCGGAAGGTAAGCCTTCCATCCTTCAAGGACAGTGTTTACACTGTCAGTTTTGGCGACTCTGTAAGCTATGCTTCTCTATTCCCAAAGCATTGTGCAACTCCGGTTGCTCTTTCGGCCGCCTCAAGGATGGGCGTACAGCAGAGCCTTGGCACCTAGTTGGCTGCGGCTGAAATTTCACAGAAAAAGAAACAACGCTCCTTCCTTCAATATCTAGGTCTTCGCCGTTGGTCACATGCTCAACACAACTGAGGGGTTCATGCCACTGCTACACATGCTCTCAGTCCAGGTCACCCGAACATCTAGCCGTGACGACACGGCCCTGAATTTCTCTTCCATAGGATCTGTGGAGCTTCATCTCTCATTTCACAAGTCAATAAAGCCATTATGTCTTTCCATTGACAATATCCACACGCCATAACAGGGATTCTACCAATAACACTAATGGTGCAGGAGCATTCCAGAGATCAACATATGGTCATCCACCTAGGATTATTTGAATCTCGTCCTCTGAGTTGTATGTAGCATCTTGCACTAGCTGTCCTCCCTCCTTTCCGCCAGCATCCCATTCACACAGAATACGAGAGAGGTCATAACACCGGGAAACCACTTTTCTGGGGCTCAAACACCACCGCATGCATCGTCCCTTCTCTTGATTTGACCTCGTATCTAGACTTTTTAGTGATCAGTGTTCCGTGCCCCGCCTTCAAAGTCTTATGAGCCGTGGCTGGGCGTCTTTGAGCAGCCACTCTCTATCCATATCGCGACGGGCCTCCTTATTGAATGGGCCAATATTTGGCCTGCTTTTCGATCAACAGTGTGATATGATCTCCCATGTCCTTGTCCTTTATTGAATGTCATCTTTGGACCCTTAAAATCTATCTTACAGCTTTGGAATCAAGATTGTACATACCTTTGATGATGTGGCATAATTGTACATTTTATCAAAGAGAGTGTCACCAACTTCGGCCCTTCATTGGCAAGGCTACCCTTGAAGAGAGCACTCTGTATTTTCATGGGCTATTACGTTATACATAAATTAACGCACGGTTGTGAAACTCGATATCGAACATTTGGTCACAAAGCTTCAGAAGTCCATGAATCTGACATGTTTGTCCCTGCTGTTGGGGGGTGGGTTTTGATTTGTTTGGTTCCTCTGTTCTTCCTAGAAGACAGGTACCTGAAACCACCATTCAACTCCAACAGCGGCCGAGGCAGGCGATCTCTTGAATAAACTGTAACACCGCACTCCCGTGTCCAGTCTTGTAAGGTGCTGCTACTCCCTTTTAGATCTTTTGGCCCAATACTTGATAGTTAAGGCGTAGCACCTTCCGGCAATGACTCCTTAGTGGTTCCTCCTCCGAGGTGGGTTGATTTTGCTATGCTACGAGGTATAAATAGCAGCCAACTCCTGGTATTCTACAATATTTTCAGTCAGTCTCAATATTTCAAACACTGATATAAAAACGTACCAAAGAGTCAGTTTATAAACACACTAAAACAAACATGAAGATCTCCTACATCTTCTGCGGCCTCGCGCTGCAAGTCATTGGCATTCTGGCCTCCCCAGAAGAGTTCGGTAAGATGCTTTTTCCCGGAAAGACCCTATACTATTGCCATCGGAGGACTGACTATGTGTTGAATAATAGACACCAACTCAGTTAGCACTCTTCAACATAACACATCTCCTGCTTCCCTAGGCCAACTACTTGATGCTGGTGCTCAAGAACGTATGGATATATTCATATTTTCTTGGAGACTTTTTTTTTATAATAAAGAACACTAAATACCCTCTTCCGTTTTAGGTTGCGTTCCTTGCTCTGACCCCTGCCGTGGGTATTGCTGCCCGGAAAGCAGTCGCTACTGTATTTGGTATAGAGGTGGCTGCTACTGCCCAAGACCCTCTTAACACTAAAGTGACCTCTCCGGCGACGTCAAAACTCTCTCATATTTTTCGGGGGAAGCTTCTGTCATAAACAACGTCCCGTTGATCCTCATTGCATATGGCCTTTGATGTACTCGCACCGGACTTGCAGAGACAACCCAACCTCCTATTCATACTGCCTAATTGCTTTGAGTTGTTTATTAGGTGATACATTTCACCTTCACAGCACATTCATTTCCATTTCGGTACATGTAACTAGCTCTAAGACCGGAAATTTAATAGAGCATAGCCACCTGGGTTATTTTCTGTCCAATTTGCGGGTAGCCACTTTGCAGACTGTAGCAGACGGTGTATCAAAGTTGTGTGATAATAAACCACGCTGTTGAGGCACCTCCTACTAGCAAGCTACTCAAATAATGCATGATATAGATGGTCTTCTCAATTTGGTGATATTAATTTTATTTCAAAGGCGGTAATAGTTGAATGAAGGCAAGACGTTCTTCTAGAGGGTGGGACTATTTGGTCAAAACGTGTCTCCTCGGGTAAACTCGAGGGCATATATTGGTGATCTAAGTATTACAAGTAGTATATATTTATTATATAGATCGGATCCGTCCTTCAAGAATAGCAAAGTCTCCCAGTCAAAACGCCAGGTGGCAATGAGCCATACTAGAATGCTGCATAAAAATGCAAATCAGAGAACGGCGACGTCAAACGCCCGAAATGCCCATAATGCCAAAAGACAAGGCCAATCAAGACTTGAACATTTCAACGCCGAATAAACTCACCCACTTCGAACCCAATGCGCCTCAAAGCCTTCTCTTCAATTGATTTTTCCGAGTTCGTTCTTCGTCTCACCACTAGTGTTCGGGTATCTTCTAGACGAATTTCAACGGGGTTCCCTTCCCCATATGTCTCAAGCTCTTCCTTTTCACAGTCTCGGATACATATAGTAACATCAGGCCCCACACACCCCCGCCAAAGAGACGCCATCCATTGCCAATGATCAATTGGCGCATATGCATCATTGATTGGAGTCGTGCAGGCGTGGGCATCAGCGGTGCTTAGCTGATACTGCGGAACTAATGCAATCCGAAATATGGAATCAGATGGCTGTGAGGTTCGGTTTTCTGGAAACCACCCTCGCTTCTCTAGGCTGCAAAACGTAGGTGAGTTCTCGCGGGAGGGTATAAGGCTATGCGACTGGTGGTTAGATATGGTGGAGGAGTTATTAATAAACCGAAGAATGTCTTCAGAAATTTTGTGCCATTTTGATATAGTTTTCAGGTATTGTACTGTTGCGTCTCGGGTTTCTTCGGCTTTCGTTGGTACTTCTGGCGACGCCGGATCGGGACCCTCAAATATATGTACAATCTGACCATCTCTAGATGACAGAACGTTCTTCAGGTACTCTAATACACATTGAACAGATAAATGATCTTGACCTTCGACCGCAATCACTGCGCCCTGGCAGGATTGTGCGGACATCGACGTGGAGAAAGGTGGCGATATTTTTGACAGTACTTTGATTTTGTTGAGAAACGGAATTGTCATAACCAATGTCTTAACTTGACTTTGACTACTCTGGTTTGTACTAGGCAGAGTCTGTAATGGTGGCAACACAAGTCTAGGGTCCTGGACTGGCTTGGAGAAGCTGCTAGTTCTGAATGGTCGCGGAGATTCGGTCGAATTCTGGCCTTTTAGATGCAGTGTCTCCAGTCGAGGATATGAGGAGCTCCGTTGCGAATATGTGCTACATGAACTGAAGTTCTGCCGGATAGGGCACCATCTGCCTCTCTTCATATCTGGAGAAAAAAGGCCATCCTTGTCTTGATGCGGGGTGGGTGCCGTAGTTCCCTGATTTTGCTTCAAGTGTGAGTGCAGAGGGCTCACAGACCGTGCTCTCTTTCTCGAAGATTTGGCGTCGGCTGAGGGCTGCTTGTTTATATGTGGAGGAGCAGAACATCCTTGTCTTTGCGTGCTTGAAACAATAGACACTATAGGAGTAGGCGGCGCGTTCATCACTCTGCCGCCACACCTATTACAGACAGATGCCCCAGTAGGATTGTTGCTAATCCCCGAACTGGCGGCTCCAGCATTGCTTCCCTTTCGGCCGTACCGACGTGGTTGATACCGATAATCAGGATATTGTTGCTGATGCCTTGCTTTTTCCTCCTACTCTCGTTAGCATGCCTAGTTACATCAGACTTAACAACTTGCTATCTTACCTCTGCAAGATTCTTCCAATCCTGCTTGGACTCAACTGGGAGATTCCTCCATTTCTCACCAATTATTTTGGAGATTTCCGGATTTGCAAGTCCCGGATTCTGCGCAACAACAGCGGCTTGGAAGTGTTGCCGGAACAGAATGAAAGCTACAATCAAAACACCGCGAGTCAGTACACAAACCGCCTCTCTATCAAAGGACCAATTGGGTAACGAAAGATATCTGAAACACCTACGAACCATTTCTGGGGCGCGGAATCTTTGGGTCCGGTTGGCATAGGCAGAATAGGACACTGGAGTCCCTAGACGACGTAGACTTGGACGAACCGGCAGATGCTGCGCGGTGATTTCTCGATGCCTCTAGCACAGTACCTGACGAGGCTAGGTTTCCGGACAACGGAATCGGGATGCTTTCCGGGGCCTTGTGCAGGGCATGTTCCTTCGAAGGCCCAAAATCTGGGCCTTGACACCGCGCAGTTGGGATCGACGAGGGTGGCGTCCCCGATGGAGTCGACAATTGACGGCCATGCTGGTCACGAGATGGCCGGTTCAAACCCTCGACGACAATCCTGTGACCAAGTAAAGAGCTGACGCGGGGCGGGATGCCACGGCTGGAGAGGTCGCAAAAGAGGCCAAGCGGCTTGGGCAAGACTCGATCATACGACATCGAGAGGACGAAGAGACGTTGGATGTGAGCTCGTCTCCCTCTCAGGGCGTCTGCGATGCTTTTGAATCATCGTGAACGCCAGGGCCTTTGTCGTTCTTCCAGGCATGATCTTATTTAAGAACAGTTCCCAAGCTTCTTTGTTCCTGGCCGCACCCACCGTGCAAGAGTATCACGTCGCAAACAATTGCAGTCATCCGCTGTGTGTTCTGCCCTGGAGGTGAGCGCAGCGGATGAGCTGGCACGGCGCAGAAACACAGAAAGAAAACTGCCCCTACTTCTGGAGTCTGTCGCTATTGTTTTCTGGGTCCTTTGTCCGGCTGTGCACCTGGATGCGGCAAAGTGCAGGCTGCCGGCTTTTCTGTGAGACCACCATCCACCGGCAAGCTGCAACAATGCGATGAAGAAACTGGCTATGAGGTTGCTGCGACTACAAACAGGCATGGATTTGCATTTCAGCATATGGACTGGGGGCAACAGGCCTCAGCAACAGGAATATCTTGAGACAGTCGCACTGCAGTCCAACAAAGCCGCCCCAAAAGCGTCGTGTCGGACGAGCCAGTACATCCACACCGGCGGGTTTTGGTTCTCATGCTTTTCCACCGCAGCCGTCTTTCGAAACCGCCCGCAGTCGTTTGCTACCAATCCTGCGGCCAATTACCCAGTAGGACGATGGTCCCTGCAGCAGCCGACGGGCAAGCCATAGAACGGCAGGCTGAGGATAGCACTGGCACGCCTGCAACCTGACGGGCTTCCCGATCGATTCCAAACTCTGTCATAAAAACTAGCCAGCTTCTCTCGGCTCTTGCAGCACCTGAGGGCTGTTCTAAATGCCGTCATTGCTGCCCGGCTAGCGGCGACTGCTCAGCTAACCATGATCCATTGACAGCGTGAAAGACTTCCGTTGCCAATGATTTCTGGGCCGCGGGTCCCAGATGAAGTGAGTCCCTGAGCATTCAAAAGCTGTGTCAGCTTCCACTCCATGAGCAGCATTACCCGAATCCACATACCAGAATAGAAACTTTTCCGGATTGCTGCAGTGGCTCTGTTTCGGCGGGAGCTGCGTTACGTTTACGCAAGGCTCGTCGACGTTTTCCCACGCTACGCCGTCTTTTCCGAATTCTTCGTTGTTTATCAGGCCCCCCACCCAGAGCTGCCTCCTTCGCACCTGGTCGATCACAAAAGAGTTGGCATCAAGCAAGAAAAGGGAACCGTGCTGCCATTGTTCGGCGTATCCGCGCACTCGCTCGTGCCAGTGCTCTAATAACAGAATAGCATCCTTTTGATTGACCCCCTGCCGTACTTTGAATGCAGGCAGAAACGTCATATCAACAGGAAGGGAGAGTATTACCTTTGTGTCACTCGTGGACCACTTAATTGCCAAGTTGTTCAAGTGAATAAACAATTTGTCCACAATGCGTTCAGCAGAAGATTGAGCCATCTCAATGTCTTGTTCGGCAAGCTTCCAGAGATCCCAGGTGCCAAACGATACCACAAACATGGTGCGCCGTTTTCGCACCGAGATCTTTTTTGTCGACATGTAGAGACTTGCCTTTTCCTCTCTGTTAAGCCACTCAGATATACGAGAGCCGAGATCACGTTCTTGCTGTTTTCGTGTGCTGCTCATTCCCAGCGCCTCTAACTCGCTGTTGTCCACGATGGAGTCGAAAAGTGAGCTTGATTGCCTCTGGGTAGTATCTAGAGAGCACGAAAACTGTGCCCAGATACTCTCAGCACTTGTTGTCTATTGGCAACTGGCAAACGGCGTACATACCTGAGAACACAGTATTTCCGGCCATACTCGGCCCTGAAACGGTTTGTATATTCTCTCATCGTCGCTCCAGGCATCCCCAAAGACTACCATTCTATAAGAACGGAGTACATTTTGATCCCAGCCAGGCAGTATTGCTGCAGTTAATACATTCAGGGTCCGACGAAAATAAACAATCCCTAGTAAGATCAGGGTAGTGAGGACGTAGAGTCTCGACAACAAACGCATTTGCCCCCTAACTTTAATACCCAATTATTATTTGAAACAGATAGGACAGTAAATATACTCCGTAGAACAGGCGAGCGACTGCCAGAAAAGAGTGTCGGGACAAAATAACCAAGCAATAACAATCTATGTATTTACAGGGTCTTCAAAAGAAAATACAGGAAGAGGAACGGGCTTCTGAGCAGAAGACCCCAATTTACTAGTTAATTCCAAATTGGAGTCTAACTCATAACTTATGCATTCATCGTATTTGTCAATCCTGGGCGAATCCCCGATAACCAGACAAGTACTCCGTAGCTCAAAGCGTTCCACTACCCGCTGAACACACCCAAGGCGGCTGCCAAGTTCAATGGAGAACTCTTAACAGGCTCAACGCCACCACAGCCCAGCGGGTGCCAAGATTCAACAAGAGAGTTTCGTTGGTCCTATTCGTGCCGAACCGGACATTGGATCGCGGTGTAAACCCGGAGGCCTGGGCAGCGCGGGTTTTTAGCTGCCAGGTGGACACTGTGGACACTCAATTATAGATATAGAGGACAGGTACTCCGTACGGTGTACAGAGTAGGCAGCAGCGCTTTTTCGCTCAGAGTGCCACAGTGAGAATTATGAGAGTAGAATATACCGTTTGTTAACGAGGTGGAATGAAGGGAGGCGGTGATTATGGTGCCTAGGGAGCGGACTGTTCTCTCAAACAGGCAAACAGTCTCGTGTCCCAAGGAATGTCCCGTCCGCTGCACGGTCCGCACTCCCTACGGTGGTGTAACAGGATGTGGCAGTGCTAACCATAGCTAAAAGTATAGCTCATTTGTTGATGTAACAAAACAGATAACTATGTCTTCTGTCTCTAGATTCATATGCTGCTCACAACCTGGCACACTAGAGGTTGTGGCGGCCAGGCAGCGAGAGCCGGCTTGGCGAGTGTCCCGTGATTAGGGTCAGATCAGCCGCTTAGTCATTGATCTAAAACCGTCGCAGATCGACCTGCGGTTTCACCTCGCCCTGTCTGCTCCTGCAGCTCACAGGGAAGAGAGAGCTGGCTCACGGACTCGGCAGACAGACCATACTGTGAGAAAATTCCGTGTTAATGCTGCTCCTAGACAGCAAGGCCTTGGAAGCTACTCTTTAGAGGATTCAACTTGCTTCAGCGGCCCAGTTCTGCGAGTTGACGGGAATAGCGCATGTGTACTCCGTACGGAGTGCTCCGTATTCCGTGCACGGCCAGCTTGAATGGATCCTATGAGATGCCCCCTGGTAAGGATTATTACACGCATGCCTCATACACAGGTGGAATACGGAGAAATACTGCATTGACCACCCCGGCCCGAACTCAGGATGAGTTAGGAGCTTGTCAAAGGGGAAATCCAAGGCTACGGGGGTCTTCCTTTCATTCTCGCTTCGTAAAGCAATTCGAAGGAGAAGTCTACTCCGTACGGAGTACAGGAAAGGCCGTCTGTGAGTGTGAAATGTGTACTTCCCAAAATGGCCGGCTCGGACAGCGACCGTTTCAACCAGGCCCTTTGCCCAACACAACCACCGTCTCAGGTAGAGTGTAGGCGAGCATTTTCCCTCAGAATGGCGAAGCCATACATGTTCAATAATAGGATTCTGTTATCCTCGTTCGTAGTGGATGGCGGTCTTTGTCCAGGAGCCTGCTTACCATCTCACACTTTACAGAACAAGTGTTATATAAAGTGAGGTGTCTGGAACACTTCAATTTATTCTCACTTACCGTTGTTTTGCCTCCTTTTTTTTCTGTTGCTTGGAATATTTATGGGCCAAGGATGTTGACCGTCCGCTTGTCTCTCTCTACCCTGGTGGTGCTTTTCTTGGCCCTGTTCTTTACCATAGGGGCATTCGTCGAGGCAGCACCTCAGAGGCAGAATAACGGTAATGGACAAGGTGGAAATCGGGGTGGTAATCGTGGTGGCGGTAACAAAAATTCCAAGGGAAATGGCAACGGAGGACAAACTGCACAGCAGCAAGCAGCACAAAAGCCCCAGGGAATTTCAAAGGCCAAGGATGGCTCCACGATTCTTGACATGACTGTCACAGTGAAGTAAGTTTCGGGATACCCAATTCACAATGCTTGCCAAGCATACCAACTAACATTGTCATTTTGACAGTGATCTCCCACTCCGTTTCAAGATAAGCGGCCCTGCCAACCAATTCACTACTGCCTCTGGCGTTAATGGGGCGCAACAAGCCCCGGGAACTCAGGGTAATCTTGGGCTCAATGTTCTCCTGCATGGAGATGGTGGTCAGTCGTTTTTCGACTTTCCTAATCAAGGAGTTCAACAGAACCTCGCTGGCGTTGCTGTTCTCGCTCCGGACCCGAACCTCTTCTGGGGCGGAGGTGCGGGCCTCAATCGCGTTGATGGAGTTGCCCACGCTCAAGCTGTGAATGACTTGGTTCTGAACGAACTTCCTAAGGTAATGGCGGTTAACACATCGAATGTCTTCTTCACTGGCGTTTCTGGCGGCTCCCTCTTGCTCTCTGGCTTCTTCATACCCCAGCACATGACCAACTTCCAAGGCACAGGCGTACTCTTGAACTGTGCTGGCCTACCTCCTCAAGTCGGCTTTGTTGACGCCAATGCAGTCGCCAAATCCACTCGAATCCACTTCCAAAGTACTCAAAAAGAGCTTCAAAACCTGCAGGGTGCTATTAGGGAATCTGTGACCGCCTATGAGAAACTTGCTTCTGATGCTGGTTTAAATAACGGTCAAATTAATGCACTACAAACCGTTGATAACTCCCCCAATGGCGGGCATTGCGCGTTTGACGGGAAAGGGTTTGTTAGCGGAATCCAACTTATGGCGGATAACTTTGCGAACATTATGCAAGGCGGAAACGGCAACGTGAATGGCATCGGAAATGTGTTGAAGGGTGTTGTTGGGAACGAGAACCTGCAATTTGCCTGAAAGTACCAAGCCTTCGATAGCTTATACCCTTTAATAATAGCTAGAAGACTGGTCGATGGAAATCGAAGCATGTATGCGCACAGGTTGCCGCAGATGTTGGAACTCAGGATCGAGGATCACTCTCCATGGCCACATTGTATGTTTGAATATATTGAAGCTCTTCCTGAAACGACAGACAATACAGAATGCTTTTCAAATACCTGCTATTACCCTAGTAATCCTAGGATATTGAGGAGGGTCTGTCATAGCTCCCCGGAAGGCACACTTCCACTTTAGTGGACGCGTGGCGCGACTAGCAATAGTACTGGTGGTACTCCGTACTACGCATTTCATATGATCTGTCAAAGGCTGGATGCAAATCGACTTGATTGGATATGAAAGCTTAAGAAAAGAATGGTTAGTGAGAAAAGTAAGGCAAGGATAATCAACGTAGCACAAAATTGAAGTGGAAAGAGAAATAATGAAGGGAATTTTGCTAAAACTCCAATCATGCGGCATAGACACCAGTGAAATGTGACGGTCTGATGATATCCAAATATGATGGAGATTACATGTATAAATTCACATACTCTAGATGTTCAAATCCAGACTCCAGGACTGAAAGGTTCCAAGTCTATGACATATAACGAATGAACTGCTGATTTCACTTTTAGTAGGATCATCAAAGGTGCATGATTCTCAGTCCTCAAGCAGAAATCTCACAGTATCACGAAACGCAGTCAGCCCATACCAGCTTGGAATGCGTCGCCCTTGGAGTCTCCTGATTTATTGTATATTTCTAGCTCTGTTTCTACCAAATATGTGCCACGTTCGCTACCTTTTGGCCTGCTAGGTTTAAACGCTGTTTTTTTTGCAGCTATCGCTAACAGAGTGATATTCATTAATATTGTGTTCAAAGCATGAATACCAATGATCGTAATTGCCGAGTCATAGATTTTTTTTAAAAAAAAAAAAAAAAAAGGAATCTGAGCAGGGAGTTGATTGTTCTAATCACAGAATCGTATTATGACAGAATAGTCTCATGTCCATGAAAGTTTCCAGACTGATAATTATCAATGAGGGCTTAGGATCCAGACCAAAATTCAGTTTGGGGAGTCAATTTTTGAGAATTTTCTTAACTGTCGAGTTGCGTGAGCTAGTAAAACAATCAAAATTAATTGATACAGCAAAGCATAACAGTAGTATCTACTCCTCGTTTGCATTTCCCACCGGCCAGCGATCTCTCTGTACGGGTATGCAGTGCATCTTATGGTGGTGGCACTGGAGATCAAACTTGGAGTAGACAGCAGACTTGGAGTAGACAGCAGATCGAGATACTCCAGTGTCAGGCAGTCCAGAAGCTCTCTTCCATTGAGACAATGATACTCCGATACTTCGTAGTGAGTGCATGTACATATGAGTAGCGAATGGCTATAGGATAATAAAGTGTTGTAGACGCTTTGCGAGCTGCTCAATTCATCCATTGCCGAGGAAGTGAGGACGTACGTGGATATCGCAAGCATCCCGCAGAGTTCAAGGTAGTCATATCCGAGAGGTATGGTGTCAGGTTGATCTAACCGGAAACAGTTAGGAAGTGTCACCGCGGAGCTTTATACCTCCCTCAAATCTATTGCGTTAGTATAGCTGCATCTTATACCTAGCATCGGTTCAGGTGACTTGTCGGTGACAAAACTCAGATTCCTTTTCTTAAGCCATATCTCTCACTAGCCTTTGTGTTCTTGCTAGGTATCGTAGCCAAAGCAGATAAAGAACGGCAGGCGTATATGTGGGCTGCAAGCGGCGCAGTAACTATATGAGAGCTGAGTGACAAATGTCGTGGGAAGGGAAGCATTCGGGTTGGCGTAACGAGAAAAGCGGTGGCTTCACGCTAGCCTGGAAGGGCGACAACGTTATCGGCTTGCGTTTATGTAGGGCTGCTTATATAATGACACGCCTGTTCTAGTCTAGTGTCGCTGAGTCAGCTGCCCACACGCGACTCGCTAAGCCGGAATTTCCACAAAATGAGATTTGAAGTCGATTTGTGTGAGACGCCGACGACCCTTTCCAACCACCGCCCCTCGACAATTTGCGTGCGCCATCTTGACCGCGGATTCTCGTCAAGATGAAGCTCAACATCGCCTACCCAGCCAATGGGTCCCAGAAATTGATTGATATTGACGACGAGCGTAAGCTCCGGCCCTTCATGGAGAAGCGCATGGGAACTGAAGTGAGCATTGGCCCGTATCATGGCTATTTTCAAGGGTGGCCAGGCAGACCTTGGCCTGGAGGAATACGTGTGTACTTATACTAAATTTTCTTTGCCTGGTGGATAGGTTCCTGGTGACACGCTCGGTGATGAATTCAAGGGCTATTTGTTCAAGATTACTGGTGGAAACGATAAGCAAGGTACGGGATACTTGCGGCAATTATCGCCGCTCTGCTACGAGCTTTTACTGATTATGCTACAGGTTTCCCCATGAAGCAAGGCGGTTTGTGCTCATGACTCAAAAATCCATATCAACTCTATACTCACAGGCTCTCGCAGTGCTTTTGCCCAACCGTACCAGACTCCTCCTTAGTGCAGGCCACAGGTATTGAAATCAACTGTGCTTGGAGAAAGTGTTCCTGACCATCATCTTTAGCTGCTACCGGCCCCGCCGAACTGGTGAGCGCAAGCGTAAGAGCGTGCGCGGAGGTAAGAATAAACCTGCTTCGGCGGGCGCTTTTGGGCCCTTTGAGACGAATGAGTTTCTAACCCTCTTGTCTATAGCCATTACTGGATATGATCTCGCCGTTATGGCCCTCACGGTTGTCAAGCAAGGCGAAAGCGATATTCCCGGACTTACAGATGTTGTGAACCCTAAGAGACTTGGTCCCAAGCGAGCCACCAAGATCCGCAGATTCTTCGGACTCGATAAGAAGGATGATGTGAGAAAATTTGTTATCCGTCGCACTGTCACCCCATCTGGAGAAGGAAAGAAGGAATACACAAAGGCCCCCAAAATTCAACGTCTTGTCACTCCCCAGCGCCTACAGCGCAAACGTCACAGAATGGCACTCAAGCGCCGCCGGGCCGAGTCCGCCAAAGAGCAAGCGTGAGTATCCCAAAGTCTGTGCATTGTTGTTTAATAAACCATGGTTACTGATGAACGTTTTTCTATCGCCTAGTAATGAATACGCCAAACTCCTTGCTTCTCGTGTCCACGAGGAGAAGGCGAAGCGTGATGAGCTTCGCAAGCGCCGAGCGTCCTCAATGAGAAAGTAGATTCTGCTGGGATAATACCGGGAGGAAGTTCTGGTGCGGACAGAAATGGGGTGTTGTGTGCAAATATTACGAGCCTCGAATTAAAGAGAAAATACCATGTTTTTCTTTTCTCTTTACCTATTTTCTTTCGAGCAACGAATACAGAGTCTTTGGGTCATGGGAGTTACTATTATGTCTTTGCTACAAAAATTCGGTTGCCAAATGACATGTTTGTTCCAACATCTTTGCCCTATCTCGAGTTGAGTACGGATTTACAGCCTGGCCCATGCCAACTGTGGCACTAGTGAGAAATATCAGTTGATAAAGCCTTAGACGGAACCGATATTTCGTACTCTCCTTGCGTTGCAAAACAGCAACCTAGTGTATTTTCACACAAACAATGCGCCGTAGTCCTCTGGCGGAGGTTAGTTCCATGGCAGTACAATAAAAGGGTCATTCAGCCGAAGCGACTCCGACAGTAGCAGCCGGGCTCGGCAAATGATTACCGGCAAGGGAAATCGTACAAGGTCTACAAAATGTTTGCTTATTTTTGACTCTGCGTCTGTGCCGCGGCCCCCATCCGGGTCATACTCCATACAATGAGCTAAAAAGCATTGGCGGAGTGTGAAAGGAAGATATAGGCTTGGGTGGGAGTTGGATAATTATACAAGTACGTGGTACTGTTGTCCTGGACCCCCCCGTTCGATGCTTCAATCCTACAGGTGTGAGCACATATATTTAAATTTCGGATCAATATTATTGTGAAATTCAGAATCATCATTCATTCAGGGTTAATGATGCATGTACAGAGCATCTACGAAGTATGTAATTATGTACAGTACGAAGCTAATTCACTTCAAAAAACAGCTTTTTTTATTACGTCCCATGTTGGACAATATCCGGGAAGTACTACGGCTTTACGCGTGGCCTTCTTATGGAATACACCCGGAAAAGCAAAAGCCAATTTCGGCCAACCAACCAATTATTGGTAGTCTATATCAAGGTTCCTATGACACCGCATGCGAAAACAAAAAGCTCACTGACTCTCCGTTATGCGTTCGTCGACAAGCCTCTGCTAATACGGGGCTGATGTCAACCGTCTCAATCTTGTCACACAACAGTTTCTTCTCCTCGTGCGGGACGGTATTGGTGACCACAATGCGGCTTAACCGACCAGTATTGAGCGTCTCTATGGCCTTCCCGCTAAGAATCCCGTGCGTAACAATTGCAAGTACTTCTTTCGCGCCGTTGTCAATAAGAGTGCTGGCCGCTTTTACCAGTGTACCACAAGTATCGGCCATGTCATCGACAATGATGGCGGTTTTGTCCTTGACACTTCCAACAAGGACCATGCGTGAGACCTCGTTTGGGCGAGGTCGCTCCTTGTGGATCAAAGCAAACTGAAGATCCAACCGATCTGCAATAGCCGTTGCTCGTTTGGCGCCGCCTGCGTCAGGGCTAACAATAACGCAATTGGTCACGTCAAGGTTCTGCCGAATCCAGCGCAACATGCTTGGCTCAGCGTAGAGATTATCTACGGGCACATTAAAAAACCCTTGGATCTGCGAGGCGTGTAGGTCCATAGTAATGACATGATTGCATCCGGCTGTTTGAAGCATATTGGCCATGAGTTTTGCCGTAATGGGCGCACGACTTTTGTCTTTCTTGTCTTGGCGGGCATACGGAAAATTAGGAATAACAGCAGTAATGCGTCTTGCTGAGGCAGTCTTGCAGGCGTTGATCATAATCAGTAACTCCATGAGGCCATCGTTGATGTCGTTAGGTCGTGTTGATTGCAAAATAAAAACTACAACGGCGTATTAGTGATGATACTCATTCACAATCTGCCATAGGCTTTCTGTGCCTAAGCCACTAGTGTAGAAAAATGCATAAGGGCATAGGAAACTACAGAGCTGGGGCATGGATGAAATCTGTTAAGAAAATAGTACCATCTTCGTCTCTGACACTTTCTCCAATAGTCACACTGGTTTCCTGATTCGAGTACTGCAGTACCATAACCCTTGTCAACTCGATACCGAGTCTAAGCACATGTCAGTGGGCGTAAATCTGATGTAAGTATCCAACTCGCGAAATCCATATTTTCTCTAACAAGTTAAGCATATGAAGTTACAGGTAACAGAAAGAGGTGCTAGATGATATCACAGCCGGGGGTATCAAGTGTTCGTACCTATCAGCAACTAGCTGCGCCAACTCTGGGTGACTGTTTCCAGTCAATAGTTTGATGGAGTTTGTCGCCATCTTCTCGTTATAAACCAACAAGAGGCTCTTGTAGTAAAATATCCTCGGAAATTGGCCAAATGACACTTTAGATTGTTAGAGAAGTTCTAGCATCTCACCGGATGGGACGTATAAGCAGCCAGACCTGATGGCTTCGATCTGAAGTTCTGCGCTTAGGTCTTTGGTCTCCAAGATTTTTCCTTCCTAAGCTAAGCCTAATCTGGAGGTAAACTTGCGGATCTGATAAGATCTCACGTGCTAGGTAAATAGGTCTAATGGACTAGGCCTCAGCGAAGAAAAGGGACAAGTTCGAGGAAATAAAGGACGGCAGCAGCGAGAGCTTGAGAATACTGCATTTATATCTAGTACTATCAATTAAACAGTAAGGTTGGAGATTTACCCACAAAATCCAGCTGACCTGCACTTCAACTGGCTTGACAAGCAAACAACAACAGCAGCAGCCTTCCAGAAGCAAAACAACATGCGTGCCAAACAAAACAGTTCAAAGAGCATCAGTTAGTTACAGGTATGTACGTTTTTCCCAGGCCCCTTTCGGAAAATAAAATTTAAGCCATGCCCTTCTGAGAGTACATTAAGTGTGAACTTGATAGCGCCACCGATGCAAAGGATAGAGTACGTAGGTAATGCAACCCAGAAGTAGAGAATGAACCACGAAGACGGAAACAAAGCAGGAAATTTTCTAATGGCTTTTGCTTACGCAAATCCGAAATATTCGCTACCAGCTGTCATTGCTATGTAGAGGCGTTGTCGGAGTGTTTCATAGCTTTCATACTCCGGCAGATCAAGTTCTATTCTGTACGTTAGATGGCTGATATCATGAGACTGGAGGCGGAGAACATACGGTTGAAACAAGTGTGTGAACTTGGCAATCTGTCTTTATTACCGTAATCCCTGTGGATATTGAACTTGCTAAACCCATTCATACCTTCAAGTTCCCTGAAGCCGTTAAGGGGAACTTTGCTGGTCCCTGTGACAAACTGAAGCAACTTGGCACGCTCTTCCTTATCGAACGAGCGAACGGCTCTCCAGAACCACTGTATCTGAGCAGACGAAGCAGAATAGTTGTGGTAGTCGGTATTGCTCTTCCAATCATCAACATCAATCTCGGGAAGCCCGGATATCAGCAGCTCCAATTCTTGTTCATTGAAAATGGAAATTAGGTCTGCGGGTATAATGTCATGGAAACCCTTTAAGAAATTATCCAGCTGTTCTTTAACAGAGCCGACTAATCTGTGCTCAACGACCAGTTGAACATACTCTTCCTTATTCTCCTGAGTGACTGGAATATTACGTCCGTTTTCGATAAGATCGATGACTTGCTTTTCACCAAAATCCTCTACCTCAACTGAAAAGTTCTCGGTAAGAATATCGGTAATGTCGTTTTCTAGCATCCAGAGAAGTGATTTGTAATAGTCAAGATCAAGAGTTTCCATATCCTTGATCGAGACCGATTTCCCAAGAATGCGTTTGTAGACGGCACGGCTGAAGTGACAATCAAGAACCCGACCTTCATATAAAGCCTTGCCAATAATACGCCCAATAAACTTGAAGAACATCAGATGTTCCTGGTTAACTCCACTGAGGCGATTGGGGTGAAATGTCGTACGATCCGAAGCGACGGGAATAAATAGAGCATAATTTGGGTTGAACATTCCACGGGCAAGGACTTGGAACCATTCACGGGTAACTCCTCCAGCATCGACCCCCTCTTCTCCGTGGAAACGCACATTAAGTTTACCATACTTCATCTCTTCTGCACTCTTGAAATATAATGATTTAAAGGAGTCCAGGAAAACTTGGTCTCTGCGTACAGATAACTGCAATGGCGGGTGGGGATGCCTAGCTTCAGACCCGCGGGAATGAATACGACGATTGAAGTAATTCCGCTTGTTGTCAAACTCCAGCACCTTCGGGTTCTTAACTAGGAGCGAAAATGTACCGCTCATTAGCCGGGGATTTTGGCGAACAAGCTCATTGAGAATCTTTCTGTGCTCTTCAGTAAAAGTGAAAAACAAGCCTTCCATTCCAGCATCAGGCGGGGGGCTGGAAACGGAAAACTCTCGCCCGTGTCTAGAAAGTGGAAGATTTCGTAAAGTGGTATTCTTGCAAACGACCATAAGCGATTCTATGAGCGGAAGTAATGTAGTCGCAACATTGAGCATATTTTCTTTTTGACGAATGGTCGTGAGACATTCGGTTAATTTGTTCCACAACGGTCCGAAAGTGGCACTCTCATATAGGTCCTTGAGCAAATCTTCCTTTCCAGCCTCAATGCCTATTGCCTTATCCTTATCTCCCCTAGCTGGGTCAAAAAGGTAATCAAGGGCAGTGAGGACACGAAGAAGTTTAGCCTGTTCTGAGCTCGCTGGAGAGAACTTTGACAGCGCCATACCTTGAACATCAGTGCCACTCTTCGCTTGGACGATATACGGAACCAGCTCGTTTAAATCCAGTAGTATAGACCGGCTTAGGGCTTGGGCTTGTTGAACTAATTCCTTACCAATAACCTCTTTGGCACCGGGAACTGAGGATAGGTTATTAATAGTTGACAGAGTTTCCCTGAAAATTTTGCCATTACATTCCCGGGCAGCTAAAATATGGACAACCAGTCGAAGGTTATATTCAGGGACAACAGGCGGCTCGAGAATGCGCTGTTTCTTTTGCTTTGACTCGTCGCCTGGTTCCTTTGACTCTGATTTGTTCGACTGTTCAACATCCAGCCGTTCCTGGTCAGTCGCCACATCGGTCATTGCCGTGTCTCCCTGAGCTGAATCATCAGGGGAAGGCTCCCCACCCCGAGTACCCTCTTTTTCCTTAGCAGCTTCAGCTTCCTTGGCCTTGGATTCTTCCTCTTGTTTCTCCTTTTCTTTCTTCAGTAAGATAGTCAGTGGCTGTGTGATACTACTCAAAAGACCAGAGAGTTGCTCCATGCAATTTGGGCTATCCAATATTGACTTGCGATCCAGAAGGGATAACAAAGAGTTTAAGGCAAATTTATTTGCCCTGCTTTCCTTAGATTTGCCCTTGCGGAGCGATTTTAACTTCAATGCTGTGTGCATTTCGTGCTCTGTGAGGAAGAACCAAGCGATATGTGGATTATACTGTGTAAGAAAAGATAACGCGCCTAAGCACTGTTGGATTACTACCAGAGGTGTGACATCGCCATTTGAACCAGGAATGGGCGTGGATAGCGTGCGTTTCAACTGAGGCGTTCTTTGGGTGGCGGAAGTCTTTGCCCTAAGAGACAGTTGGACGAAGCTGCGCTCAACAGCAGAAATGTCGGCACTTCCATCCTGTAAAATCAAGAGGAGTAAACTTAGAACCTCTATTCTATTTTGGCGATTCTGGCAAACATTGTGCAATATATCATTGAGGTGATGTCGGGCGTTTCCTTGTAAGGGCATAAACATGAGGCGTAGTAAAGTGGCAACGCCGGCTTTGTCGAGCATTTGTACTATTTGCTTGCGCTGGGATTTTTTTGCGCCTTCAGTTTGATGCGACACCTCCGCTCGAGACCGTGGATTAGCTCGTCCGATTTCAAATTGGGTTAAGCGCCTCCCAGTAAGGGCTCGGGCTTCATCGACAAATTCAGGGCCAAGTGCTGCTAGAACCTCTTCAGGCTGGTCTGCTAAAACTGTTTGTCGGAGAGATGGATCTAGAGTAGCAATAAAACTTGCCGGGTCCATTTCTTCGGCATGTGGGGTTCCATTGGCCGCAGCCTGCCGACGAGCAGTCTCTCTTTCACGACGACGACGATCCGCCGCTTCTTGCTGCAAAAGTTCTTCGCGGATTTCTGGTGGCAAGGCTTCTAGAAATTCAGGGTTGATTTCGCTTGGTTCCTCACCAGAAGCGACCGCATGAGACCTTTGTTCAGCAAGCTGCTGCATAATGACCTCCTCCCGGAACTCTTCGGGAATAGCTTCCAGGAATTCAGGATCAATATCCATGCCCGTGATGTCAAGTTGTCGGCCACGGATTGTAGTGTGGACACGGGGGCGAGATTCAGACGGGCCTGCAGCAGAGTCTTCACCAGTATGTTGTTGTGGCTCTTGAGATGTTACCATACTTTGTGCATCATCCATAGGCTCGTCAGCGACATGTTCCTGATGGCCCTCTTCCGCCACACGTTCTGCTTCCTGCTGCTGCTGTCGCAACGCTTCCTCTTCCTCTTCTTTCCTTTTTCGCTCTTTTTCGGCTTCTTCTTTCGCAATGCGCTCTTGGCGTTCTTTTTCTTGCCGTTCTTCCTCTCTCTTCTTGATTCGCTCCATTTCTTTTTGACGCAGCTTGCCTTCCTCGACCGCAGGAGGGACAAGAAGTTTGAAAATTGTATTCATGACACGCATGCATTTGTCAATATAGCCATTTCCAAAAAGAATACGAGCCTCTTCCTGCCAACGGCTGGTGGTAGTCGCCACGTTAAAAGTTACGGCTTGTGCCGGGTCGTCGCGAGGACGAGCGCCAGTGGCATGAGGCCTGCTTAAACCAAGAAGGTCCTGAAGGCGGCTTGGTAAAGTGGCATCGCGGTCAATATGGAGATGGAATCCATCGGCGCGCGTAACAACCCCAAAGCCGGGACCTCCCTGGCCAATAACTTGTAGGATAGCATTCATAAAAGTTATGGGGCTGTCCACAGCCAAAAGTCTACCTTGGCTGGCAGGGTCAATTGCATGAACCCAATCACTAAAGGCTTCATTACTGGCTGGTTGGTCTGTCGGACGGTCGCGGCGGTGAAGGAGGGGGTTTGTGCCGTCGTCATTTCGAGGAGCCGCAATTTGGGTGCGGTGAGTTCGGTAACTTGGAACAGGAACACCACCATGTCGTCCGCCAGTGAACCCGCCGGCAAAAATATTCCATGGGGATCGCTGAGGGCGCGCATGAGTGAGCTCGTCTACCCATGCCCAAGGTGAATTCGCCATATCCGCCTCGTCATCTAATGAAGCATAAATATCAAGGTACCGCGTAGCAAGTAGTTCGAAAGGGCACTCACCGTCAAAGGGATTAAAGCCATCAAAGTCATCAGCATCTTCCTCCAACTCATCAACATCTTCATCCTCATCTGTAGCATAGTCAGCATATAAAGTCTACAGCGTCATTTTAATAGAACTCACCCTCATCTTCATTCATTTCATCATCGTCCATCATATCATCGTGTATGCTAGCATGTAGACCAAGATCCCCATCAATCCGCTGAACGGTGCCCCCTGTACCTTCGAGAACTCGTAACAACTCGTCAAAGTGAGGTGGCGCACCATGACGATCCCCCTGCGCAATGTCTTCCATATCATCCTCCAATTGATCCATAATTTCAGCGTTAACATCGTCCCCGTCGGACATTTCTTCACTTTCCCATTCATCATCATCATCACCGTCATGCAAACTATCATTGTCACGGTCTCCAGTGATTTCACCAGCCATAATTTCGTCGTCATCCATATCAGAAGATTCATCTTCATCTTCATCCTCATCGTCATCATCTTCGTCCTCTTCGCCACTATCAATGAGAACTTCAATATCCATCGGAGCATCACCAGGAATGCCCTCAATTGGACCGCGACCATCAAGCTCTTCATCGCTCACAACCTCGCCATCATTTTCAGGCATATCCTCTTCATATTCCATTTCTTCGTCGTATTCATCGTCATACATCTCATCTTCGTCCTCTTCCTCTTCACTTACTGTATCTTCTTCGTGGTCTGGTTCGAACATTCCTAGGGTAGAGTGGCGGAATAAATCAGGGGTTTCCTCCCGGTCGTCATCTATGTCTGATACCGAAGTTGCGGAAGAAATCTCCTCTTCGTCGGCAACACCTGGTGTACTTACGCCAGCGATAGATGCTGCCTCACTCAGCAAGACGGCGGTCTGAGTAAGTTTATTTAGCGGGCGAAGGATATACTTGACAGCTCTTTTAGAAGATGGAAAGTTAACATCGATATCCGAAATTGAGGTAGTGAACGCCGAAATGAAATTTTTCTCAAACATCATCTTTGCAATGTATCTAGTTGAAGATGGATAAGGTGCCGAGCCATCGGATGTTGTGGCTCCACTCAGCATTTTATCAAAAAGGTCAGCCAAGCACATAAGCCGTGAATACTTTACGTCAAGACGCTCTTGCGAAACATTCGCTTCCTTATAGGACCTCAGGGCATGCTCGAGAACAAATCTTCGGACGAACATCAAATCGGCCTCATCCTCTTCGTCCATTGTGGGACGTCGCTTCGATCCACCGAATTCGCCTGTCTTAGAACACAGTGCGACTACCACTCTCATAGCCCAGTTTGAGGTATTCATTTTCTTTTTAAATATTGTAGACTCATCATGTTCCAGGGTTCCAACAGGAATAAGGGAGTGAAGTAAGTAATTGAGAACACCAGACCGTGGTTTGGATGGCGTGGTAGCAAGCGGATCAGCCTTACGCGAGAAGTTAATAAACTCCACCTTCGTACGATTGTAAGATGAAAGAAGCTCCGTTAGGCATTGAAGTAGGAAACATCGATAGATGTATATTGGGTGATCTTCGGGCTTAAATTGTGGCTTTTCTGGTTTCTTAGTTGCTGATGCCGCTCGTGAAGGAGTTGAGGAGGTTGAGGAGGTTGGAGGTACGTCTGTTGTAGTCATTTCAACATCCCCCGACTGATTAGGAGAATTATCCGTGGAAGGTGCCAGAACTTCTTTATCGTCAACGTCTCGATAAGAGAGTAACTCAGAAAGAAGGTAATGAATAACACCATCGGGGTGTTCCACTGTTGGTGGCTTGAGTTCAGACTTTGGTTTTAGTTTCGAATCATCGTGCACGCGACTTGCTTCCTCATGTGGTTTCTCTAACGGTTCAGCAGAATGTTCATCCTTTTTGCTCGGGTCGCCCTCCTTCTCTTCACCCGATGGGCTTCCGGCTCGCTCAGATTCTGCTTCACTCTGATCTGGTATCAACATTAGAGGTTGTTGCCTCTGCTGTGAGTCATATCTCGGTAGCTTGAGTTTTTCTTGTGTGACTTCTGTAAATATTTTTGGAGACCTCAAAGCTAAATGATAAAACTGGCGGAGATAGGCAGTTGTGTCAGTCTGGCGTGGAGACCGGGAATCAAAATTCGCTACGATTTCGTTTCGCATAATTTGACGAATTGTTTCCTCGTCTTCAATAATATGCCGCAAAATCAGCAGAAAGGTACTTTGCAATTTATCGTTCGAAGAGTCAGCGAGCTGCTTTATCATCACAAACAATCGTTGTAGATTCCGCTTTTCGCCCAATTTCATGGCAATATCACGATTTCTGGTTAGTATCACAAAAATTCGACAGACGGATAACGCGAGAGAGTCATCTTTGCCAATTCGCGGCAAGATCTCCACAATAGATTCAAAAAGCTCCATCTTGGATTCATTTGCAATTAAAGGCCCCTGTCCCTCCTCAGGAGGGTCCGGAACAGCGTTTTCTACATTTGGAAATATCCATGAAATTTCTTCTGGTTGCTCATCGTCCGATAGAATTCTTTCAAGGATCAAAAGGACCTGGCCAATCCATGGGCAGGCCTCTCCTGTAGACTTCTCGGCATTGGACTGTGGAATTGTGATAAAACCTAAAAGAAGTGAAAAATTTTCCTTCAATTGGTCCAACGTAGCTTCATAGACGTTTTTATCTTGAAGAACCAAGGCAAGCAGATTCGCATATGCAGCTATCTTTTGTCCCCCGGACTGGAAGTTCTCCTCCATCTGAAGAGAGATAAGAGAATGTATCAAGGTTTCTCCAATTTCTTTGCGGAATAACGTGACATCACGGAGTTTTGTAGCAGCATTTATGAGATCTGCAAGTTCGAAAGTAACGTCGTGATGAAGATTCAAAACTTCCAAGCACCTTTCAATCAAATTGGAGCGCACCTTCTCGCGCTCACTATCCAAATCTTCGACAGTGACCACATCTCGGCGCTTCGGTGTCGATGTTCTTCTAGTACTCTGTAAAGCTGAGGTGTTCGCCGTAATTTGGTCATCTTGCATATTTTCTGAGTCCGTCGAATCGCTTGGTTGTGGTGGTGGAGGGGGTGGGTTTACAGATGTACCTTGTATTACATCAAGAAGGGCTTCAATTGGGCCTTCGTAAGCTTCATCAAAAGCAGACGACGGAGAGCCATCGGATCTCGCGGCTTGGCTTTGCGTAGGGGTGCCAAATAGGCCCTCAGCTTGCGAGGGGCCCGTCACCCTTGAAGTCGGTTCAATATCAGATGAGGGAACAGGGAGCCTAGCGGGAGGCCTGAAGCCTTTATATGCAGTACAGTATTCTTCCGCAGAAGATAGGGAGTTGTTGCAACGATACAACGCCTCCATCACGAGGTTCTCGTCGTAGCCTTTTTCTGTGAGATAGCCAAGGCGACCGACATGAAAAGCAAAAGTTCTAGGGGTAGGTGTTCCGGCTATGGGAGGAACATCACCGCGGCGAAATGCTCCAGTTTCATACTCTCCTTCTAGAACAGAGCGGAGGATCTCGATGAGGCTTTTCACCATCGAGCTTGATGCATCATCAATAAAATCAGAGCCCCACATTTTTTGAACCAACGGCAGCGCTTCCATCCGCAACTCAACCAGAAATTGGGATGGCGTAAAAGAATCTGGTCGATCTCTATGCCCTTCCGTTGCCAATGCTTGAGTCTGGGCGGAATCAATAATATAACGTGCCGACGTCATTTCTGAAAAGAAAGTCAAAATGAGCTTAATGCAACCACAAACTGGGGCTAACTGGGCTGGCAGCTCATTAGGACTGTCCTTTGCCTTGCTTGTCAAAGTCTTGATCTGAACCAAGAAAATATCGGCCAAGCCTTTCAGGGTCTGTAACCCGTCGAGTTTCTTGAATGCATTCAAAACTATCGTTAAGCAATGCGAATGCGGACGATCTTTCGCGGCTTTAACTTTCGTCAGTGCTTAAATTTAGATACGAGCTAGGATTTCAAAACTTACTATCAAAAACTAGTTGTGAGAGTGAGGATAATATAACGATGAGATATGAGAACCGATCCTTCATGTCAGCGTCACTCGCTTCTCTCAGATTGCCGGCAATTGCAGAGGCCATGGCTTCAGCAACTTTCATCGCTTTTTGACGTTGATACGTATCCATTCTCCGTTTACTTGTAAGGCCATGCCCCAGTAGCTGGTAAACACCCGTGATCGCCAGCGGTAAAGTGCCGACTACATAACGAAGGACCCTAGTATTGTGGCATGTTGCCCAATTTTCAGATCCTTTCGGTAGTGGCTCTGAATTCTCTTTCGCAGCCGTGGATTCAGTGCTATCGGCCGCTGGCGTAGGTCGAAAAGTACGAGGACCCCCGAAAACATCGCTTAGCCCTGGTAGGGGACCCATTCTTGTCGCTTCATTCCACTCTTCTGGCATATTTTTTTGCATGATTATCTCTTCCCAAACGCATGCCGCTTGAAGACGACCTAAACCCTGAACAAGTTTCGCATATCTATCTGCTAAATTGGTCTGGACGAATGGGGAGATTTGCTGGCTGGGTCGGATAGGATATACAGGGGGAGCATAAATTTCGCGTAGGATATCTGTGTGTATACCCATGGCAACAAGGTGTTTCACGTAGTAAGTACCTTTCAGCTTCACGTCGTACTCATCCGGAATATCCGTAGGCGAGGCACAAGTCAAGGGAGAAAAGAAACCATCCGGATGCCACGTCTCATAAAATGGGCTTAGTCTGTCAAGTACCTTTTGGGAACGATGAACCACTGAGGGTAGAACGAGATGTGGCTTCGTCTCAGCCATAACTTTAATGACTTGCGACAGCTGAGGGCAAACTGAACCAATCTGAAAACTAGAAGGAATGCTTGGTAAGGTCGCAAAATCAAGTACATATTCCACCCCTCCGAACTCGATAAAATTGGAGCACATATTCTGGTTTTCAAAGAAGGCGGTCAAAAACCCTAGTACTGGAGTAAGATAGTCGACCACTCCGAGACCATCGCTGTCTTCATCAGAAGTCAGCATCCATTGTTGCACATGGGGGCCCCCGATCACATCTCCATAGGAATGTGCAGGTAGGTCATTCGCGGAAGGCCCCATTTCACCCATGTAAGTTATCGCTGAGGCCCGCAGAGCCTCAAGATCCTGGGTAAATGGGGCGCCAACCTCGGTGACAACAGATGCTAAGCCACCAGAGAACAGCTTTTTATCACCTTCATCGTACCACAGCTTCACACCAGCGCCGTGCTCCCAAGCTTTAGTGGCCATGAGAATGCGCATTCTTGCAACCATACGTATAATTGCACTAGTCACTGGTTTCTTTAAGCGTGGGTGATGCCTTACAAGCTCGTCAAACGAGCTGCCTAGGGCTCGAAGAAGGTTGGGGTCACCTTTCATGCACTTTACGTGGGCAGGATTTTCGAAAACATCGAAGAATCTGTCTAGGGCACTTGAAGATTCGAATAGCTCCAAGCCAGTTGAATTTAAGCATATAGCGCTAAATGCGAGGGGTATGCAGATAATCGCCTCAGAAGAAGGCAAGATACCATCCGATCCTTTAGACGTTGGTGAGGTGATTAGCTGAGTGACAAGAGCTTTTGGATCCGCCTCGGTATCAGAAGGAAGAAAATAGGGGGAATTTTTGCCATCTTCTGTAGGCTGGACTTTCATAGGAGAAGCGGTAATAGCTTCTAATAGCGATTTGCTCAACCCAGCTTCGGCGATCACTGCATAACTGGTTGGTTCGTTGTGGATGAAATGAGCCATGACATTCACAGCCCCACTCCAAACATGTGAGCCAAAAACATTTGAATGTTCCAGTACCAAACGAAGGGCCTCTAACAAGGGCGGTGAATCAATCAAATTCCGGAGCAGACGCTCAAACCCACTGGTGTTGTGCTGCATAACATGATTGACGAATTTGAACAGCCACCGCAGTGACTGTTGATGGAGGTAAGGTATCCGATAGTCAGTAAGCGCAGTTTTATATTCCTCGGGAATTCCTCTGCCTTCTTGGACGAGGTCGAAGGCCGACTTAGACTCAAACGAAATGAGGTTAGATAAAGCATCAAACCCACGGGCAGATGCCAATGTCGCCAAAGAGTCTCGGACAGGGTGGACGTAAGTGTCGAGGAACTCCATTACCCTAGGGTACACACGGCGGGCCTTCTCAGTTCGAAGGTTGAGAATATCAACCAACATCGGAATCAAACCGGCTGAAACCAGAGTCTCAGGCGTCCTGGCTCCAGAGTTCGGAAGTGTCCGCAGCAGTGAAAATAGGGCATCCCGCCAGTCGTCGCTGTCATAATTATCGTCATCTTCGTCGCTTGTACCGAGATCTGAGACAGTTTTACGAATGACAAACATCAAAATTCCATGGTTTACATTGACATTAAGCGCAGCACAAATATCTGCAGCTTTGGATTTATGTCGAGCCAGAGCATCAAGGCAGCCAAGAGCGAAAGTTTGATTAAGTCCAGAAGCACTAATATCACCAGCGACGCCGAGGTGTACAAACTCTGCAAGCTGATAAGCGATTTGAAGACGTTTAGGTTCATCCGAGTCTTGCTGCAATATCTTCTGTTGAAACATGGATTCCGGATAAATGTATGCTAAATTGGTGATTGCCAGAATCCTAATAGCAAGGATCTGCTGTCTTGTCTCAAAAGACTTTGCAAGTGCATATGCTATGCGCACACGGTTTAATAGTTCATATGTCGAGTCTTTAGGGAGATTTTCTCCGTATTGCTTCACCACTTCTTCTATTCCACGGGACACTATCTCAAAACTTGATAGCTCTAATACAGTCATTCCACGCGAAACATCATCAGTCTTCGTGGTTGGCGATGGTGAGATAACGGAGGGGGATTCTATCAAAGTGGAGTCGCGGCCAAACCTAGAACCTATGTTTCCAGAATGTCGGCGGATAGGGGTGGGGGTCATGGGAACTTGGGAGCTTTGTACCCGACTTCCCAGCCCAGAGGATTCTTGAACATGTTCTGGATCTCTGAGATAGTAAGATAGGCGAACATTGCCCCAGCCCTCCCAGTCGCTAGTTCCAACGCCATTGTCAGGGAGAATCTCACTCTCCGGCTTCTCGGGCGTGACATCTCGGGTCAAGCTGATTAAATTATTGGCGTTGCAGCTCCCCGACGACACCGTATGAGAATGTGCCTTTTCTTTGCCTTTTCCAGACCCCAGAACATCTGTAGGCTTTCCGGAAAATTGTGGACGAGGAAAGGGCGCAGCAAGCTTCTGAACACGCTCTAGTTCGATATTATAATGGGTCGTCAAGAGGCTCTGGTGAAAATGGGAGCTGTTGGTCGTTCGTTGTCTGGAATAGTATCGTTGTGCTAGACAGACACCAATTCGAAGAGTACATTGGAGCATAGAAAGCGAGGACGTGTATAAAAGGTCGTTCAATCGCTCACTACTGTTGTACAAACTCCGGTTCCCACATTTTTCTAGGAGCAGCCGTGAGAAGTCTAGTATTGACTCCACTAATTCTCTATCGCCTTCGATTCCAAACCCAAGAGTATCTAGTTTGGCTACACACTCTTCCTTAGTTGGTGCTACTTCAGCAGCAACATACTCGTCAATAAGAAATCTCCGATCAAAAGGGACTGTCTGAGGCCCTTTGTCAAGACCATATTGACTAATTACTCGAGCTAGTATGTCATCAAATCGATTGAGTACGTGAATCCAGTTGTAAAGATCTCCTCTCGGGAACGGCCATCGGCGGGGAAAACTCGATAGGTGCTTAGGTAATTCAGGTATCGGAATAGTATTCGCGGATTCAGCAAAAGCTCGTAAAGCAGCAGACTATTACAACAGTCAATATGGATATTCCAAGTCCAAGCATACAATTTAAAAAAAAAATATCGGCATGCTGAGTAGATAACGAACCTTGGTAGGCTCGTGCTTCGAGCCAGGCAGCTTCTCAATTCTCCCCATAATGAAAAAAAACCTCGTTGGCCACCATGTGAGAGACCCGAGTCACAAAAGTCAACTCGGTCTATCGACGGCGGAAGCTTTGCCACGAGGGAAGCACTGTCAATGGGGGAAATTTGGTGGGTTGGCCGTGAAAGAAATCCGGGCTATCGTCAGCAGGTACAGTAAATGCCGACCTACCTTAAAAGATAGATAGTTTTGAAACAAACTAGGCGGTGGTGATGACCCGGAGGAAGAAGTATGTTGGCAGGGAGGGGTGATGATAACTAGGATGAGGTTGCCCGATGATCCAGGTGCAACCCGGCAAAGTAAAAAGTGAGGTGCTCGAAGGTCAGGGAATGAGTGCAGGTCATGTCCCTAAAGCTTTCGAGGCTGCGTTCAATTGCCGTTGGAACGCGGTGTGTGGGGGGAACGCAAAAGAGAAAGCGTTGAGTGAACCAACAAACCCATAGGTCGATGTTAGGTTTGCCCGCTCAATGATGTTTTTCCAAAGCTCAACCGGGGCGGATTATCTATTTGCCGCCCTCTTGCTTTTGCCATATTATCTCACCCAGTACGAGTAAGAATCAACATGGATTATTCGTCGTCCAGGCGAGTGTCATTCTCGGTTTTGTCTTCGACAGAGATTAAAATATTTATATTGAACACATATTTATTATTGTATTACACACAAAGGTCTAAAATACTGTACAGTAGTTACACACATACACACATCATACTGTCGACGTAACCAGACACCTCCAGCGAAACAAGCAAACGCTGCAAAAATTATAGATCGAGGATTGCGCTACTCGTATGAAAGCGGGGGTAGCTCGCCATCCCACAAGACTTTCATAGTCGTCGGGAATGGAGAAAACCGACTATCATCTTCAGACATATATACCGTTATGCCACCCGGCGCAGCAATCTTTTTGAGCTCTCCTTGTGGGCCTGGAGCACGGCGCAAGTTCTCCAGTTTACCTACAACTTTCAGCATGGTGGTTAAAGCAATCTTCGACATCCCAGCGCCCAAGCACTCGTGAGGGCCCGCGCCCAAATGAATATAAGTACTGAGGTCCCGGGTAAGATCAACCTTTCCAGGCTCCGGGAAAACCTCAGGGTCTTTACTGGCCGATATCTGCCATTATTGTTAGCCATATTCACGACACTTAATTCTTCACCGTCTGACGGCTTACCAAATTGCACACAACCCTCTCTCCAGTACGCAACTTCAACTCTTTGGCATTGTCTTGAATCGTTAAGTCGGTTGCAACATCACGGTAAAGGGCAACAGTAGATCGCATTCGTGCCCCTTCTAAGAAACTAAAACTTTGTCAGTTTCAATTCTTCGTGTTTTAGAATATTTATATCCTTACTATCTCATTAGAAGGTCGTCAGCTTCTTTGGTGTTTAAGTGAGCCAGACGCCGAATCTCGGGCAGGTGTTCTGATCCCTCCTTTGAAAGATAGTAATCTAAGCACTGCGAAAAGAGTTGGGCTTGGTTCGCCACCATTCCTCCAGCTGTTGGAAGGATATTTGTCCAAACAATTTCGTCAATTGGCATTTTCGATTCGAGAAGACGTTGAATCATGTGGATACCATAGTCAGCCAAAGCTTCATTTCCATGAAGCCTATCAATAATCCCACCAATAAACCCAGTCTTTGCAATAACTTGTGTGTTCAGCATCACAAACTGGCCCAGTTTTTGAGTGGCTTCTCGTGAAAACTCCCGGAGCTTCAGACTCTGAACAGGATCTGCATCGTAGAATATGCAAGTAAAAACAAGGGCGAGAATCGCGTACAGTTCGTACTCAGTATATATTCCATGTGGCGCTTGTTCAGTCTTAAGGGGGAATAAGAAGACGTTTGCGCAGAAATGTACCTGCGCCAAATTGGCGACATCGCGTACAATATCGACTTGACTAACTTCACCAATCCGATGGGACTTCGAATGGAGGAGCTTCAGTGTAATTCGTTCGTAGAAATTTCTGATTTGGTCATGCCAGTTCTCTATATATAATGCACTCTTCATCATTTTCCGCGAGCTCTCGTTCACAGGCTCATCTCCAGAGAGCATAAAATTCGTGCCATATGGAATTTCATTGCGCCTCATTAGAAATTTGATCTTTTCGCCCCATGTGACTTTGAAATCCACTTTATTATTGAGAATCGAGGCACACGCTTTATGGGAGAAGATCATCGTTGGATGTGGGATGGCACCAGGTTTATCCCAAGAATATTTATCCGCATGGCCCAAATCAGTGAGTATTTTCTTGTTCTCAGATGGAACAACCAGCGGAAAATGCGCATAGACAGAGTCTGATTTAAAATGAGAAGGGAAGGCCCGGAGGATAAGCTTGTGGAATAAGTGGCCATTATTAACCGCTATATCGTAGTTTGCTTCTGTGAACCCCCAGTTTGTAAGGTTCTGCGGGGTGTAGTCAACGGTGTAAAATCGATCACCCCTCACAAGAGCAACGGCATCAGAAAGGATAGCCCGAGAAATAGTAAAGCTGGCACAGAGTCCACTTCCCGGTGCGAGAGCAGCTTTTCCTTCTTCAACAACGATACCAGGATAAAGCTCAACGTTATCCGGATGACCATAGAAATGTCTCAATTGGTCTGCAATCTCTGGGTCGGAGTTGATATCTTCGAAGGTCTTGTGAGGGGCAAGGTTGAAATATTTTCGAAACTCGTTGAGGCTCGAGAGATTCCAGGAGCGAGCCTGCAGAATTCCCAAAATCTCAACAGCTTTAAGAGATTTAGGCACATGCCTGCCGCCAAATGACCCAGCGCAGTCTTCAATACTATCTGCAAGAATTTTGACTAAATCATCATCATTGAAGGCTCCATTGGGCAATCGCTGAAGATTTCCGAACGTCCGTTGCTGCGGGTCAGAAGGAAGTTTGGATTCTAACTTTGAAACTGCCCGTAAGAATTCCGACATGCTGGCTTTACTTGCATCAGCTCCTTCAAAGACATCCCTAAACATATCCTGCATCCACCGATCATCGCGATCAGAAAGACAGGAGTGCCATCGGTAAACAAGATTGAATTCTACCGAAACCATATTTCCACCAGCTTCACTCACTGGCTTATGGCTCAGGAATTCCTTAATATTAGAACGAGGATCGAGGCTCCAGTCGCTTCCTGTTCTGTTGATATTGAGGATAGTACGCACGTAGTCTTTCAGGATGATATTAATATATAGTCCACAGGTAATAAGACGACCGGTTTGAAACAGATCGTTGTCGTATTTAGCATAGGCCTCCTGATTATCCTCACTGGGCTTCTGAAAACGACCATTCTCATTGATAGCGGCAAGTTTCTGCACGACTTGATTGTGAAAACGGCTGAACATGACAAGTAATACCCCAACTCCAGGAGGGAATCCAAAAATTCGTCTCTCAGAGAAGCAGTCAGGTTTCAGCTTACCATCTTTGAACGTTCGTACACTATTCTGCTCTTCCTGGTTGCAACCGTACAACGGAGACAAGTCCAGGTAAGAAGAAGTGAGATTACGAGAATGATCCTTCGGGTCCGTTCGAAAGAGATCTTTTGCCTGTTAGCGAGCTATCTTGTGCAATAGAAATATGGAAAGGCGTACCATGAATAATCAGTGCAGCAAGATAAAAAAGCATACTCGATATTTTCGTCGGATGCTCTCTAAATTCTTGCCTTGCCAAGAGACCATCGAATAATAGACCAGGGTCAGGACGGGAAACAGGCTGGATTAATTTTGGTTGCACACTCCTGGCATAGTTGGATCCTGCCTTTCCAATATGGGGCCAATAGACATTCTGTAGAAATCATTAGATCAAAATACGATACATTGGCTGTGGTAAGCATACGTTATATGAGCCATCTGCCTGTCTATATATAAACTGTCGCCCCATATACCTAGAGCCAATTAGCCACGTACAATAAAGGCGGCTTTCTCAAGACGTACGAAAGGGGAGGGTGGTTAAGATCATTCCACAGTTGAGTAAGTAATGTGTTTGTGAGAGTCATAGCATTACGCGATGTGCTAGGCAGCGAGGAGGCCAACTACCATTTATCAGAACCATTATGGTGAGAATTATTTAGTATACACATACCTGTATTAACCTTTCCATAATATAGGATTTATCATCCACCAAACCACCACCGGCGGCATTTTTTACTAGTTCGACAACGGTCCCAATATCTTTAACGTCCATATTGCCTAGGTCCTGTAGAAGGCCTGTTTGGCTGATTGTAGACCCTGGTGTTGGGGATGCATGGCCAGAATCCGGAGTTAAGGGCCGCAACGAAGCATTAGCTACTTCGCTAAGCTGTGAAAAGTATTTTCCAAAATCATCAAGGACGCTTCGGGGGTAACTTAGATCAGGCCCCATGTTTGTTGGTGACCAATTGGAAGTGCTGGTGTACAGTGCAAAATTGTAGAGTCCCTGGACTGACAAACAAGAGGATGCTTGTACTCAAGTAATACTCCCAGGGAATAAATGTTTCTAAAAGTCTAGATTAGCTAGGATGCACTTCTAACGATAGCATGTCAGTGCTAATGCAGAAACCGGATTTCTGCAGGTCCAAGCAGACAAGCATTGAGGCAAACGCAGGCTGTGCAGACGTACAGATCCACAACCAATTCTGAAAAAATGAGACTCGGGCCCAGACACAAAACAAAGCCGTGGCCGCAACAAAAAGTATATCAAGTCTTATGGCCAAAATGGCACCCCAGTGGAACGAGAAAAATGCTACTAGAATGAAGGATTGGTGGTCAAACAAGAAGGAAGCACCCGTTTATATAAACGGAGATTCGCACTGTGCATGCGGCTCCAGCTACTGAGGCTGGAAATAGACCGAGCAGGAAACTCAAAACGGCAGAACCTGCCATGAGCCAATCGAGAGCGTCTCCAGACAGGAGTTCGTAGCATCTGGGAGGAGCAGAACGAGTCATTCCCATTAGTTCGTATTCCATAGGCTGAGCCCGCATCGTCTGCCATTGATTGGCCGTGGTGGGCAAACAAAGCAGGGCCCCAGCTCGGAGTCCCCGAATTAAGCCCGGGTCGATGCCGCGCGAAAAAAAAAATTATGAGAAACGTGTGGGAATCGCATCCCGCAGGAGACGTCGTATTGCAGCCGTCGACGAGTCTTGGGTACGGGCTTGGCTGAGAATCTGCTCGCCCTTATAGGCCATGCCAGTCAGCCCTACGGACCCCAGCTCCTGTTCTCCGAGCCGACGAGGTCGTATTATTGGCGAGGAGTGCGTTCGTCTGGGTGCGCAAGGGCATTGGCCAGGTTCCCGGCCGCGGGCTGTCGACAAGCCAGCCACTGGCGGAGTCTCCGCGCGGTACGGCACCGCTGGGGCCGGAGCCAGGCGTCGTCGCAGTGCCACGGTGCGGCCTGATCCGTGCATGGCCAAATCTTTGCCAGATCCTGCGCTGATTCGCCCGTGGGGACCCAAGGCACTGTTTCGGCGTGCGTCTGCTGGCCATCAATAATAATAATAATGTCACCGGGGTCGAACCGCAAGGCGACTACTAGCCAATGCCCCAGAGAGGCCGGTCTGCATTCGCCTAGTTAGTCAACGATAGCAGCGAGCCTCAGCCTCGCCGCTGTGATCAGCCAAAACAGAACGCATGGGGCCGCCGAGGGGTAGTTATGTGTAACTACTCCGTATGCAGTAGTTAGTTAATTTACTGATTCAACGTCACCCGGCTCGGGGGGCTGCCCGGCCCTGGCACCGTAGTTAGCTGGAGCGGGCGGTCGGGCGTGGAAGCGTACTCGACAGCTATTACATACGGAGTACGGAGCACATACATACTGAGCCCTGCTGCTCGCAAGCATTTCCCTAGTTATGTACGCCGCCACCGCCCCAAAAGATGAGTCTCTGCTGTCAACCGCCGAACATGATAGCCAACCTGGGTCCCCAGTAGCGACGTGGCCTCTCCCGCTAGTCCACGCCATGGAAGGCATCCAAGGGGCCTAGGCGGCCAATGCGAGTAGGCTTAGAGCCTGGGGCGTCACGGCCACCAGGACACTCCGGAGCACGCGAGTCCACAGTCGGGCCACTTTTCTTGCCAGTCTTCCTTCGAGCTCAAGCGGCGTGCCGTGCATTGCGCTGCCTGTTCGTCCGTCCCATCGCCGAATACTGCGAGATCGTATGCGTGTAGTTAGGATATCGCTATGCATGATTTACGTAGGAGCAAGCGGATGAAGTCGCTGCGGGGGCTAAAATAAGCTTCCTCGTCGCCGCCCAAGCAGGAGCTTCCACGGCGACTCCATCAATCAAAACAACCCCAACTCTTGCGGGATCTTAGGCCGCCGACCATCAAACACCACTTACCACTGGCTGCGAGTGGCTTTAGAGCCATCTGTTAGGTTGCCATGTCTTCTCAGGAGCTGACCCTCGAAATCAAGCCCAGAGGTGCGCGCCGTCGTTACAAGTAGAAACAAAAAAAAAATTGCAATCGATATCAGGATACTGACCGGACCGATTTATCTTAGGAAAGCCAATCCGGAACCTCCCGACGAGCGTTTTAATCAACAGGGATGATTCTGGAGCGACTCTTTATAGCACAATTGCGCAGCAGGCGCAATTCTCCCTTCATCGCCTGAGAATCACCAAAGCCAGCGACGGGACCTTGGTCAAGAACAATAAAGATGTCACCATTGATTCAACTGGACTTCGTAACCGAAGCGTGGTATATGTGAAGGATCTTGGTATGTTGATTTCGCCCCTACTGTCGAACTTGTTGTTCCCATGACTTCAGCTACCCAGGCATCTAACCGCTGCTCAACACCATAGGCCCCCAGGTTGCATGGCGCACCGTTTACTTCGTTGAATATCTCGGCCCGCTGCTTATGCACCCATTCTTTCTCTATGTTCTCCATCCTTATATCTATGGGAGCGGCTCGTTCCCTCCCCCCTCGGACCTTCAACGCCTCACGTGCCTCCTATTGATCCTACATTTCCTAAAGCGTGAGATCGAAACTCTCTTCGTTCATCGCTTCAGTCTTGCGACAATGCCGGCAAGCTACATCGTCCGCAACAGTGCCCATTACTGGATTCTTGGGGGCGTCAACCTGGCCTACTGGGTATTCTCACCGACGTCTCCAACCGCAAGAGCTCACGCCAACCCGTTCTTACTCTATCCTGGCCTTGCCCTCTTTGTTTTTGGCCAACTGGCAAATCTAAACGCCCATTTAACCCTGCGAAATCTTCGCAAAGAAGGTGATACCGCCAGGAAAATTCCCTCGGGCTTCGGCTTCCGACTTGTGACATGCCCGAATTACTTGTTTGAAGTCATTGCATGGCTGGGCGTGTACCTCGTCAGCTCCCTGAGCTGGAGTGTTCTTCTTTTTATCATTGTCGGCTCTGCTACGATGATGCGATGGGCTAGCCAGAAGGAGAAGAGGTATAGGCGTGAATTCGGAGATAACTACAAGAGAAAGAGATATGTCATGCTTCCCGGACTTTGGTAATTGACCGCGAATACCGTCAGATTCTGTGTACCTACCAACTCGAGACGTACATCGAGCCTCCCTAGCAGAGTGATATTCGATGCTCATAAGCATTTTGAGCGTCAGATGTTGGAACCCTAAAAGATAGAAAGTGTCATTATTCTTACACGTATAATCAATCTGCTTTTGGATCGTTTTCATGATAGTATATTGATTGATACAGTTTGTTTGGCACTTGGATCGGCCACTGACGTAGTTGAAAAATGAAATTGAGACCAACTCCAATGGCCCAACAGACAAGAGAATCCTAAAATACATAGTACAGAAAATAAACAAAATAAAAGCTGTGTCAATCGGCATGGCCGCTAAGGCACTGGCGGATACAAGGACGCCGACTTAAAGGTAGAAAAGAGTTCATAATCTTAAGAGACATAAAACAACCCCGCCATTTGACATGTTCGTGTTAAAATAGATAGATAATAATAATAAAATGCCTTAACCCCTTAGCTATGACTGCCGGCTTTTCTTAGCCATTGCTGGAAATATGCATCCATTTCATTCTCGCATTTCAAATTCGAGCCGACTTCACAGTCTTTAAATCTAATGATGAAATCACCTTCGCGATAGACACCGTCTGGACTCGGTTTCTGTGATACTGGACTGTAAGCGTTCAATAGGCGTTGAGGAACAAGGGCGAGCTTTGCAAGGATCGTTGGATGCCATTGGACAATGTGGTCCTGTAATTCGTGTTAGCAAAATATGGAGAGAGCGAATTGATGGCCAGAGGGTAGGACGTACAAGAGCATGAATTTCAGCTTTTGCGAAGTTATAACGGCGATATAAGGGGTCAAACCAGACATCCAGAAAATACTTAGCCCATTCCCCTTGCTTGAGAACGAAGCTTCCAGTTGAAATATTCTCTCCGTCCTGCGTAATAACCAGGTCGACATCCTTGCTAGACAAATGGCTGAAAGTCTTGATGACACTGTCCGGGGGCACAACCGGAACATCTTTCATCATAAGTGAACCTAGCTTCTTCGGTTCAAGGAGATTGGACGCAATCGGCATCGTAGGCTCCATAATGAGAGAATGAGGAGAAAGGTGGAAAAAGTACGTGCTTCCAGAATACAATGCCATGGCATGGCGAAGCGCCGGAACGATCGCCCAACTCTGAGGGGCTCCCTCTAAGACGGAGGTATATTCAGACGTGCTGGCATAGAAGGTGGCATAACCTGTTGGTCCATCGACATCAGCCATTGCTCGAAGAACATGAGCCAAAGCACAGGCGCGGCTGCGAAGTAAACATACCGTGACGTTTAGCATAGTCTTCGCGATTTTGTTTGATCCGCTGGATATATTTGTCACTAAACTTCTTTTCGTCCAAGACCGTGACCAGCACAACAATTGGCCCACTCTGCACAGACACCGACGAAGAAGATCTGTCGAAGGAAAATACACGCGAGATCAAGAAAAAAACAGACAAAACCCCAAACACGATCACAGCCAGCGCCTTTAACTGTCGATATCGTAGGGCTGATGATGACGAGGGTCGGGCGTACAGGGGAGGATGCGAAGTCTTTCGCGGAGGTAAAGCGAACTGCATGGTTGTCGCAAATCTGTCCAGTGAATGTGCCCCTTTTCAATCGGCCATCGATGCGGGCGTCACACAGCCAGCACGGAAACAAGAGCTTTCTTCAAAATCTCCTGAGTGTGTGGACGAATCGCTCTTGGGCTTGTTTGGTCCATTTTTGTCTCAGCGATTAAGCTGGAGATTAAACTCAACCCCAAGACCAATGTATGATGTACTACCCACCAATAATATTGCGAGGAGTACAAGGACACTTCAGACGGCTCCAATTATGTATTACATAGTAGTTTTGGCGTCGGATCGTTTGAAACAGGTTGAGCTATCAAAATTGATAAGTCCTTGAATCTTCAGCTGCTCAATTGATGCGGCACCTCCTCTTTGATGAAGAAGCCAAGGATTATCTTGATTTACTATTCCCTGTGAGTGTTGTTTTTCTATAATACGTTACAGATAACGATGCAACAATTCTATGCTACTCGTTCTTAGTACATATGATATTGTAATATACAGCGAGCCGAAGGGTGGTTTTAGACGAATGATAGCTTTTACCGTACCCTTTCGACAAATCTCTTTCGATATTGACAGCAAATCATCTAACGACGAAAAGGTTAGTGAGCCAACAAAAGCTCAAGCCACATTGAGCTTTGGTGTCGATGACGATTCTGGCAAAGATTCTTCGACTTCTAGTTCCAATTGCTCTGTCGGTTGCTGTGCTTGGTCGTGTACGGCAGCCTTGACCTGTTGTTCCATGGTGTATCGGGAAAGAAACTGTTTAAATGTAACGGGCTTTTCTAGTCCCAACTCCTTTCGTTCTTCTTCATATCGTTTTTTCATCGCTTTCGACGTCATGACCTTCCATCGTAGACCCCAGCCAAATATGCCCAACTCCTTTATTCGCGCAGGTTTGTCACCAAGTAGATATTGATCCAAACCGCCGACCTTTCGAATAGTTCGTAAGACACGATGTTGAACTTTTATTTCTAGCCATTGCCCTAATGCCTCGCTATAAAGTTTCTCTTTATCGACATTTGGTTTCCAAATTCTTCTTGTCTTTCCCTTGTTCCTGCCTTTGGATATTTTATTTCCGAATTGGATAGTTGAGCCGCCATATAGTCCACTATCGGCTTGTTTAAAAGTCCGCCTTGGTCCGTAAGGGTAAGGAGGTATATAAGAAGGAAGCTGCCTAGTAGTCTGAGCGGGAAGCGTTGAAGAAAAGTTTCGTTTTGAGGTGAGGGAGAGGCTGTGGAAGGCGGAAGAGAGATTAGATAAGGGAAACACGACCGATTTGGCCGAGGCTGCCGTTGCAGTAATCATTCTGAGCTATAAAGAGGGCATTGCGGGCTGTCAAAAAATATGAGCTTGTTTGTCAGGTCATGGCGAGTCTGTGTTGGTTCTCGAATTGGAAGATTCATTTGCTGGCCCGATTTGGACTAGCCGCGAACATTCAACATCCGGCGCGCCTGTGCGTGGCATCCAATCAGCGCTCGTCCGCAGGAAGCACCTGAATCTTGAAAAAGAACCCAAAGCACTATTTCTTGAGCATCTGTTTATAAATTCATTTGTGCTGATTGAAAATACGGCAAAAGATCCGAACTTATTGTGGAAATATAAGAAGTAGTTGCTAAACCTTGGACCTACACTCCGCAATAGAAGCAGCCCACGATGGTTCAAATCAGTGAGGTCAAAGGCAACTCGCGAGAAAATAGAACAGCAGCGCATACGCATATCAAAGGGTTAGGTCTGCGCCCAGATGGCACCGCTGAACCTTCTAGTAGTGGCTTCGTCGGCCAGGTTTCTGCCAGAGAAGTAAGTCCGTGGGTCTCTGCACTTCTAAGAAGCTACTACTAATTGGTTTGTCCGATAGGCATGCGGCGTGGTGGTCGACTTAATAAAATCGAAGAAGATGGCTGGACGCGCAGTACTACTTGCTGGAGGCCCCGGGACCGGTAAAACTGCTTTGGCACTGGCTATATCACAAGAATTGGGAACAAAAGTGCCGTTCTGTCCGATTGTTGGCAGTGAAGTATTTTCAGCAGAGGTAAAAAAGACGGAAGCCCTCATGGAAAACTTCCGTCGAGCGATTGGTGTGTTTTATCAATGAAACTTAATATTGCTGGATTCTGACTGTCACAAGGCTTGCGTGTTCGTGAGACGAAGGAAGTTTACGAAGGCGAAGTAACAGAGCTCACGCCCGAAGAGGCAGAAAACCCTCTGGGTAGCTACGGGCGAACGATAAGCCATCTAATCATTGGACTGAAATCAGCGCGCGGCACCAAGAAATTGCGACTAGACCCTAGCATATACGAAGCCATTCAGAAAGAAAAGGTTGTTGTTGGAGACGTCATTTACATTGAAGCTAATACCGGCGCTTGTAAACGGGTTGGACGCTCAGACGCATATGCAACCGAGTTTGATCTGGAGGCAGAAGAATACGTTCCGGTACCTAAAGGCGAAGTTCATAAGAAAAAAGAAATCGTTCAAGATGTCACCCTACACGACCTGGATGTTGCCAACGCCAGACCACAGGGCGGTCAGGATATAATGAGCATGATGGGCCAACTCATGAAGCAAAAAAAGACAGAGATCACTGATAAACTCCGACAAGAAATCAATAAGGTTGTCAACCGCTACATCGACCAAGGTGTCGCGGAACTAGTGCCAGGCGTCTTATTCATTGATGAAGTGTGTTTTTATTTTCCCCCCAGTCTTTAACCCTTGACTCTAATGGTTTAAATAGGTCCACATGCTCGATATTGAGTGTTTCACGTACCTTAACCGCGCCCTCGAATCCACCATTTCCCCTATTGTCATTCTCGCTTCCAACCGCGGCCGGACAGTTGTGCGCGGCACCGGTGATATCGTTGCTGCTCATGGCATTCCTCCTGACCTTCTCGCCCGCCTTCTCATTGTCCCCACTCACCCCTACAACCCCGAAGAAATCAAGACCATTGTTCGCCTTCGTGCGAAGACAGAAGGTCTACAAATCACAGATGGGGCGCTGCAAAAGGTAGCTACACACGGTGCGAAGGTAAGTTTGCGGTATGCGTTGCAGCTATTAACACCAGCAAGTATACTTGCGCGAGTGAATGGACACCCTGGAGGAATCGAGGAGGCAGATGTTGCGGAATGTGAAGATCTGTTCATTGATGCTAAGCGGAGTGCAGATATTGTTTCAAGTGAAAAAGGGGGGTTTATCTCCTAATTCGACATTCCTACTAGAAAAGATAATGTGACCCACAGCTGTCTCCGTTACATAAAATTTAATCACTGAGCTTGCCCGTGGGCTTACTTCGTATATTACTTGTGGCCTCCAATCTCAAGTTTGATTGAGTATATCGATAATTAAGAATATATGAAACGCAAGAAGTGAGTGGCGTGCCCAATGTCCAATACAAATATACCTGTCACCAAACATTAAAACAAAAAGCATAATTCAGCGAGGGTTGTCCTTGTATGGATCCTTCCCCAGAAAAGGAGAAATCAAAGGTCATTCGTGCTTGAGAATGCATTCAAACGTAGGGTAGAAACGTGGGCATAAAGGCCATTCCCGCGCCAAAAGATGTTAATAATGAATTTACGCCAGCAACAATAGACTTCCAGATCCATATAAGCATTCCCAGCAAGTATAAAAATGCTCGTAAGGAGAGTTCACCAACAGTGCGTGGAGGGGCAGAAGGGTATGTCACTGAAGAATCCGTGAAGTCAAATGAGAGTTTAGCATCAAAATATCTTGTTGCAAGCCAGAAAGCACTGCGAACGCTGTCCTCATGTAATCCATAGCCGTCCCACGACCCACAAAACATGAGGTGTCGATTTGTCACGTTTTGTATGTTAGCTAGATGCTGACGAGCATTCAAGGAGCGGGCGTTGATTACAGGCCGACTGTAAGTCCATTCAGCTACCGTTGCTTTCAGGGCGGGACGAATCATAGGGTTAAGAGTGACATATAGGGGGCTTGTTGCGCAAGTCCTGTCATTAAACGCGTTCAGACGATAAGTTATGCAGGGCATTTGAGGCACGTCATCCCCAAACATAGCCCAGTTGATGTACGATGATACTTGTCCATTAGGTACAAGCTAGGGAGCAGATTAGCTCTCAGGGCTGGTACAGTAACGACGGTGAGGACCTACTCTATTGTCTGAATGCAGCCAAGCATGAACACGCGTGCTTTGGAAATTGCCTAGAATTTCCCGCTCCCCGTCAGTTACTTCATCGCCTAAGAGACGAAGAGCTTCCTCAGGTGGGACCGCGAATATAATGTAGTCATAAAAGAGCATTCTATCCCCGGATAACGTAAGGTGAAGCAAGCGATGACCTTTGTCAGGGCGGACAACAACTGACTCGACCCTGGAATTCATATGAATAGTCTTATTATTCTTCTGGGCAAGAATGCGTCTTTTGAGGCGCTCAGCGGCATCGCCGTCGGGTCTCAGAATCTTTATGGTTGGGGAAATACCGAAGACTCCTGCGGTCCATAAAAAGGCCACGAATCGCTGAATGGGAAGCTCACGAAGATCCCCGGGAGACTCAATATTCCACACGATCTGGGCTAAGGGAAAAAGATACTTTGACATGAAATTTTCCGAGTAACCGGCATCGTCAAGATAGCGACCGACAGTCCACTGGATGCAAATTCCGCCCTCAATAAGCGTCCGGTAATTGTCCTCAGGCCCACGTCTTCTCGTACCTAAGAGGTCCATCGAAAACAAGTGGAACTTCCAGATCTCATAATACAACTTCCATGTACTCGGCTCCAGCCAAGTCTTCCAACTGGTAGTATTCATGCGATGAGACAAATATTCAATACGGCAATGTTGTATATTACGTTCCTTTGAAACAGTAAAGTTGAAGGGAGTTGAGATAAAAGGTATCTTCAAGTACTGGCACAATTTCATCAAATTCGCTGTGATCGTTAACTTACTTTAGAACAGCGATAGGAAGAAGTAATTACTCACGCGAAGTGTGAGCGAAGCAGTTAAGAAAAGACCTATCTATTTTCACGTCATTTGGAGGCATGCCTCCCAAGATTGGCTTGGTGAGACTCGCAAAGTCGTCAGTGGCCTCGAAGAGATCGACATGGTACCTGGTTTTTCGCAACGCCCAGTAGGCGGCAAAGCCGGACATGCCACCTCCAACAATAGCGATTTTTTTAACCTCCTCCTTATCTTCACTTCCTGGCATACCCCACTGCGACATAGGCGATAATGGACTGGGATTAGATTCCATTTCTCGTACGCGGGGTGAAAAGGGATTGTTAGGACTATATTTGTGAAGTGGGTTCTCGTCAAGAGGCCCATTTTCAATGTGCTTAAGCTCTACATCAGTAGATACGCAAGCTGGAACATATTTTGACAATGTGGCTTTCACTATGGGGGTTTCATTTTTCGGAGTACCTTGACTGGAAGCCATAGTTAATGGCATTCGAGGAAATTTGGAAAATAACCGTAAAAATAAGTATAATCTTGATTAATTATAAATATAACATGGATTTGTATTAATAGAACGAGGCATAAAATCATCAGCAGAAGGTGGAAGACTTCCTTTAAGAATGCCTCCATGCGCTGGGAGCGCTTTCCACACATATATGTATAAGAAAGAAAGAGCAACTGGAGTACAACTGCACTCCAGCAGGAGCAAAAAAATGATGAGAGACATGACAGTGGTGTTCAGGAGCAGAAATACAGACTGACGGCCGCTCCACGAAGTTCGCAGCCGAAGTACACCATAGATGGACTGGCTGAGTCGATTTGAGATCAGGAAGAGAAGATTAGTTACTAGTTGTCATGTATTATTACGGGACTCCTAGGGATTAACAAAGAAACTAGTACAAGTCTACGGAGTACGGAGTACTCCAGCCCCAACCAGGTACTCCGTAGTTAGTTAACCCTCATAGGGAGTATGTAGCAACTCTCAGTTTCAATGCTGTCACCCATCAACTACTAAATCCGATAAAGCATTATCCCGCCATAATAAATATCAGCTTCCTCTCTCCTGAAACCTGGAATCCGACCTCCCCTTTCTCTCGTGAAATTATAGATCTACTCTGTGCTTCCCTTTCGCTGCTGCCTCCGCCTTGTGATCCTTGCGTTAGGTATCCCATCGTACCATTCTATTCGCTCACTATGTCCAATCCTTTAGACACAGATGCCGGGTCTGAACTATTCAGTAGCTATGAAGCCGAACTGAAACTCGTGCAAGCGGATCTCAATCAGAAGCTGGACCAGATCGCGGAAGCTGCAGGAGAAGAGAGAAAGTCGGCGATCCGACAGGCCGAAAGGGCTCTTGATGAAGCAAACGAACTGGTATGAGGAATATAGTGAATCACTTCTATGCTAGAGAACTGTATTAATATGTGCCTAACACTATGCAGCTGGATCAAATGCGGATAGAGAAAGAAAACATTCCTTCTGTAAGCCGTTCGAAAATCAACGCCCGCTTCCGCAATTTCCTCAGCGATATCGACGAAGTAAAGCGGAAACTCAAATCATTATCCGACGATCGAAAGGCTCTTTTTGGTGATCGATATAGGGATGAACCCGAGAGCGTTCAGGACCAACATCTGGCCCAAAGACAACAGCTTCTCGCAGGCACGGAACGCTTGGGCCGTAGCTCTGCACGTCTGCAGGAGAGCCGGAGAATAGCACTTGAGACAGAAGATATTGGTCGAAATACCCTTGCAGATCTTCATACGCAGCGTGAAACGATCGAACATACCCGTGCTGGGTTGCTGGAAAGCGAGGGATATGTTGACAGGAGTGTAAAGACACTGCGAGGGATGGCTCGTAGGTAGTACTACCCTTGCAAAATATTACTCTTATATTCTCTCTTCCGATACTAACATGTGTCCTAGGATGGCTACGAATCGGATAATCACTATCGCAATTATCACTGTCCTAGTTCTTCTGATTATTGCAGTTGTTTACAGCAAATTCCATTGAAATCCGGTCAAATGGCGTTATTGGGGATTATGGAGAGTCTCTTATGAGAAACCATATGTAACGGGTTTTTTATGATTTGTATTAAATTCGTCTGTTTTTTTTCATTTATTTTCCGTTGATCGAGAAGATTCACTGTATATAATGCTGTAAAGCCAGATTTTTTGATCGGTCTTGCCGGGGTATCATAGCACATATAACTACACCAAATACAAACACCTCCCAATACCATATCAAGATAAAGTCAGTTCAGCCACTTCACAACACCGAGCCCGAAATTCATCACAACCCCTACAAACACTGCTAGCCCCTTCCGCCAACTCCATACCCCCTCTTCACGCAGCAGCCACAAGCCGCATCCCACAGGCCAGAAGAAGCCCATCATCGATCCCCACAGCATGTCATCCAGCACTCCAGTTCCATCACTGCTTAAGTTACCAAAGGCACCACCCCCGACGATACCGCCACCATCCCCACCACCTGGCAGAGCCTCCGTAGATCCCTCGTCCATCCAGCGGTCTTCCAGGCGCCGAAGCTCCTCGCCCGACGGCATTGTATCCGGGGTGTGTGTTAGGGATTGCAAGGCCAGGAACTGAGAGCGGAGAGTAGATACTTCAGCAGCCGTGAAGCCAGCGGAGATCAAACGGTCAAACCCACGGGGGGCCGGGGTTGTGGTACTGGAGTCATTTTGCGCCTGAGGGGAATCCTGACGCCCGGCAAGAGTTGAATGGTCCGGTTCAGCATTTGAGTCTTCTTCGGAGACTGTAGAAAATATGTGCGATTCTTGCGCCTCGTTGGCTAATTCCTCCTCGGACAAAACAATTTCACCAATCGAACAGTGGATATACACCCGCTTCGACAATTCATCGTCGTTCCCCCGAATTGGTTTCTTTCCCTTCACATCTACAGGGTCTAGCTCCAGTCGTAAGCTGACGCCCAGTCCCACGCCATCTATAAGAGCTCGTCCCGCATAGATCAACCGTAGCTTCCTTTTAGCCAAATCTTTGGGTAGTTTTTCCCGGATCAGCTGTCTTAAGCCAGCGGAGGTCGTGGTTGACGGATGTGAGACTTCCAAGAGGATATCTGGGACTGACGCGGAGAATCTTATGGTTACAAAGATGTCTGGCTCCGTAGTGAGAGGCTGAAATTCGTCGTGGTATTCCATGCTGTTGATTCTATGAGCTACGAGAGCCCTTTGACCATCTCTGGGCTGTTTTAAGGTTCCCGAGGCTAGGTGCGGCCATGGTGACGGTTTCCGCCGGTATTTTCCACGTGACATAGGACAAAAGCGCGTGGCATCCTACCCAGTGTCTATGAAATAATTGAAAAGCGAACAGTAATGACGGATCGGGGAGTAGCAATCCTAATCTAAGAGCTCATTCTTCTTGCGAATAGCACATATGGAACCACAAGTATTATAGTAGGGTTCTGAGTATCTAGAGCACCAAAGACAGGGATGTTGTATCATCGATTCAATGTATATTAGATGGGACACAACGAGGAGCAAGTTATTTCGTTCTTAAAGCCCGAAAAAAAGACATTATTCTAATGCTATCACTTCAAGGATCATGAGAATTCCGAGTTCTTTTCCCGCAATGCAGATATATGTGGACTACGCTTACTCCGTACTGAACGCCATTCCAAACAATACGTTAGAATCAAAAGCCCGTCAAACCATGAAAGATTCGCCGCAACCGCATTCATCCTCTATCGAAAGAGTATTAGTTTTTCTGTCCGCAAATAGGAAATGGTGGTGGGGTTCACTTACTGATATTTGGGTTTTTGAACACAAAGCGACTCGCCAATTTATCTTCCTGCCAGTCCATCTCACTTCCAATTATGCTAAACAGAGCTTTGCTGTCCACTAAAACTTTAATTCCATCCTGTTCCACGACTTCATCAAAAGGCGCTGGCTTTTCGACGTATTCTAAGTTATACGACAATCCGGAGCAGCCTCGGTTTCTTACGCCGACTCGGATCAACTTCGGGTTTGGCTGTGAAAGAAGAGTCCGCAGTTGATCAACAGCAGCGGGCGTGAGGGTCATGGCGGCTTTGCGGGGACGTAGTTTGGTTTTCCGCGACTTCGTTGTACCTTGTGTCGAAGGTGGGGTTGAAGGGGCAGTTGAATTTGGTGTCAGAGCAGGCCATGATTTCTGCGCCTCGCCTTCTGGCAGACTGTAGCTGGTGAAACGGTCGGCAGTGCTTGCTTTTGATGAATCGGAGGGTAGTTCGTTGGCTTCGAGGCCTGGAATGGCTTTGGAGATGGAAGTATCTGGAGTTCCGGCGTTTCGAGGAGGAAAGGGCTCAGATAGGGTGTGTGGAGTGTAGGCTGACGCGGTCTGGAGTTCACGCTTAGTTGATTGATATCCTTGTCTGTAAGCGGAAAAGGATCTAGTGCTTTGTGAACATGCCCGGCGGCTGGTATCGCGGAAGATGAGCCTCAGACATGATGTCACTGGATTATGAACAGCATGGGAGAGCGACATCATAGGCAAGTATGATAGCAATAACAGTATTCTTTGATCATCAAGATGCAGTCAGACACAAGCTGTAGAAGGGGTGAGCAGTAGGGGTAAGGATGGGTGAATTGTTCTTTTATTAACGCCATCGGCATTCGCACTGCGCGGAACAACAGCGCTAGAATTCACGGAAACATCTCGGCTAAAAGTGGCGCCGATCATCAGGTCTGGAGTTCCTCGCCAATCAACGTGGAGACGTTTCTACTCGTCTCGCCGGAGTGGCGCGTCTGGGCAGCCGAACGCCGCCAAGACGTGTTAGGACTGTGTCCCTGAGTCGTTTCTAGATGAATCACCAGCACTGCTGGTCAGCAGGGCGTTGCTACTGATTACCACTACGGAGTACTCTCGGCCAAAAGCTCTAAGGCTCGATCACGTTGGAAACACGGAGCGCGAGCCTGTCGCCTTTTTCCCATTATGTCTGAGCAGCAACAAGGCGAAGAGCCGCATGTCAAGACAAGCACCGGCATCCTCCAGCCAGAGCCATGATTCGTTGGCTTTGTCTTCTCAAACTAAAATACACCACCAGACAGCCGCCGTGATGACAGCTGTGATTGAAGCTGTGGCACGGTGGTGTTGATTGGCTGGCCTCGTAGTGACATAAGCAGCCCACAGTGTGTTGGTCATGTTTGCACTGCCGCCTCGCACAGCTTCAGCTTCGCGAGTAGATGACAGCTCAGCGGATATAAAATCTACTTATTGACCTCTAAGGCAATGCCCTTAGAGGCTTTACCTGGCTTCCTCTCACTCTTCCACTTTTGTCGACCGACCTAATCATGGAATCCTCCCCCTTAACCCAACAAACCCGTCCCGAAGCATTTCAGCCCAAGATAGTCCAGCTATACAACAACCTGCTCTTCGTAAGTCCAAAAGGAAATTTCACTATGTATTATGTATTTTCTAACATGTAAAGTAGAATCCCGATTATGCGGAACCCACTGAGGGCTTCTGGCGCGAGTTCTTCCTTCTGCCGCCAGAGAGGACCTCATTGGTGGAGATGCTATCTCGGATAGGTTCTGATGATATGCTACATATTCAGGTATGAGTTATCGTCTCTCCTTTTGTGAGCTACTCAGTAGATAGGTCTCTAAACTGTACAGGCCCAAACCCAGGCATTGTTTGCCCGTGCCATTCAAGAATCGACCTCTGGACGATCTCCAGTAAATGCTCACGCCCTAGAGGTACGAATGAATTCCGCCGTTTACTTTTTTAGATTGAATTTACTGAGAATCCTTCTGGCAGACGCTCTCCACTTTTCTTGGAGGAGTTCTAACTAAAAAATATACCAATCCTAGCGCAGACATCATAACAATTCTTGCTGGCCTCCACGAAGTGGATCAGATATTTTCGGACTTTGTTTCTGCAATAGATAGTATAATACGAAGCTCAGTCGACAGTATGCATTTACCTTTTTTCTATGTATCTGGATTACAGGTTTTGACATTTTGCAGTTAATTTACGCCTGAAAGCCGTGGACGCCGCGATTGCTATGACCAGCGGTACTTACAAAACTAGCCTTCTTTCTTATTTCATGCACCGGGATCTTTTTCCTTCCTTGATGAAGGTTTGCTTTAGGTTTTCTCCCTATACTTCCCACCGAATTAACAGATTGTAGCTCGTTCATGATTCTGTTACCCCTGCTCAAAATTTCCACCCGTTTTTATTGCTAGGCCTTCTTGCAAATTACAATAAATTCGAATTCCAAAACCCATACCAGTTACGCCTGGACGATTTTGTGAACGAAGCAACAATCTCAAAAATTGTCTTGAGTGTTGGCTCTACCTGCAGCATTTTACGGAACTCATACGTTGCGGTACAGGACGATCTTCCCGAAGGGTGGACCTGGAGTGGTACATTAGCATTTTTTGGCCTGAGTGCACTCGCTGGCAGGTCCAAATCACAACCCCTAAGCGCTGAAGAGAGCAAAGATCGGCTGGCCGAGCTGTAAGGCAACCCCTTAAACAAATACCTCTACAAAAAGCTAACTACATGCAGCCCTTCATCTGAAGCAGCAATACTTCTTGCTATATACGATTTTATTAATGCAAATAAGTTATTTGCTCACTGCCTTGTGTCATCAGTTTCTGAAAAGCGCTCAGAGGAGTCTCCCTTGTCAGGTTTCTTATCATTAACATCATATATGCTCCAGCACGCATATCGATCTACGCGAGTGGCTCTTTATGCTGAAATCAATTTATTTTCCCTTCGCATCTTATTGGAAGATCCCGTGCTATGTAAACATATCTGCAGCGAGGATGGCAAAAGACCTGTGAGGTTATGTCGGCAGCGCACACCTCATCTTCCAGCAGTCAATGGAGACAGGATTGTGGCCACTGTTATTCTGGATATAATGGTTGACACCATTAATCACAATCTTCGCAAAAGTCTTGACATTTATCTTTACAGGTGTGTATTTCTCATTCACATGAAATAAATCTACTAATATATGATAACACAGCCATGTTATGTCCGTAATTCTTCGCCTTCTCACATATTTATCATCTAATAAAACCCGCTTACAATACCACTGGTCTGAGTTATGGCGAAGCCTCCTTACGATAACCCGTTTCCTAACTACTTACTCCACCGATCTCTCCTCTGACCCAAACATCCATCTCTTGACGACCGATTTAGTCAATCTTCTCGCATTCTGTATCTCCGCTGGTGATACATTTCTGCCAGATCCAACCTCCTACGATGATTTGTTCTACAAAGTAGTAGAGGCAGGGCCTGTACTGACCCGTTTTCGTGACGCATACAAACGCTCATTATCACCCCCATCGAAATCCGCTAATGGCAAACCCAATACCAATACCAGTCACTATGACGCTTCAAAATCGTTAGCCACTCTCCTCAATGTTTCGACCCACTTTCATTCCCTCCTCTTTCTCCCGGAAAAGGCCAAAGAAGATTCCTCGGCCACCGATCCGAACACTCCAACAGCCCCTTCAAGCAATAGGGCAAAGAAAAAGAATCTTAGCCCCCGTGAGGTTCATAGCATTATCAAGGAAGGATACACAACTCTCAGCATCGAATCTCGGGAAAGTTTAAGTAACTGGGAGAAATGGCGGGAAGCAGATTGGAAAACACAGTTGAAAAGGATTACAAGAGCGGCGGTCGACGATTCAAGGGTTCTTGTGGTGACTCGGGGGGGGAATATACAAAATCAGGTACCAGTAAGTAATGGGAAAGACGCCAGTGTTGCGGGAAATTAAACACGGACCTCTCTTTTTCTTACTTTGACGTCAAATATTGGCTTCAAATTCTCAATTGTTTTATTTGGTCATGACTTTTATGCTTGCAATTTATGTATGTTCTGCATGGATATCTACCCTTTACTGGCATTAAAATAATTTGATAGATTTGAGACCGCAATCTCCCCATTCGCAGAGTTGATTTGACGTAAGTCACATAAACACTGTGTACACAAACCCCAGTCCGTCTAGGTAAACAAACTAGTAGTGAAACGTTTTAATGAATTTTTTATACATATTCATCAGGGTATGGGGAGAGCAGGAGCACTACTCTACAAACGACGCCAGTAATTAGCATCCTGATATTTGAGGGGCATACTAGTCAGTAGGTATCACTCAGAAGGCCCCGCTTCCTCCTCTTCTTCACCGTCTTCTTCTTCGTCTTCCTCCTCATCCTCATCCTCCTCGTCTTCCTCCTCTTCCTCTTCAACGTCCTCGCCGTCGTCCCCATTTCCGGCTTCACCTTCAAGTTTCGCCCTCCTACCAAACGTACCAGGCACTCGTGCGGCAGCTCTATCACTGAACAATCTAGCAGTAGCGGTCCCAGAATGCTCATCCGTTCGTCGATGCCTTTCTTCTATTTCCTCGACGTAGTCCCGATCCAACGGCTCGTACTTTTCAGTAAATAGCTGGTCCGAGTGTTTACTGAGCCATTGCATGAATGCTACGAGTTCTCTGCGTAGCCGATTTGTGGCTTGCGGGCTGAGGTTAGTTTGGGCGAGGAGTTCAGGTAAAACGGCTAGAGACTGTTGTTAGAATGAGAGCTCATAGCACCGCGCTGAAGAAGTCCCGGGGAGCAAGAACAAAATTCAATTCAGAAAGAAAGGTACTCACATAGCATCCTGGTTAAATGCTCCACTCCATATATATCACCCGGGCCCTTCCCTTCATAGCCGGGAGCATTTGCCTCCCATTTCTTACGTTCATTGTTGTATTGCCGTCGTTCAAGGGTATAAAGTAATATTTTTCCGAGCGTTTTGTCAAAGTATTTTCTAACTCCCTCCACCACCTCCTCCAAAACATCTCGTTCGACTTGACTGTTCCGAGTGCTGCTACTTTTCTCTTCCTCCAAGTATCGATTCAGCACCATATTGACAGGTGATTTCGCCGGTAGGGGAACTACGCTCTTATCTTTTGTAACAAATTCCCAGTCATCCACAAGGTACTCTTTAAGTCTCTCGGGCATCAGTACTCTGATACTTGGCGTTGAATTAAAATCTTCCTCCTACTCATAAAATATAAGTATAGATTCAAAAAAAAAAAAAACTATTATCCCATAATAGTATACTACGTACCTGCTCAATCTCAGTCTCTCTACCTCGTTTTTTTGATGTTCTATCTTCACTGGCACGACTAGAAGCTAAATCTGCAGCTTTTTTCTTGCCAGATTTCGTACGACTTCGCATCGCCGCCTCCACCTGCCGTCGCAGAGTGGCAGCAAGTTCTCTATTCTCTTCATTATATTTACGAAGAAGATCTTGAGACACCCAATCATCCCATCTGTAGTAAGTCCCGTGTCAGTTTGCACTAGAGATCAAAAGCATGATTGAGTCTCTGAATGAAGACTGCTTCATAGGGGTACAAGGAGACCAGTAAAAAGGTTTCTCGTAGATTTATAATAAGTGTGAGACGCACACAAAATAATTTAAGCATTTTATGTGTGATAAAAGATCCGGGACATTATAGATAAAATAAGGAAGCATTTGGGTACAACATACGTGTTCTTCCAGCCTTTGTAATGGACGCGGTATTCATAGAGGCTGTTCTTGTCCGATTCGTTTTCCGCCCTTGCATCTAGTATTTTTGCATCATATAGGATATCGTGATGAAAACACAGGACTACCTCGTCCTTATGATACATCTGTTTCTGTGGCGGCATACCAAAAACCAATAGGCTTATCTTCTGAACTGCAAAATATGTTTCCCAATGCGACGAAAATCAGAAACGCCGGCTGGCTGGAAAGGGTATCAGAATGAAATGCTGGTCCCAAAGAATAGAGCCGAAATGGCAGACCCTAGCAATACGGGATATTCGCACTCTTGGTATTAGGCCAGAAGTCTAGCAGAAATCTAGGTCATAAAGCCGTAGTTGAATCGACTGTTTTTCTCGAGTCTGCAGGAGCGAATAGAAGCTATCAATGGGCCCTCTTGTAGTAAGCAAGTTCGAATAAGCAACCAACAGTCTTTGTTCGCCAGGTTGCCACATCCAAACGCCAATCGCGAGTCTTATTTTAGACGCGACGAAAGTAAGCTGCGGTAATTAATACGGTAAATATCACGTGTCTGTCTTTGATTTGACTTTATTGGTGCGGCAGCCTGTACGGTATGGTATTCGATCACCACCTTGCACCTTGCACTTCACTCCCTGAGATTTCTCTACATCCACAGAATGTGTGGACTCAGAGCAATTGAAGAAGCATACATTAGGTGCGGCTTGCTTCTTCTTGAAAAAGGTAAATACTAGTAAAACCAGTTTGACATTTCCGTCTGAATATTCCGTCTGATCTGTTCTTGTCTTGTTACCTTTCAATATCAGCATGGCTCCATCCGAAGATTCTATTTTAACCAATTTTCTTGTTACTCCGTCACCTTTACCCGCTATTATATCTCTCGAAGAGTTTATAGAGCTTTTTCCAAAAAAACTCCGGTCTCATCCGCAAATCAAGACTCTTTATCGAGAACTACAACATGTCAGGGCTCAGGATATTGCTTTGGTCAAAGAGAATATCGAGAGAGAGATCAAAAATGGAGAGCAGCAGAAAGAAGAACTCCGCCACGCTTTTTCTAGTAAAGGCGTCCAAAGTTTGGACCCCCAGGACAAAATGGAAATCAATATGGACGTCCAGTTATTTGGCGAATCATCCGCTGGGATGCCACAAGATACCCATACTCTTGAATCTTTGACGGCTGAAATGCAAAAAGCTACGGCTGCTATGGAGAAAGAAATTGCAAATACCCAACAAGAATGCTCAGATATTATGGTAGAATTGAATAGCGTGATTAGTGATCTCAGCGATTTACGTTACGGGAAATTCAATGCACTTCCAGGTGCGAATAGCACTATTGCTGAAGACGTTGTGGCAGGATTGAAAAACTTAGACGATGCCTGCAATACGCAAGGCAAATAAATCAAAGATTGATGTAGGTTAAATATTTAGCACCCCATGCCCATTTTTCAACTTCTGCTTATCCTGTCCGCAGATGGAATTCCCAGCAAACTCTCTCTAATCTTCAGCCCACGAAAACGCCTCGCTAACCTTGCAAACTTCGAATGGCTGCCTTCACTATTCATCACCTGGACTATCTAGTTCTTTCAAATCAACAGACCATGACAATATTAAACATTTTTTCCTTGCTCAATTATGTCTCAACTATGCTTAATATTCAAATTCTCAAGTTTCCGAACGCTGCCATAAAAACATTGTTGATAAAAACGCTTATTCGACAAGACATAGCAAAAGTGCAGCCCCAATAAGTTGTGTACCGAAGCATTCGTCGACTCCTTCTAGTTCCTCACCCTCGCCGTGCTCCTGTTTTAATTTTATACCCACCCGATCGAAAAAAAATTGGTTCAATGGTTTCCTTTGCTTCCAGCTTACAGTCTCGTTGCTGGAATCCCTTGGCAGTGGCAGGAACCGACGGAATCCAGATCTATTTCGGTCGTCCCCTTCATGCTTAAATTCTTCGTATGAAGGCCACGGTGCCAAATCTCTCCCTGGAAAGGATTCCAAAGATGACCTCCAGATTGTTTCTCTGGCAAGAACCAGAGCTAGTCGATCCTCAAGCGTTTTCCCTCTTAAGACCGGGAGAATCAGTGTTTCTTCGGCTTCTATTCTTTCACTAACTTTTGCGATTTTATTTGTGACCTTTTGAAGCTGGTTCTCCTTCATGGCGACCCGATGTGCCAGCCAGTCTGCAAATATCCTAGGAGCAAATGGGGAATGAGGGGATATGTGAGTGATTTTGTCACGTATTTTGTTCCATTTATCAAACTCCTTTGTCTCGGCTGAGACCCATGACTTAGATGCGGAGTGTGACATTGTGGTTGTGCCTACTAAGAAATAGGTTGCTACGAAGTACCTCAGCTGCACGTCACACTCCACACCCAACGACTCTGGCCCAACAAAAAACAAATTATGAGTGGTAATGACCTTGGTTGTTGGTTGGTATCTTGTATTATCGTTGGGCAAATTCTGATCAAATTTGCAAACCACTGTTATGGAAGATTATTGGTTATGAGCATGGAGTCCATTGAAGAAGATGGAGAGCACTAGAAGTCATGTCAATGAAAGTGAGATTTAATAATTGCTGTAGTGAATATGTGCGTCATTGGAAAGCTACGGGAAGTATCGATAGGCTAATCATGAGGTTTTGTTCTCCTCTTCATGGATGAGCCTCATGGGATTGTGAAGAAAAATCCTAAGAGGATTAAACACAGTATTGCTGTCAACCTCAATTGCCCTTGGGGCTAAGGACTCTTTCATAGTGTTTATCACTAGGAATGAAGGGAAGACAAGATCCCAGTATATGTTGTTTTCCAGAGAAGTAAATTGTGCTAACTATGTGCCTGAATGCTGTCATGAAAAAGTTACAACTAACTACCTAAAGCACTTGAAGTTCCTTGGCGTCCCGCATTCTTGTTTCTCCGTTCCGTCTCTCCTATGAGATCCGCCTCGCCTATCTTATCAAAGCTGCAAGATGTCGATGACCTCCTTGAAGAAGATGCCTACAATTCCCCTACGCTCGATCCGCCAACATTCCAATGTGGATAATGGACCTGCAAATCCTCTACCTACTTTGCTCCAAACTCCATCCGGACTTGCGATTCTCGAGCTGCAAGGAACCATCAACCTACCAGCCAATGATCAAAAACAAAAATCTGCCCTTGATGAAGACAACATAGCTAGCCAATCACAGCTTCATACGGAGACACCAATTGGACGTCTTGTATTTCCGAGTTATGATCCGTCGAACCCTCCAAATGACACTTTCTGGATGAAGCGCGTCTACCTATATGTCGGACAACACCAACGTCTTACGGGCGAAGTAAAGAAGCTTTCGAAACCACTTGCCATTATGCAACGCTCCCAATACGACGAAAGTGCTGGTGGTAAGGATGGAAGTTCCACTAGCTCCAAAAACATAGGCAGTGCGCAACAAGTGGAAGAGCTTGGTAGAGAGGCGCTGGAAATTGCGGGGATAGTTCGGTACAAAATTTTATTTTCAGCAAGGCCCGAACCAGTCAGTGCCAATACTGGCTGATATTCTATAAAACTTTCAAGAAAAAGATCCGTCAATTCTGATACTACCTATTCTCACGCGATTAATTCTGTATGAACGCGCATAGAAGCTGGCAAAACGCGGGATATTTGCCTTTGAATCGAGTCAAATGATTTATGAACATACCGTCTAAAAATATTGAGGGAACTTTTTGGGGGTCTGGCCCCTAGCGTCACGAGCAACCCGGGTTGCGTTCAGCCTCGCGGCTGTTCCTGCGTCATTTCCAGCCATTTTTCGCAGCCAAAACTTCACGCGGTGGAGAAAATGCACTCCACGCATTCGTCACTGGCTCTTTTGCTGTAGGTTTTCCCATTACTCCGTACATGGATACGAGATCGTGGCGATCGCGTTTTCCCCCCGTGTCAGTGTTCGGCCGCCCAGTATCGATATCTCCTGAATATGCCTCACGATATGCTATTGATATTGCCTTATTCTGACCCTTAAATATTTACCTAGTGTCTACGGTAGTGCTCGTTTCTTATCCCTATATCTTCCATCCAGAATTTTTAACTCTTACTTCCTTTCGCTTTAGATCAGCACCTACACTAAGCTCCAACATACGGTGATACATACAACGCCTGGCCGACATCATTTGTATTGGCTAACTATTCAATTAACACCAACGACGATGTCATTTCCTATTGCATTTCTTCTTTATTTTATTCCTTACATATTACATGTGCATCCATGGTAACTAGCCTTCCAGCTGAGGTTTCAAATATAAACTGTCTTTTATTTCAATCTGTAAATATTCCTGCCAACCTGCAGCAGGTATACAAATTATGGGAGAGATTTTTGAGGAGTGTCCTCAGCTGGCTGGTTCTAGGAAGCATTAGCAAGGCGCAGCAGTCACTGGCCCCGGTCCCTTGGATGATGCATTCACTAGTTGGCCTGGCAGATAACCAAAAATATCAAACCCAACTGGTTCACGTGAATTGCGCCAATTAATGAGTTTTTTGCTCACATTGAAGTTACTTACGTCTTGCCTTTTATTCCCTCTGCGATCATCATCACCTTCTCCCTTTCTTATCCCACTCTCCTTGTCACACCCTAATTGAACAATCACGACTGTTCCTGTGAAACCAACCATACTTCCACAGTGGTGTTTATCATGCCTGCCCCTGAAGAATCACAGGCTGTAATGAGCCTTGGCCCTGGGTATCTAGGGTTTGATCACATCTTGTGGTATGTTGGAAACGCAAGACAAGCCGCATCCTACTACATTACTCGATTCAACTTTAACCAGCTTGCCTATCGAGGCCCGGAGACCGGCTCCCCTCATATCACATCGTACGTTGTTGGAAACGGTGAAGTGCGTTTTATTTTCACTGCTCCAGTGCACGCTCCATCAGTGCTAGACAACAAACTGTCAGATAGTGAAAGAACCGTCTTGAAAGAGATCCATGAACACCTCACTAAGCATGGTGATGGTGTCAAGGACATTGCTTTTCGCGTCAATAGTGATGTCCGTGAGATTTGGAATAAGGCCGTGAAACACGGAGCTCATCCCATTAGATCACCAACCACTATTCAGTCGAAACATCCATTTACTGGGCATATTCAGTTGGCAACTATAGGTACTTATGGAGATACAACCCACAGTTTCATTAATCGGGAAAAGTATACAGGGCCATTTTTGCCTGGCTATTCTGTTGTGAACGATCAAGACCCTATCAATTGTCATCTTCCCGCCATTGATTTCATTGAAATCGACCATTGTGTAGGAAATCAGCCTTGGGGAGGGTTGGAAAAAGCTGTCACCTTGTCTGTTCATACTTGCCATTAGGAATTAGACCGAGTACACTGACCTTCTATAAATAGCTACGAGAACTGCCTTGACTTCCACCGATACTGGACTGTTGATGACAATGCCATGTGCTCTGAATATTCAGCGATGCGCTCAATTGTCATTGCTTCGCCAAATGATATCGTGAAAATGCCTCTTAATGAACCCGCTATGGGCAAAAAGAAATCTCAAATTGAGGAGTAAGAGTTTGCCTATCCACTTCCTTCCTCCCTGCAGTGATAGTAACTCCACTTCAAAAGATTCGTTGATTACTATAATGGATCGGGTGTGCAGCATATTGCTTTCCGCACAAATGACATAATTTCTGCGGTTAGCCACCTTCGCAAACGTGGTGTACAGTTCCTGAGTGCCCCTGATACCTATTATAACGCTATGAGATGCCGACTTAAGGACGCGAACGTGGTCTTAGACGAAAGCATCGATTTACTTCAGAAGCTCAACATCCTCGTTGATTTTGACCAGGGAGGTTACCTACTGCAGATTTTCACTAAACATGTTTTAGATCGACCAACGGTGTTTTTGGAGGTTATCCAACGGAACAACTTTGATGGGTTCGGGGCTGGCAATTTCAAGGCTCTGTTTGAGGCCTTTGAGAAAGAGCAAGAGCTGAGAGGAAACCTTTAGCATCTTCTATTGCCAATTCAATGGATGAATGGGTTTAGACACTATTTGTTTCTCTTTGGTACATTGCGTGCAAGATAGAACACAAAAGCATCCAGAGTAACTATACAGAAACATTCATTGTTTTATGCATGAATCGACAATTATGTACTGTACATACATACATAATATGAAAACACCATTATGGTTCATTGCCATCATAAGATATCAGACAGAGATATATGGATAATCAGACAAGTTCGGTAGCAGAAGCAGAAGCAGAAGCAAGAATCAATAATGTTGGATATGCACGCTAAACAGTATACATAATACTAATTATAACAATGGACATAGGGTGTATCATATGACTTGATGTATGTAAATGTATCCACAAGACTGTTATGGACCAATGCTGTATCTTCAAGGGTGTCTTCTATGTTTTCCAGAATATGGGTATTCTCAAGGCGACATGGAATGGGTTGTGGGCGGTGTTTAAAAAGAAAAGAAGTATGTATACAAATCAGAAAAGAGACTGAGAGGATCGAAGTTGTCTTAGCCATCCAGGGCCTTTCGTAAATCGCTCCATTTCTGCTTCAGTGTATCGTAGTTTTCGGAAATCTGTGGAGTGATAAGCGATTATCCTTAATGATATTCATTCGCATCCTTACCTCTGCCCACTTCATCTTTGCCTCCACCAAGTCCTTCTCCATTTCCGTCATTTGCTCCTCCATGGCACGATTCTCATTTTGCACTTCGATATTCCGTTTCATGATCCGGTCCATTTCTGTTCTCAATTTCTCCTCCAGCTCAGCTGGTTGACGATCGACCATATCTTTGAGATCGGTAACTTGAAGTTTGAGGCTTTCATTCGTGTCTTTTAATTCCTCATTCTCAACCTTAATGCGAACAAGCTCAGATGCAATTTGAACATGCTCGGTATCTGACTTTTCAGCATGTTCTTCCAGTGATCGAATACGAGCGGATTGAGTTACAATAGAGTGTTTGTACCCTTCAATTTCGGTGGCCAAGTCCTTTTCTGCGCGTGTCTTCTCCTCCCACTCAGAGGTGTAGGTGCGAATCATCTCAGGGGTTAAAGTGATGGCACATGCATCTTCAACCATGATATCAGCACGATAGATTTCTTTGTCGCTTGCGCCAGAACTTCCAAAGAATCCCGATTCTAAAATCGAGCTAGGAGATGGTTGTTTGTCGATGTATACATCAAAAATCTTTTCTTTCAAAAAGCTAGTTAGAGTAGTCATATCATTCATACTGAGTAATGCATCGACATTGCGTCTCATTATTGCGACAGCGAAGCGGAGAATAGCACTCTCTAAACCCTGTTCAAATATTAAGTCGTATACCCGTAGAACAAGTTGTAGGGGGAAACGATATGCAAATAAAGTAAGGAACCACTGAGTCGCATAGAGTTGAGGGCCAACGCCGCGGCGGCGCAAATGGCAGGTCAATGCCGGTTCCAAATCCTCAAGTAAACGTTCAAATTGGTAGAGGTGACGGTGGAGTCCAGGCATGTCGTGAATGAATAAAGACCGTAGGTCGTATTTGTTCATCAGCTTGACCAAAAGTGTAAATGCCTCGCCGTCGTCCAGCTGACATATTGGTTAGCAACTCACATTTTGACAGGTAAGTACACTTACGTTAAACAACAAAGGCATTACAATGAAATTCATCCCCTGGGCATAGCCTACACCGCTATCATATAGTGCGTAGGCTTTACACACATTGAATAACGCTTCCTGGTTCCGTTGCGACATGAAATACTTCGAATAGCTGGTTCGAGAGCCTAGGTCCCGCCTGATCGCCTTCTCCAGCTTTACAAGTGCAGCTGCATCCTCTTTTGCTTTCTTTTTACGCGTTTCCTCCGAATCAGCCTGGGCTTTGATTGTGGCTTCAGTTTCCTTGTCTGAGACTGACGGTGCTGGGATATTGGTTGAACTAGTTGCCGCAGTGGAGGTATTTGAGTGAACAGATGAGCGAGATGATGACGTAGAATCCTTGTCCTTCAAATTTCCATTCGCATGTCCGTTTGCAGATGGAGGGCTCCAGTAGCGTTCCCTCTCTTTATCTGTACCCCGGGCGCAGAGCTCTCGGTACACATCCTCTAAGTCGGGGCTCCTACTGTCAGCTAGAACCTGCCAAATAACGCCACGGATCGTCTGGGGAATGCCCCGTCGAATAGCAACATTAAGTTCTTCCGCATTACTACCATTAAGCGCATCAGGGCCATGGTTCACTATCTGTTGCCAGAGTTCCCAGTCCACCGGTGCAGCGGCGTCCGTTGCAGAGGCGGAAAACCCAGATACGGTCCCAGGAGCAAGGTTGGGATTTGCTGTGGGTGGGAGAGGAGAGCCGGGCACGGGAGAAGGCAGTGATGTGCTATCAACATCAAGTGAACTCGAAGGAGGGCTGAGAGTACTCTGTCCTTTTTCATCTTGACTTTCCGAAACAACAGCGGCCTGGTCTTCCACGCTGCCTTCTTCCCGCATTCTCAGCAGTTTGAATTGATCTTTCAGGCTGTTTCGCAATTGCCTCCTCGACTCCGTACTGGCTGCATCGCCATCGCTGCCTTCAGAGCGATGTGCCATTTCAGGATTGCTCAAAATCGTGGAGACTGACGCGCCTGTATTTCTTCGGTTCCCCAATGTTTTTGATTCTTTCGAGGTGTTTTGGCCGCGCGACAGCCACGAAAAAGGGCTTGTGAGCTTTCTCGTAGGAGGGGCAGCCGGTTGAGGAGGAAGAGACTTATTTACAGGTGGAGGCCCCCAAGGCACTGATGGAAGTGATGCCGAAAGGTTTTGAAGTCGCGAGCCCGGTTTAGAATCTCTGGCGGGTAAGGATGGAGGAGTATTACCGGACGAACTGACGTGAGAGGCCGGTGAATCTGCAGTTTCTCCGTCCTTGGAGCCACTGAGATTCACGTCGTCCAAGGAAGAAGTAGACAATCGATGGGCAGTAAGTAGGGGGGACTTTGGTTGTTTTTGCGTTTTCGGGGTCCCTTCCCTCGACTGAGGCGAGGACAAATCCTTGACAGCCGGTTCGGTTTTGTCAGAGGAATCTAGAGGAGGAAACGCGGCAGCTTTTGGGGTGGGCAATGACCCGATGGATGGCCGTCGGTCAGTTAAAGAGCGGGACGCGCTGAGGGGAGTTGGGATATCGTCGCGAGCGTCTTCGAAGGCCTCCTAGCAAAAGCAAGATATATTAGCACCTAAATATAGTATCTTCAAGATCCTGGATCGCGCACGGCTTCATAATCCGTGGCATCCGGGTTGGACACCATCGCGAGACGTGGTCACAAAAGCGTCGACGGGGCTGGGTTGCGGTGGGCAGGGAGCGTCAGTCAAGAGTTGCGGGAAACTATTCCATAAGTCGAGGGTTACAGAGAGCGGAATGGCGGGAAGCAACCAGCACGGGTGGGATCAGGGGTTCAACAAGGCGAGGAGAAGGTGAGGAGAAGAGAATGAATTTGGAGCTTGCGATTCCGCAGCAACGGGGGCGGATCACGCAAACAAAGCACTTGGACGAGGAAGCGGCCATAACAAACTACTTCGCGCCCGCCATGAAAATAATATGATATATCTACAGGTGTCGTATTTCCTAGTTGCCATCCGACTATTGTTTCCCGCGCTGTTGCGAAAAGTTGGAGAAATCAAGAGCGCACACTGTTGATCGCCAGGATCCCTGCATCGCTAGTCTGGCACGGGTTTCAGGACACAGCTGGCGGGTATCAGAAGCCCGTTCGAGAACAAGCCAGACGTTCTGTACGCCTGGAAGAACAAAAGACTACCTGCCTGGCGCGTTTATGGCTTCACACACGTCGATGTTTCAGCACACACCCAGCGATCTCTCGAAATCCTCCCACCGGCCCTTTCTCAGCGGGTCCAAGCGTTTGAGGTTCCGAAGCCAATTGGCGATATCCTGCTTCATCCCCGCCGACACTGTCCCCCGAACCCTTGACACAACCAAGCTGCATTCAATGAGCGCTTGGTAGATCCATTTGCAGTCCTCCTCCTCGTCAAGCAACTCGGAAATGGCATCGAGTTCATGGTTGAGATACTCAAGCCGCGTCTCATCACTCATTCTGGGAGCAATACCTCCTCCAGAGGTGGTCGGGTCGAGCGTGCACATGAGGTTCTGATGGTAGAACCACAATGACTGGTCATAAGGATCAATCAGGGCGCGATGGATCAGTTTCAACTCTAGATCAGAAGTTAGTCTCAGCCTGTTTTCGAGATCAACCAGCAGGGATATTTACCGTCGTCAAAGGCCGTTCTCCGTTCATCATCGCTGGCACCACGCTCATCTAGCATTCTAAGAATCAATTTAGACCGGTTATGCCAGGCAGAAAAATTAGAAAGATTAGCTCCAATCATTTTTGTAGTATAATTCAATTCATCTTGGGCTAAAGAGAGCGTCTTCACTCCATCTTCTACATCTCCTCTATCCTCTCCCAGGACTTCAATAACGGACACGATTTTTCGCCGATATCCCCAACCATGGAAATTTCTGGCATCTAAACTGAGCATCTTTCCTACAAGGGCGAGCTCCTCCTGCCAGAAACGGCGTGCCAGTGGCCTTGAGAGTTGGCCAACCGTCTGCTCTAGAACCCATAAACGATGATTCCAGATCCAGTAGCATTTTGGGTATTGCCGGAGAAGGGGTATCAAAAACGCCAATTCCTCTCTGAGCAATTCTCTAGCCATTTCTTGACGCTGTGAACCGGCGTCACTTGAGTCAGCGTTCATCTTCACATTTTCGAGCTGGGCCTGCAGTATAAGACGGCGATAATTCCAAATAGAATAGTATTCGGCATTTTCAGCCAACAACTCCGAAGTCTTTGGGAGTAAAGCCTCGGAGTAATCATATTCGCTTCGCTGTTTGAATTGTTAATGCAATTGCTTCAGCTGCAGATAGAACTTCAAGTGAGGACCTTTTCTCTGACAGACTGGTCCAAGTCCCTATATTTTTGAATTTTCGAAAGCTCCCTCCTTCTCGCCTCCTCTGTCTGTAACTTGAAAGATGCATGTCGCGCTACTCCATGCTGACGGTGGACCAGGTTAGCAAAACAATAATCAGAGTCTTCAGGGGTGTTAAATACACACGCTGGCCATGCTCGCAGCTATAAGTGCTGGCGAGACACCGCGTTATCAACCGCGGGATATGTGTTTCCCCTCACCAACCCAGCGTTAAAACAGCACCGGGAGGCTTTGCCGTGCTGACTCAGCGGCCGCTTTATCCCCAGTGTTTGTTCCTGAAAGAGTAACTTCTACCAACGCCGGTCTACGCAATCTAACTTGCCTAAACCGGCAAGCCCAATGGCCAGGTACGATTGGCGAGCAGTCGTCGCCGCGTCGCCTGCTGCCATGTCTCTCTCCCCATCTCTCTGCTGTGGCTTCGTGGCGTCTACACCGGCGAGCCACGGTTATTTCATACGCCGTCCCTCTTTTGAAATATTAGGATCTACTATTGCTAGACACTCTTTTCATTTGCTTCTTGCTAATTTACTGCTTTTTGTCTTTTTTATACTACCATTCACTTGGAAATATGCGGAGATGCCGCTCTGTTGGAGACCTACAATCTTCTAACCGTAGCGACGCTTCTATCTCTTTCTCTTCAATAAACCCGGATATCCGTCCATACTCTCGTTCTTCAAGCAAAAATTGCATTCAGACACGTCTGTCAGAGACCCTCATCTCCCCCTTCTTATTTGGCGACCAAGTTTCTCCTAGAAAGGTACCTTCGTACTTTGATAGAAGACGAGGCCATGTTAGCCCGGTGTTGCAGAAGCATGGCCGCCTATCATCACCAGACCGCTTTGTCTCATCCAATGGACCACAATCCCCACCTGAAGTGCAGTATCATGTGAGCAAGCCTTGTGATTTACTTTCGCCGTATGAAAAAGCCCACCGAATGCGTGATCCGAATGCAGATGCGTTTTCTCTACCGATATCTGCCAGAGTGGTAACAAGTGCAGCACGTCAAACCACGGACCGTAGGCTTATACCATACCAGCGGCCCCGCCATATTGTAAATCAAACATTCCCCAGCGATCCCTTTCGGACCTCTAGAGATGAGCCGGGGGAGTCGGAAGATGACATTGAGCAGGGACATCGCGAGGCTAGCGTTGGCGCAGTCTGGCTTGTTGGAGGCGTATCTCAAGCATTGTCCAACTCAAGGAGTCGTCTCGACCACAGTCGCAGCACAATACAAACAGCTGCGCCGTGGTATCCAGCAAAATTTTCTCGCAAAGAAACCGATGCAGAGCAGCATCGTGTGCATGAAACCCGTGTTGCTTTAGCCTTGGACCTTGACCCTGCTGCTAGAATTCTTGAAGTTTCAGTACCGCAATCCCCACCCGGTACGCCCTCTAAACCTACATCGCCGATAGAGTCTTGTTCTCTACATGGCTGGAAGGATGGTGAGTGGATGAGAAGCGATGGCCGTTTGTTCAGTAAGAAATTTCTTTCTACTTTTATACCCGCTATGCTATATCTCAAAGCACATCAGGCTAAGATGAACGTAGAGTCGCACTATAATATAACACAGAAGACTGACCAACCTTTGTCGATTTTGCCATTTCGTGTTTTGGACGCTCCATTTTTACGTGACGATTTCTACTCCAAGATTCTTGCTTACTGTTACAAAACTCATGTTCTTGCTGTTGGCCTTTCACTGCGAGTGTATCTTTGGTCTGAGCAACATGGAATGAAAATTCCTCCACTAAAAACAGCCATAAGGAATAATTTTGTGACTTCGCTTTCATTTTCTTCAAAGAAAGGCGGACGAAGCATCCTGGCTGTAGGCCGGCGCTACGGTCAGCTTTCCCTGTGGAGTTCCTTTGACATTGATGTTCGATTCCAAGAAACCTTCCCAATAGGAGTTGCTTGTGTTACCTTTAAAGATGAGCCCACCACCCATCCGTCCGAGTTTTTTCCAGAAGTATCGGTCTATATTGAACATTTAGCCGTGGGAGATGATGGAGGGAACATCTGGTATTATACTCTAGAGTGGACCAGTCCTAGGGTAAGGAAGAGACATGGCTGGAACGGAAGCTTGACGCTCGTTGCTAAGATAGCCGCACATAAACAGCAGGTATGCGGTCTTTCTTGGTCGCCTGACGGGAAGTTCCTTGCCAGTGGAGGCAATGATAATGTATGCCTCGTGTATGATACGTCAAATATCGTCACAGAGGATCAATTACCCAACTCACCACATCTCGCTGTGGCGGGCAGTAACATCCGGGGCCATCTGCAACAATTTACTCCCTTACATCACTCAAACCATAGTACCTTATCTTTGCCGGCGGACTACCAGGGTCGAGACGATGCAGAAGCAGAAGATCAGGCATCCGAGTCATCATTAGCGCAAACGGTTGTCATCACTCGTAATAGAGAGAGATGTCGATTGAAACACCGCGCCGCGGTCAAGGCAATTGCTTTTGCTCCGTGGGAGCCAGCACTTCTCGCGACTGGGGGTGGGTCAAGTGATCAGTGCATACGCTTTTGGCATGCTCCAACTGGATGTCTCCTTGCCACCATCAGGGTCTACGCCCAAGTTACTAGTCTCATATGGAGCAAGACACGACGCGAAATAGCAGCCACCTTTGGATATCCTCAACCCCATCACCCCTACCGCATTGCTGTCTTTACATGGCCAGAGTGTGAACAGGTCCTGGCTATTCCTTGGGCAGTCGCTGAGGACTCTAGAGGCGTCGACGACGATGTGCCCGGGCGGGCTATCTGTGCTATCACTTATCCAGGCTCAAGTGAAGCTCCAATTTATAACAGATCGCCAACTTCTTTAGTGCCCGCGGGTGTGTCTCAGACTTCTGGGGTCGTGGCTCATGGCCTTTCACCTCATATAGAAGGTGCATCTCCCGGTGAGGAGGGAGATACATTGTCCACTCGTATGGTAAGCAGTCAGGACAGCCCCTCGCCATCTCGAACAGCCTTAGAAGGGTGCATCGTCATTGCAGGTAGTGATGAGAGTATTCGATTCCATGAAGTTTGGAGAGGTGGTGCCAAAGGTTTGGGGGGGTGTACCGGCCTCTTTGGGGGAAGTCAAATCCTAGAAAGCTTACATGGCCTCGACACGAACGTGGATTTGAAGGAAACCATTCGATAATCAAGCCAGGCTGAGCTGAGACTATCGATACCTATCATTAAGAAGCTGAATGTATATATATATACGTGTCAACCCTGTAAAATAATATCATCTTTCTAATGTAAGGCCTTCCTCATGCCGAGGGGGATTACAATTTACACTTTATCGGACTAAACAAGTCGAAGTGCCTTCTATCTTCGAGGGAAATACTTAAGTAGTGTTTCTCAAGCCTCTTGGGATTTTCACTCCCGGTCAAAATTAGATGAGAAAAAACACGGTAATGATGAAATATCAAATGGATGCATAACTACCTAGTGCCCAAGCAGATCTTTTTTCCAAAAAAACAAAGGGGAAAAAAAGCTGAAAAAAAGGAGGTATAGGCAAGAATTGCAGGCATATAGCTGCGGGGAGGGCACCGACCAAGCAAAAAAGCCAACAAATTATCATAATAACTAGTGGGTATCGACATGATAGTTTATGCCCTCGATTTGCTTTTTTTAACTTTAGGCTTCTTTACTGGCACAGGAGCCTCAAGCGCCGCCTCTGAGTCTTCATCCGAATCAGCGATGAAGTCAGCCAAGCTCCCGATATCTTCCTGCTCTTCAGCCTCATCTTCCTCGTCTTCCTCTTCCTCCTCGCCCTCCTGCCCACTAGCATCGTCTGACTCGATAGCCTCATCGTCAATAAGTTCATCGTCGCCCTCTTCATCTTCAGAATCCGACGCGACGCCGTTGACTACCATGGGCATGTCATCTTCGTCCTCTTCGTCCTCTTCGCCAGCACTCATGTCACCCATGTCAATGTCGCGGGCGTGCCGCGAACCCGCATCCTCGATGGCAAGGCGTTCTTGGTCGTCACTTTCGAGTATATCTTCTTGTCCTTCGACGTAGATGACGTCTTCCTCGTCACTTTCTCGGCGTTCCTCTCGGTTCGAATTGAGGTTTCGTCTCAAGCTGAGTTGGGCGTCGAGCATATCTAGCTTACCTTTTAGCAGGAGTAAGGATGGAAGACTGGCAGATCGCTGATCCATGACTTTAAATAGAGAAGACATTTGGTTCAGTATCTCTGTATTTCCGGCTATCGAGCCACCGTGGGCTACACATGTCCACTGTACCCAGACCAATAGGTGGCCGTAGCGGCCTGGTCGGGAGGAAAGACGTTCAGCGAGTTTCTGAAGTAATATTCCAGCCAAAGATGAGTCTAGACGTTGGATAGTTGCACGGACGATGTTTACGTCAGTGGTGTGGAAGCATGATTCGAGAAGGCTGTTGTCGTTGGTCTTAAGGGACTGGGAGAGAACGGTGGCGAGAGACAGACCTGACGGTATTTTTTGAAGGGTCTTCGGTTGGTGGGATGTTACTAGGGCTCCTGTGTTGGCTTCCTCGAGTTCCGCTATCACATCGACATGTTTTGTGTTAGCGTGTAGCAGCTCGCCAAAGGACGGCTCTCCTTCTTCCTCTTCCTCTTGTGCTTCAGCGTCGATGTCCTCCATGTCAACATCATCCCTTTCTTTTTTCTGTAGCTCTCCAGAAGGTGAAGGGGCTTCAAGGAGTTCTTGCTCTTCATCCGAAGCCTGTTCCTCTTCGTCACTGGATGCTGAAACTTCTTCCTCGGGGCCATTTGTTTTTACACCCTCAGCAACACCACCCTGTTCCACAATCACATGTGACTCGTCAACATGAGTTTTCCCCATATTTTTTACACCATTCAGCATTGCTGACCCAATGGTCGAAGCAGATTTACCGCGAACGATCTCACTTTCGCCATGAAGCATTAACTTCTCGGTATCCTCCTCCTGCCACCGTATCCTATCGAAAACAACACTAGAACCCGCCTCTACCCATGCAACAACAAGGTCAGGACCGTCAAAAGAAACAGATATTATAGGTACAACCGTTCGAGAAGCGTCTGGTTTCACGATCTTGATAGCCGCCTCTGACCGACGAGTAGAAGCCTTGAGGCGAGACTTAAGACTGGCTAAAGTTGTGGACTTAGAATCATTAACATGATAGAAAGGTTTCGAGAATAGCTCAACCACTCCATCTCGAGTCACAGCTGCCAGGAGCTGTTTCTGAAACAATGAAGATCTTGAGGCTGTTGAAGCATTTTTACTCCGCGATGACTTTGGAGTAGCAGGGTACAATGCCACGGATTCAACTTCTTTATCAGTAACTAATGAGCCAAGCAATTTTCTCGTTTCAATGTCAAATAAATTTATGTAGCGATCCGAGTCGGCAGCCAGAAATTGTTCGGAGAGGGAAGCAAGATCATTCGAAGAAGATATCAGCGTATGAACGGTATTTCGCATAGCACTAAACGATATTGGGCCATTTTGGTTCTCATTTTCCAGGTCTATAAGGTATGGCGTTTGTGAGGCGCATAGGACTGGGGGGTTGGATGTAACCGGGGATGCTAGGGCTCCAACAGCAGTGGAAGGCAAAGTGATGACTCTAGAAGAACATCAGATTAAAATGAGAATAACAAAGGGGGAATTTTTTTTAAGACGTTTTGCATTCATACCTTCCAACGCTTCCATCTTGTAAATTCCACTGGATGAGTTTACCATCTCCACCAATACTCCACCCTTCTTCGGCAGGCTTCTGCACAGTGAACCTGAAGTCCCTGATTCCTCTTTCATGTCCACCTGTAAGGACACCTACAACCTTTCCTTCTGCAGGAGAGAACATTCGGATTTCCGAAGAACTTGTACCAAACGCGACCACGGCATCGCTTGTCTCTGATACATCAACAATGCCATTGACACCCGAGTTCCGCTTGCGCTTCTTCTTCAAGTGTTGGTCCCTGTCATCATGCAAATCGCCAAAGTATCCCCAGTCCAACGAAGTAATAGACTCCTTCGGGTTCACAGCATGGTCGCAACGTAACCGGCCAGTATTGATATCATGTATGCGTAAATGATGAGCATCCAAGCCCTGAATGACCGAGGCAAAGAGCGCCAGCTGGTATTCAGAAGGAGAAAAGGCGGAGCGAATCACCGATAACTTGTTTGCGGCCGTCTTGGTCCCCGAGGACGCTGGGTCAGCAGCAGAGGAGATCTTCGACACCGGCCCGCGTGAGTGTTTCTTGCTCGGCATTTTGGAAACAGAAATTCAGGTACAGAAATGGAATAAATAAGAAGGAGAGAAAGGGAACAGAAGCTGCGATTGGACTCTGGGTCAGGCAAAGACTCAACGCAAAGGCTCAATTAGATCCTGCGCGGTCGCCATCAACCAGACGGAAAGCTCAACTTCCTGCGTGCTGATTGAGTTCCAGTGCGAAAAAAATGTTGATACTCAAAGTACGCTACGCCACTTTGGGTTTGGTGAAAGGAAGTTTAAGCTACGGAGTTTCTTACCGCAAACGAAAAAAAGCGGATCTGCCGGAGATACGTTTTGCCTATCAGATTATCCGATGCAAGTTTAAAAAAAAAATCTCTGGGCTATTCTTTGAGGCGATCTGTCAACACGGCAGGGCTGCATCATTTTCAGTTTGGACTTGCACACTTATGACATCTCGCCCAGTTTGTCCCCGCAAGCCTGTCCTACAGTGATGCCCTGACTGCCAGGTGTCTGCGAGAGAGGATGCAGGCGAACGTGTAGGAGTCACGTGCGCGCCGAACTCGTCTGGGATGGCTGGAAGGATGTTCTGGACGTGGTTCCACGAAGCTGGCGCTATCCCGCAACGCAGGGTATGCGCACTGGTGCTTGGAGCGCGTCCGGACAGCGACTGCGCGCGTCATCTACTCCCTGCCGACGTCTCCTGAAGCGGCAAAATTCGCGTGCAAGTGTGCTGCCTGTGTAATGTAGCGTCAATGCGTGTTGTTCCAGCATTCCAGCACAATACGGCGATTAGGTCCGTGTGGCGAAGCAAACCATTTGCGTCGTTCTTTCGTGACCGTACGGCCTGTTACCGCTACCCAGAGTCCCAAAACAGAGCTAAGTGGGGCGCGCCTTCCGCCACGCCGGCCAATAAGCACGGGCGGCGGCGCTGGGAAGCCGGGGTGCAGCCAATCAGACACGCTACTTTCAAACTTACCAGGATCGCCCGCTTTAGCTTCGTCATCCGAGGCTAGTGGCAGCAGGCTGTCATAAATCCCTTGAAAGCTCAAAAAGCCCTTTCCGTACTTAAGGATTCTAGCACCCCCCTCCGAATTTCCTCTGTTTTCTTCCTCTCTTTCTCGCCTCGCGTCTTCCGTCCACGCACCCCCCGACCGTCTCCACCAACCACCACTCGCCACCGCCCACCGACCTCCACGGTACGTCCTACTGCCCCTGCCGCAAAACCTTGCTGCCACGCAGGTCCCCGATTTCCGCTTGTTCTTGAATTATTCCGTTCTCCCATACCCACCACGTATCCAAGTAACTACTTCGTCGATACATACCCACGCCTTGTATACCACTGTTCCCAACATACTTCCCACGCCAAACACCCAGTTTTCATCGCCCTTTGATTTCTTCCCTGTTTTTCTGTCTATCTTTTGCTTTCTACTACCGACTTTCCGACGGCATCAACCTCTGCGCGACCGCAGGATTCTTTTTTTTTTTTGGATCGCGGTACATCCGTCCCTGCGCAGCCAATCAGCGCCTGTTTTGCTTTCTTCCGTCATCGCACGTGACCACGCTTGGCAATATAAAAAGCGCGACCAGGTTTCTCCCGACTTTGCTTCTTTTTTGTTTTTATTGCCGTGCTTGTCTGGACCCGCGTCTGTGATTTAGTCGAAACTCAGATTCTTGACCATTTTTCACTTCCTGTTCCTGCATAGACCCTTTAACCTTCTTCGTTGATCTGATATCTTGTTCAGCTGAGTGTGTTGCTTTGAGCATCACAACATTATTCCCGAAACCGTCTTGCTCTTCTTTATTATTATTACTCCTCTTGGCGCCTCTCCTTATCCCTTGCTCAGGACGCGCCGCGCCTCTTACCGTCCAAAAGTGGACCAACTTATTCGCTCTTATCGCGCCTGAGCCCCTGCCCAACTTATCGACACGTGACTTGCTCTTTCCACTATGGCGACTCCGCCGCCAGAAACGACGTCCCTTGAGGACAGAGTTAAACCTCTCTCGCTTGGTGAGGCTACAGCAGTCCCAGCCGCTCCTGGGTAAGTGAATGCCAACTCAATGCGAATCGAACTTGCTGTTAGACTGACTGGATGGGGATAGGAGCAATGAGCTGCCCACAGTGTCTCTAGACACAATTACGCAGCAAAAGGTTGATCACCTTGTTACCGGTGCCAACGGCAGGTTATCTCCAGCATTAGAAGATACTGGCTCTCTACCAAATGGTAGAAAAGAGTCTTTAGTTGCCTCGCCTGAACACCCCAAAGAACTAGGTGGCGATCATATAAACGGACACACCTCCCTAAATTCTGAAGCAGTGCATTCCCCGGAAGACCATCTGGCAGTCGCAGAAGAGAAGAAGATGACGGCAGAAGATGAAAATGCCGTTACAGCGGATGCGCAACTGCCGCCTATGTCGTCAAACGAACCCAGTGAGCAAGTAATCACCCCAGCAGCGACGCAAGAAGATCCAGCAGCATTGGTACTTGACGCAGAGAAACAAATACTTCCACAACCAATCTCGCCCCCCACAACCGCGCCAATGGCTGAATCAAGCGAACCTCAGCCTTCCGTCTCCGTGCCGCCCACAAACCAGGACCAATCGATGCCGGATGCACCACCTTTATCACCAGTCAAAGTGTCCCGCGAAAGAGAAGAGGATGAAGATGATGAGCCTGCTGCAAAACGTACGAAAACAGACGAAGCAGAATTCAAGATTCCAGAAGTACCATCTGCAACAACCTCTGTGCCCGAAAAGGGCCAAGAAGAGACAACGGCGCTTAGCAACAGTACTCCTTCGACTTCTATGGCCATTACACCTTTACAAACCAAATTTTTGACTCGTACACTTGCTGCTTTAAAAAGAACCCATGATGCGCGGTTTTTCAGACTCCCTGTCGATCCTGTCAAGCTCAACATTCCTAGCTACCCACTTATCGTAAAGAACCCCATGGACATGCATTCCATGGAGGACAAGTTAAAGAGTAGTACTTACAAAACTATTGATGAAATTTCTGCGGATTTCAAGTTAATGATTGACAACTCCCTAGCTTTCAATGGTTCAGAACATGTTGTCACCGTCGAAGGATTGAAACTGCAAGAGAATTGGCTGCGGCATCTCATCAAGCTTCCAGGTCCTAACGAGGTGGAGCCCACTGCCGCCGAGAAGAAAGCTAAGAAGGCAAGCACTGCTCCAAGCAAAACTCAACCAGCCCGGCGAGAAAGTCAGGTAAAAGCGACTGCTTCGAAGGCCAGTAAAGCCGGGTCTCCTACCACCTTTGCTCTTGGCCCAGAAGGGCTCCCTTTGATTCGACGAGATTCTAATGCGGTGGATGGCCGTCCCAAGCGGTCTATTCACCCCCCCAAAAATCGAGATCTCCCCTATAGCGCTAAACCGAAAAAGAAAAAGTTCCATTGGGAGCTCAAATTCTGTGAGGAAGTGGTGGATGAATTGCATAAGCCTAAACACTATAATTTTGCTGCTCCGTTTTACCAACCTGTTGACCCTGTGGCATTGAATATACCCACTTATCACAATATTATTAAGAAACCGATGGACCTTTCGACAATTCGCACAAAGCTCCAGACCGGGCAATATGAAAACGCCAAGGAAATGGAAAACGATTTCCGGCTTATGCTAAAAAATTGCTACAAATTTAATATTCCCGGAGACCCCACGTATAATGCCGGTAAAAAATTGGAAGAGATTTTTGATGTTAAGTGGAGCCAGAAGGGCCGTTGGCTTGATGCCCATGACCCATCCCATCAGAGTGACAGTTCGGAGAATGAAGCCAGTGACAATGAAGAAAGCAACGATGACGAAGAACACGAGAAGCTGCAGGCTTTACAGAAGCAAATTGCCGAAATGTCCAAGCAGGTGGAAGCGATTCGTCAGAAAAAGAAGAAGACTCCTCCTGTCAAGAAAGCCGGCAAGCCAAAATCTGGTAAAAAGGATAATAAGAAGGTACCGCCGTTGAAAAAGGATAAGAGAACCAAAGCATCCAGACCCGAAAAGCAGCGCTGGATCACCTTCCGGGAGAAGCAGGTCATATCAAATGGCATTAGCACTTTGCCTGAAAATAAAGTTCACGACGCACTCAACATTATCCAAAGTGAAGTGCCTTCGCTTGCTGTGAGATACTCCCACACCGTTTCCCAATTTCTATTATGTTGACATTCATGCTAGGGTATTGATCAAGCTGAGGTCGAGCTTGATATCGATGAGCTTCCAAATCATGTTCTACTACTTCTTCTGGACTTTGTGAGGGAACACTGCCCGGGGTCATTCGAATTTGATGAGCCAGCGCCTGAGCCCCTGCCAGCACCAATTCCATCCAAGCCCAAGAAGAACAAACCAATGAACGCACATGAACAAGAAGCACAAATTGGCCGCCTCGCCGGGACGCTTTCGAAGTTCCAGGGTGGCGGTCATTCGTCAGATCCAGGTTCGTCTATTAGAGGTGCTTTTTTTCTTCTAAAAACTGTTGCTGATATTGCTTTAGCTCATTCCGAAGAGGCTAGACCTGAAAGTAGTGACGATGATGACTCTGAAGAAAGCGAAGAGGAGTAATCGCTTCCAGACCCCTCTAGATAACCCTAACCACGATCACCTTACCCTAAAATACGATGCCACTCCCATCTGCCATTCGCAACGATGCTTATGGCCCAACACTCAACGAATTTACGCGTCGCCAATGACTTTTTTTTCCAATCCGATCCGCCCTTTCTTATCTTCTGTTTTGTCTCGATAGATGTATCGTGAAGGGAAGGAGACTCTTATTGCTGCATGTCATTAGCTTGCAAGCACAGAGACTTTCTTCGCGATGCATTGTAAATAGTATTTTTTTCTATTTTTGTCGTGAGCGATTTTTTTGCTTTCCCGTTTGCTTCTATTTACACGTTGAGGACCTAGAGACGGGCTTTTTTTTTTCAAAATTGGGCAGATTACTGAATTTGTCAATGGCTTGGGATGGTGGATGTTTCGCATCTTCATCCATTCGGGTTGCGTTTGGTTTGCTGCATTGCTGTATCATTCTTCATCAGATGGGGTCGACGACATGTCATAAAAGGCACGGAAAAAGGGAATCGGTGTTATTGATGTATTCAGGGTGCATTAAAAGGGCACATGCGAAAATTATGTATGATAAGGGTAATGATATAGTGTGTTATCACTTTTTTCCGTCTTGTGTTGTATATGTATCCCTGTTGGCTTGTTGATTCGGCCAGCAACCAACCACATCTAGAAACATCACCAGCTCACAGTTCTCCTCCACTTCAACATCCAGCGCGCCAACGGCCAACGGCCAACATGCTGCCTCAGTGCGATCCAGCCATACTCAATGATAATCCGCAATTTAAAATTCTCCACCAGCAACTAACAACATCAATTCTCAATCCGGATGGCTCAACTCGTGCGCTCGAAGGCGATGGGCCGCGTAAACAAGTTCAAGCCGTCGGTACTCCCTATTATAGCTTTTCTAGGTGCCAAACGCGTCCGTGGCATCGCACCGCCGGCTACCATATCTCCAGTGAGGCTGACTTTAATTTTGAAGCCCTAGGAACTGAAGAAGCGCCAAATTCTCTCCGCGAAGAGGCGCATTTTAAGCCGCGTTGTCTGTGAGCTGCCGTACGACTTGAAGAACGGCTTGCCTGATGAGGCACGTATGAGATGCTTTCCCGTTTCTGCTTTTTACTTGTTACAAATCTAATGTTTTATAAGTAACAACAGCTACGCGACCTTGTTGCCGTCATCGCCCTCTATCTCAACCACTCAACACCGGCAAACAACAAAAATGACGAAAACGATGACACTCTTGCCCTTCTGCAACCCGACCTTGACGCTTTTAGCGCCCAGCTTCCAAATATCGTACCCGCCATACGCCAGAAGCTCGCCGAGGATATCGCGAACCTTCGAACCCTTGCCAGTAAAGCAGGCAACAATCACCAATCTCGCATTCCACAACAGACTCGCAACGCCAGCACTGTTGCTGACAGTCGTCTGCGCCCCCTCTCACTCAAACCTGCTTCATCTGCGGTGCTCCTCAGCCAGGCGTCGCTATCCTCGCAGATAGCGAGTCGTTTGCGCAACCTCCGGACGACACAAATGGTAGAGCTGCTGGCAGCTCAGAGGCAGATGACAGTCACTGCGGCAGAAGTTCTTTCGGCGCATACGATGGTAATGGAGCGTATGGTGCAGGTTCTAGAAAGGACGAAGCATGGATCGCTGGCGAGGGCGGGGAGAGCTCGAGCCGAATATTTGGCGGCTGTCGCGGAAGGTCTAGATGGGAAGGTTAAGTATGTGTCCGGTTTCTTCTCTGTGCTTATGCTGATAAGTGTAAGCGATGATTTTGAGAATGCTAATGGTTAATTATTTCGCTAGGCTCATTCAACGAGATATCCTCACAACCATCTACACACCTGAAACCATTGAAGCACTGCAGAATTATCGGAGACATCTGCACGATACGCGTGTCCATCTAAGAGAACGCGAGAGGAATGCCCTGAAGCAACTAGAAGCTTATGAAGCCGCCGATTCTTCTGCACCTCGAGCCGGAACTATGGCAGACATAGCCAGGCGGTACGCGGCGCTGGCAAAGGAGGTTGAAAACGTGAAGATGGAGATTAAGAGAATTGGTGGGGACGAATGATATCTAGACAGTGCTTTGACTCTATCCGCCCGCCCCCCATATGATTGTTCGTTTCTTCCATTCCTTGATATTTTGATATCGTGATTGACCTTCGCCGCCTTTATCCGGCAGAATAGCTTGGCACTAAATCCAAGAAACTTTAAATTTTTATCGCCAAAAGTTGAGTCTTCGTTTGCCATCAAAAGACCACAGCATTCTCAACGCAACCCACCGCTCCTCAACAACTCTACAACTCAAGATAGAAGGTGATATTTATCTTGAATTTCTTCTCGACACTCTGATATTGCCCCACCACCGCAGAGGAAACCCAATACTCCACCGAACCACAACCCCGCCACCTCGTCATCATCATGGCCGACGGCATATCCATTTACGACGAAATCGAAATCGAAGACATGACCTTTGACCCTACCCTCCAAATCTATCATTTTCCGTGTCCCTGTGGTGATAGGTTTGAGATCGGGATTGCAGATCTCAGAGATGGAGAGGAAATCGCAGTTTGTCCGAGTTGTAGCTTGATGATCAGGGTAATTTTCGATTTGGTATGTACAATTTATGCACATGGATGGCTAAAATGTAAACTGACAAAGGGTATTTTGCTAGGATGATTTACCGAAGGAAAATGAAGACGATACTAGTCTAGCTACCGTGGCGGTCCAGGCGTAAATACAGCATCTACCTACTGACGAACGCTTCACCGTGAACCTCGTGTGGTATACTGGATATTTAAAAATTATCGCGACAGTGCAAGTCTAAGAGCACGACATTTGCCGGTACAAGGCTGCTGAGCGCCAAAAAGTCGCTTCCTCGCCGAGTCGAGGGCAGGCCGTTAAACGCCCCCCGCTCTATGAAAGCCAAATCTTATATATTGGCGAAATTCACTTCTATGGAATACAATACTGCGGAGTATTTGGAGGGACTAGCCATGCCGCCGCGAAGAATACCATCAATAACGACAACCTCATCTGTTTAGCAATGAATCTGAGAGTTTTTACTCCGGACATAGCAGATTGTTCGAAACTTTGAAATACATCGAATGCTGTGCTAGCTTTGACTGTTAGGGTCTATGGTCTTCCTGTTGCGCTGTCAACGGGATATTTATTTCTCGATGCTCGTAATGGTCGCACTACCCTTAAGAATTCCGAATAATATAATGGTACGAATAGAAGCCCAAGTGTACGATAAACGTTCAAAATCCCACCATATTCTCCCAATATGCCTCGCGATGATTATTTAAGTTGGCTGCCTTCATTCTCGGTCCTTTTCATAGATGTCATACTCCATACGGATGCCCAGTTCCTCGTTTAATAATGTTGTGAGATTGGACCCGTCTCGGAGATAGATCCACTGCCCACCAATGTACTCTCTTGTGCCTTCTTTTTCGCCCATAGAATCACCTTGCACAACCCAGTCGTAGCGTTTTGGACCAGACACGGGGGAGCTTAGCCATATTTGTTTATTAGGAGGTTGCTTGTTGAGGACATATGTTCCAATGCTGGGGACGTTTACGTTAAGGACGCCAGCCTGCATAAAAATCAGTAATCACAATTGAATTTCGAGAGCACCATTTGCCCAGGGCATGAAACATTGAATCATATGTGGAGTCGCGTACACTGTATTCGGCTTCAGTCTCTGAGCCCTCTTCCTGAGCCTTTTCAAGTTCCATTAATAACACATTGAAATAATGTTCCGAATAGTCACGATACTGCTCATCCGTCAACGGTGAAGGCTCAACGACATGTGGTGATACTCCGGCGATATCGCTTGGTTCTGGGCTCGGCGGCGTAGGATCTGACGACTCTGGTGTAATGCCTTTAGGACGTACGGGTGTGCAGTGGAACGGGCGTGCGATTGGACGCTGATATGTGCGAGATGGGGGTATTCTGGGAATGGCACGAGGTAGGAATGGCGTCACGCTTGCGGTTGCGGAAGCTGGCAGGCTGCGAGAGAGGGAGCTGAGAGCTCTGTGGGAGTTTCGGGATAGCATTTGTGAGGGATTTGGTGAAATTTGTGATTTTGTTCGGAGTCTGTTGTAGAAAGGAATTGTTGGAGTTTGGTGTGAACTGGGTAGTTAGTTATGGTGTGGATTTGAGTTGCCGATCTTGGAAGAGACCTGGAGAGCTCCAACATTAAGCTTGAAACATCATCCAGACAACCCATCTGTGTTCGATTCTATTCGCTATCTACGCTCCCTAGCCTCAGGATCGACACTTACTCGGTATCCACAAGTATTCAACGTCATTTTGATATCCGTTTCACCTCTGCCAGCGACGGCACTTGGATTGCTTCATTTTGGAGGACATTCTAATATATTTGGCTTCGTGATGCAAGCTTGAGCCCGAGTATGACCCTACTCTAAACGAGAGGGTCAACATTGGATGCCGCAGCTTCTCTGCCGTATTTCTGGTAGGAGAGCACACGCTCACCGGCTACAGGTCGACTATCCCATCCACATGAGTGATAAGAAATACAAAGGCCATCATGGCCATGCCAAAAAGGAAAATACCAACAAAAGGCCCCCTCTGACCCATTTCCTTTGCTTTCCACTAGTTAATCAATCTTCTGCCACCCAGCTCGCAAGCTCGTTAAATGAATTCAAATCAAAAATCCCGCTCATAAGCCCCCCCGCTGCCAGCAGGGCAGAGGCTAGTGGGCATGTGGTGCGCGTGCCTCTTGTTCCCGATGATGCGATAAGGCCACTGGGCACTTTGCATCTAACCTTGGGTGTAATGAGTCTTGGAACGAGAGAGCGGCTCGAAGAAGCCCTGGGATTTCTTCAATCTCTAGATATCAACGGGTTGCTGCGAGAGGTGGAAACCGAAATGGTGTACACTGAGGATTCGGGGCGAGCTAGCATTATAGCATCTGATACCCCTTCACTGCCCCTGACGGTTGATTTGACTTCTTTAAAAGCCCTTCCAAATACCCGTTCTACGACAATTCTTCACGCACATCCGTTAGACACGACCTCCCGCCTTTATCCACTCGGTGTCAAACTTCGCAACAAATTTATAGAGGCGGGGTTTATGCACTGTGAAATGATCAAGGCCCCCAAGGGAACAAAATCTCATGGTATAAAAAGTGCCGGTGAACGCAGTGAACCGGGAGAGAACTTCCAAGAGAATACCCTTATACAAACCGAGTGCCCTGGATCGCAAAAGCAAGAAGGCTTGATTCCAAGGCCTTTACTTCTTCATGCCACAGTTGCCAATACTATCTATGTCAAAGGCCGCCGGAATCAACAATCAAGAGGCAAAAGGGGAGAACAATACAAATTTAACTCAGCCGAATTGCTTGCCGTGTTTGGAGATCCACCCTCCCACTCTCGAGGGGACTCCCTACACCAGGAAGACTCTCAAAATGAACTACACGACACAAAACAGCCGTTCGTCTGGGCAAATGATATTGTCATCGATCGGGTATGTATCTGTGAAATGGGGGCAAAGCCTGTTCTTGATGACCCGACAAAAGGAGGCCCTACTTTGGGTCAGGCTTACATACCTGTTGGAGAAAAATATTTTTTGGAAAGCTGAATTAGACAAACGATATAATTATGTGACAACTAAGCAAGTTGAAATAACTAGCTATTTACGATTGATGATGACTACCTATGCAAAAGTCTCAAAATATTGCATCGTGACAGATCTTTTAAAAAATCTATCTAAAATATGCGCAGCACTGGCCAAACAATGCACCGACTGATCTCCAACCCAGGAATCTAACAATTACAGCCCACAAAAACGATAACCTTACTAAAAAAGGCCTATCCTGTATACTCCAAACTCCACATTATACACTCGCCGTGGGCTGCGACCATGGAAAAATGCCGTCACCTCACTCGTCCCATAATTGTCTCGGGGCCTGGCTCGATTGACAATTCCGCAGCTTTGGCTTTAACAGCCCCAACCATGGACCTCTCGAAATCGTCTCTAGACCTCAGTACCGCTTCTACCCATGAGAGTTGTAGATCCCAGTACTCGGTCTTGAACCCTTCGTACACGTTGACCACCTCCGCCTTGTCAGCTTCGAGTAACCGTACAAGCCAATCAACCAATCTCCACCGATCTTTGATTGTAGTTGCAAAACTCTCTGGGTATTCTTTGAAAAATGCAAAGATAGTGAGGATATCGTCTTTGAATTTTTCCGTGAACGGATCTTGTCTTCGGAATTTCGCGCCACGGTTGCGAACGCATTGAAGATAGTGTACGAGAAGTTCGTCGGATAATTCCTCAACAAGGATGTCACGGAGGGAAGGATGTAGCACAGCAAGGTAGTCTGACGTATAGTCCTCAAATGTAGATATCATGCGTTTCATGGCGAATTCGTTGTACCATTTCGGCGTGAAGAATTCGGGAAGTGTTGTCTTGAAATCAACGGTAAACACAAGATCAATGAATAATGTGATACAGTGGGTACTAAAGTCAACGTAGCCGTTTCGCAAGACGTTAAGCTCCATGTCTGCACGAGTGGCGAGATATTTCTCAGTGACCAATGTATCAAAATCGCGCCGAAAGCGAGTGACATAGCTAATTTGGCCTGAGACATCATTATCATCAATGCACGCAATTTGGTCATTTGCAACAGCAATGAGCCAGTCCTGCAGTTGCTGAAATCCTTTGTTTTCCGAAGCCATTTCCGCATTAGGAGATTTATACTTGGCACATTCTTCGTCAATCATTGTTTGCCATATGGACTGCCGGGATTTCAGAGCACGAAACATTGCATCGACCACTCCTTCTGCGACGTCAGTTCGTTGCGAAGCGCCAGCAGCTAGAAGCTGCTCGTGTAGCATACGCCACATGTCGCCAAGAGTTTTTATACGGAAATATCCATCAGGGGTAGTGTCAAGAGCGTCAATGTCTCGCTCAAGAAAAGCCTTTTTATCCGCAGTAAACATTCTTTCCATCCATTCATTCAATGCTTTGATGATCAAATTTCGCCAATCCCGAACCAGTTCCCCTTCTCGGTCATCAATAACGTTTGGAACAAGATCAGATTGGTTCCAACCAAGTTTGGCCATTTTTGCGTAATACTTATCGCTCCAGTGGATGATTGCCAGCATATTCGCAGCCGCAAGTTGATCATCATCAACGAATTGAATGAGCCAGTCATGCATCATTTTGTGGTATATATCAGTATAAGTTTTGAAAATTTTCCATTTCTTGGGAACAAGCGATTGCATTCCTTCCCTCACAGTGAATAAATCATTGAAAAACCACTTAAAACTCTTTTCAAGTTTGTCTGGATCGTCCAAGAAGGCCTCCTTAGTTGTGTCAAACTGACCCTGTGCGTAAAATTCAATGGCCTTTAGGAAATTCTTCTTATATCCTCTGATCGTTTTTGGGCCAATATTCATGGACTTGAATCGGCCGGCTAAATATTCATGGTCTTTTTGGGCATCTTGTAATGCCTGGACCTTTGCATCGTTTTTCTCTTCGCTGGCAATAACCACGGCAAGTCTAACCACCATGCTTCGATTGTCCGATTGAACAAGTGGAATAATATTCATACATGCCGTTCCTAGGTGGTCATCGAACCAATCAATAACAGGATCCAGTCCCTGAAACCATTCAAGTAATGTTGATTCGCTACTCTTGTCCTCAGATTTTGAGATCTGATCCATAGCTTCATCCCGAAAATCCCTCAGCCGTGTGATCACCATGTGGGCGTTCAGCAGATTCGGCTGATTCTCCAAATCCTCATCGTCCTCTCTTAGCATATTTTCCACTCCTGATAATTCATTATGAAAGCTCTCCAGCCCTTGTTTCATCATTATTGTCGCTTCAAAATTCCGATGTATCCGGGCCAATTTATCGATTTGTGCAAAGTCGCCAACAGCAGCTTTGGACTCGGCGCAAAGTCTATCCACGGTTCGTAATTCTTCTTTGGCTTTGAGAACCTGTCTCTGACCTTCCTTCAATTGATTCAGACTTCGCTGAACAGTTTCGAGTTGTTCCCGTAGACCATCTCTAAGCTGAGAATCTACAGCAGCTTTCTTCCTAGAGTACTCCGCCTTTAACGCAGGAATTTTATCCAAATCTTCCGGGTGGCGTAGAAGGTCTTCCAGCCTAGGGAGCGCGAGGCCACCGTCTTCCTTGGTCTGGCCAACCATTGGCTTGTAAAATCGAGACACCATTTTGGGAGCTGGCGGAGCTAGTATAGGATGGGGAGGGGGACTGAAAATGCGATCGAATATGGAAGCATTGGTAGAGGAAGCTACGGTATCTGGCGAGGACCAAACGGAAGCGGTGTCCGATTTCTCTAACGGCGTTGGCTCTGGCTCGGTTATCTCATCTGTACGGGTTTGCACGGAAGAACGAGATGCTTCAACACTAGAACAAGAACTATACGACGAACTGGTTTCGCTGCGGTGTGTTATCGGCTCGGGTTTCTCAGTAATGGTCCCGAATCTCAACAGTGCTTTGGGCCGTACGGACTTGGTCAGGTACCGTGTTAGCGAAAATTTCGACGTATAAGTAGAACCTGAAGGTTTCGTCGGACTCGATTGGTCTTCTGCACCTGCGATAGCCTCGAGGTATTTGGTTGTTGCTGTGCTTGATTCATCAGACTTGACCTCAGTCGTCGATCGTATAGAGTCAACAACACTTGGAGCGAGATAGTCCTGCTTCTTGGCGGACAGGGAGACAGGGTCTTTAGCCCGCCCACGCTTGCTGAATGTTCGCTGAAGCCTGCCGGGCGCGCGAAAAGACCGCTTTTTGCCCTCCGGCTCTGGATTCGCGGCGTCGACGTCGTTCTGCTGTTTCTCGAAGGCCGCTCGTCGCTGCGCCACAGACACGGTGCCTGGCAGGAGGCTCCGCCGGCGGGGCTTGGCCGTATTAGTCATCGAGGAGTGGCTTCCTCGGCTAAATAGATATTCCGGGTAATTGAATTTCTTTCTAACTTCAGAATGCGAGGACGCCGACGAAGAGAAAAGGTGCCGGGAGAAGAGAGGAAGGCTTGTTGAAAGAGTCGTATTACTCGAGCCTCGGATAGGTGACTAGACTGCCAGAATTGCGAAACCAACCTGCCCTCCTGCCCGTTGATCCACGTCACACAGCACTCTGGTTGGAAGAGAAACAAACTATTGCAGAGGAACTCGGCAGCGATATCAGAAGAGGGGGAGGTCAAAAGGAGGCAGTTTGTCAGGCAAAAAAGAAAAGTAACAACATTGAACTTTGTTTTCACTGGCTGCGAAGGTTACTGGCTGCTATTTGCAGAGTTCCAAGCACATCTGGGGTGCATAATTGAGATCCGCGTCAACAAACCTCACAAAGACACAAAAAGACAAATTAACATTGTGCAAAGAAAGGAAAGGAAGTCTCTGGCTACACAAGCACGTTATCAGAGTACCTACTGGACACGTGCTTGTCCACCAGCTCCTCCGTCGCAACAACACAACTCTCACTTCCCAACACACAAAGGACCTCTGAACTGACCACAAAACCGACACTCCACATCCGTCCTGCCCCTCCCGATCTCGAAACCAGACAATATGACATACTTCCGCATCACCCTCCTCCGCTCCGCCATCGGCCTCCCGCGCCGCACCACCGGTGTTCTCAAAGCCCTTGGTCTAAAAAAACGTATGAACACCGTCTTCTACCCCGTTTCAAAGGACGTTGCCGGCCAGATCATGAAAGTCAAAGAACTGGTTGCCGTACAAGAGGTTGATCAGCCGCTGACCAAGGCGGAGCTGCATTTGGCGCGCAAGCCGGATCCGGGATATTACATGGAGAAAAGGGGGGCGGAAATGTGGAAGGAGAGAAGGGAGCTGTGATGGTGAAAGTGGGGTGAAAATAAATTCCTTTTGACAGGTGATTTTCAGGGGAATTGAAAATTACACATGAGATTCTCCCTATACTGTTGCGGGGCCGGCATAAGGGATAGTTAGGGGTTTGTGGCGTCGATAAAGGGGCGGCACTCACAGTGCGCTTCTACTCCGTACTCCGTGCCTCCTGGTACTCGAAGACGGAGAACGCGCGGTAGAACTCCGTATGGTCGCAGAGGATGAGAGTAATCTCTGAAGGTGCCACAAGGCGGAGCGCACCTTTTGAATATATGCCCTATGTGTTATTGTATAATACTTTGAGAGTCACACTTTTTTTGGAATATATTGTATTTTAGTTCTTTTTCCTTCTTGCTACGGAGTACATGACTTAGGTATGAAAAGCCCGTCGGTTCATCACGCAAGTTCAGAGACGAAATAAAAATACATGAATTCCAAGAGAACTAGGACTAGGATAGTTATAACGCCCACCACAATGCATCCAATCTATTATACGCCCCAATCCTCATCCAATTTCACCAGAGCACATTGGCGCGAGACCATAACTTTGGCAGCAAAAAACAATAGACTCACATCCGTTTTAGGTGTGGTAGAGTGTATCCAGGAAGCCCTCTGCAAGACGGCTCACGATGCTCTTATCCGGGATGCTTCCCGCAACACCATATAGAGCGGAGGTATCGCCCCGCACCTTTTCTATCTTCTGGCCCAAGCGTTTCCGCTCGTTGATCTTTTCACGCTGAGCAGTAACAAGTCCAAGTAGATCAGCGGTAAGCTGATCAATAGCATTAGCCGTGGGCAGGGTGAACGCGACATGCATAGCGGCAGGGTTCTGAAGAGCATTAAGATGCCATCCTTTAGCTGACATAGCATCCGCGATATCATAAATATCAATTTCCGTTGTGGCAGTTGCAAAGCTAACCACACTAACCATCGGCTGGCCGATGACCTTGAGTTCGCGTGAGAAAACAGGGTCTTCGCGAAGCGATCGTTCGAACTTCTTAGCAGCACCAACAATCTGTAGGCAGCTTTCTTTGTAACCCGATTCACCTATGGCCATCAAACTCGTCCAGCAGCCGGCGATCAACGCACCCGGACGCGATCCTGCAATAGATGGAGATGCATAAACGCCACCAGACCATTCTGGAAGGATGAAATATTGATAACTCCGCAAAGTTCGGTTGCGATACAACACCACAGAGTTTCCCTTTGGAGCAAAACCATATTTGTGTGTATCAACACTAATACTCGTCACTCCTGGAAGGCGGAAGTCAAACCCACCCTGCTCTTCATATGGGGAAGGGAAGCCTGATTTCTTCAAAAATGCAATCACAAATGATCCTAGACAGCAGTCAACATGCAAGGGTATCTTATATGAGACGGCCAGGCGAGACAGTGCGGGTATATCATCAACAATTCCATGAGGAAAGTTAGGTGCTGATCCAACCAAAAGAATAGTGTTAGGATTGATCAAGCGGCGGACAGATGGGATATGAACGGTGAAATTTGGGCCAGGGCAAGCAACTGAATGGAGTTTAATGCGGAAGTACTGCGCTGCCTTATTAAAGGCGGCGTGGGCAGTATTCGGAATGATCCTGCGGGGGAGACAGTCAGTTGACGGTGCCGATGCTGAGTAGTTATAACAGCTTACATCTCAGGTTCAGTGACGCCTCGCTCAGTAAAGGCCTTCTGACGAGCAGATAAACAAGCCATAAGAATGGATTCTGTTCCACCACTCGTTGTGACGCCAGCACCACCCTCTGGTGCATTAAACAATGCAAGCACCTAATTTTTATAAGTAATGATCTGTAAAAAAGGTGGACGAAGCTCACCATTGCGACAACTTCGGCCTCCATTTTTCTGACACCAGGAAAAACGTCCGGATGAATGGGATTAGCGACGGCAAACTGTCCCCAAGCACATGTTTGAAGCTCCAACAAGTCTTCGCCGCCATGGTACACAGCACCGCTAACCCGTCCGTCTTCCCACCTAGTATGCTCCATTCCTGCTAGTTTGTTTAGCTCAGCATGGATCTGTTGAGAGGTCCATCCCTGCTTTGGAAGAGCATTGTATTTGGTAATCCCAGGTCCCTGGGGAGCGAGCTTTGCCTCGAGTTTGGTGAGTGCAGTTGAAACTTGCTTGTCGACTTGGCCACGGACGCCGGGGGCGCGCAAAACCATCGAGACGACGTATAGCTCGATTTTTTTGTAGAGATTACAGACAGTACCAATGACCCCATGCCCACGGATGGTATAGAAGGATCGTCGAGTCAAACGGAGCATGAAGAAGAGGAAGATGATGTTGCGTAGGCTGGTGGGTGGAACCGGAAGAAGCGGAAAATTAGCACGGGATAAGGGAGGTCCATGAGAGGAGCTTACATGTCGAAGTTTGAGGAGGTCAAGAGCGCACTCGAGGAGGACCTCGAGACGGCTAGAATCCTGCCCACAGAGGTTGGGAGGTTTGAAAGTGTCATGCTGGAGGGGAGACAAAAGGCGAAGAGGGATAAAGAGGTCGCGCAGGCTCTGCGGATAGGGAGAGAGAGATTGGCTGCAAACTAGAATGCCAGGGCGAGCAGTGGGCTAAATAAATAATAAGAATACAAGGGCGCTTGCGTCCCAAAAAAAAAAGCTCCAAAGTCCAGAAGGTGGAAGCCGAGCCGAATTCTGGTGATGCAACCGCGTGGGGCAAGCTACGTCCAGCGGGCGGCCAGAAGGCTTGTACCTCTCCAGCAGAAGGTACGGGCGGAACGTATGGGGCGCCCCGCCGTTTCCATGTAACCTCAGATAGCTGGGGACAAGCACGCACAGAGCCAGCCCAGACTGGTTCTCTGCAGAAAAGGCGCCGCAAGACTTACTCACTCGGGCTAATTAGCTGCAGAAGTGCAGGGCGGGTTCGGCATCCTGTGAGCACACATGTGATAGTCGAAGCAATGCGTTTTGGGGAGAGGACCCAGCCAAAATATCCTGCTGCCTGGAGTGGGCAGCCCATTCTGACTACGCCATTCCTTTGGGCTACAAAGAAGCGACTTTGGAGCTCACTCCTACTACTGTTCGGCCTACAAAAAACAGCCGCCCGTATTCGGATAGCGGGCGGCGTATTCGTACTTAGCCGGGTGTGGGCCGGGATTAGCTCCACGCTCACGCCATGCAGCTGACGGTCGCGGGGAGGAGCAGCAAGTTCAATAAGTAGAGAATAGTTGTCAATGAGAATGATCCCGGCCAAGTTTGCCTAAAACCAAGGAACAAAACCGCTAGAAAAGAGCCACAAATAGAACCTAGGAGTACATGAGAAAAAAAGAACCGTAACCATCTAGTAAGAGCCCAATCTATCAAGTGTCATTACAATAAGGAAACCTGACGTCATAAATTGGCCGGCGCATTTAGCCGGTGACTTTGTAGATGGACTCTGCAAGTCGCTTGACGTTGCCTGTGGTGATGCCGGCGACGGAGATACGGCCATCCTTGGTGGCATAAACGGAGTGCTGGACGGACGCTGTCAGACAGTGTTCATGTCAAAGAGAAGAGGGGCATACTGACCTCCTTGGTTAATTTTTCCATCTGCTCGGGGTTGAGACCAGTGTAGGCGAACATGCCGATCTACAATCTCTTTAGCAGCTGATATTTTATTCCTAATAGAGTCACGCCAAGAAAAATATACCTGGTTGGTAATATGACTCCAGTCATGCTTGCTTCCCAATGCCTCAAGGTTCTTCTTGAGAAGAGCTCTCATTTCGATGATACGGTCGGCCATACCCTTAAGATCGCCAAGCCACTGCTGGTTCAAGGTGGCATCGTTCATGATTGTGGAAGCGATACGGGCGCCGTGAATGGGGGGGTTGGAGTACAGAGGGCGAACAAGAATCTTGATCTGGGAATCAACACGCTGCTTCTCCTCAGCCGACTCGCAGACAACAGAGAAAGCGCCAACACGTTCACCGTAGAGGCCCTACATACAAGCTCAAGTCAACGCCACAACGTTCATGTATTAGCATTGGCAAAGCTTACCATGTTTTTCGCAAAGCTTTGGGACAAGACAACAGGCTGGCCTTGCTGGACAAAGTGGCGCAAAGCAAAAGCGTCGCGGTTGATGTCTCCACTTGCGAAGCCCTGATACGCCATATCGAAGAAAGCCAAATGGCCCTTCTCCTTCATAATCTCAGCGATCTGAGTCCACTGCTTCTGGGTGGGATCAACTCCAGTTGGGTTGTGGGCACAAGCATGGAGCAAGAAAACGCTGTTCGCAGGGGCGGCCTTCAAGTCAGCAACGAAGCCCTCGAAGTCAAGGCCAATTGTGTCCTTGTTGTAATATCTGTATTTCTCGACCTTGAGTCCGGAATCTTTGAAAATAGCGGAATGGTTGGCCCAGCTGGGGTTGGGAATGTAAATGGCCTTTGCATGGGGGTAGAATCGTTCCAAGAAAGCGCCTCCTATTCTCAGGGCACCGGTGCCCGAAATGGACTGTGTGATGGCAATGCGCCCTTCCTTGACGGCGGCGCTGTTGGCTCCATAAGCAAGCTCCGAAGAGGCCTTGATGAAAGAAGGAACACCAGTGATCCCAGCATACTCCTTATCCAGCTTCGAGTTGACAATCTTAGCTTCGGCAGCTCTGACGGAAGGGAGGACGTATGGCTTTCCTTGGTCGTCGCCTGCGATTAGGTAAAACCAATTGTTAGCAATTATTGTTATTGTTGGGCACGGGCGCAGCTGTGGGTCTAACAACGTACGATAAGCACCGACACCGAGGTTGATCTTCTCGTTGAAAGTATCAGCTTTGAAAGCTTCTGTGATGCCCAAAATGCCGTCCTTTGAAGCTCGATTGTTAGCCATTGGACCTCTACCGAGCTGGACACGCCGCAGAATGGTCATACTGGAGGTCCCTGGGGCACATTGGCCCAGGTGGAGGCTTGTCGGTAAGCAAGAATGCGCACGCCGGTTTCCTTCACCGCAACAGTGCGGCTGGCAATTCTCAGAGTTGACAGCATCGTGAACGAATACTTTTGAAAAATAATCACAGAGAACAGCAATGACCAGCAAAAGACAAAAGGAGGAGGCAGGCGAACGGCGACAAAGGGAGCGCAGCCGGGTTGTTGGATGAAGGTGTCCTGATCAAAAATTCTGCGGAGAGAAGACACAACAACTCCGGCGCAGCTCCACAGCGCGGTATTATTCGGCGCCTGGCTGTCCGGTACCGTAGCGCCGTGGGCCTGGGCGGCCAATCGGGTGGCGCGCTCGCCCGTGCGCGGTTTGGGCGCGCTGCAAACAGAGCAAACCGGCGTTCAGGCGTGTTTACGCGCGGCGATCGAGCAGCTCGCGCCGCGGGCAAGCCGAGGATCGGAGGCGGGCGAGCTTGGGGGGGAGGGGGGGGGTGTGCGCGAACCTGAGAAGAAGCGGTGCAATTGAAGCCTCAGTTCCCATCGCTATGTCGAGCTCGCTACGGTGCAATACGAGACGAGGCGTGATATTCCAGCCGTGATTAACCCGTGTATTTCGTAAAAAAACTACCTCACGCCTCGCCAAATGCAGGCATCTATGTATAGAGACTATGATACAAAGCAAAGCCAGTGCTCATGCAAGCCGGACTCCAGCCTGCCTCGTCCGTCGCGCCGTAGCACCCATGGCATTGTTCATGCCCGTATTCTGGCTGCTGTCCAACGTGCTCATGGCCTCCCGTTTCTTCTCATCCTCGATCTTCTTCAGGTGCTTCTCCGTCTTCATCTTGCCGCTACCCTTGCCGTGGAATTGATGGCTCAGATGCTTGAAGGCTTCTTTCTGGTTCATCAATCGGCCATGGTCATCCACGTACTTCAGCTGCACATCTGGTTTGTATTCGCGATTGAACACGTCCGCCATCGACCGAGACTCCTGCTGGTCACGCTGCTTGTTCTCCCACCTTGCATACTCCTCTCGGTCGCGTGCAGACATGCGATCGAGTTTTCCGGAAGTACGGTCTCGCTCGCGCTGCGCTCGAGCACGCTTCTCGGCCTCTGTCTCGCGCCGCCGCTTCTCAAGGAGGAATTTCTGTCGATCACGTTGAAGAGAATTGAGGCCACTGGCATTGGACTCCTTAACCAGACCACGTTGCCTTAGCATGGCAAGTGTGGCACCTAGGCCTTGGTCAAGAGTGCTTTCCTCCTCTAATCCTGTAGCGGTCATATCAGGCTGCGTTTGCTCACGTTTGAGCCGCTCCTTCAAGTCCTCCTCATCTTCAATATCATTATATGATTGCTCCATATCCACATCCTCCGCCTCTTCTTTCACTCCTAACGACGGTGATTTGGTCTCGTCTTCCGGTGCTGCGCTGACGGATCTATGACGACGTTCCAAAATAATCGGCCGTTGTAGGTTAGCAACAAATTCAGATGTCTCATCGATGATGAGCCCAGGTTCGTCATCATCTGGTCGATCCACCTCCATTTCATTCAACGCTTGTTCAGATTCCTCTCTCATTTGCCGAGCAACATCCTCCGGCCGCATTTTCTTCCGTTTTTTAAAGGCTGCCCGTCTTTGAACTGCTAGTGAAGCTTGTAAATCTTCATCATCTACGAATGATATATCTTCAAGAGGCCTCTTTTGAACACCGGGGTGGGGCTCCTGGTTCTTTTTTACACCGTCAATTTCCATTTGATCTCCATTAGGTTGGCTATCAGTAGGAGCCGCAGTAGCATCCGCGGCAGGAAATATATCTTCGTCTTCAAGTGCTTTTCTCCGGGTACTTTTTGCCTTTTTCTTTTTGGGCTTCTTTATTTTGATTTCAGAAATATCAAGATAATCCGACGGTGTGGTAGCCTCTTGCATTGTATCAAGGGTTATCGCTGTAGCTTTTAATTTTGATGCTACGCTCTGCCTTTGGGCTTCTCGTTCTTCAGGGGAAATATCTTTGACGTCCAGGGTAAAGTGACTCCGCTTCTTTCCGTCAATCTCTTCATCATACTGGGCCAAGATCGATCTTGACCCGTCGTAATCATTAGGGTCATAAGCAGTCTTCTTCTTCTTCAGCTCAATCCTCTCTTTCGTTTTCTCTGAGTCCCTCAAATTGATATTCTCCAGTTCATCACCTTCCTCTTCATCCTCATCAATATTTGTATCCTTCAGGGTGAGAATCTGCTCAGCCTCATCAAATTGACCAATCTCGTGTGCCACCTTCACACCAGCAAGATCTTTCGAGGTATACTCAGCCACCATCTCCCTCTCGGCCAGTTCCTCTGCTAGCTTCCGGGCCCGCGCCTTCTCGATCTTCTTCTGCTTTTTCTTGTGTTGCATCAACCATGATTTTGTATCCAAGCTCGCATCATCTGCTTCTCCCAGGCCTTTACCTTCCAACTTCGTTATACGCTGCGCAGCTTCACGGGCCCGTCTTATGGCATCATTTCTAGCCTGGCGTTTCTTCTTCGCATCCTCGTCATCTTGTAATCTTTTCCAATTATCGTATCCCTGAGCTATGCGGGATTCAAGTGTACTTCCTGGTTCATCATCTGCAGAGCTAGGCTCGCCATCGCCTTTGGCTTGCTTAAAAACAGGTCCCTCGCGATCTTCCGAGGCGCCGGGAACAGGGAGCGGTTTCAGGCCAAGCGCAACTCGAATTTTATTATTCTGTTCAATGGATAGCGCGTCTGCCATTTTGTTATAGATGCCACAAAAGCCAGCAGCTAGCGGTTAATTTCAGAACATCTGCGAGTGGCGCTTGGTATGCCTCTGCATTCTGACGGCGGTGCCATAATATGCTTAGTCAGCGTAACATAGTTTTTCCATATCCGACTCTCTATAAAATTTGAAAATTTATTCAAATCTTCTTCCTGTTAGCAAGACGCCGAGTTTGGAATTTTTTCTGAATGTCTTAAGTGGATCTGTGTCCAGTAGTCCTGTTCCAGCCGGACTGTTATCTTCGGATGCAGTCTCGAGCTGTGTTTCGGTTGATTCTGGACAGCTCGACGAGTCATGGAGCCATCACTTTATGATGTCAATTTCCGGTCGACAGATCTCACAGTGAGATACAGCACTCAGGAGTTCACTCTGCCTTGAGCTCCCTCTGGTGAGCTCGGTGAGATGCCCTGAGCTCTGAAGGCGCCATATTCCACCTCCCTTTACCGATCTATCCCTTTATGGGGTGAGGCCGTTGGCTGATGAGGTTAGGGAAAAACCATGGCAGCCAACATATCTTCTTTCTTTTTTGTTGTTATGATAGTTGTGCGAATGATCTCGATGTCTTGTGCCTTCAACTGAATCTTTTTTAAACAACAATATCTATGCTTTCTAAATACAATATGCTACCCGTGAAGTAGAGGATGTCAATGAATGAACCAATTCCCATGGGAAAATTCTTCAAACTCCGTAGAACGCCCACATACGCATCGTCAGAGCAATTTTAGATGCCCCGTTACTTTGTCCACGACACTCTTAGGGCCTAACACTCCGAGCACTGTCCGACTGCCGCGGGCAATCTGCGTCCGACCAGCATCCTGTATTACGCGGGCACACAATCCCAGACTGAGCGCCTGTGCCTGCAGCAATAGCATGTCTTCCTCGCTCTTAACTTGGAGAGCGATCTTGGCCTGGCCGCCTCTTTCCCAACGCTTAAGAATGGGAGAGTTCGGAGAGTTGACTAGGTAATGTTTGTAGCATGCGAGTGTAGCATGGGAGCATTGGGCGGCGATTTTTCCTATGACAAACTCACAGAATATTAGTACTTCTAGTGCGAGAAGTGTAGAGGGGCACTCATTTTGACTTAGGCATCCAGGGCCAGAATGTTTTTTGGCAATAGAATTGGGGTCCTAAGCCACGCACCTTTACTCATTCCCAAGTCTGTTCTTACCGCGAGTACGAGCTTTACCTCCTCTGTATTTCCTTCAAAGGTCGCAAGCTCCCCTCCCTCATCCTCACTGTCCTCTTCCTCTTCCTCCTCGCTGTCATTGTGTTTATCGTTCTTCAAGGACGACGAAGCCGCCGATTTTGAGGATCCAAAAAGGCCTATGGAAGCACCCTGGCCAATAAAATATCCTGCAACACCCGCTAGAATCGCTGTGGCGACAACAATAGCCGTCGTGGTCGGCGGGGGACGCTCCATTGGTGAGAGAGACGGTGAGTCCATGAGATTGGGCTGACGTGATACGGCGCGTTGATATGTTCGGCTGCCGCGACTGTCGCAAGATTTAAGTTTTGAAAGAAGGTTGTCTTGTGGCAAATGGTGAATAGATCTAGAGCTCCAAGCTTGAAACGGGGATTTTCAAGTCGACATTACACCTCAATTAGAAGACACGAATAACTCCATTGCAGCTAATATATAACAAATACATACAAGAAACTACAGGCCAAATCCAACCCCGTCCGATTAGTGTCATCAACAAAATATACGATCGTCCATAGAGATCCTCATTATTTACTACTATCCGCAAAGCATTTCAAAGTCATCGAAAACCCAGGACCGTCAACACCAAATTTTAGTTTTAGTTTGGACCAGCCGCCCGTGGGGCAGCACCAGCAGCCGATCCCCGCTGCTGCTGTGGAGGTGGAGCAAAGCGGCGGCTCCTACAAGAAATTTTTATTAGATTGCTTCCCTAAAAACGGCGTGATTCCAACTGTTAGGACTTACATAAACGAGCGGCTGAGAAAACTGACACCGAGCATCATTGCCCAGCTCGGAATCTGGCTAAAGCCGTGAATAACGTAGCCAAATGGAAGTCCAAGGCCATACTGGGCAAGCAAGCCGTCAATCGGGTGGAAAATACCCTCATTGGCTGGCGCCGTCTCCCAGAGCTTCTCAGAGTGAACCTTGTAGATATATTCCGGTGTGACGGTAGTAACATTCAAGCGAACCGTATGGATCGGAGTAGCGGGCTTTGGCTGATCCGGCTCTGCGGCAACGGGGATTTGGAAATGCCATAATGATGGCGGACTAGCGGACCAGATCGAGCAAAGCAAATTTTGCTTCTCACAATCAAGGAAGCCAAGGGAAGGTGAGTCGAGATCCGGAGCAAAGAGTGGGATCGATTCCTAAGTATTTGATGTTTTAGAAAAAAAGTTTCATCTGAAAAAAGGGGCCACAACACACCTTCCATGCTTTGTCTGCCTCTCCACAATGCCCATAACACGTCTTATTGCCCCCAGTGACATAAACCAGCCACTCTCGCGCTTCTTTTGACGCGTCAGCTGTGACGGGGGCGAGCAGCGACTCCCAGTTCTCCAACGTTACCGAAGCTACATTCTTCTTTCTCTTCGGTACGACTGGGGGAGGCGCCTTTGATGGCTGAGGAGGCTCAACAACAGGTACAGCAGTCGGAAGAAAGGATTTCGCTTTCTCTATTAACCCCTGTAGCTGCTCTGCAAACGGAAACTGGTTTTGGGCTGCGACGAGCGCAGGAAGTAAGACGAGGGTAGTCGAGAGACGCATTTTGAAAGTCTCTAGTTTTCGGAAAGGTAGCTCCCGGGCAAAGTTCTCGTTTGCGGATGGGCGTATTTGGGAGAGAAAAGGCTAGAGCGCAGCTCGACGGGCAACGGACATGGGCAACAGGTGGGCTGGAGAGGGCGATGAGGAATAAACATGCAGACGCGAAGACTTGCCGACAACTTTCGGGCTGCAGGGAGCTGGGCCGCCCGCTAGCCCATAATAGGCCTAGCCAGTGCTCTGCCAAGGGACGGACATGCCACCTTCGCGTTGAGACGTTGAAACTTCATAACACAGCTCAACCACGCGCACCTTGAGGCTTCATTCTTTTCTATATTCTGGGGGTAGGAAAACTGTCGACCTCCTAAACACAGCTGTACTATGCCTAATTTTTACTGGTTGGCTGAATGAACCATTCAACCTCGTTGGGTTTCTAGAGAATGTTCTAGAACCCTTCCCGACCGTTGGGCCATTGCGGAATGGAAATTGAGAACCAAGTACTCTTTTATCTACGCTTTTAAAATATCTGTCATACAAGGCGTTCCTAAACTCCAGAGTACATCTCCACTTTGCCACTGCCTTATTGTTACAACCAAAACAAGTTTGCACCATTTTGTGGTCTTTTCTCCAGCCTACCCATTTCACAGTGGTTAATTGAAATGGATCGCATAAAGAAATTAACCCCTTCAAAAGGCTTCTGCACCATTCAAGCTTGAATGCAACCTGTTGCGTCCTGGGAGACACCCGTCTCAGTCATGAGACAATACTGGTTCCTAATTTATGCTATACCTGACCTAAAACGCCAAATCGCCATATCCCTTCATTTACGGAGTATACAGCACCTACGGTAAAGGCCCGTTTACATTAATTTTGATTCCGCTTACCACTCAATACGTCCCTTAACCACTCTTTCACCGTCCTTGGTTGCTGGTAGGTTGCCGGATCAAAAAGTGGTTTGTGCTCCTCATGGATGTTATGGTCATCCTCATAATCTACGTGCACAAACGCTCGTTCAACAGCTGCAAGGCCCTCCAGTTTTCGCTGCAGAGCCTGACTGATGTCGTGTGAGTCCTTCAGCTGGGTGGTAGGATCCATGATGATATCTACTTCCACGTAGTAGAGTTCCCCCGCATGATATGCTCGGCACTGAAAAATAACATTTGATGTTAGTTGCACGGAGTTGGTGGGGCTGTCCCAGCGGTCGGAACAGGGGTCGTATGGGAAAGGGAGATAAGCAGAAAGACTTACAGTATCTACCTTCTGGATACGGCTGTCATGGGTGAGCGCAACGTAGATGCATTTGTTGACGAATTCCCGTGGTGCTGCCTTGCCAACCAAGAGCCAAACGTTCTCAAAAGCCGTGGAAACCCAGGAGAAAAGGATGAGAAGGGCAATACAAATGGCACCGATGGGATCGAGGTACCAAACGAATCGATTGCCAACGACGGACATTATCAAGCCGAAAATATTAACAGCCAAGTCGTTTCGATGATCGATAAAGAAGATCCGCGCGGCGGGGTATCTCCGGAGCCAAAAGCAATAACAGAAAAGGCAGAATTTAGAGAAAATAGCAACGCCTACGAAGATCAACGGGATGAGATGCAATTCGTCACCAGATTCTGACCGCCGGGCGCCAAGGGCTCGGCCTGATTCGATGATCAATTGGATAGCAACAGTCGTCATTAACGCGCAGAAGAGAATGATGCCGACCGTTTCGATCCGACGCCGACCAACCGGATACTTGTGGGGCTTTGGGCGAGCCGCCATTCGCGACGTAATCAACATCACAATCGATGAGACAAGGTCCATGAACGCGTCCGCTGCTGTCGCAAACAGCGACAAGGACCCGGTCGAAATGGCCGCATACATTTGGATGATAAACAAACAGAAGTTTACCATGAAACTCAGATTCACGGCCCACTTGACCTTTGCTCCATTCTTTTGGAAATCTTGTGCAGCCAAACTTTCTTCATCGTTACTTTGGAGGAATTGATCGATGAGGGCATTCTGTCGAGTATAGTACTTGTGGATCTTTCTATGATTACCAGTCGGGTAAGTGGCCTTGATCGAAGATCGAGATAGCATGGTCTTCTTGTGCTGGCCTAAGCTTAAAGGATCTTGGGCATTGGCATCCGATGTTGTATTGGGATGAGGATCGACTGCGGTAATCAGATCATCGCCGTGGTTTGCTTCGTTTGAACACGGAGCGTTATTCCGAGAAGCACCGTCCGTAACAACATGCTGATCGGTGTCTTGGGCTTGGGTTTGGGAAGCCATAGTCAATGGGCCAATCCCCCACGAAGGTATTAGTGCTTGGCAGGTATCACGGAGCGAGTACTCTGTATGATCAATGCTTCATGAAAGGATCTAGTGGAAATCTGAAGGTCAACGAGAAGCAGCCCAGGCATCAAAAGTAGCTAGGATGAATGGCAGGAGGAAGACGCAGAGGAGCAAAGCATGGCGATTATAAGTTGCAGCGTCGCCCTTTTCCCGTTTGGTGCGGCATCGGCGTCACGGGCTTCGGTGAGGCAGTGCATACCGGGTGGCCGACGCTGACCGCCAGACCCGAGTCCCCTCACATTTTCCACGCTGCTTGCTCGCCTGAAACCTTCAATGCTTTAGCCAGCGTCTGGGGGATGTGCAGGCGAGCCGTGCCAAGGAAGCCGGCGGTTGCGGCGGTCCAGCCCGATCTCCACGCCCAGCCTCCGCGCTTCATGCGTGCAACAGAATCTCAAACTGCCTGGTCAGCATCCATGCTGTTAATGGGTCGCGGCTTGCCCTTGTTTAGTCTTGACTCAGGCCGCTAGCGACGTAACTTTAAGTTCCGAGATTCGGATCCAGGACGAAACCGCCCCTGGCCTTGGCATCAAGGCTAATGTTGCCTGTCTTCACAGTCGACCGTCGGCCATTATTGCGCTGAGAACAACCGGCCGGTGCCATGGCTCATTCAATTGGGACGTCGCGGTCCCCTGTCCACAAATGTCTACCAAGTTGAACCGAGGATCCACTTCCAGAAGCTTAACTGGTATAACCTCCTCCCTGGCGGCTGGAGTGTGTTCCTTTTGCCATAGCCCACAGGCTCCGTGACGCTTAAGGGGACGGCAATTGCTGGAATGCAGCCGCCTTTGCCATCGAGAAGAGTAGCAGTGCTTCTACCAACAGCTCTTCCACAGTTCAAACAGGGAAAGGCTCCCCCCTTTTGATCCCACGCCGCCCCCTCGTCGCAAAGTTCAATATACTGTCGAACTGGGCGCAGCACTCTTTCTAAACAGTGTCTAAACCAGTATCTGCAAGCTAGGACCTTGGTACAGTTTAGAGGCATATTAATGCAAGCCTTGGAACTTCTTGTCTATCCTGTCTCTTGTCGTTCATAATGTTTTGACCGGGCACCCATTTCATATCTGTCGATTTGTTCCTTTCTCGCGCATTGCGGGCCAATGCGACATTGTTTATCCTGGTAATTTTTTCTCTCGCTTTTGTTATTATGCCCGTGGCCGCTGGTCGGTGCCTTGTATCTTTGTCCAGCTAGACGAGGAAAGACAATCAACATGGCAGAGACAATGCGCCCGAAGTGCGGCTCGAAAGGCGGGCAGGCCGAGTACGACCTTCCTCTGCACGTCGGAGCACTGTGTACGGATGCCCCCAATGCCCCTCTATCTTCAGATGAAAGAACATCTATCTGACATCGTGTCCAGTCCTTGTCCTAGGCTTTAGTACGCTCGGTAGGGACCCCTAACCTGATAACCACTTGATGACGGGCATGGATACTCATCAACCTCTCCTTTCCCAGGCGCCGGCTTTCCAGTGGTCGCGAAAAAATTCCCTGGACTGAAGATCCCGCCAAAAGCCTTCTTTTTCTGCAAACATTTTGGAACTGGTGTCCTAATAGCGACTGCATTCGTTCATGTATGTTGCCCACGATATAGGAGAAGGACCTTTGGTTTGTTGACGGTATTATAGTTGCTCCCAACCGCATTCACTTCGTTGAACGATCCATGTCTGCCGCCTCTCTTTACAGAGCAGTACCCTGCGATGCCAGGTGTTATTATGCTCGGTTCGATGTTCGCTCTTTTCGCGTTGGAGATGTATATGAATGCCAAAGTTGGAGGTCATAGTCATGGTGGAGCTACGGGAGAAAGTATAAGCCACGGTCATGCCGGTGGCGGCCATGGACATGCCCATGCCCATGCTCATGGCGGTGGTCACAACCACCCCGTAGCTGGTGGAAATTCTGATATTTCGTGGCCAAAGGAGAACAAAGTGATGAATGATGATGCATCGTCGGACGAGTGGTATGAGGAGAAGGCGGCGTTTAAGTTTGTCACCATATCAGCATGTCTACAGTGATCTGGGGGCATTTTCGCTGACCGAATGCTTGTAGGGTTTATGCTGGTGCAAATCGATTCGAAAGTTCATACTTATCCAAGCCTTCTGAGATGCCTACCTGGTTCATGGTGTTTTACGAACAATACGTGCGAGAACGCGAATATATGCAGGCAATGCTTCGCACGTCACAGCGCCGATACGAGTCCTCCTCAAATGAACTACCAGCCAGCGAGATGCCAAGGGATCCAGAAGCTGGAGAGGTGGACCCACAGGTGCTCAAGAAGATGTCGTTGAACATCACCATCCTTGAAGGTGGTATTCTGTTCCATTCCGTTTTCGTCGGAATGACAGTTTCCATTGAGTCCGAAGGCTTTCTGATATTGCTTATCGCGATTTTGTTCCATCAAGCATTCGAAGGCCTGGGTCTCGGCTCTCGAATCGCTGCCGTCCCATATCCAAAGGGCTCGCTTCGTCCGTGGTTTTTGGTGCTGGCGTTTGGTACCACGGCCCCAATTGGACAGGCCATTGGCTTGATTGCTCGAAATAGTTATGACGCACAGAGCGAGTTTGGATTAATTATCGTTGGAGTATTCAATGCGATGTACGTCATGGGCAGGATGACGCAGAGGGAAACGTAGTCGCTAACCGCCTTGTAGATCCTCCGGTCTCCTCATCTACGCTGCCCTTGTCGATCTACTAGCGGAAGACTTTTTGTCGGAAGAGGCGGAGCTATTAACCAAGCAGCAAAAGATTTCTGGTTTCATATTCGTCTTGATGGGAGGTAAGCCGTACACAAAACCCCTCGCATATGAACCCCTTACTCCAGATACTGACAAGTCCCAAAAAGCGGCGGCCATGTCCATTGTCGGCGCATTTGCCTAAGCAGGTCCTTATGCACATATACAATAAACAATAAACCGCAATCTATATTTGGCACATCGTGGTACTCTCGACTGGGTCCCGTGTGCCTTTTTTTTTTTTTTTTCTTTTCTTGTCTCGGTTTTACAAGAGTTCTCCCGAGCAAAGACATCGAGCCATAATCATCGAATTAGGTCACTCCTTTACCAGTAATATATACATCGCCCGCTCCATTACTCTCCTACCGATCATCCCTTGTGTCCAAATGCTCAATACGAGTGGTGCACTGCAGAGCCGGACGGCAAATTTAATCAGGCATGGTACGGGGGGAGGGTAAAGCGGGCGGGAAGCGATTTGGGCTCGGGCGGGTTTAGGCGGGAAATAACCTTTGTTCGCGTCAGGATACTGCTTTTTGAATCGCGCCGTGTTGTGTGTGAGGGTGTTAAACTGGATTTTTTTTCCCCTATGTTTTCGCGCGTTTGCTCCGTAATCGGCTGCAGAAAGAGACTTAGACCTGAGCAGCCGGCGTGTCACTCCTTTGAAACATGTCATACAAGCAAAGCTATAGTTAAGCTTGCCAGTCTCGCTGTCTCGCTCCCCGCGGGGAAATCGAGGGCCCCGATAGGCCCTGCACGGGCCAGTCGAGAACGTTCCCCTGCCATGTGTGTTTGCAATGGAACGAAGCTGGGGGGGGGGAGAGAGAAGATAAAGAGGTGCATTTATATTACGATGCCTGTACGGAGTACGTGTCTTTCGGGGTAAAATACGCCATGACGTGCTTTTCTTGTGGGCCAATGGTAATACCGATACGCGCGGCGGGGGTGCTGACAAAAGCGGTGAGGCGTGATTGGTGGGGAGGTTCTGGGAGCACAGGGTATTTTTAGCTTTGAGTTTGTTTTGCCGTGAAATTTTTCGTCGATACCGTCTTTTTGGGCCAGAGGAAGCGAAGAGTCATAACGCGCTCCTCTCTCTCCACCAACCTATAAAGCGCAATTTACACGCATCGATTCCTGGTGATTCAGGCTCGTCTTCTTCACACACTTCTTTCTTTCTCTTCATCGTTCTCTCCCAGCGTCTCCAGTGCCGTCGAGCTCTCCTCTTCCACAACAACCCCTGCAACCCGAGAACCCCACCTAGAGATCACAATGGCTGCACAGACGAACGGCCACGCCAATGGCGTAAATGGTGCCAACGGCACAAACGGTATGCCACCCTCCACTCACTTTTTAAGGACAATCTAATTGACAAACATTTTGCAATGAACAGGCCTTCCTGCCCACCCTGGATACACAGCCATTCCCGCCCGCGAGAACCCACACCCACACACCGCCAGAAACCCATACGGCCACAACGCCGGCGTCACAGATTTCCTCAGCAATGTCTCGAGATTTAAGATCATCGAGAGTACGCTGCGAGAAGGCGAGCAGTTCGCCAATGCATTTTTTGACACCGAGAAGAAGATCGAGATCGCGAAGGCCTTGGATGACTTTGGTGTGGACTATGTGAGTCATAGATATCCCAAAAAAAATTTTTTTTTTTTTAGACTGACATCCCCACCAGATCGAACTCACCAGCCCGTGCGCATCGGAGCAGTCGAGGAAGGACTGCGAGGCTATCTGCAAGCTGGGATTGAAGGCAAAGGTCCGTGTTCCCACGTGAAAGACCTCTAGAGGACGGGCCGAGGGACAATAATAGCTGACCTGTGATTGGCGATAGATTCTCACACATATCAGATGTCATATGGACGATGCTCGAGTAGCTGTCGAGACTGGTGTCGACGGAGTGTAAGCAATATTTTCAGCTTTGGAACGGGGGCTGTTCTTTGGAGATGTTTTCTAACTTGTTCTTTTTTTTGGCAGCGATGTCGTTATTGGCACGTCGTCCTACCTTCGTGAGCATTCTCATGGAAAGGACATGACATACATCAAGAACACCGCCATTGAAGTTATCGAATTCGTCAAGTCCAAGGGGATTGAAGTCAGATTCTCCAGCGAGGACTCTTTCAGGTCCGATCTGGTGGAATTGCTATCGCTCTACTCTGCCGTCGACCAGGTTGGTGTCAACCGGGTTGGTATCGCCGACACAGTTGGCTGTGCCTCTCCCCGCCAGGTCTACGAACTGGTCCGTGTGCTCCGCGGCGTGGTCAAGTGCGACATCGAAATCCATCTGCACAATGACACCGGGTGCGCGATCGCCAACGCGTACTGTGCGCTGGAAGGCGGGGCGACGCACGTCGACACGTCGGTTCTCGGAATCGGCGAGCGCAACGGCATCACGCCGCTTGGCGGGCTGATGGCGCGCATGATCGCGGTGGACCGCGGCTACGTGCTGAGCAAGTACAAGCTGCACAAGCTCAAGGAGATCGAGGACCTGGTGGCCGACTCGGTGCAGATCAACATCCCCTTCAACAACTACATCACGGGCTTCTGCGCGTTCACGCACAAGGCCGGCATCCACGCCAAGGCCATCCTCAACAACCCCAGCACGTATGAGATCATCAACCCGGCCGACTTCGGCATGACGCGCTACGTGCACTTCGCGTCGCGCCTCACGGGCTGGAATGCCATCAAGTCGCGCGCGCAGCAGCTCAACCTCGAGATGACGGATGCGCAGTACAAGGAGTGCACGGCCAAGATCAAGGCGCTGGCGGATATTCGCCCGATCGCGATCGACGACGCCGATAGCATTATCCGCACGTACCACCTGAATCTCAAGTCTGGCGAGAACCGCCCGCTCTTGGAGCTCACTGCGGATGAGCAGGCTCAGGTGGCCGCCAAGGAAAAGGAATATACCGAAGCATAGAAGACGAAGACGTTTTTTGATTTAAAAAAAATTACTATTTCCAAAGAATTTTTCTTTTTGATGTTTCCGTTTATACCACAGTTCTTTTATTTCACTGTTGGGCAGATTTCTTCATTTTTTAGGGTGTTACTCATTTTTTTTTTTTTTTCGGTTTACTTTCGTCCGATTTTGACAGCAGTACAATCGTGCCTTGGGAATGATGATGGATGATCAGAGAATCAAGTCAAAAAGGAGTCTTTTTTTTGAGAGAGATACAGTGTGTGGTGGTGCTTGGAATGGTCGGAACTATATTTTATATATGTTACAAAAGTTCGAACCAGCCTTGTTTTGGCGGGAGAGAAGGAACTCAATACCAGTTGAAATTAAGCAAAAACGAAGAATAAACATCTAGAGATTGAATAGCCAACTTACCAGCCTACCATGCCTTCAAGAGTAACTGGCCTTCCATTCTTGGGGGCTCGACGGAAATTCTTAGCACGGACAGACGGAGCAAAGGTAGATATAAGCTCGCCGACGAAGCTTAAGTGCGGAACACCTCGACCCTGCTCTAGCAAAGCGGCAAAGACAAAAAAAGGATATAAGAAAAGAAAACCAAGTGGCAAGGACGGAGTACTCCACCTATATCATACAACGCCCATCTGATATAGGGAGGTAGTTTTATACTTTTGGACCCCTTTTTTTTATTTTATTTTTTTGTCCTTCTTTTCGGCAGGTCGATTCGGTAAATCTGTTTGGTATGTGTAGGGGAGAGAGGCAAAGAGAGGAATGCATGATCGAGAATTGAATATGTTATGGGAGATCCACCGGCGGAGGGAGGAAGCGGGCGGCGGGGGGTGGGAGTATTATGGTGGTCAGTTTGCTAAGAACGAGGAAAAAAGAAAGAAAGAAAGAAAGAATAAAAGAAGAGTCGCTAGGCAGGCAGGAGGCGAGAGGGAAATATGTTACTCATAAATAAAGCGGTGTCTCGTGAAGGTGTTGAATATCCGCGACAGCCAGCAACAATAGTGAAGATCTCTATTTTTTTTTTTTTTTTTATTTTTGGCGGGGCTGGAGGGGCCCTGCCAATCTGCTTGTTTGGGGGCTTTTGCCGGATAGGGGTTGTTTTTTCTTTTCGTCGGCGCGATAAAGTAATGGAGCGGGAATTAAGGGGCTAGTTCGATTTCCGCGGAGCGTGCTGTGTCTCCTTGCTCTTGAATTCGCTACTGTGGTCAAACAAAACAAACCAAGCAGGGCCGCGGCAGCTCTGCCGGGGCGGAAGGAACAGCTGCTACGCGCTGGCGGGCCGGCTGGGGGGCGGCGGCGAGACGTCACATCGCGGTGGGGGGTGACGTCAGGCGAGACAGAGGGAGAAAGAGGGCGGCGGCGAGGCCCCGGCAGCGCGGGCGAGCGGTGATTGGCGGGCTAGTGGGAAGGTGTCATCGCGCGCAGGCAGTACTCCGTAGTAATAGGCCTAGGGGCGAAAGGGGGGACGGCCAGGGCCAGGGCCAGGGCCGAGACCCAGGCCGGCGGGCGAGTCAGCGGCGGCCGGCTGTCGGTGAGGGAGAGAGAGAGTGTGTGTGTCGTGGCTGTACGGAGCAGTCAGATTTAGGGTATTATTAGTCCCCAGCCAGCCAGCAGCTCACGACGGCCGGGGCGGCGACGGCGGCGGCGACGGCCTGGGATGCGCGGGCGCTGCCCCTCACCCGCGCCGACGCTGCTTAACGCCCGCCGTTTCGCTGTTTTCTTTCTTTCTTTCTTTCTTTCTTCCCCGCCATCAGTCTTTTCTCACTCTGTGTCTCTCTTCTCCCTCTTCTCTCTCTCCGCCAGCTCCCAAGACTCTCGGGAGAAGCTTGGCCTTGCTTCGCTGCACTCGAGCTGCTGCCAGGTGCGTCATCGCCGTCGCTGCGCCGGTTTGCATCCCAGTCCTCTCTCTCTCTTCGTCTCTCTCGCTCTCTTGTTCTCTCTTCCTCACTTCTCCCTCACCTTCACACACTCCCTCACTCCTCTCTACCCACTGCTGCCTGCCCCGGCGCCCCGCCACGGCACACACCCGCCACCCGCCGTGCCGCCAGCCTTTCCTGTTTCCTCTCTCCCTTCGCTCCTCTTCTTATTATTATTTCCTGCTCGCCTGCTCACGCCACCCTCTCAGCCGTTCTCTCCCAATCCACTACTACTTCTACTACTGCCGCTGCATCCTCCTGCACTGTAAGCGTCCTGCCCTGCTCGCGTGTGTGCGGCCTGCGGCCTGCAGCCCATTTCTCCCCCCAACCCAGCCCGGTTGAGCCTCGCCCGCTCGCATCAGGATCGCGACGGTGGCAAACCCGCGGCACCCGCCCGCCCATCCCTGCGCCGATTCTAGACCGGCTGCCTGCGCGCCCCGAAGGTTTTTTTTTTATTTTTTTTTTTTGGTCGCTGCGCTGTCCCCCGCGCCCGCAGCGAACCCACGCCTAAAAGCCGCCTAATAATAAGAAACACGATAATAATATAATAAGCCGACAGCTAACCTCCCTTCAGACTTCGCACTGCACTGCTCCTCTGCCCTCTCTCTCTATCTCTCTCGCCGCCCGTCGATCCTCCTTCGCGCTGGCTTACCGCTCGCCTCGCGCCCCTCCGGCGGCACGTGCGAAGGACTCTGTCGCCGAACCCCCCGCGACCGCCAACAGCCCGCCGCCCGCTCGCCAGGCTGCCTCCGCGCCCGTTGACCCAATGCCCTCGCTGGTGCATTCCGCCTACATCGCTGGCCGCTCCGATCCCTCGTCTTCCAAAATGGCCCCCTCGACCACCTCTGCCACCGAGGAACCGGTACGCCTGGCCCTTGTTGCTCTCCCTTCTCCTTTGTTTTGTTCGCGTTTGCTGCGGCGCGGTGAGCCTCCGATCCGCTAACTCTTTCGCTCTGCAGCTGGATGAACTCGCGCTCAAGCTTGTCGGCCGCGAAGAACTGCTCGACAAGACTGCCTTCGACCAGATCCTCGAGATGGACGACGACGCCGACCGCGACTTCAGCAGAGGCATCGTCTACGGCTTCTTCGACCAGGCGGAGGCCACTTTCGTCAAAATGGAAAACGCAATGTGAGCCCCTCTCTCCGTATGACGTCATCGCAGTGCAGCGTCGTTGTCGTGCGCTCCAAAAGGGCGTCGCCCGGCCCTGCGTGGGGATAAACGCGGGCCTGCGCTCGCTCCTCTTATCGCCGTATCTTGAACGCACCCGCCCCGCGCCGCTGCCTCCCCCCCCCCCCCCCCCTCCCCCCCCCCCCCCCCCCCCCCCCCCCCCCCCCCCCCCTCCCCCCCCCCCCCCCCCCCCCCCCCCCCCCCCCCCCCCCCCCCCCCCCTTTTTTTTTCCCCCCCCCCCCCCCCCCCCCCCCCCCCCCTGCGCTGCTCTCCCGTGTACACGCTGCGAAAGAGCACATCCGGCTAACCGATTGTCTGTGCTTGCTCCTAGTTCTGCGCAGGATTTCAACGAGGTCTCGCAGCTGGGCCACTTCCTGAAGGGCTCGTCGGCGACTCTTGGCCTGACCAAGGTCAAAGACGCATGTGAGAAACTGCAGCATTTTGGTGCCCGAAAGGACGAATCGGGAACCGTGGACGAGCCCGATAACGCAAAGTCTCTTGCGAGCATCAAGAAAACTCTTACTGAAGTTAAGGAGGATTACGACGAGGTCGCCAAGCTCCTAAAGGATTTTTACGGTGATACTACATCGAGTTGAAACGGGAAAGATTTTAACGAAAAAAAAAAAAAAAAAATTTAATTATTTTCGTGTTGTTTATGCACCATAAAATAATAGGTTTTTTTTTTTTATTCTGATTCCTCACCTCTGCTTTGTCTGTACCACACTTCCCACATACCGGGTTCGGTCTTGTTATCCCATCAGCTTTTTTGTGTTTTCCCTTTTGCTTCCTCGACTGGTTTTTCTACCCCATCTCATGCACCCCCTCCCCCTCCCTGTCAACCACAGCTTCGCTTTGCGTTTGACTTGGTTTCAAAAAAAAACTCTCGGCCGCGATGATATGCATTTCGCTATTTTTCTTATGCGAGACGACGAAAAAAGGGAACCCAAGAGAAACGGCAATACCAGCATATGGGGGGTTTTTCTATTTTTATTTATTTTTTCCCTCTCTGTTCTCTCTCTCTCTCTCTCCCTTTGTGCGTCCTGCTGCTGTCCCTTTCGACTACTGAGATGAGCTGGGGTCCTCCCTTACTTCTCTTTTCCCTGCATTTTTCAACCTTATGCCGCGGTTCTTATGATATGTGTGCTGTCCTCCTCCCTTCCCCACCACTACTACTACCACCAACCAGCACTCAAAGCCAATACCGCTGGTACCCTGCTCTTTTTTTTTTCTTTTTTCCCCTTGGGCTTGTTCCGTGTCCCCCTCCCCCCTCCCTCTCCATCTCCGTGCGTTGCCCCTCTTTTTCTCTTTTTTTTACCGCTTTGAGCGACTGCATATGGAAGAAAGACGGGATGCGCATTGGGAGGGGGCGGGATGGGGAGAGAGAGAGAGAGAGGAAGAGAGAGAGAAGAGAAAAAGAAAAAACGTGGCAATCAGAGAGGGAGATCAGGGAAAGGGAAATGTTTGATGGGATTTGTGCTTTTTATGAAGCGGATGGGGGAGAGAGGGTACTTGAGGGATGAAGTTTTCTCTCTCATATTTTTTCCTTTATTATTATTATTTCCCTTTTTTTCCCCCCCCCCAGGTTTTCTTTTTTTTTTTTTTAATTCTATTTTATTAGAAGAATGAATGAAATGACCAATGATTTTCTCAAATATCATACCCTCAGTTTTCACTATTATAATGATTATTTGTTTATTTTTTTTCATTCAAATCATCGAACTTTGATCGACCTAGTGCCTACTACTCCATACATACTACTAACTACCACTCCCATCTTGGCCAGACATGTCCTCACAAACGAACAAGCGATCAAGCAGTGGGAGGAACAACAAGAACACCACCAGCCCAGCCCAACAGACCAGCAGCAGAATAAAAAATAAAAAATAAAAAGCCAAAAAAAAAAAAGTCTATGCAGGACTAAGTTAACCCTTGTCTATGGGAATATGCACTCATCGCGCTATATCAAACTGCTGGGACTCTTATTTTCTCTCTCTTACTTTTTTTTGCCCATATGTAATGATGACAGATATTTGCTCGTAAGCTGCATGTACCCATGTAACTAACTAACTAACTAACTAACTACATAACACGGCGTCCTAAGGAGGGCCCACACACTGCGGTGTGCACACACACGCACGCACACACGCCGCCTGCCTATGTGACTTGTGTATGTAGGTACTACATACTGTCCGGAGTATGCATACATATTCGGAATAGGTAACTATCCCTACAAGGCGCCCGGGGGGAGAGGGGGGAGGGGGAGGGGTTCTCTCAGATCGCGATCTCCTGCCCGCCCGTTCGCTCGCCGGTCGCCGGTCGCCGGGCGTCGCCACATTTAAATAAATAAATCGATAAAAAAAAAAAAAAAATCCTCGTTGATGGCTGGGGGTGTTGGAATGGGAAGAATCATAATCTATATATATTCTGTCTGGATGTCCTCCCACAGGTATCTCGCTCCTCTCCCTCTCTCATAAATATTACATGCGATACGCATATCCTCCGTACAGACATACAGAAATAAAAAGAGGAAGAGACGTGGCACAAAAAAGCGGGATACTAACTTCTTTCTTTCTTTCCTTTTTTTTTTTTCATTTTTTTTTTTCGTTTGCCCGTGCAGTGGGGGGTTGGGCCTTCCTCTCCTTCACCCTCCCGTGTGCTAAAAAAAAAAAAAGGGAATCCACCGGCGGCGCGTTGTGTAGGTATATAGTTTAGTGAGTTTGTTTCGGAAATGTATGTATGCCAAGGTGGTGATGCCCGCACAATATATATCACCACGTAGTGCTGCAGGCAGGCAGGCGGGCAGGCGGGGGGGAGGATTGTGGTGGTCTGTTTTTCCAAATTCGCGCTTTTTTTCCCAATATCAAACGCTGCTGCCGCAAAACAAGAAAAGAAAAACAGTGGTTAGTAGTTCAGCTGTCATTTTGCTCCATAGCAATGCTCTTCGTTTTCCGCTCTCATATCTTCATATCATGGGTCATGAGAACCCTCTCCCCTCTCATCCCCCTCCCCCCTCTATTTCCAACTCTTCATCTTCGGCACCTCCGTCCGGAACACATGGTCCTGGCTCCTCTCCACCTCGGTGAAGCCGTCGGCATCGGCGCGCGCGCGCGACGGGTCGTCCGTGTAGCGGTCAGCATCGTCGAGGTCGTGCATGCGAATCGACGAGCGCTCGCGGCGACGACCACGGGTACCACCGCCGCCCAGCCGCTCGATGCGCGACTTGGCTCCACCGTAGCCCTTGCTGCGGCCCATGATGCTGCCGAGCCCGATGCGGCGGTGCTTGCGCATGCCGAAGCACAGGCCGCAGGCGATCAGGAACACCACGAAGAGCGACACGGGCAGGCCGACCATGAGGCCGAGCTTGTTGGGCTTGGAGGGCGGTGGTGGCGGGTAGTGCTCGATGGGCTTCTTGGTGAGCGAGATCGTGGGGCCGGTCTTCTTGACGCTGTGGTCGTCCGTGGCGAGGTCGTAGTCGACGAGCCCGATCGTGAGGTTGTTGCGCGACTTGTCGCGCAGCCACGCCTTGTCCATTCGCACCGTGATGAAGCCGAGTTTGTTGGGCACGCGGTCCGAGGTGTGTGCGGATTTGCCTTCGTTTTCAGTCGTGTTGACATAGTTGATGGTGATCTGAACGGTGGAGTTGATGCGGAAGGCGTCGACGTCCCAGGTTACTGTTTATCATGGTTAGTGGACATGTGTGTATATAGATGGAGCAATTGTAGATGGGGAAGGATATCAAGGGGCGGAGCTACCATAGTATGTTTCGTCCACGTAGACGTTCTGGTCCTTGGTTGGCTTGCAGAACGGATAGATGTCACTCTTCTTATCGGCATGGCACACCTCGACGTCGCTGTTCGTGGGCGCCGGGGCACTAGAAGTCTGTGTCGCGGAGCTCGTCGAGGGGGTGGGGGTGGCTTTGGCGGTGTCCACCGCGGAAGAGGACGAGGATACGGTCGTCGTAGCCGCGCTCGAAGTCACGGAGGATGACGAGGCCACTGTCGAGGCTGATGAAGCTGGAGCCCTCGTCGTCAGCCAATTGCCCCAACGTCGCACAGCCAGCGCCATCTCGCTCGGAAAAGCTGATACTCACAGACAGATGAGGCCTGCCTCCTATCCCAATGGGCTGCGGCACTGGTCGTGCCCACGGCCGCCGCCGCAGCTGCTGCTGCACAGAAAAGCGTGTACCGCGACCACCGCATGGCGTCGTGCTGGATGTCGATGCTGCTGGCGGCTCAGGCGTTCGTTTCTCGTCAAGCTTCCTCGCTGCGGGCCGCGCGGTTTGATATCCGGGAATAAAAGAAAAAAAAAAAAACGCTTGACGTTCGCGATTGATTGGCACGGAAACACGTCATGACGACGCTGAAACAGCGAGCAGAAACACCGAAAGGGGAAGGACGAAGCCCTGGCCCGCTGCTGATTGGTCGGCTGCTGGCTCCAGGCACAGATGCCGAGTTCCTGTCGTACGGAACCCGTACCGTACCATACCGTACCGTACGCCCCCAACCACCTGTCTTGCCGCATTTCGCGTTCTCGTCGCTGGCTCGCCATTTGAATCTCGTCGAGTGAGCTGGTCGGAACTGGCTCGGCTCCTCCAGAGTTGTGTGCTGCAGCGTTGCACGGAATGTGGCTTGCTCCGTTACACGCCCTCCTTCGAGGGAAAAACATTGGGTATTCCGCTCGACTCCTGAAGGCCTGAGCCGCCCGTATACTTGCGGATTGCTGGGAAGACTGGGCATCTGGTGCTGCGAGGATGGGCAAATAGCAGCGCGAAACCTGGCTGGACAATCGTCATCGAGGGCTCGGGTTGCCAATGGCGTCGTAATTGGTACGACGTGGGCTTCTCGGAAGGACTCCAGCCATGGCTACTATTTATTCTTCTTGCTTGCCTGGTATGGAGCTGCTCCGTGGAGATACTCAGGACTGCCTTGAGGATTTAGATACCCTGATCGATTGAGACTACATATCTTGCCAGTCATTTTCCATTTGAAGCCAGATACCTACACACAATCATCCGCAGTCCACAATATCTGTCCCCCCCATCGATCAGAATGGCCGGTAGAGGCATCGTGCTGTGGTTTTCCCTTGCTCTATTATGGAATCAGGCGCTGGCCCAGAAATTCCTCGGGGACATTATCATCGACGTGCAAAAGATCCCCGGCCCATCAGATGCCTGCAGAGCTGCCATGATGCGCGGAGTGAACTGTGATGGCTCGCTGGCCATGGCGTCGTTTGAGGACAAGCATTTTAGCCTGGACTCCCTTCGCAATACCATCTGCAGCAAAAAATGTACCGAGTCACTGCACGAGTATCGCAGACATGTCTCTGAGAAGTGCGGCAATAATACCCTGGTACTAGACGGGGTGACGTACACTTCCACGTTTATTGCGGACAAGCTGCTGTTCCGCCTCGAATCTGTATGCCGTGCGGAGAAGTGAGTCGGCCTGTCTGGGACATGCGGGCGGGTCAAGCTAACACTGGCGTCTTCCCAGCAAAAACAACGACAAGTGTGGACACAATACCAACTTTCTGGACCTGCTGTTCGACCCCCAGCTTTTTGGGTGCGCCAACCTGTGCGGCCTCGAGCAGCTCCAGTTCGAACTGGGCTCTCCGTTCGGATACACCGAGGAATTGGCGCGGCAGTTTGCGTCGATGACCAGCAAGTGCTCCGTGACGGGCTACTCCTACACCACGCCCACGCCGGCGGCACTGAATGGCACTGCCACCGCCCCCGTCAAAGGTATGTCTTCCTTGCCATTTCGTTTCGGAAACGGCAGCTGACTGGCACTGTGTGCGGTCTAGTCCCCATCACCAGCCTTTCCCAGCAGCAAACGTCGTCTACCCCGCAGTCCCAACCGACGCAATCGCGTACTACAAGCCGACCAGAGACTCCATCCCCCACTCCATTCACTGGGGGAGCGATGAGGCCGGCAGCCATGGCGCCCATTGTCTCCCTGCCTGTGATTTTTCTTCTGGGCGTATTCCTGCTTTGAAGTGTACTTATTCTTATATATCTCTCGGGCGAAGCAATAATGAAGCGTGTGTTTGTATGAGGCAAACGAAGCAAACACGTAAGTTTGGTATTATGTAACAAAAGCCGCGGCACCCAGCCAATCGGGTGTGGGGACGGCTGGGGGGCTGGTGTAAGTTACCGCGCGCGGTACCGCCAGCCAGACTGCGGCTCCGCGGAGGAATACATACATAGTCATAATAATGTGTCTGCGTATGCCCAACGGTGTCTAGACAGCAAAGATGTGGGCGCAGCGCGGGCGTGCCTGGGGCCTGTGTGGCGTTGCTTCGACGCCGGCCGCCTGCCGGCCCTTATTGGCTGCGGCCGCGGCCCGCCCACGCCAGCCATCACCACAGCGCCGCCCTGCCTGGTGATGCGCAGCGACGGGCGACGTCGACGACTGCAGCAGCGAACGAGGGCGATCAGGATCGCGAGAACGTAAGGCGGAACTGGGAAGACGGGTAGCCGAGCCGCGCAGCAGGCGGGCGTCCAGTAGGCGTCGCCAGCGGCCGTGTTGGCGCCCTGGCAAGGTTGGGGTTGCTCTTCCAGCCACCGCGAAGGGAATTTTCCGTGCTGTTTGTTGGCTGTCGCCCTGCGCCCCCCGCCTCGCCCTGTCTGTCTGCGGTCTTCTCGCTCCCTCTCTCGCTCCTCCACCGCCGCTGTCCGCGCGAGAGCTGTCATCTGCAACGCTTCTGCTTGTTTCGTTTCTTCCTTTCCTACCTGTCTGCTTGGGCGCGCGCTGTCAGCCCTGGCCGCCTACACTAGTTAGTTCGTTAACTAGTTAGCTGGCCGCATCGCCATCCTCCCTCCAAGCTTCACTTCACCACTCCAGCCAGCCAGCGCGCTCGACGGCCCTCCGCTACCCGCCCGCTCCGCCATCGACTGTACCGCTCCGGCCTGAGCGAGTGGGATGTGAACGACCCGCCGACTCGTGGCCCAGCTCTTGCGGATCACCCCCGACGACACTGCCAACGCCCAACGGTCGGATCAGCCGTGGAGACGGGGCGCTCTCGGCGCTGGCATCAACAACTCCCACGGCAACCAGCCCAGCCTCCAGCCCGCCCGCATCCTCATCATTGCTACACCGTACAGTCGACCCCCTGCAAGTTCTTTCGCTTTTCCCACCACCAGCAACAGCATCCTCATCCTCATCCTCACTCTCCACCTCCTCCCCAACCCTTTCTCTCCCCCATCATTGAGCATGATACTGGCCGGATCAGGGTCTTCGCAAGATGGGTGTTGACACCCGCAGACCAATTCTCCCAGCTCCCACAGACTCGACCTTCCACGATACCACCGGCGGCAGCGGCACCGGCACAGGCACCGGCACCGACGTGGCCACCGACCTGTCGCGACGCACCGACAAAACCTCCTATTCCATCCCCGACGACGGCAGCCCCATCACCATCTCCACCCGCCGCAAGTCCCAGCCCCGCGACCGCGACCGCGACGAGGGCAAGGCCTCCTCCCGCACCGGCCACAACTCCCACACCTCCCTGCTCATCGAGTACTTCGAAGGCGGCAAGAAGTCCGCCGGCGCCAATCCCCGGCCCAGCGTACGCGTCAGGGTCACCCCGTCCTCGTCTCGCCGCAACAAAGACCGAGACGACCACGTCCACATCACAGAAAGCTCCTCCGGCCGCAAACCATCCTACACCAGACGCATTTCCCTAGGCGGCACCCCGACGAGAGCGAAGGAGATCGTAGAACCTGCCGCCGACGATAGCTCGGCCACGTCTACGGAGCTGAGGCCTTCTCCCGTTGAGATTGAGTTTGTTGACCAGGAGAGCTCTGTCGCTCCGAGATACCTCCAGCCCACGTCCGAGATTTCTTCTATGCCCGCTGAGAGCTTTCTAGAGAGCACAATGGGTTCATCTGAGGTGCATCGCCGCAGACGCCATAGTTTCAGCGACGAGGAGGACCTCGAGCAGGATAATAATCTCCTCAAAACCCCTGCGCGCAGAAGAAGTCGTAGTCTAAGTCGCGAAAGAATCGCGCAGAAGGCCGCCGAGAAGCTGAGCAGCGCGCCTAAAGAGCATATCTCGCGTTCGAAGCAACGACAGGGAGACAGATCGCATAGTAGGGATATTGGGAATGATATATTCGGCTCAGATATCAAATCTCCACGAAAAAGGTCTGGAAAACATCGGGAGAAGGATATGATTAGTCCCGAGTCTAGTCTTCTTAGCAACTCTGCGATCTCGCAAAGCAAAACAGGTGACCAGTTCTCCTTCCGATCGGGCACTTCCCGGTCCTCTCTTAATAATCCGAAGCTTCTCGAGACGGTGGAAGATGCGATTCGTCGATTAATTCTCCCAGAACTAAAAGAATTGAAGAAAGACCAAAAGGTACAATCCAACCGAGCAAGATTCGAACATGACACGAGCAAGTCTCGCACCTCTGGCAGTGTCAGTTCCAAAGACGGTCTTTCAAGACGCCTATCAAAACACGCCAGCGCCCCGGATGTGAGCAAACCACGCGTCGTTGTCAGCAATGATGAACCACAGAGCCCAGGAAGCCCGGCAAACTCCTATACTACTAGAAAAGAACGAAGAGAAAGGGGATCACCACGGCACGAAAAGAAAAGCTCTTCAAAGGTATCGAAATTCTTGTCTCCCGAGGAACCGGGCGTATACCGAAAAAAGAGCAAAGGCCTTCGCGACGCTGAAGCAGCGAAAATCGTCGGCACTGCTCTTACTGCTGCCGCACTGAAACATCATGACTCCAACTCAAGCCTTGGTAGCAACCGTGAACGGCGAAGTAGGCGGAGTGGAAGCGGCGGTTTCAACGATACGGAACTTATTTTTGAAAAACACAATGTACCTCCCATGCCTCATTTACAAAGCGAGCTGGAATCACAGGTCACCCGGCAGTCTCTTCTGTCTCACCACTCCGACAATACAGAAGTTGCTCAACACGGAGAAGTCTCTCGCGGGTCGGTGCAGCAGCCTGCGCCCTTGGAAACGAAGAATATTAATATCACGCCTCGCGGATCCAAGCAGAGCTTGAAATCTACTCGTAGTAGTCTTTCAAACCCTCCAATGCACATTGATGACGAAATCGAGGAGGAGACTACGCCAATTCGAGAACGGAGCATCGAGCCCATTCCGAATATTGAGCCTTCCCAGCATATCGTGAAAGGGTTTGATTTTCCTGGTGGCATTATCACTCGCAAGCCCCTTAGCCCGATCCAGAGCGTTGCCAGTTACCAAGAGGAGGACCACTACACTAAACCAGGAGAAAAAGCTACGTCGATTCCCTTGTCTTATCAGGATCACAGAATGTCCATTGACTCCCTCTCATCTGCTCCCAGCACGGATCTAGCACGATCGACTCGGAACACAGACCACAGCAGCGAGAGACGGAGAGCGCTGAGCGACTACCACGATGAATCTGGCGTGGAGTATGGATATGGAGATTCACCCAAATTTTCCCGGAGCGACCAGTGGGAGGAGAGTCAACGTGGAGAGTATGATGATCGCAGTGTTGCGCAGGAAACCGAACCAGGAAGTGTCAGCGCCAAACGCATGACGGCTGCTACTGAAGAGGAGTTCGAAGACCCTCTGGACCCTGGACATCAAGTTGCGAGGAGAATTGCAGCAAATGCTGAATTCATTGACACTCCGGTTGGGGTTGAATCTGCTGTTGCGTCGCTGCTTGATCCTTCTATTGTCGACGGAGGGTCGGTCCACTCGCCTGTTGTGGGGACGCCCGCCCGCCCTCAAAGCTGGGGATCTGGGTCGGTACGGGAATTGAGTCGCGATGTTACCGTGAGCCGGAAAGGCAGTCCGCTCAAGCAACAACTTGAACTGTATAGCGGCCCTGCAGAAACGTCTTTCCAGAAACGAATCGGCGCCAGTTCTCCACCTCAAAGCGTCGCGAATTCGACCGATGAAGATGAGCGGCCGCGAATGGGCGCCACCGGTCTCCCAACAGCTGGCTCCCCGATTCCTGAAATCGGGCATAATTTGGACACCGAGGAATCAGAGATTAATACGAATCCCTCGATTATTCAGGGCCCTATTGGTGGTACGCCAATGGATGCTCATGACTACTGGGCCCATCATTCCAGCTCTCCAGAAAAGGGCTATGGAGGGTACGATTACGATAGGAATCTCGAACCAAGCCCTAACTTCATGGAGAAATCTAGAGGCCCTGCAGGATTAGGAGTCTCGGGTAAAGACCCTTACCCGTATCACCAACCATATTACTACTCGGATGATGCTTATTCAGAAGACCGTGCTGAGGTGATTTCCCCCGGCGGGGGCAGAGACGAAGGGTATATTTCTGGAGCGAACCATCGATCTGGGAGCTCTGCTACCACAGAGCCGAGAGGAAAGGGATATTCAGGAATGGACGATATGCCGTTCAGCAGCCCGTTGGAAGAAGAGGACCCGTACACGCATAAACGACATCTCAGTGGGTATTCACATGGTATCTCGTCTCCTCTGTATGATAGTTCGACGGGCAAGGGAATTGAGAGGATTCAGTCGAAGGATATTGTTGCGCTTATGGATCATGTTTGTTCACCCTTATTTTATTTTTTTAATATTTCATGAATCTTGCTGACATCCTTCTTAGTTGACTGTTCGGGATGCCCAAAGGAACGCCAGAGATACTGAAATCTTAGTGACCCTCGTGCGCAGTGCTGCTGAAATGCGTAACTCGTTTGACGATATGAGGAAATTTATCGAGGCACAGGATGAAAAACTGGTAGATACCAACGAGAAGAACCATAGTCAAACCCGGCAGATGATCAGCGGGCCCCGGCCCCAGCCACGAACCCCCAGACGTATGTCGGAGGATGGCGATGATACGCCAACAAAAAAGAAGAACGTTTTCAGGAGAGCGCTGAAAGGTCTAAGTCTGAAGAGCTCTAATGACTTGACTCATATTGAAGACATGTTGGTGCATCTGCTTACTGAAGTAGAAGCATTGAGAGCTGCCCAGGACTCTCAATTCCGAGGAAACGCCTTGACAGAGACGCGTAACTCACTAGATAATCCGCGTGGCTCTCTCGATGGTGGACATGTTGCTCAGAGCCAGTCCCCGGCAAATGGCGGCACACCCGGTCAGCCAGGCCGATTCTCGAATTCCCTTTCGGCGGGTGATTTGAAGACTTTGGCCGCCCAACGTGATGCCGAACGGCGCATTAGTCCTGTCATGGAGGACGATGAGGAGGAGCCGTTGACGCCTCAAGAAGAAGAGATCCTGGATCCCCAGATGACCACGGATGCTCACTTTATTCGACGACATAGGAGAGGAGATTCGGTTCCAATCACTACCCCGGAAAGGGCTGCTGTTGCCAGTGGCGCCTTGAGCTCCGAAACGAGCCCGAAGGTGTCCAGTGATAAGTCTCGCAAGTATAAGTCTGGCAGTTCTTCCTTCTTCCCGAAGATTTCTCGTTGGTCCAAGACTACTGCTTCTTCGATGGGCGACAATCTGAAAAATAGCATGCCCAGCCGTAGGCCGTATTCGGACATGTCTCGCTCTGGATCCGATCTTAACCTGGGCGCATATGCCACAAATGATTACTACGATCATCGTGGCGACGATCGATTGCGTTCGAATACTAGCCTTGACCGCGATGACAGGGAGAACCGGCCTCCGTCTCCTCTTGTTCCATCTCAGGTATCAGAACACCCAAAATATCGTGCCCACAGGGATAGTTTTAATCTCCAGCACCCACAGCCTCGTACAGGCGCTCGATACCAGACTCAGCTAGAATCACAGGCCCATAATTATACCCAGGATTCACCGGCCTCGGAGCCTTGGGCATCAACGCATAGTCTTGGTGCGACATACCAGCGTCACCTGCAATCCAACGCTGGCCGTCACTCGCCGCTGTCTGATGAAGAGTATTCAGCAACATCGTCCATAGCGAGCAAGCAAACCGGTCCTCCTCGACCTCCAAAGATCCGAGATGACGGCCCACTGGTCCCGCTACCTGAAGGTGGCTCGAAAGAAGCCTACCAAACGTATGCAGAGAGGATAGCGATGCGAGAGACAAGCAATGTTGGAGATTCGGAAGGAGTATGTTTTTTTTTTTTTCGCTCTCGCCCTACGATCCCTGCTCCATATGTCTGAACCAGAACTAATAATATCTTTTTTTCATCGCAGAAACTTGGCTCACCAAAAGGCTCGCCTGGCCGTGGGGGACCCCAACGAAGACCCACCGGCCCTCGACCAAACCCCAGCTCTGGAAAATATAGTGGCAACCAGGCCGGATATTCTAGAAACTCTCAATATCGTGGTAGTCCGAATCAAGTCGACGACGAGGAAGAGCGGCGTTAAATTATCTCTCCGTCTCTTCATGGCAGAATTTTATAGGTCTTTTTAGATCACATTTGAATCAGTCCCATCTCTCCCCCCCCCCCCCCTTTTTTTTTTTTTTTTCTCACCTCTATGTTACCTTGCCATAGTACCTGCTGGCGCGCGATGCCTCGTCTTTCTGCTCCGCAAAAGAACATATAAAAAGGCAAAAAAGAACAAAAACTAGTTGCTGACTTACTTGATTTAATGCTTTCTCGCCCCATTTCATGTCAATGATTTGCGTATCTTGTTTAATTTCATCTTTTTTTATTTGTATTGTTGCCTTTATTTTTTTCAGAACTGCTGACCAGCATGATATGACTGATGACCCCGTGCTTCTGTTATTTCTGTTTATTAGCCAATGATCATGATATGTTATTTCATCCTGAAGCATTGGAATGCTGTGAAATATAAACAATCCGGCTAATCGACCTCTACTCTCACTCTCTGATCTTGCATTTCTGGACTTTCTCTTCCATTCCTCTGTATAGCCTTTTAAATGGAAAAAGCTGATAGATAACTCATTGTTTTCATACAAAATATGAAGAAGAGACCATGGAAAATCGCAATAGAATTGTATGGCTGCCTAGTATGCAGTTAGTATTTATAGCAGACGTAATATTTATCTCAAGCTTCGTCACCGATGCTGGTCAATCTTGGGCTTGGCACTGCTTGAACTCTCTCCAGACAACCGGTCGTGGCAACGTAAATTAATAAGATATCCCATCCATTCTAGCATTCAGATCCTGCTCTACCATTCCATATATAAGAACTGTAATGCGCACACCCTTCTACCTGGCCCGTCACCACCTTCGACCGACCAGTCTACAGAAAGTCAACCTCGGCTCATACCGCCACCACCACCCCACCACCACCGTCGCAAGAGCCATGTCTGCTGCTCAACAGCCACAGCTTGAGACTGAGCAGCAACATGGCAAAGTGTCACGCAAGTTTGCGCCGCTGAATCATGAGCTTGGAAGGCGCAATGCGGCGAAGGGGCTGCCGGTGTTGAAAGGTGTGGTGTTTGATGTCGACGGGACATTATGGTAGGTGGTTCTAGCTACTATCTTTTTTGTAGTTATACAATGTAGATGGATGGGTTCAATGTGGAATCTGTGCATTTCTGGCTCAACATTTGCAACTTTAATGAGTGCATGGAGTGTATTGCATTGGCAACGGAACTTCTCTCTTGCATTATCACTTCTACTTTCAGAACACTACTAACCAAAACAATGTAGTCTTCCACAACAATACATGTTCCAAGAAATGCGGTAGGTCTTGTCATACCATTCTGAACCGGGTTAGAGCCCTAACACACGTATGTTCTGTAGCTCCGCCCTTGGTATCGACAAATCAGTGGATATTATCACCCACATCCGTGGTTTACCCTCTCAGGAAGAGCGCGAGGAGGCTGCTGCCAAAATCCAGGCCATTGAGCGTTCTGCCATGGTGAAGCAAACGCCCCAACCCGGCCTTGTCGAGCTCATGGATTATCTTCACTCCAAAGGATTGAGACGGGCACTATGCACTCGTAATTTTGAGTATGGCCTCTTTTTCAATTACCAGCATATGAGTTCCGGGTAAAAGAAATCTGACACTTTCAAGGACACCCGTAACCCATCTTCTAACAACGCATCTGCCCACCCATGTCTTTCACCCAATTGTGACACGAGATACTCCCGATTTAATGCCAAAGCCGGATCCGGCTGGAATTTTGCATATCGCTGAGAGCTGGGGGCTGCAGAATGCGGATGACTTAATCATGGTAAGTTAAGGCTCCATTGTGTTTTGGAATGTGGGTCAGAAAGAATAACGGGAGACGACACTTTAGGTGGGGGATAGTTTAGACGACATGACCGCGGGGCGTAAAGCAGGGGCAGCTACAGTGCTGTTGTTAAATGATCACAATCAGCCACTCAAAGAACATGATCACACGGACTTGTGGATAGAGCAATTGGACGAGTTGGTCAATGTTTTGGAGAACGGCTTTCTGTCCTAAGATCTCTAAAAATTAGAGGTTTAGTAGACTAGTGATGTTTGAAAAGATGCGAATATACCGATACTCTTGTATGCAGGTTCATTTATATAGGAGGAGTTAGTGAGTGATTGGGCATCGGAAAATATTCAAGTAGCTCATCATCAAAAGCTGTGGCGCTTAAAATCAATCAGCACGTAGCATGGGCCGTGCTTTTGATCCAATAAGCATAGATAGATACTCAAGCTTAGCAACCATCAAGAGTGGCTGAGAATGCCGTTGAAAAATCGGCCATTCCAGCCGCTGACACAACAGATAATACATTAAAAATATCTTTTCATCGGGTTTCAGAGTCTATGTTTGTCCCATGCCCGTTTCGCATCACTAGGCATAGGCCGGTACACATCTCTGTTATCAGACTTTCCTCTTCCGCGACCTGGAGGACCTCTCCTATTTTTGTTGGAGCCTCCTCTAGATGATGATGGGGGCGGTCTGCCCCGTCCGCGCGGTGGTGATCTAGCAGGCGCGCGGCCACCATTTCTCTGCCGTGGTGGATAAATATCGGGTGATAAGGAACGTAGCCGGTTGTTACGATTAGGGTAGGGATCACGATCACGATATTTGCGTCGATAATCGTGTGGTACATATTTGTCACTGGTGTTGATTTCTTGGCGATTTGGATTACTGTCGAGGTTTCTCCCTCGACCAATCCCGCTACCAACTCGAATTTGAGAGCGTTGTGGCTGTTTTGGATTCCAGCGAGAAGACCCAACAAATTCCCCATCATTATCGTCAGATTCCACAAATTCATTAGCTCGCCCTTTTATGCGCAAGCCAGTAAGCTGTTCGTCTCTACCTTTATTATCCTTGTCACCTGGAATAAGTTTACCACTGAGATCGGAAATCATAGACGGATCAATTGTGTTTAAAGTCCAGGAAGAAGATTCCATTGGAAATGAGCGAGATGGGCAGTCACCCAAAAGGTGTTGCTTGCTTGTGCAAAAACTGCAACATACGGAAATGAAGATCTGACTTAGACTCAAACCACCTTTAGGGACTTTCCAAAGTAGATCACATTCGCTTTCGATATGCTGATGGGAGCCACAGAAATCACAAGGAGTTTCGGAGGGCAGCCCCTTGAGCAAAGAGTTACAAGCGTCTTCATCATGACCCCGTTTCCTGCATCTTTGGCATCGCCTCCAAGAAGGACAGAATCTGCTTTCATGGCAATTCCATGCACCACAATGTTTGCACTGCTTTCGGTTAATTCAAAATACATCAAATATACCGGGAGTATAGTGTCAAGGAAACAAACAAAATTGGAGTCAGGGAATTCTTACTTCTTTATAAGGGCAGACTTCCGCAAGATGTCCCTCCGTCATGCAATCAGTGCATCTAATTGGTAAATTGAGATTGACATCTTTAGGATTCGCGTTGTAATAAATAAAATGCAACTGGATATCGCGATCTTCGTTTGACAGGTCACCTAGAATATAGGGAGCGGAAGGATATCTAGAATGAAAAGTTTCAACAGCTTCAACTTTTGCATTGCTGCTTTGTGGACGTATGGCTGCGGCCTCTAGAGATGTTTGCTGGTGATCTAGTACAGCATCGTGCTCTCGATCGTCAAGTCCATTTGCAAAAGGCTCGGATGCCCCTTTGATTCTTAACTCTTGTGTAGTGTCATTAATGTCTGAGGCGTTTTGATTTGAGGAGCTCAGGTTAAGTAGGATAGCATTGTCGGCATCTGCATCGGTTTCGAGCTCGGAATCGTCAGATACCACGATAGGGTGGCTCTGGTTATCGCTTATCCCATTTGATATTTGGATACCAAGGCCTCTTGGTTTTGATTCAACCATATTGGCATTTCCCGGGTCGGAGACTGAAGCACTTCGGCTATGCCAGAATGCCCCATTGACGGTGTCGAAGGAGCCTGGTATGGATGCGGATATGGCTCCAGACCCGCGAAGACTGGTTCTTATGGCGCCCCTAGCAACGTTATTCCAATTAACTGCCGCCTGTGCTCTTTCATTGGGCATCGGCTTCACCAAAGTCAGTTCTGGCTCAGCCTGCGAATCGTCACTTTCACTGGTATCTGAAGACTGAGTTGGGCTGCTGCCAGATTCTTCATCGATGGGCAGCGACGTGGTCGTAAATGTAGCGCCTTGCGGCACGAAGTCTTGCGGATTCTGGTGGCCAAGTCTCGAGTTTCTTGCGGAGCGACGCGCTCTCGCGAACTGCGACGACGGTTTCGTTATGCGATTGGACCGCTGGTTGGATCGAGGGCCGACGGCGGCGGTACGCGAGTCATCGGCGCTCTCATTTTCCTGGTCACAGCCAGGCATAGCAGGGTAGAAGAGCAGCAGTACAATTGACACGGATGCAGCGCGTCGTCGTCGTCGTTGTCGTTCCTTGTGTGCGGTTCTCGATCGACGGTTCAAGCTTCGCTGAGTCATCAATCCGGCCTAGCGCCCGTGGATGACGACTGAGCTCGTTCGCTGCGATTTCTCGCTTTCTCGCTCCTCAATCTCGCCTGCTTGTCTTCTCCAGCCCACCGCCCGCATTCCCGCTGTGACCAGCTTCTATTTCCTTTGTCTACCTTGTGATTTGATTCTTATTATATCTTACTCTGCTGGGGCATGCATACCTGATTTGATGTCCCGTGCCAGATATCTCTGCGACGTGCAGCATAGTATATACATCCCACGAATATCCTCTGCTGGTGCACAGGAACACCTCCCTTAGCTACATATTACCTGTGATAAATATCTCTTCATTTAAATTCACGGCTCTGTGCTCATCCCTGCCTGTGGGCTTCCATTTCCTTAGCTTCTCTTCACTGCAATCGCTTCTGCTCTATTTACAACCATTCCCAATAGAGCTGATTCGTCGTTCTGCTTACAGCAGCCATTTGGTCGTTCAGCATATATAAAGCCAGCTGTGCTGTGCAAATCTCTCTCTTCCTTTTTCTCCCTCCTCGCTCATACACGCACCCCCTTTTGTTCTCTGTGCACTGTCCTTTCTCTAAAAGGACACCACAACACCGCCAAACTGTCTCCTCTGCTCGTTCCTCGGACCTCCTCCTTCGCAACCGATCTCGATTCCGGTCAGTCAAAGTCGACAAATCTTCTCTCACCAGACGCCGCAATGTCTCAAACCAAGGCTGGGCGCAGACGACGTTCGAGTAGCATCATCTACCAGGAACCGCAGGAGTCCATCGAACATAAGAGTGATCAAGCAGCCTTACCAAATTTGAATGCCAACTGGGTGAACGCGAAAGGTAAGTAAAGCTTCGATGTCGACGCGTCTTGTTGTGAGTGGGGTTGTATTTTAGTTGAACTAACGTGTCATCTTTCTCTTCAGGCGCCTGGACCATCCACTTCGTCCTCATTATCGCCCTTAAAATATTTTACGACATTATCCCAGGAGTTTCCCAGGAGACGTCATGGACGCTCACAAACATTACCTATATGTTTTGCTCCTTTCTCATGTTTCACTGGGTCCGAGGTGTTCCTTTCGAGTTCAACGCCGGTGCCTATGATAACCTCAATATGTGGGAACAAATCGACAATGGTGATCAGTACACTCCTGCGAAGAAATTCCTGCTCAGTGTGCCAATTATTTTGTTCCTGCTGAGCACCCACTACACACATTACGATTTGACTTATTTTATCATCAACTTTTTGGCTGTGTTGGGCGTGGTGATCCCCAAACTTCCAATTGTAAGGGTTCCTTTCTTATCGTGCAGTTTATGTTTCGTCAAGTAGGCCGCGCCCGTTTCTAATCTATCTTTGCAGTCTCATCGCATGCGGATCGGTTGGTTTGTGGATGACATAGATGATTCTTAGTCTTCTGGAGCATCTAGGCGCAACAGCTATTCGTTTTTCATTGGGAGGGCTAAGACATCACTTGCTTAATTTTGAAATCTTGCGTCGGCTGCAGCGATATTTCGTAGTTGACATCTCTTGTCTCACGCCGCTGTCTATCCTACTGTTTTCTTAACAATATTGAGATAGAAAAAAGCGGGCTTACAACTTAATTGTCATTCATTTTCACTGCGTAGAGCTTCCTAGACCGTAAGCCCTTGCTATTCAAGATGCTGGCTTCCCTTTCTCTTCCTTTCTCTTGTGGGTGCAATGGCCGCGATATGCCAAGAAACACGGGTGACGCGCTAAACCGCGCAGCTTAATTGATTTTGAGTTGAACCGCGTTTTGATATGCAGATGTGTTTGTTACCCATCAACTGGATGTGAAATCCGAACCAAGAGGAAGTAATCGCCGATATGAACCTCCCACCTTAGCCAGCCGTGACGGCACAATCAACACCCATGGCGCGTCCCTACCGGCCTGTGAAGCCGATCCCGTTTGAGCTACGGCAACACTGTGGTATCTACTTCGAAGAACAGTTGCGTTCGTTTGCTCCCAATCTCTCCCGTCCCCGGAAGCTGTACTGACATCTTTCTCTCATCGAATACAATTTCTAGATTGCCATGCACTAAATTTACTCCTAAGTCTCGTATACTCCGGCACCGCTGCGTCAAGTGCCGCCTTCATTCCACCGCCAGAGTTCCTCGCGCTTGCTGCTACCTTCATCGTACATCCATCAACGACCACCCGTGCAAAATCGAAGGAAAAACAACAGGCTGCCAATCTATCTCTGCAGTTACTCAGTCTAGTCAACTCTTTGGTAGGGCCGATCGGTGCGAAATTCGGGATAGCATTTACGTTTACTCATTTTTCGACATCGCGATCCGGCGCAAAACGATCAATTGATAATTTTGACGGTGCGTCAGACGAGATAGAAACTCTCAATTTTGAGCTTGCCCAACGTGGGTCGTTATGGTCTCGTGCGGGGGATTTTTGGCACATCGTTGGCTGGGCGTTTAATTGTGCGGTCTTGCATCCGAATCGGTGGCCAAGATGGAAATTACTTCTGGAGTTCATATGTGACATGCTTGAGGCCGACTGGAGGGATAGGCTGCAACAGGGTAAAAATCTAAAAGATTATGGTACGAAAGCTGAAATACTTCGGGGTAGTATCATTTATAAATGGTTAGAGACGACGTCGTCTGGTGTTTCCAGTAGGGACAGGAGAATTATGAGAGCGATTTTTGCGGATGGAGCGTCCAACTCAGTGAACGAGTTCCGGGAGGTGTTTCATAACGAGCTGAAAGAGCTACAAAAGGAGAATAGCTTTTCACAAAAAAGGGACGTTGTTGTGAACATCGATGAGGACATATACGGAGACTACTTAGATCGAGACGTTGATGACGATGAGGAAGAGAGTGATTCCCCTCCAACTATAGGGGGAGAATTGCCCTCTCGCCCTAAGAGGCAACGGAGAGCGAGAGTGAAAAACTCTGGTGCCATCGATGTTGACCGGAATCACGATCTATTGAATATGTCTTGTTCAGACAATATTGCTCTGCTAGGCGATTTAGAGTGCCTTTCGCTTCGTCAACGTCTTCTTGCAATTATATCTGCCGTCTCAGCGGCCATTCCAGATGATTTTATGCACATTGAGCAACTTTACCACCTTATGGTAGAATTTATCCTTCCTCTCCCGCTACCGATATTCCAACTCTTCGTCTCACCCTCTGTTCTTCTTAATTTCCCTGTCGATGCACAAGTAACACTATGCGAAATGTTGCTTGAACGACTCCGTGAAAATAAAAAGCTTTTTTCCCAAGGGCCATCAGTTTTCAATCAGTCCAAACTTGAGCTATATCTACCTCTCACAGCGAACAACGCCGATGTCTTTGACAACACCAGGGTATCCATATTGCTCGAATCTGCTATCCGCCTGCTATCTATTAATGGATTGCTACGTGTAACCCCGTCCTTTAAACAGGCGCTTAATGTCGGTATTGACGCGAGAGGCGAGAAAGCTCAAAGCGACACGAAAAAAGGCCAGAATCGATTGAAAGCGGAGGAGCTGGCATGGACGTGGCTGATCGAGAGCGGGGAACGGTTGGCGTACCTTACTGAAGAAGTTTTTGAAGAGGAAGTAGAGCCCCTACGCGCTTCCTCAGCCTTGCGCAGCAAAAAGAAAATAAAAGATGATACATTGGGATTTTTTCATGTCTGAGTTAGATAAATGCAGTTTTGTCCAGCTTCTAATTGAAACCCACGTTGGCAGTATGGACTACAGGAAAATCGGTGCATCAAAGGTGTCAGTTCGGCGTTGATGGTTTTACCCTTCGCCATGTTATGCTATGTGGCTTTGAAGGTCTTGACTAAAGATCGTTTATAAAGCTACTCCTCAGATATCAATTAACTAGGTTCTACCTCATGAAACAATACATTTCTGCTGCGGGTGATTATAATACATCCGGAATAAAACCATATCGCATAATATCTTTATAGAGTCCGCAATATTCTGAATAACATTATTTGCTGAGAGATATAACTGGGAGCAAAAGCGGTCGCACGCTAGCTACCGAGCGAAAAGGATTGAAGTCAGTTAAATTGTGCTGAAAACAGGAAAAAATGTAAGAAGTTAAAAGATAGTCTAGAAATATCCGGAATAAACCCCGAACAGTCCAAAAAGTAATATCAAATCCTCCATCGCCAGTGGTATCAACCGTAACTGCCACCCGCTCACGCAAAGCAAAACTCAAGAAAAGGGCAAAGGAAAAAAAGGCATGCCTATTTGTAAAACGAAAGGTCAGCGAGGGGGTCGCGGCCCGATAATCTGCCTTCTTGCCCCAAATCCAATTCCCGTCGCGCCCCTATTTTGATTGTCTCCACCGATATATCCATACTGATTGACATCCCAGCCTCCTTCGCCAGGTCCGGTGCCTGCCGAGTTGACACCCTGCTTCACGGCATCTGTGGTGCGTTTCTGGTTTTCTTCCCACTCACGCTGGCGTTCACGTTCACGTTCCATTTCTCGCTCCAGAAGAGACTTGGACGCCCAGCCACCAGCACGTGTCTTTTGGGTTGAGGCGATACGACGATGGTTTTCTTCGTCAACCTCGCGTTCAGTGGAGAATTCGGGGGGCCTGTGGGAGGTCGGCTGAGTAGGCTGAGGTGCTGGATTTGTGGCAAGGAATCGGTCTGTCCGAGTCTTGGGGTAATTTGATGGATCTGGCAGCGGTCGTGGGGACAATGGCGGCTCTGGCAGAGAGCGCGGCGGTAGACTCGGTGGCGGTGGTGATGGTTCAATTTGTTCAAGCCGGTTATCTTGATTCGCTTGCCATTCCGATCGAAGTAGTCTACGTTCTTCTTCTTGAGACGTAAGGTCGAAGCTGGGCTTTGCGGGCTTGGGGGGAAGAGCACGGCCACGGGTGGCGCTTGTTTGGGAAACTTGACTTGTATTTGATACTTGTCGTGAACGGCTAAATTCCTGGCGCTCGCGTTCGTACTGTCTCTCCCTTTGTTTGGCGAGTTCGAGTTCTCTCTCTAGAGCCTGTATGCGTTCCCTTTCTGGGGTTGGCATAGACTCTCCAGGAGAGGAACCGCGCTCCAGTCGCTGGCTAGCCTGGTATTGACTCAGGAATTGGCCGTTTAAGCGCGAATCTGCAAGCTCGCGTTTTCGTTGTCGTTCTTTTTCCAGTTTCTCTTCCGCTTCTCTTTCTTCCAGCTGGCGGCGACGGTCCTCTTCTTCCCACTGTCGTTGTTCGTCCGCCCATCGTTTCTTTTCCTCTTCGGCGGCAATTCGCTCCTTTTCCCTCAGTTTTCTTGTCTCTTCTTCCCATCTCTGTTCCTCTTCCTCCCTTGCTTGTTGTTCCTCAATCCCACGTTGTCGTTCGGCTTTTTCAATTTCTCTCCTTTGTTTTTCTTCTTGCTCAGCAGCCTCTCTTCTCATTTTTTCTTTTTGTGCTAAACTGGGTACAGTTGGTGCCTGGGAAGTAATTTGTCGCCTTGCACCAAAGCTGATCCCAAGATTTCCTTGACTGGCACCTCCCATATATCCATACTGGTGAATATTCCAGGCTGGGGCAGTGGTTGATTCGTCTGCTTTGTTGCTCCAAGTGCTCACAGCCAGTCTCGGTGACCTGGGAGATGCTGGTGATGCAGGGCTCGGTTTTTCAGGGCTGGACCGTCCCGAAATAGGATTAAATGTTCTCGATCCTGACTCACTAATACTACTAATTCCACTCATCCTATTGTAGGAGGTCATGCCTTTGAAGCCTCCTTGGCTGGAGCCGCTAAGCTGGGGGCTGACAAACCCACTCTTGACTTTTCCAATTGCCCGCGGGAACTTCGCTGGTTCGAGAGCATTTGCACGGCGACTGAAGGCAACAAGGCACTGTAGAACTTGAGCGGGATCCTTTGATTCGTAGAGGTCAACAGTAAGGAAAACATCATGGGGTTGCAGATTTAGCGGGGCCATCTGGCAAGCATGGAGGAAGTGGGATATGTTCTCCATCTGAACAAAGGGCATTTTTGAGGCCTTATACTTGACTCCGGGAGACCCAACAGCGAGATTAAGAAGTCTAGTAACAGTGTAATAATCAGTAAACTGGGTCTTGTTGTAGTACTGAAGCCGGCGCAATAGGCTTACCGGCAGAGAACGACTCCATCTTTCAAGGCTTCCAAGAGGTCGCCGGAAGGCAGGCTTTCCCGCAAAACCTCTTCGATCCAGCCGCGCACTTCATTTGCAGCCTGAGGCGTGTATCGTGAGAGACGTAGATTCTTCAGGTCCTTATCTAGCGAGGTGACGGACGCCATGTCGGCGAGGGTGATTGTGGAGGGTTGATGGACCGCGGGGAATGCTGGGCGACGTCACAGAGGCCGAGAAGCCCCCTGAGCCAGCCAGACGGACGAAAAGCGATCTGACACGATAGAGTCACAGCAGTGAACAACAACAAGTTGGCCAACAGTGGATGGTTTGTTTTGATTCCGCCGTTTCACGACACGAGATGATCCGGTGGCTGATTTATTGAATGCTTGGGTTGCAAGCGCGGACTAATTTGGCGCGTTTGGCCGTGCTAATAACTAACTTAGTTGAACCGCAACGTCGTGATATCCGCACAGCATGAGCCCCGTCAATAGCCTCTGGTTCAAGTGGAAGAGCCTGCGGCTGCCGTGGAGGAGGTTCTTCCTTGTTGGTATAGCCCCCGTCCCCAATTTTGTCGATGAAACTGGGCTCTGACGCAAATCTCAGGTAGGGATCTTGCAGGCAATACCTTTTGGGAGTTCAAAGACTCTGTCAACTCCTCTCGACTGCGCCGGATTGTGAGATACAACCCCAAGACCCATTATGCTGACGTCAAGGTGTCGCGTAAGCTCTATACGAAGCCTATTACTCTATGACCGGTTGGGATGGCTAACTCAACCCTCTTCGCAGCGCAATGGCATCAGTGGCTACGACATGTTCGGCCGGAACCACCGTCGATAGAAGAACAACAGCACGAACTCCTCAGACAAGAACAAATCAAATACTTGGCGGAACTGGCTGATGGACGTTGGGCAAGTAAACCATCGTATCTAGACCGGCCGCAGGAGCAGCAGTCAAGCCCTGCGGTACAATCGCAGCGTCCAGCGTCTCACGCTGGGCCAACGCCCACAGCTGAGCAGGCCGGTGTGCGCTCAGCAATTGGTAGCGAAACAGAACTTGAAGCTCAAGGAACGAAAAAGAAGGGAAAGCCTGCCAATCCGTGGGAGCGAAATACTGCTGCGCCTGGCGAAAACTGGCAGCCAGAAGCCTGGTCGCCTTCTGCTGCAAAAAGATAGGAAATTGCTCAAAGGCCTATGGAAAACTTGAGATCTGTATCAATCAACTGATGCTCGGCCCAGTTCCCATCAACCAACTCAGAAATATTCTCCAATTCTCTTATCAAGATGCTCTATGCTGACCAATGTTTTGAAGATGGACGATGTACCTACATACGATGGCATCTAACATGGATTCTAAGGAACTCCTCTCATGAATTTTTGATCTTGTTGTTCCATATCCGCACTTTCTGTGTTCAATTTAACTCTGTGCCATGTTGTACGATAGTGTCCTAAACGAAATTTCCCTTAATTCCTACAGACCAGTGTTTTGATACCCACTTTCAACATTTAGCTGAATGAACGCAGGGTCCATGATATCAATCTTCAACCTGTTACAAGCCAGTCGCTAGCGACTCGCGGAACGCACGGCATGGCATTGGCGACAAAGGAAAGCCGTTCTCAAAAGCTTGCACCCATGATCTGGGGCCAGAAATCTCGGCCATACCGTGGGGCCAAAGTTCGGCACTGAAAATCGGGAATTATCTAGCCAAGCCGAATTAGATGCTGCGTGTTGGGAAATGGTAGGATGTATGTGCCGGTTTCTATCCGTATTGTCATCCTTTATCAGTAGGACAACGATTTACGATACCCTCGGTTTTTCTTAACCTTTCATTTCGGTACTTGCTCCGGACAAAAACAGAACCTTGGGGGCCCATTCAACTACTACGCAGGTCTGCCGTTGCCGTTTTATCAAATGCCGAGAGCATAAGACCCTTCCCGTGTTATCCGGATGTTTTATTCTTCCACTTTTGAGGTCATGCAGTGTATCTGAACTGCATTGCTTGCCACTCAAGCATAGGGGTTGGATCGCCACCTATCACATACTGTTGGCCCTGTACACATGGCCATGGATTGCGGTACCAAATGTTACTTGAGGTTTGCCCCCAAATAAGTGTCAATGCGCTGCTGTTGGACGTTAGATTATTAGAAGTGCAGGGCGGGGGAGGCTCGGGCGTGACGGGATGGCTTTCTGCATTTGCCATGATATAGCACAGGGTGGCTGCATGTTCCAACGGGGCTCTTGTGGAACGACCCACAGCTCGGCGAGATGTCAAAAATGGGGCAGCCGGCCATGCCCGCGGGTAGTTCATCTTGACCCGTAGCCCTTCTAATCTCTGGCCTGTGCCGTGGCATTGGGGCCAACTGGTTCACGGGCTTTTTAGCGATGTGCATATCTTGATGCAGGCGCCAATATCGGTACCGTTTCAGCAAAAAAGAGATATTTATAGCCACGAATCATAACGTGAAAGAAGGGTGCATATCAAGAAACAAGGCGACATTCGGGCTTCCTTCAAGCAAGGCTTCCCAGTCCCTCTTTGCCTATGCATGCATACCCAAGGCATGTGCTATGCATGCACTCACAGGCAGAGCATGGCCCATTTATCGTGAAAGTGGAGCTGAATGGCGCTTTCTCCGGCAGTAAAGTACATATATATATTTGCACAGACGGAGTACTCCGTGCGTGCATGACAGTTGATATCTGACCTTTTCACTCCCCCTCCTTCTGAGACCGGCAGTAACCTAACATGCGCGACTAAACCCCCTCGGTTTCTTATAGAGTAGTTACACATTTCCCTGTGCGTGCTGTTCACCTCTGCCTGTTCTCCAACATCTTTTGTCTCACAAGCAGTGAGTGACTCACCAACTATGCAGATACTGAGACTGGATAGTGGTGTAAATATTACTTTGCACTACAAGAAAGAAAGGAAACATTGCCCGACTAGACACCACGGGGGGATTGTTTCCTTGGTGCGACTTCGATAGTCTGTCGGTAATTTGGGTGTTACAGGGCATCATTGGCGTTGGCTAGAATGGTTTCATGTATTTATTTGTTATTCAGTTTTTTATTAGAAATTGGTAGGAAATTCCCAGCATAACTCTCTCGAGTATTAAGTGCCGCTCTCTAGTTAGTTTGTAGCCAGCATAACAACAAGAACCGACGGTGTAAATATTGTGTAAGAATAGAGGGAAGGAATGTAGCTCTGGAAAAGGGCTCTGTATACATACATACGAATTATCGCCGTGCTAATCACTCAGTCAAAAGGAGGCTCCTATAAGATCTTTGGGCCTAAGGCGAAATTTGTACAGTGTTCCCAGCGAACACCATGGTCCCGCGCATTCCACTTGTAACATGCATCCTGTTTCCTTTCAAAATTATCCGCGCCTAAGAGTTGACCCTGAAAATATCTAACTGAGGACCGTCTTTAGTCCTTCAACATCACCTCCACACATTTGGACGGCCTTTATCGCGTTACTAGTAAATAATTCTCTCTTTTCTCGCGCCTCTTGTTCCCGCCTAGCCTTAGTCTTGGAACTGCCGCTTGGTGCAACCCCTGTGAGTAGCTTATGGCTATCATTGGGAGTTAAATTCACAAAAGAAATGTCAACCGGACTTTTGTTCATGTTGGTGGTATTGGTGGGAGTATGCGTTGGTATTGCTTTGCCAGCCTTGGGAACTGATGGGGGTTTGCGTGGATGCGTTCGTCGTTGAAAGCTAGTACTATGGCGGCGAGAGTTAGATGGACGATGGAGGTTTTTGTGAACATGTGTCACTCGATTAGCTGCCATAGTGGGTTGTGTTACGACTGGCGAGAATGAAGGCGCATGCGATGGTGGAGTCGAGTAGTGAAGCGGATCGAAATGCGACGATCGGGGGAGAGGGTCAACTTCAAGTGGGTACGATTGGCCAGCAGAAGGTGCTGGGCAGGAAGGTGGTGAGATACGCATAGTAGAGACAGATACGGGAGACATTTCAGTGCGATGGTCGACATGGATAGCTAAGCCATTCTCCTGGACCGGGCCGACAGCGTGGCTCATGCGATTCTGGAGTCGTTGGGGAATGGGTGCCATGAATGCAGTCGGATAGCTAATATGACCGTAGGGTGGGATGCTCCTATTCGGCAAGGAGGAAAGATTCCACAACGATTGATCTTCCAGAGGAGGGTGATCAGAAGAAGAGTAGGAATACATTGAGGCATCAAGCGAGTGAGAAGGCCATGGATTTGGACCCGGATCTGATTGAGACCGTATGATCCCTGGGGGCGAGATACTTGGTGAAGACGTGGATCCTTCTAAGTAGCGCGGGCACGGTTCAGCACAAACAGTGGGTGCCGTCGAGTGTTCGGTTTGAGAAACGATGCCGGTACCGTATTGGGTTGCTGGTATGTGCGCTGGAATGGGTTGCCCGCAGCCTCGGTGTGGTTCAACCGCTGGAGTGATGTAATCCCGCTGAACTGATATCGAGGGTGCCGGTGGGAGCGAGATAGGGTCGTGAGCCGTAAGAAAATTATATGGGGGGAAACGGTTGTGCCAGTGCTCTTGATAAGCCATTGCAAGACTGCGACGCTGTGGTGAGTATGTCAACTCAGAGGGAGATGCCTGTTTTCGAATCGAATCAACATCGTCAGCTAGTTTATGATCCGAGGCCTGAATTGCAGGCGGATCCTCGTACTTGTATGCAGCCCGTTGGCGGAATATCGAAGAAGATCGTGAAACCAATTTCTTTCGATCTCCAAATAGAAATTCAGAGTGGGTGTTATGGTAATCACCTTCCTCCAATCCGTTAGCACTGTCAAAGGCCTCCAACGTGTCCGAACATAGTATTTCCGCAGTTTGAAGGTTTGAAAGATCACTCCAATGTCGGAGTGAAGGCTCGCCCTCCTTCGGCGTCAACGACAGGCCTGCATGAAAGGAGTCATCCAAAGCACATGATAACGGTGCTTCTTTGTTATTATTAATACTGAATGCCGGCGTGTAGGCACATTCACTGAAAGTTCCCCGCAACGAATCCTCCGGTGGGTAGGCAGCAGTTTGCTGATCTTTACCTTCCGCTTTCGTCGGGTGTTGCACTGGGCGGGGGGCAATGATCATGGCGAGTAAAGATGATTGGGCAGGAGAGTACAGAACTTCAACTAACTGAGGGCTGAGGATAGCAAGAGGTTTAAGGCAATAGAGGCAGAGACGAGCGGGTTGAACACGACGAGTTGACTTGATTCACCGCGAGAAGAAGGCAAATTTATGGAGCTTAGGGAAAATACAGTGCAAAATAACGACAAGAGCCAACCGATGAATTTCTAAAGGAAATAAACCACAGAGGGGGCGAGCCCGACAAAATTCCAGTTACTTGTGAGCACGCCCGCGAGAATTCGAGCCCTCGAAGTGAAAAATCGGACTTGACAAATCTCCACTGGTGTGCCGCTAATTTGCAGCGCGCAGAGAAGTCGCGAACAATGCGCAACTTACGGCTGGGAAGATCAGTAGCCGATGCCGTCAGAAACTGACGGTGAATGGAAGAGATGAAGGAAGCTGAAGAATAAGATGAAAGCCGAAGGAGGAAGTTGAAAAGACGACACCGGTCCTGAAACAGGATATATCTGCAGGATTAGAAACCGTTGAGGGTGTCGGCATGCTCCTTAGGCACATGGGGAACAAAGAGTTACCAAAAAGAAACCCAGGAATGAACAAAGACGTCAGCAAAATTTAAAGGTTTTATCACAGCACATGACTGTTTCTCTCTATATCGTATAGTTTGGGGGGAAAACCAAAGAAAATTAATGAATCTTATTTAGAAGCCAGACATGCGGCCCCTGCTGTTGTACGAGACCAGTCCAAAATATTGAAAGAATAAAAGAAAGCCAGCAATGCCCTAAACACTAAAACCGTACGGAGTACCGTGCACCACAGCCCCCGAAACTAAAGGTGAACCCGAGAGTATGGGACGAACGAGAAGTCTGGCTTGACAATGATAACATATATTAGAAGCTAATATAAGTCAAAAACTAGAAACTGACTCTCAAAAGGCCGCAGAGGGCGAGGGAGCGAGCTTTGTTTGACCACACCAGGAAGGGTATGTTGCGAACCATGGCTGGAGATTAAAGTCTCTTGTAGGGAGGCCCGTTGGGCTGACAGGATTGACAAGTCAGTATAAGTCGATTGGCATTTTCTCCGAACCATGCAGCTCCCCTGTTGAGCAACAGGCTCAACAGCAACAAGTAGACTTGG